AGTCTGGGAGAGAGTTCTCAACAAGGAGGATTGATTACCTTGGAAAAAATTAAATGACCACTCTAATTAAGATTCTAATGTTCCTTCATCTAACAAGACTTGTCACTTAAGTGTAAGATGGATTGATTCCTAAGGGGGCTAATACAACACTTTGTTCTTCGTTTGACGAAGATTAACAGTTGCCCGGAAAGGGGTCCATACTCAAATTATTAATGATCTGAAGCCAGTGTTTATTACCTGATCCAATCTTTGTCGTGTTATGTCATCAATGACAGCAACATAGCAAGGTGGTGCTGTTTATCTTATCTTGCATTGCAAACCAGCCAGAAAAAAGGGTAAACAAAAGGATAGTTGTCTCAAATCAATTTGACGCTTGTCTTATCCCTGTGAGGTTCTTACCAATTAATGATAAAATGGAGCCAGATGAAAGGCTTTCTACTTTACCTCAAAGAATTGGTTTAAAGTAAAAGTTTTTCCCAACTTTTTATTATCAACTGTCACTAGGCGGTGTGATTTATCCACTTATCTTTCATGGTACACGAATGGCCATATCTAACGGTGACGTTTTCTTGACTTTATCCCATGTGTGAAGTTGCGAACCTTATAAATCAACCAGTATCAGCAATAGGCTAAAAGGAGTTTAATACTCCACAAACTTAAAATAAGCCAAAATAGAGATTGGTTTGTGGCTGTTTGACACATAATTGGCAAAAGCTTCGTCAGAATATGATCTAAGGCCAAACGTTAGTTTTTTCACATAGTTCTGCCAACAGGAAAAAGGATCTTTCCCCGTCAGACGACAATCTTCTGTGGAGTGATTGATTTACTATTCCTCACCCACTTTGTTATAAAAGTGGATAAGGAAGTATATAAATACGGAAAGCCTATCGACTTCCATCTCAAAGCACAAGATTATCTCTTAATCACCTTAACTACAATGACCATCTCTAGGTGTCTGGTATGCCTCATCTTGGTCTTGCTTTTATCTGCGGGCTCAGAGAGTCGCCCCCTCACAGAGAAGAGGACTCTGAACCAACCTACGGAGGCATTGAGACAGTACCTGAATGGAGAAGCTAAGAAAAACCAGTTTAAACAGGCTACGAGATCAAGTCCTGGGGGACCTGACCCAGAACATCACTACATTAATAACTAGTTTATAATTTTGAAGTGAACCTTTTCTAGATTTACATATGTATGTATTAAAGTAAGTTATCTTACATCTAATAAATTTTCAATATCCTGTAATCTTGTATTTAAATTAGGCCACTCCACTTATTGCCAATTGGTAGTGAGTTGGAAGCTTAAAATGATATCAGAACCAGGATTTTTTTATCGTTGTCTTTTTCTAATTTATTACGTGAAATGGGAGCTTGTAAAAGTGGATTATCTCATATCTAATAAATTTTTAATTTTCTGTATTCTTATATTCAGGTTGGGTCTCTTTACTTATATCAATTAGTTTTAAGTTTGATACTTAACAGTTTGTACTATCTTTATCAGATGGCAATGAATGTTACTTTTATGCTCTGATCAGCTATTTCAAGTAATTTACAGATAAAAATTTATCACATGAAAGATTTCTTTTATTTTTGTCCACTTATGATTAGGGCTGTTAAAGTGGATTATCTTATATTTAATAAATTTTTAATTTTTGGTAATTTTATATTTAAATTAGGCCCTCTATTTATTGTCGATTAGTTTTAAGTTAGATGTTTAACAATTTGTACTATCTCTGTCAGATGGTAGTGAATGTTTCTCCTTTTAACTTTTATGTTTTGATCAGCTATTTCAAGTAATTTACAGATAATGTGAGTTTGATATGTTGAAATTGATTAACTTGAGGAAGAAAAAACAAAAAGAACTAATGTAGCCATAAACATAAGAAAAAGCAATCTCTATATATCTATCAACTGTCCAAGAAGCAACTGAAACGCTAACCTTCCGCAGCCATTCAAGTTCAAAGTTCAATCTTCCACCTTTTGAATTTTCTGATACTTCGTTTAATATTTGTTGTTTGCAGTATCCATCAGTTGAATTTTAAGAGCAGCCAACACATTTCAAAATGGAAAATTTGTGCAGAAGAGATATCAAAATTTCCTAATAAAGCAGTTGGAATACCAATTGGATGAGCAATCAATGGATGGTATATGATATAAATTAAGTTACATATAGCATTAACCAGATCATGGCACAGTATTTTTCTGAATAATTAAGGATTTCAGGCCTTCAGCTCTGTGCTATGGTAGAACATAACCTTACCTTCTGTACAGCATGCACTGGTGTCATACATCAGTAGCTTTGTTTTTTTTCTCCTTGGTTTTTTGGATGATTGAAATAAGGAGGGTGTTGGACTCTTAATTTCAGTGATCAGAATTCATTTCTTAATAATCTCAAATACCAAAAAAGGAAATGGAGAGGTCACTGATGAGCCGTCTAATGGACTGTTTTTCTTGTTAACTGAGACAGGCTGGAATCTAAAAGGAAGAAAAAAAAAATTTTGGTCTGCTTAAGAAATTAGACTATATCTGTATATCATAATGTAAAGCATAATTATATTTATCTGCTTGAACAGTGATTTACACAGAAAAAAAAAACCAAATAAAAGGAAATCCTAGCCAGAAAATCAGGCGTATCTATCAAGTGGATACAGTATAGCTTTTGCAGAAGATTCATATGTTATTTTTCTGATTGGCAATTTAAAAGACAACAACTGAAACGTTAACATTCAACCTTTGACGACATTGATTATAAAGTTCGAAAGATCTTTATCCAAGAGAACGAGAATTATACGCCCACTTTCTGAAGTGATTATGGACACAATGAAATTAAAGTTAACTAGAATTTTGTAAGTTGGGTAAGCAGACCTAACGCAAGCAAAAAAGGAAAAAAAAGCACCAAAAAATATTGACTAATTGTGAATCAAATGCGTGCTTTGTTATATTCATAGCCCTGTGGAAGGACACGTCCCTAACATCTGAAGTGGGCAAAGAGCCCGTTCGTTTTTCAGAGTCACTCGTTTTGGATCAACAAAAAAGACAAAAACCAAATGCGAGAATGACTTGACTGAAATTTGGCATATGTGTCTGTTTCTTGTCATGTAGCTCCAGGATTTTATATCCTTTAACATTTTTATTTTCAGGGTTGCTGCTCAACTTTGTTCTTGTTTTGTCTTTTTTAAGTACTGCCCTAAGTCCAACCTTGAATTTTAAAGAGTCAGGATTTGCGTGCAGACAATTTTTAATGGGGAATGAATGATCAAGCTAAAGATATATGGCAGGGTTCTCTTCGTGCTTATGTGGGGACCTAAGACAAATGCTTCGCCTTTAGCAATTTGAGGATAATGGGTAGGAAAAGCTATAAACCTTGTAGAAAACAAAAACATAAATATCCCTTCAGGATTTTTCAACTTGTATACGCCATGCCATTAGTTTCCTGAGCTGTGAAATCTTGGACGTTTGCCATGAATTTCCAACTATATATGGGAAGGGGATTTTGTTACTATGAAATGCCACTTGCCTTTGACATCCATTCTAGCTATTACTGGTTGGTTTTATCCGATTCAGTACATTCAGTTTAGAAATGCCTAATTCAACCATCATGCAGGCTTCACTAGCAATCTTACTCATTTTATCAGCAAATGTAATTAATATTGTAGAAGCAAAGAGTTATGCAGGCCGTAAAACAGTGCAGAAAAGGATCAATAGCCAATCCATTATACATGCATTGGCAGGCTATGATTTGTCAGTGATGTTGAAGCATGACAGGAGGGTGTTAGCTGAAGAAACAAGAATTTCACCAGGAGGGCCAGATCCTCAACATGACTAGCAACCTCCCAATTGCTTGAGGATCAACCACCGGCATTGCCCTAGAGATTAGCGCTTGAAGGGACAATGTTGTTGCAGTAATAGCTCTATTTGTCAGTTGCAATTATTTCTAGTAAGAATTGTCTATCTTCAATCATCGAGATGTGTTCATACTCATCGTAGAACATCTCTCATGTGAAGATTATATAGCTACTTGAACACCTATATGTATGTAGTATTAAGTAGTAGTCAGTACTTGGCCTAAGTTTAGAGTAAACCAAGAAAAGTTTACTTCAGCTGAAATATAATGTTAGCTTCTTTCTATCTTTTATAAAGAATTGAACTAAGTTTTGAGTAATTTGGTCCCTTGCTTTCTATCTTTTATAATAAAAGGATTGAAATCTCATAGGAATTTCTATCAATTAAATATTTTAATAAGCCTTTGTTAATTGACGGGACAAAAATCCTCAAGCAGTATGCAATCCTGGATTGAATGTTGAATTGATCATTGACTGGAACTTGGTCACTTGATTTTCATGTTTTTGGCAAATGAGAAAAAAATTATTAGTACTTGGACCTTTTTTTTATTGGAAATATCCTTCCGGGCAACTCCGTGAATCCCTTCATTCTCCCACCTAAAGGAGGTTATCTATGAATATTAGACCAAATATTGTACTGGCTCGTTCACGTTTGTAAATTGTCATAGTCAGCTTCTCCCACTGCAGCAAATTTAAATGGATCAAACAGTCTTATTTTAAGCAAATCAGGCACTAGAGATAAAGAAAAAGAACTGAACGTCAAGGCAATGATGCATGAATTAGACTTTCTCATTTCTTGATGACAGCAAGACGCCCAAGCTCTAGGATGATAGACTAGGCGCTTTGGTCCATCGTCAAATCAAACATTTTAATTCTTTTACCCTCTTTTTCTTTTCTTTCTTTTTTTTTTAAATTTCTCCCCATTTTTGGTGTTAGATGATTAAGAAGTGTATCTCAGGCTGAGGTTGGACTAGAAAGATTCATATCTGACTTACTCAAATGAAATGTTATCGGGTTATATGTTAACGGCAGCCCATAGAAAATACACTGCCATCCGTCCATCCATCCATCCGTGTATTATATCAAGGAAATCAATTGCCAAGTTGTCAAATCCGCGTTTGATCAGTTTTGTACAATGGAAAAGTTCCTCTCCATTGTCTCCATAGGTACCAGAATTCCACCCTAACAATTTTGTTGTTCCTAATTTAGCAAAATAGAGCTGTTTTCATGGCGTTAAGATCTATTAAGATTTTGTGTCCTCTGCCCATTTTCATGCACCTGGAATGGTGACAGTACTCGGTTTCTGCATTCATTGACAAGTGTTTTTCTTTCTTTTTTGCCTTATTTTGGAATATCTCACATCCATTACTTTCACAACGCAATGTATGGAGAGTGGTTATATTGAACCAAAAGCTGAAGCTGTTGCCATCTATAATTTGGCTGTTCTTTGCATATAGCATACTTCCGTAACTACAATAATAGCAGAATAAAACTTGAGGCCAAAAAGAGATCTTACCCCTATTGATAATTTTAAATATTCTGTGATCTTAACTACTACTGAAAAGACTTAAGTGGGTCACTATGGTCAATATCAGCTAAGCGTGGGAGATCAACTGTTAGCTTTTCCAGGCTTAAGCCTCCATCATTCAGCTTCTTGACTACTTCCTCAAATACAACCTTGTTGCCATCTTCAGTGAGGTGCAAACCATCACTGCATTCCAGAAACAGCACTTTAGCACAGCTGCACAGGGGCTATTAGTGCTTTTATTTAACCAATAATTCTTTGCTTCAAGGACAAAAATGAAAGAGACAGATCAAATCAACAAATTAAGACAGATGAAAAACCACAAAATACATCTGATTCTCGCAAATAACATTTCCATGCCCACAAATCAACAACTAGGAATAGGATTTTGGCAGTAAATTACAGATGAAAAATCAACAAACTATGGAAATTCAAAGCATTCTACTGTGAACATAAAAAATTTCAAAAGCAGATTTCAGTGAAATAATGCATTGTTTCACAAGGAATATTCATGGTATTCCTTCCTTGCAGGTTTTAAAGTTTTTTAGTCTATCAGTCAAATCAGACACAAGGCTATCTAGTATTAAAATATCTGTATATAGAATCCGTATATAGAGCAAAGTATGCATTGAAAATTATTAAAAACTGAAAAGCCTTGGATACCTAAGATAGGCTTTCCGCCAGTCAGGAAACTGCTGCATCCTAGTCCAGAGATCTACCACAGGGATTCCACATTCTCCAGCAGTTTCAACACATGCCTTAGCATAAGCGCCAGCAGCTTCATTTGTCCTCTCGGGCAAACCAGATGGATTCTCAGCATAAGGATGCCTGCATCAAGAATATTTCTTTTTGTTCAAGAATTTCATTTTTAAAAAAACTTTGCATCAGAGCTCAAGGGTAATATACCAGTTTTAAGCATAAGGAACAATACCTAAGGCGTTCATCTTCGTCAATTGGAGGAGGAGTAATTAGGAGAATGAGAGTCTTTGGCCACCGCTTCTGAGACCCCAAAAGAGAAGGGGAAAAGCATACAAGAGGAAAATCTATGAGCAAAATATATAAACCATAGCAGACAGATACCTTGCATTTGTTTAACATATCGATAATTCCCCAAGAAAATCAGTTAATTAAATTTATATAACGGGCTGCACTTGCTCCTTCTAGCACGGCAGGCACAACAGTATAGAGTAAATTTTGGAGGACTAGTAACAGTAAGAGATAGTCCAGACTCCAGGCCAAAGCATGTGACAGAACCAGGAGAGAAATTCCTGGTTCTCTCCCAAGTTATATCAAAAGAACAAATATAAAATCCATGATAACTTATTCTATAGCCCTGGAGAGGCGCCCTGCTACTTGTAATCTATTGAGGTGTAAATTGCATAGAAAGAATCCTTCATTCCTGATATGATAATCTATTGATACGCTGAACTCTTAATTCCAATAATCAGAATTCAAAGTCTGACGGCCTCAAGTATTAAAAAAAGCTTTCAAGCTCCTATTATCAACTAGTCAGACTAAAGAACATCAGTTGGAACGAATTTTAAAAGGCATATTAAAATCGGTCAGCCTGGCTAATTTGATGGCCCATAGAAAGGAGGAAACAAAAGGAAAACATAAAAGATTATATTTAATTAATCCCACACAAATATAAAAGTAATTAGATATTCAGCTTTGGAGGCTATGCATTATATAATCTGATGTCCAGAACTTTATTTATCGAGGGCCACAGGCTCAAGATTCGACATTGATAGTTAGTTATGGACTGGTACATGAAGCCATAGTCATAAAGGCCTTAGATTTTACTCAGCATAAACATTCTATAAAAATATACAAGGCCATCCATCCAACCTAGAGAAGACGACCGTAACCAACAACAAGCAACATTGCTTGTGATATCGGGCGTCATAGATAATCAATACCTATTACTTATACCAGTTTTTTTGGGTCCCCATCAACTCTCAGCCCTTCTTTTGGCCATCAGCCTTAACCCTTTTGTACTACAAAACATATAGTACTTACTAAATTTAAAAACCATTGAATAAAATAGTCAGACCAGAACCCGGAGGCAAACTTCGCAGTAGCAGTTAGCAGTTAGCAGTTAGCACAACCATATATTCTATTCTTCTAGTTGGACTTGTTACTCGCAAAAAACAACTAACTAGACACTAAATAACAAAAAATTACAATAATAATAATAGAGATATCAAGCAAATCCCAAGTGGCAAACAATAATAGCGACAAGTGGGCCTTACCCACCCATACTTTCTCTGGCTCTATCTTTTGCTTTTTGGATATCCACAGGCCCACTTCTGAACCATAGTAGCTTACCAGTGACCAACTAACCATCCAAACCAAAGTCCAGGACTCCATTATTTCTACCAAATGAAGGAATTTCACTTTGCCTACAATCGTCAGTTGACGTTGACTCTTAATTTGAACGATGAAAGACCAATTTTTAGTAGCCTCAAATGCAAAAAGACACACCTTATTTCCTCAGCTTACCTCTTACTATATTATACGACACAGTGACAAGCACGCATTATACAAAAAAACAAAATGTTGCACAGTTACGTTATTTCAAAACTGTCTTTTGAACGTTTCTTTTTCTCTTATAATCATCTGATGTTAGTTCAACTTTTAAATATCAAGTCCAACATTGGTTGTCAAATTGTTAACGTGCTTAATGTGTTGGCAAATTTGTAGTTTAGAGTATAGACTATGGACAAAAACACCATGAAGAAGAGATGTGAAGAGAGGTGAAGGGATGGATTGAAACCTTGAAAGAGGAGACAATAGAGTGGAGATTCCGCTTGTATTCATCAAGTGGCACGTGTTGGAAAGCAGCGTATCTATCGGGGAGGCAAGCGTCATTAGCTCCAAAGAAAACGGTAATTGCAAGTGGCTCGGCAGCACCGTCAGAATCATCGCTTTCCGCCACAAGGAAAACCCTATCAAGCGCCTTCAACACCCACCTTGTATTGTACCCACTGTAACCTCTCAGCACCACATCAACCTGTAAACCAGAAACCCACGTGAAAGAAACTCTTCCAGTATCATAGAAAAACATCAGAAAAACTGCCATTTAGACTTACACATATTGACATGGTAACAGCTGCAGAAAAACTAAAAAAAAAAATTATGTTTGAAGAAGACTTTGAAAATATAATCAGATAATCAATATATATACCGTTCGAGAGAAATGGTTGGCGAGAGAAGCACCCCAACCACCATCACCGAAGGACTGCTCCGTGATTGAGTCTCCAAAAAGATAGATCTTTGGCCTCATGTTAGAGAGCAAAAGCAATTGAAATTCTACTTAAGAGGAGCACGCTGTGAGAGAAACTAGCAAAAACCAAACAACTCTGAATTGCCTTCTATTTGTTACACGAAAACGTGGGTACTATTAAATGCTCACCAAATTAGTTGCACCCCAAAAAGGGGAGAGGAAATACAGACAAGAGGTCAAGATTAAAGAAAGGAAGGTTTTGTGGGATTTTTTTGGCTGGTTTTTGGCTTTTTGGTTCCTTCCTGAAAACGAACCGATGGTAGATTCAAACAGTATACCATACGTCGAAGCAACTTGGTTTGCAATGACCAAAGCAGCCTCTTTAGTTGGTAATAACAACAAGGATCGCCATGGTTTTATTAAAGGACTGAAAAGTCCTGAGATTTAGAGTTTGAATGACATGACCGACTGTAGACTTTATAGAATGACATGACTGACTGTAGACTTTATATTAAATTCTCTCTTGTAGGTAATAGTCTATCCGTATCACTTCCGGTCTCTCCCATCGCTCTCTGACTCGGGGCCATGGCATTCATCCTTTTATCTCCAAGGAGCTTTAATGGCAATTGAGGCATCCATAATTATGGTGGGCCTGTCATGCCTCACCATGGACTCACCATGGCCATAATATAATGATCAGCAAATTTGGTCAATTAAGAAAATTGCAAAAATGATAAGGACTTCAAGTTGATGCAAAATTTTTTGATGCACGATTTCATTTTATTTTAAGATAATAAAAAATTTGTTAAGAAAGAAAGTGAAGGTTTAAACCTTGAACTGGATTTTCTATCTTTTCCTTTGTATTTTTTGAAAATAAATATCAAGACATAGAGAATCAAATTCATAAGTAATTCCATATTACTAAGACAAATCAATGACATATAGTTTGCCCTTTTTTTTATATATTTTTGTTATGATAAGAAGTGTAATTCTTCGTGTGTCAAGACATCTTCGAAAATCAATTAACATTAGATTTAATAATTTATATATTCGTATCATATAAAATATTAAAATTTATATATTTATATCATATTTTATATAAAAATTATGTATCATAATTTACATCGATATAAAAAAATGAAATATAATTTTTTTATTTTATTAAACTCATTTATAATTATTATTATAATTTTAAATTTTATTATTTTCATATTTTATTTTCATGTCATATCACTATACCATATTACTAGATAATTAGATAGTGTCTTAAATTATCAAAATTGATTAAGATTGTTTGAAAACTCGAAACAATCAATTTAAATAATAAAAAAGAATAAGGCAACTTGTTTATTTAAAATATTTACTATTAATATTAAGATTTAAAACGTGAAACTCTTGCCTTAAAAAAAAAAAAAAAAAACTCTCAACAACTTTGGATCAAATGCAAATTTTGTAATATTAAAATATTTCAAGAACAAAATTTGGAAACATTATCATTGTCGAAAAGAAAACTTTTATCTTTTGGTATATTCAAATTGAAAGATATTAATTGAGTATTAAATCAGATGACATGCATATAATAATTAAACTTTTAAAAATTATGTATTCAGAAAATGTATATATATAATATTATTTTCAAAGCATATCGATGATGTTACCTAATAAAATATCCAAAATGGACCACCCTTCAAAAGGAGTTGGCCCATTTTTTTCAATTACAAAGTTGATGGTTTATGCATGGAATATAATAGATCCACATATTTTTTACCTTAAACTTTTATAATAATTAATAAGTGATTGATTTAATCAATTAAGGTTCATTTTTTTTCGGTAAAAAGTCTTGGGTTTAAGTTTTGTTAGTAATTATTTGTTGAGATCATCTCGAATATACGACCTGCAATCAATTATCTTAAGTTATCAGATACAATACATATTATTTTGATTTAAAAAATTTAATAATTTATTTATCTCAAATTTTTTTTTACCAAAAAAAAAAAAAACCTTTTACAATGCGATGGATTGAATCATTCAATCAGGCGGAATCACCTAAATAATGAAAGAGTTAATTTGTGTATTAAAAACACTGCTATCATGAGCAAGCATGAGTTGGAAAAATCTCATTCCCTCCCAACTGCAAAACCTTTGGCAGTGATAAAAGCAGCTAATTAAGCATAGAGTCTAATTTAAAATAGTAACTATCAAGTGGGAAAATGAAGAATGGAAGGCTACCCACAATCAGACCGTCCGTTTTCTCATCACCCCACAATCAAAACTTCCTGGTCCCAACTAAAAATACCTTTCGCGCCAAAACACCAAACTACCTCTGTAACCCAACCTCCACAGCTCTCTCCATTTCTATTCAACAGTTCATTAACTCAGATGCCCCTTTCCATGGCCAAAAGATTCATACCCACATTATAAAATCTGGGTTTTCACCCAATATGAATATTTCCATCAAACTCCCTGTACTGCATATAAAATCTGGGTGCTTAAGATATGCCAGCCAAATGTTCGATGAATTGCTACATCAGGCTTTGTCTGCCTACAATTGTTTGATTGGCGAGTACCTTAAACATGTGAAAGTTGAGGAGTCACTTGGTTTGGTTCGTAGAATGGTTCATTCAGGCGAAAAGCCTGATGGATTCACATTTTCGATGATTTTAAAGGCGTCTGCTTGTGTGAGTAATAGGTGGTGTTGCCGGTTTTAGGAAGGATGGCCCATGCCCCGCTGGTGAAATTGGACGTTGAGCCTGATGAAGTGCGTTATACAGCACTGGTTGACTCGTATGTGAAGAGTGGGAAGGTTGAATATGCAAGGACTGTTTTTGATATGATGTTGGAAAAGAATGTGATTTGTTCAACTGCATTGATCACGGGACACATGAATAAGGGATTGCTGGAGGAGGCTGAAGATGTGTTTAGTAAACAGTTGAAAAAGATGTGGTAGTTTTCAATGCAATGATTGAAGGTTACAGTAAATCAGTTGAAACTGCAAAGAAAGGACTTGAGGTTTTTGTTAATATGCAGTGGTTGAATTCCGGCCTAATATTTCGACTTTTGCAAGTGTAATTGGGACTTGTTCTGTTTTATCAGGTGTTGAAATCGGTCATCAAGTTCAAGGTCAACTAATGAAGACTGAGTTCTTTTTGGACCTACAGATTGGAAGTGCTCTTGTTGACATGCATGCAAAATGTGGAAGAATTGAGGATGCCAGAAGAATTTTTTACTAGATGCCGAAAGAGTGTTTTCACATGGACCTTGATGATTGATGGATATGGGAAGAATGGAAACCAAAACGAAGCTCTTGAGCTGTTTTGTATGATGCAAAAACTTTGTGTTGAACGGAATGATGTTACATTCCTTAGCGCTCTCTCTGCTTGTGGACATGCTGGCTTACTTGCCAAAGGCCGTGAAATCTTTGAGAGCATGGAAAGAATTACTCAATAAAACCAAAAATGGAGCACTATGCTTGCAAAGTTGACCTTCTAGGACGTGCTGGACGTTCGGATCTAGCATGGGAACATGTAATGGGGATGCCTGAGAGGCCCAATTCTGATGTTTGGGCAGCTTTGATTAGTTCTTGCAATCTGCATGGTGATTTACAAATGGCAAGCATAGCTGCCAATGAACTTTTTCAGGTTAAATGCTGATAGTAGGCCAGGGGCATTTGTTGGACTATCAATTACTTTAGCAGCTGCTGGAAAATGGGATTGTGTGAGTGAGTTGAGGGACTTGATGAAGGGTAAGAGAGATATTGAAAGATACTGCCTGTAGTTGGGTAGTGACTGATGGTGGTTTATGAAGTTTCATCTTCTTGAAGCTGTATTCAAGTTTTGTCCAGCTGCCATGATGGTGCTTGTGCTAGTAATTTTTCATGCCGTTGCTCCAAAAGCTTGAGTTGCTACTAACAAATATGTGACATTGATCATGGCTGAAAGAATTAATGATGTTCAAGAAATAGAGAAATTTGCGAAGAACAAGGATTGTGAAGTTTGTCCTGAAAACATTTTGTAGAAAGAACCCAGAAGACTTCCCGCAAGCATGGCTTGATCTACTCTTATTCGACAATGCTGGATAACTTTATCCATTGCTGAATACCGCCCCTAGCTAACTTGTGCAGATAGATGACACATCAAACACGGGAGATGTCATTTATGGGAGGCTTGGTTGTCAGCTTAAATTATACTTACGTGGCTTTTGAATTCAAACAAGAGATGTGCTGCTTACTGAATCATGATTAGTGCACCATTCTCACCGATCAGGTCATCGTGAAGCTTTGAGATTGCAAATATCAAACTTCGAGGTCGCTGCAGTGGGTCTTGACTGAATAAATTCAATCAGGTTAATCGGTTAACTTGGATAATCCATTACATTTTTACGTAATAACTCAACTCAATGCTGTTTGATTCATGTCTTTATAGGAATAGTAATTGAGCTTCTAAAATTGTTGTTTGAAAATCAAATTCAATCCTTGAGAAGTATCTGGTACGAAAATCAAGTCAGGCCCACTAGGCTTGCCTTGCCTTGTAGCCCAAACTCCCAGGAAAGTGGACAAAGCCCATGTTACAAGACGGATCCATGAAACCACATGAAAAATGGGCATTGCTGTATCTGAAATAGCTACATAACAAAGTCCAAGAAAATTTTCATATAGAAACAAATGAATAAAACATAAATTAACAACCGGATGATAGCCTGACGCCAGAAGAAAGGCCGGTTAATCCTAGGGGCTAGGGCCAGACAAGACGAGTGATAGAATAACGTGGAGATTTGGTATTGGTTGGTCACCGTCTCCCTTTCAAAATTTGTGGATTGTCATAATGTAAACGGCACATACTTATACCACATTTCCACCAAATTTTATTTAAAGGCTTGCTTGGCTTAATCTTTTTACTTGTTCAGCCTCAGTCGTCAACATTGGTATATCTGAAGAAATCAAGAGGAGCAAGAAAACTGAAATATGTCTTGCTGCTGCTGCTGTGATGATTGTGAATGCAGGCCCTTAGGCTTCCTGTTGGGTCTGCCCTTCGCCTTCCTATCCCTCCTCATCTCCATAGTCGGCATATTCGTCTGGATTGTAGGGTAATTAAGTCGTCTCACCTTTCCCTTGTTTTTTTCTTTAGATTGGCTTCTTACTAGATTTAATGAATTCTCTGATGCAAAATCGATATGTTTCTTTTTTTTTTTTTTGTTAATTGCTGGCTGCTGCCTTTAAGCTGATTTGGTGGGGTTGGTTTCAGGTTGGTGTTGACTTGCATCTGCCCATGCTGCTTGTGCGTAACCTTCATAGTTGAGTTTGCACTAGGTTTGATCAAGGCTCCCATTCTGGTCATGAAGTGGTTCACCTCTAAGATCCCTTGTTAGTAATAGATTATTTATACTACTAGTTGATTTTAGAACATGAGTTCTTTTTCTTGATTTGTTCAATCTTGATTTTGATGTTGATTCTAAGTACAAAAATATTTCATTAAGGAACATTGGAATACAATTTTGTTATTTCTTAAGGTTAAAGGAGAAGTAATTGGTTATTGGGCAAAATTGAAGTCTGTCTAAGTTCCTCATAACTTACTATGGGCTCTTCTTTCCAAAGCCTAACAATGTAAAATAGCAAAACTAGTTAGACAAGAATTTGGTTTCACTGATATCGCAATTTTTTTATTTTAAATTCTACAATATAACTGATTTATATGGACTTTTATAATTCTCAGCTTAAATCAACTAATTTAAATAGTTATTCTTAAGAAATAATATTTTATAAATTTAAATTTAAATTTTAATATTTATATATATTTTTTGTTATTAACAAAAAATCATCGGATCAGTAGAATTTTTTAATTACATAAACGAAATTAATAAAGTGATAGATGTTTTATTTTTAATTAATTTTTATTTTTTAAAATATATCTAAAAAATCTGTGTCTTCTTATTAACTTTACTTATGGAATAAAAAAATTATATTGATAGTATATTTGATAATTTTTTTAAAAAATTTTCGTCTCTTATTCCTAAAATATGACGTATTTTGAAAAAAAAAATGGTATTAACTTTTTTTAAAAAAGTGCAGTAAAATTAGTTACTTTATGTCACTTTTGTCAATAAGGTATTCAGATAATAATCACACAATATCCCTTTTTAATCAGACAAATAATCTAGAACAACAAGTCAATCTATTGGAAAATAGTTTGCCTTGACCGATACACGTCTATGGCTGCTACTACCAGACCCAAATTCCAGCATGGTAGTGGTACATTTTTTTTTTTTTTTTTATAATTGATGTTTCCATTATTCAAGAAGCAGTAAACTGCTACAAAATTACGAGTACTACCTATTTCGGTTCTCAATTCAAACGTGTCTCTACTTAGCTCACATCGTTTATATAGTTATTTATTTATATCATGAACGAGACCCTTTAATCCAATTTTTTTTTTTAATTTGAGATAAATAAATTGTTTAATCCATCATATCATAATAAAATATGTATTATTTAATAGTTTAAAATAAATAAATGTAAATCATACGTTTAAAATAATTTTAAAAAATTATCACCAGGGAAAACTCAAATCAAAAAATTTTTTATATAAAAAAATAAATCTTAATAAATTGAGCTAACAACTTGTTGGTAACTTTTTAATCCAATTAATGTCATATTAAGCTGCTTTCTTTATCCGCTTCACAATTTGATTCCCTTCAAGCTTTTTTACCCTGTAAACTCTCCTGATCCTTTTTGCCCATGTTCAGTACATGTATGCTCCCCAGGTAAACCTGACTGTAACAGATATCAGGGACTTTCCTCGTAACTTGTTTATAGCCCCCTGAAACTCAACATCCTATCCTGCAACTTCCCTACGCAGGTTGCATAAAAGCAGCACCTGCTTCCACTCGAATACCTGCAGCCAAAAAAAAAATATGTGATTCCTGCTCTCTTTTCCTGCCTTCATAGTATACAATCCCCGTCTGTAATCAGAGGTGACGGCAAAAAATTAATAAAAGAGTGGTGAAACAATAATTTAAAAAAAAAAAAGAAGGGATCAAAGCATACGGTTACATCTGTGGTCAGAGGCTAAGACAGAAAATTAATAAAAGAGCGATCAAACAATAATTTTTAAGGGCAAAAAAAAAAGATCAAAGTATTAATTAGATAACACTGATCATTATATAACAAAAAAAGTAAAATCTTTTTGAGACCGTGACATTTATTAGATATAATATAAAACCACACTAACATTGAGCACTATCATCCAAGTTATTATATCCTATTTGGATACATTTTTGATTAAAAATAGAATGTTCAAAACATGCAACTTACAGTAAAGTTTTGGCTTTGCGAACTTAACATTGTTATAATTTGCAATTTCTATTAATTTTTTCAACTAATAAACCTGAACCCTGACCTCTCTTTTTGGGAATGAACGTCCATTAATCAACTTTCTTGTGGTTTGAAAATAGTCAAATACTACTATATATAGTTAGTTCAATATAAATATTTTGACTGAAAAGGGCTGTGAAGATGTGAAAACTGAAGTGTTTTTCTTTGATTCTTCAAGCTAATTGGTAGTAATATATACTAATTCAAAAACCAGATTTAAGCTGGAAACTATAAACAGAAGTAAACAAAATTTCATTACAAGTCAAATTATAGGAAAATATTAGGACAGTCGAGATTTACAGGTGCGGTGTTAAAGAAGGCCATGGGAGAGTCACCAAGCCCATGGGAGTCTGCCCATCTCCTGAGTTGGTCCAACTACTCCCCATGGGCCTCTATTGAGAAGGTAATTAAGTTTGCAAACCAAAATTAAGTGGATTAATTACAAGATTCTGCTTAAATTCAAGATTAAAGTTTAATATTCCGAACTAGCTTTGCTAATCTGCTGTAATTTCCTTCTGATGTAGGCTAATTAAATAAGGTAATGCTGAAAAGACTGATAAAGGGTAGGCACATGGATAAATCACCTTAAACAATGGGAAGTGCAGCCTGTGGAGAAGAAAATGAGAGATACCAAAAGGAGAGATATAAGAAAAGCTAAAAAAAAATTAAAAGTAAATGAGCATTAAAGAAAAGAAGGCTTATAAAGCGAGCCATTCTTTTATTGGTAACCATATAAGCTAAAATTTAAGTTTAATTTAATTGATTTAATCATTTCTAATTGATGACATTCAAAAAGTTGAAAATCAAGGTATTTATTATTATTTTTCTTTATTTTCGATTTTTGTTGTAAAGAAGTTTGTTTTTTTTTCTTTGGCTAAATTACAAATAAAAGTCAAACAAAAACAAAGCAATACTTGACATTTCCAAATGGTTGTGAAATGCACCGTATATATACATTTCACTAGAGAAAGCATTGTACATTGCAGCTAAGATTACCAGCCACACATCGAAAATTCAAAATGCAAGAAGAAAAGCATCGTAATTTCATTCGCTAATTAGACTATGCTTTGATCTTATTATGTTAGTCACTTGCAGCAGATGGGATCTTGACCCGAGGAACGGTACGTGAGCCATCCAGAATAGCCTTGGAAATCAAGCTATAGGCTCTTTCTGTGAGATGGATACCGTCCCAGCTAACATACGAGGAAGGATCATCACATGATTTCGAGCCTGCACTAGCGCAACCTACCGAGAAGTTATAATTGTAAGGACCTCCCCCTCCACAGCATGCAATAAGAGTGCTATTAAATCCTGGATAGAAAACAAGATTAAGCAGTGTTAATAGCTACATCTGCTTTATTTTATCAGGTTAATAGTGAAATAATGTCAGGTGAAAGATAATGACAGTACCGAACTGACTTGGAGACCGATAAAATTGTACTGCAGCCTGGTAATAATCTGCATAAACAATATTGGCACGAGGATGAAGCCTTCGGATTTGGTTTAGTTCTTGTTTGAGCATTCCATTATAGTACTCGGAAAACTTGTTTAGCCAGATCAGACAACCAGAGCGGTCATAATCTTGCAGATTAGAAGTCTGAAAACTCGTTAGGTAGATTGGCTGACATCCGATTGGTAAATTTCCTGGAACCAGAAATGTCACTGCCCCCAACTTGATTAACTCCTACGTTGTATTCAAGGAACCATCCATTAATAATTATTCCCAAAATATGCAATACATCAAAATTAGTACAGTTGATATTCTTTGAAATTTGCCTGCAATACTTGATGACACTATCCGTATTGATGGTAATAACAAAACTTTAGCAGAAGAGTCAAGGAATAATCGTATTTTTGGCATGTTAATTAGTTTGTCTTGGGCCTTTTGCTCCAAGGTTCTTACCAGAATTGCTGAAGAAATGACATTGAGAACATCAGGGACTAATCCTCGTATCACTTCAATCTTGATCCCTTGGAAAAATGCATAGTTGAAATCATTTCCACCAATCTCTCCCATAAGAATCAAAGAGCTTTTAAGTTCATTGCATGCTGTGAATCATCATTACGTGTAAAATATATAATTGAATCAGCAGGTCTGACAATAAGTACTTGGCCATAGTTGGAGATGATTTTTTTTATTTTTGGTTATTTTATAGTAAATCGTATTAGGAAAAGGCGAAGCTATGTCAAACTATAGCATTTGGAAAATATACTTGCCTAAGCAAAGAGATGGCAATAATTTTTTGAATAAACCCACTTGAACTCCCAAGGAAACGTTTGTGACTCGATTAAAGATTCCCTTCTGTGCCAGAAATGCATTATCAAGCGCTGTGGCACCCGCAACAGCAAAATTTACACCCTTCAAAAACTGTTGGTTACTGCCATTACAGGCTCCAAAATATGGTGGTACCAATGGAAGTCCAAATTTCTGAGCTACAAAACCATACAAAAAGAAAACTCAAAATTAGATCATTTATCAGTTTAGTATATATCCATTCGTGTTAAAGGACACAGTGCAGTACCAAAGAAATCAATGACTAAACGACCATCAGAAAATCGACCTGTTGGTCGATTAAAGTATGTCTCTCCATACGGTGGAAGCGCAGAGGGAGATACATTGGGTTGTAAAAGTATGACCAAGTTGCCAGTATCAGCTAAGGAGTCTCCAAAGCTGATAATTGATTTGTAGCATCGCTTTCTACTCACGAGTGAGAAAAAAGTAATGATAAAAAGGACAAACCATTGTTGCTTTGATAAACAGGGAGAAGAAAATGAAGCCATTATCAAAGGCTAGATCAAGGACATGGAAAAATTTTCTAGGTGAACTTGGTTAATTCATCTTCAGTTTCTCTTGATAATACTTCAAATTTATAGCTAAAAACGGCTAACATGTAACAAGGGGTCCAGTGTCAGGCTTTTAGGTTGAAATTAAAGCGTATTTCCTTGATCAACATCAAAGGAAGTTGTTCAAGATAGAAGTTATGAACAAGATTGGTAGGGTTTTATTGTTTTCCTTTGTTGTTCATTTTTGTTCATTGTTACACCTATTGGCGTTTAGTGGGAATCAAAATGTAGATTGCATATAAATTTTTTAGGCATTGAAAAAAACCAAAAATAGTTTCATTCCTAGAAAATTAATTACATACAGAAACAACGAAAAAGATTGATTAACAAATAATTCAATGTGCATGTGATCGTGTTAATGTTTTGGATTTATGGTACAAGTATAAATATAGAGAGGGTCACATCACATGCCACATTTGAAACTTTATACCGACAAAGCTATTTCCTAAAGAAAAAAAAAAGTTGAAATTTTACCTTAGGACCTTTTATGCTTAGCTTGACGGTTTGCCCCAAGTAATTAATAAAGAAGTCACAAAAATTACTGGTGGACTTTTGATTAATTAATATAAAGATTTATACATTATTAATTTATAGATTTTATATACTGTCAGTGAATAGGATGATGACATCTTATTAATAAAGTGAATGAAATGATGTTATCTCATTCACGAGTAAGTTTTTTAAAAAATATTAATTTTTGCATATTTATTTTAAAAGTTGATATTTATTTATTAATAAGGTGATATAATCTGGTTTACTAATAGTATATAAAATTTATATATTGACAATATATCAAATATAAACACTTAATATGATATTGAAGGTATCATTTTGAAAATTATGAGTTTGAAAAATTTTATGTACATAAAATTTTTTTTACTAAGTAAAACTGAGTAAAGAGTTTAAAGATGAATTAAAATTTATAAATTTAACAAATGCAACCAATTTAAACTTTTTTGTTATTTTTTAGAAGAAAAGAAAAATCCAAGGCTTAAGAGAAAAATATATAGCATTCATAATTTTAATATTTTGGATGCATGCAAGTATATTAAAATATCAATATGGTCATAACCCTTTTTTGTTTTTTTAGGTGAATGGGGGGAAGGTCATAACTCTTTTATTAAGCATTTATAACTATGTCAATTGCTAATTAAATGATGATAATTATACCATTTATAAAGTCATAGCTAAAATGTCAACATTGGTATGATTTTTAATTTTAGTTATCAAAAATTAATTTTTAATAACCTCAAATATTAAAAAATAACTAAAATTAATTAACCAAGATTAATTTAATAAAAATTATTACTTTTTTGAAAATTAATAAAATTATTACTTAAAACATATTATTTGATTATTCTCGCTTATATTATTTATGGATTATCTAATTAAGATTTATTTAATTTAATATTTACCTAACTATAACCTAACAACTTAACATGATATGATTGTTAGGTATTGAATAGCCTAGTTATAAATTATATAATTTGTTAGCAAATGAGATCATCAGTAAAGATAGGAGAAAGGATTACATGTGCTAAAATTTAAATCTCAAGCCTACATTATATATTAATTTTTAATTGTGAAATATAGAAACTATTAAAGCTTATAATTGTTACATTAATTATACCAATTATTATTGATTTAATAGAATATAGCCATATAAAATATTATCTGAGAACTTTTATATTTAATTTCTAATTATTAGAATGAGTTCTTAATGCCTCTTTAAAAAAAAAGTTCTTAAAGGATGATTTTGCTTACTATAACTTATAATAATTAGTTATTTATATTAGATTTTGATTGATTATCTCAAGTTATGCATGTTACATCACTAATAAATTTTTTTTTTGGGTTCGTATATCGTATTTGAATCTAATGATAATACTTTATTAATGAATAAATTATTTCAATTTGTGTACATTTATTTTAAAATTAATATTTACTCATTATTGAATTATCATTATTAGATTTAATGCATCAAACATAAACTCAAAGGTTAATACCAATAATACTTAGTATAATAGTTAAAACTTCGAAGTAGCTTAATAAAAATTGTAATTTGACAAAAGACAAAAGTGATCAATAAAAAAATTCAATTCTGAAACGAAAGAAATTCGTATCAATCATCCAAATGAAATACAAATTAATTATTTTCCAAATACAAATTAATTTTTTTAATTTTAAAAACTTTTTTAAATCCATTTACAAGATGCCCTTAAAGGTAAATGGAATAGGTGAATAAATTGGTTAGGAAATTTGGATGATTACTGCCACTTTGGATCTCATGGTTTTGGTGCTGTTGTAATACATAATAGATAATCTTCCTTGCCGTGGGTCTAAATTCAGTGGCTGTAACTATAATTTGCTACACACAGTCACAATCTGCATGTCTCATTGGCTGCAGCATTCCCTCTTGTAAAAGAGACCAACACCTGGCTGGGAATCAAATTCGTCCATGATGTTGCTTACATTGAGGTTTCTATTCGAGCAATCTTAAAGGCAAGATCCGTGTTTTGGTCAAGAACCAATCGACCATACAGTTTAAAAATCATAGGAATTTTGACAAAGTCAATGTTTAGCCGTTCACTACCCTTTGATGCAGTTGCAAAATCCAATCCTGATATCGACCTCCTGCTGAAAACTGAAGCTTTCCTAGGATTGGATTATGCATCTCTAGGGGAAAAATGCAAGAAAAAAAATGTGACGGGAGAAGAATTTGATCAAAGCTTACATTGTTTTAACAGGGATGATTATGTGAACTAATTGGATGAAACTCGTGTATTGGTTACTGGCGGCCAGAGATCATCCAGAGAAAAACTACGTACAAGTCAAGAAAAGGAAAGGCAACAATTTGTCAAAGCTGATGAAATTGTATCGCTAATCAATTCAACTAATTGACAACGAACACCCTGTTACGATCTGAATTTATGAAAGCTGAGGTTGATGTAAAGTAATGAAGTCTTTTTGGTCTGCCTAATTTAAAATTAGAACAAATTTTGCGGTGGACAATTCAATGTTTTCATTCAATTATAATGGAGCCTTCACACCAGACTGTTGAGTAGATTCACGGGTCATCGCATTTAAGGCTCAACTGCCTGAAAGGCAAGACAATTTATGGCTTTCTTTTCTAGTACAAATTTCTTATAATAGAGCAAAGTTCGCATTGGCAAATTACTTCTGTTTCAAATCTTTTTCATCTTTGGTCGTTTGTCATTACCATGAACAAGAAAATTTTTTTCCTTATAATTTTGTTTCAAATTTTTAGCTTAGTGTTATCATCAAGCCCCCAAAAATATGAGTCAATTTTTAACTTTGGTGACTCTCTTAGTGACACCGGTAATTTCCTTCTCTCCGGTGCCCTTGCATTTCCGGTCATTGGCCAGCTACCCTATGGTGAGACCTTCTTTCAACACGCAACAGGGCGGTGCTCTGACGGACGTCTTATCATTGATTTTATTGGTACCCTTCTCTCACTAAACTCTTTCTATTCTAAATAAACTTGAATTCATTTCAAAACCCTGATTTCGTACTCCTATAATTACGTTTTTTTTTTTCTAATGTTTTAAATGCAGCTGAGGCATTTAGCTTGCCATATTTGCCACCTTACCTAGCAGTAACAAATCAAAGCCAGAGTTTTCAGCATGGAGTAAACTTCGCGTTTGCTGGAGCTACTGCACTCAATGCAGAGTTTTTCTACGAACGAAACATCGGATCAATTTTATGGACTAATAATTCCTTGAACGTTCAGCTTGGTTGGTTCAGGAAGCTGAAGTCCACCCTTTGCTCCAACAAAGAAGGTGATTTATTTTCAATTCTTTGGTCTCTGGACTAATATTATAATTCTAGTAGTACAATGTTCATATGTCCAGCACTTCCACTGAACCTATCCTGGAATTAAATTTTCTTTCTGTCACAGCCTGTGATGACTTCTTCAGGAAATCGCTTTTTCTGGTTGGAGAGATTGGTGGAAATGATTATAATTACGCATTCTTTCTTGGTGGAGGCATTAAAGAGCTTCAAGCTATAGTTCCTCTGGTCGTTGGAGCAATTGCTAATGCTACCAGTGTAGGTTGAGCCAAAGAATTACATCTAACTACTTTGTTTTTATTCTGGTCAAATTAGCAAATGAAAGTACCAGCAGGACCAGAGATCAAAGAAATTAATGATCCTCTTATCTGTCCTCTTAAAACTTACCCAACTTGTCCCCTGTTAATTTTCAGTTATTAAACTCAACTGGCATTTAGAATTTGTCAAAACATTTATAGTACGAGAGAATTACTACCAAATATGATAGTTACTTTGAATTTTTTTTAGCTGGCATTACAGATTGCACATGATTTTTATAGCTAGCATTTACCTCGTTGAAATATGCAAGAACATATACACATGGTTTTTCAGCTCTGACTAAAAATGCTCTTCCCTCTTGGGCTTGATTTGAATGCGCGATGGAAGCTCTCCTACCGTGTGGGGACCTGAATTTTATGATTGGACACAGGGTTACCACCATACATCCAAATCAAGCCTTGGCCAATGATCATGCATTGTCCATCATGTCAAATTTGGCTAGTAAAATTTAAGTTAAAGACTATGGTTGAGCTCTCCCAAAGTCTAATTACTTACTAATCATGATTGTTATTGATTTCTATTTCTGGTTATTTGAGATAGGCTCTGATAGAGGAAGGTGCAGTAGAGTTGATGGTGCCAGGGAACTTGCCCATTGGTTGCTCAGCTGTTTACTTGACCTTGTTTCAGAGCCCTAACAAAACAGACTATGACCGCCATGGTTGCTTGAAGGAATATAATGCTTTCGCAAAGTATCATAATTATCAGCTCAAACAAGCCCTGGATACCTTGAGGCAAAACTATCCCCATGCCAAGATTATTTATGCTGATTACTATGGTGCAGCCATGCGTTTCGTTCATGCCCCACTGCATCATGGTTTGTTTCTTCAAACATTCTCGACTTTATCATTCTGACATGGGTAATTGAACTGAGTATTAATAGTATGCATTTATTGTGACAGGATTTATTGGTGGGATTCTAAAAGCATGCTGTGGAGGTGGAGGTCCATACAATTTCAATAACTCAGCTAGATGCGGTCACACTGGATCTGAAGCATGTAAAAATCCATCTATTTACTCAAACTGGGATGGAATTCATCTAACCGAGGCAGCATATCGTCATATCGCCCTGGCTTTGATCAATGGCTCTTATTCTACACCAGCTCTCATGTCCTCTCCCCTTTGAGATTGAATGAAATCAGGAAATTATTTCCCATGCAATAAATTTACAGTCCAGGGTTTCATTTAAATGTTCATTAGAGACCATGGAACAAGCTAGGATCCATTTATGTATAAAGCTGAAGCAATCCTGAGGGAAACAATGCAGAAAGACATTGTTAAACGCATTCAAGGCTACTATGATTGTTATTAGCATGATGTTAACCATGGGATAATCTTCTGATCTCAAGTTAAATTTTTAGCTTTTACCTAGATTTGATTAAAACAACACCATTTACTCGAGAGAAATACATTTTCAATACTCTCAAGCATTCACATAGCGCAAGCCGTAGTTTTATTCCACCAATGTAAATCAAACATTTTTTACGACCATCTAAGATTCTAAAAATTTTTTTTTACCACGTATAGCTTAATTCATCCGTTTTCCTAAATAAACAAACGGTCCACTAAATACCATTTCATTTCTTTCATCCGATTTACTACTGGCCCACTCCAAAATAGGATAAAAACCAGATTATTCATGTATAATTTTATAGAAAAAAAATTATAGTTTTATTTATTTATTGTTTTTTAAATAACATCATTTTATGGATTTATGAAAGCAAAAGAGTAGTAGTAATAGTTGGGTTTTTCATTAGTATAAATTAACAAAACGATAATTGAATTGTGGCATATTTTTTTAAAATTAATATTTAAGATCAAATGGATATCATACATATTGATTAGACTTTTGAAAATTGTACATTCTGAAGAATTTTGGATAAAAAATCAGGTAATTAAAGGAAAAAAAAAAAAAACCCAACAAAAGCAAATATATGAATGTATTTTAAGTGAATGCTAAAAGACAAATGATATATATTTTTTTAAAAAAAGAAAGAAAATATTCATTGGCAAGCATCTAAAAAACAAAAGTGTTTTAAAACAAAAGTAAAAATATTTATCAATTGTGTATACGAATAGGAAGGCAACAAATAGCTGAAAGGAAAGAAAGAAAAAACTCGGACACTATTGCCAGTAGAGTAAATTTTTTTTTTTGTTACGAAAAATTCAAAGTAAATCGATTATTTAATCTTCATTTAATAATTTAAAATAAATAATTATAAGTTGTACACTTGAAATAACTTTAATAAACGATCGTCAATAAAACTCAAATTTAAAATTTTTTCATCGAAAAAAATAAATTTTAATCAATTGAGTCAATCGTTTATTGATACGAATAAAATAAATAGTGAAAACAAAACAAAACTTTCATTTTCAATATTTGCTAGAAGTTTGTTCATTATTGTTAATACAAATTATTAAGAATATTACTTTATTGGATGGATGTAATACAGGGTCAAATGCTTGCAACAACATATTCTTCTTTTTTATTTTTTTTTTAAATTAACCTAGATTATGTACCTTATTTCTTTATTCGGCTAATGATATGCCCAAGAAGTTGAGTTGTTCTACATTATTGGTCTTGAAAATAATGGAAAACCTCTGATGGAAATGGATTAACAAATAGCAAAGCATGATTAAGTCAAGAGAAAACTTAATTATATGAAATTTTTTAGGTAAAATTTAGGAAATTTTTTAAAATGATTTAATAAAAATTTTAATAAAAAATCTAAATTGATAAAATTTAATGTAAAAATCAGTAATATCTAAAAAAATTTATTAAAAATATTATTTATAATTCAAATATAATCATACTTATTTAACAATAAAAATTTTGTCAACATTTTTATTAAATATATTTATCTAAAAATATATGTCAAAATTTATTAAAATTTTTTCAAAATTTACGCACTTAATCTATGTAACGAAACATTTCAATCAATTGATTTTAATTTTTTATTTTAATTATTTTAATTATTTTTAATTAAAAACTTTACCAACTTCACCTAAAACTTTTTATGTAAATCTTTCTCTTTGGTCTCATCCCACAAGGCAAAACTAAGCATAGACAAATCGTCAAAGGATCAAAACCAACCCATCTGGGAAATCAAGGTAAGACGACTATGTCTTAATCGATAGGCAACAACCAAGAAAAAGTAAAAGAAAAATTACATAATGAAGAAAAACCCCATCCGACTCTAAAAAAACTAAAAACAGACATGATTTTATTGCCAAATTAGAGATAATCCCATTTTTGTTTGTTGATAAACTCTATGAGAATTTCTTATTCAATATATTCATAAACTGCAATAAACTTTGATTCTAATAACTATACTTGCATAAATGAACCAAATCATAACTTGGATGGTCCAATGAAGTGAAGCTTACACGATTCTAAAGATAGATTAATTCAAAGAATCGGAGGAATTAGTACATGATCATCCAATATCCAGGAACCATCTTCCTGCTGAGCCATACCTTTATTCATCTCCATCCACCATTCAGTTGGAATTTTATATTCGTCTTTCAGTGCATCCAAGTATTTGTTTACAAGCGATATATCTCGATTAACCTCTAACTTAAATTCTCCCTTGGCCCCTTTTGTTCCTGCGACTCCATGCAGGTATGGCTCCAACTCATGAGCAATCGTCAATTTCTTACTCAAATCCAAGTTACTTTTAATGTATGGCGATTTGCGAATATCGATCAGCAATTCCTCCCCGACATGGGTATATTCTAGTAGTGGTAATGGAAATGGCAGTGAAGGAACGATGTCTATGTCATTTTTTATGCGCAAGATATGAAGATTTTTCAGTCCTGATAAGACTTTCTTGAAGCCTGAGTCCCCAACGCGAGGGCAGGCAAAAACAAAGGCTGTGACCAAGATAGCCTTGTTTGGTTCGGTCGTTGGCTTGTTATATCCATTGGCAACAATGTCGACGGCATTGAGCGTGGCCACTGCGCCGCCTAAGCTATGGCCTGTCACAGTTATGCTGATTTCTTCATGTTTGTACAAATCCACCAGTTTCCTCACCTCACTTAGAACCTGATAAAATTACTCCTTAATCATTAGTATATGATATATAATCTTATGTTTTACATATTATGTCATGAATAACACGTTAGTTAAGTTAAACTTGCCTGCTCTCTCCCACTGGTTTGATTCCATATGGATTTTGAGTCTGTCGCAGTGTATATAGAATGCCAACCATGGTGCACCTTTGGATCTCCATGTTCTCCAAGTATATCGGAAGCTGAGACTAAATCAGCCTGTAGATCATTAATTATTTCCGAGGTTCGCATGGTTCCTCTCCAAGATATCAAAATGTCCCTCCTTCCCAAGATAGCCTTTCCTTCGTCAGTCGTCACTGCCACATACCCCATCCAATTGGATTCTCCAGCGGAAAACCAATCAAGAATTTGGATTTCTGACCTTGCATAAAAAAATTTGGTTATCTTGTACTTGTATGGATTGCCTATCTCTAACCCCACTTTGGAGAATAAATCCTCCATCGACCATCTGCTAAATCCAACCGATTTCGATGCCTTCTCGCCATTAAAGGCATCTATAACAGCTTGAGTTCTTTCACCATAGTGAATGATTAACTTGCGGAGATCACCATCAAGAGGTTCCAATAAACCCTCCCAGTTATTCTCCCCACTTAGTTCTCTCCATCTTTGTGCTATACTACCCATCATTTTTTTTTCTTGCCAAAACAATCTAAGAGAGGATGAGCACTTAATTCTTATTACAGCCAATATATATAGTGATCTGCTTCTCATGCTACGAATATCTTGTCCCTTATTCTTATTCTTTAATATTTCAAAAGATTTTTTGAAGACCAAGTTTTCAAGAATGGTAGTTTTTTCACAATTTTCTCATGGAATGATAGTTGAGCACAATATGTTAGGCATGGTCAAAGAATTCAATCCACCGTTTTGCCCCACGGCACACACTTTGCATTCTTATTTGTAGTTCCAATTTCGTGAAAGAAAATTTTTCATATTATTGAATGGTTAGCAATGATCGTGTCCAAAGGAAACATACATAGAATCCATATTCACAAGTAATTACGATTAGTCGGGAAGCTTATCCTCATATACATATATAAGTCAATGTTATCAAGAAAAAAATTATTAAAATGTACAAAAAAAAAAAGGAAAATTTTTATAATTAAAGGAGTTGACCACATTTCATTACAATGTTACTTTTACTCGGTAAAATACTGTGTTCTTTTGACCCACTCAAAAAAAAAAAAAAAAGGATTCCTCTTGCCAAAAATTAGTTACCATAATAGAGTATTATGTGGCAAGAAATAGATGCCTACAACATGAAGAAGGTAAATATTGGGACTTAATGTGAAAATCCATGTATAATTTATAAAATATTATTCGTTTTTATATGAAAATTTTATAATTTTATGTCACAAAAGATATTTCATAAATAAAAATTTAGATACCAATTTATATATCATAATAGATTTTTAAAATATCTTATATGAGATTGAAAGTATCATATTTGATGAGATAAGTACTTTGATGAGGCTTTCAATATGGGTGAAGTCTCTCCGGGAGCCAAAAGTTGAAGAAGATTGATGCTGCAACTTTGAACTTAATTAGATATCATAAGGATTTTCTTTTATAGTATTATTTGATAAAGATGTCGTAAAGCTTTTACTCTTAGCCTGATAGGTCACTTACAAATATGGTATATATGCAGCTAAAACGACAAAATTGAAATCACCTAATTACTACACTAATCATTGCAGGCCAAAATACTAGTCAAAAACGTAGGAGAAACTTGGGCTAATTTGGTAACCACGACGTCCAATAGACTGACATTTATATGGGCCATAAAAGTGGGCTACCACGTTACCTGGATCTTGATTTGGGCCTTGGGAAGACAAGCCAATCTTGAATTATAAGGGCCTTGATGATAATGGCCCAAACAGTTTCCCCATTGTACTTCTATTTTTCCTTACACTAAGTGCTGTTTGGATGCAACGGGACCTATGGTTGAAGGTTGGCTACCTTCCATTTTCGTGCTAGCTGCTCAATTGGGATTCAAATGGATTTTCGGTGTGGCACGGTTATTTTTTGACAGTCATAGCCGGTTTTCTCCTCCACTGAACTCTCACTTTTTTTTTTCTTTTGTTGTTTTTTTTCTTTTTAAGTTGAGTTTTAGAGATAAAAATGTCCATACAACTTTTTTTATTTTAATTTTTATTTAAAATTTATGAAATAATACATAAACAAATTATTATATAATAAATTAATAGAAAAATAATTTTTAATTATTTATTTTTAAAATTATTAGTTAACATAAAAATAATTTAATAATTAGTAATTATTTATTAATTTTATAAATATTAAATAATTTAAATTTTTTATTACATACGAATTTTAGTATAATATTTTTAATGATATTTTTTCTTTTCACTATAATTCAACTTATTGTCAACATTATTTTTGCATCTAAATACATATTTTAATATTAATTTTAATTTTACTGTTACAAAAACTAATATCACTTATACTACTATTTTTAATCTTATCAAAATTAATCTTATTATTCATCTAAATAAACCCTAATACCATCCTAATGTAATTTGGAACTCGGGATAGAAGGATGTTAAAAGTTTGTATTTAATGTCTAAAGAAAAAAATTTACAAAAGATAATAAGAAGTGGAAGCCTCTCATATATATTTATTTTAATTTTTATATATTTTATTTTGAAGGTTGATATTTACTCGTTAATAAATTATCATTATTTAATTCATTAATAGTATATAAAATTTATACACTGATAATATATCAAATGTAAATTATATATATAAATATTTATATATTTATAAGTATATGCGTGTGGGCGCTACAATTAAAAAAAAATCCCCATGACCAAAGAAAAGCAGAAAAAAAAAAAAAGAACACCATAATATTAGTTCATTTTCATAAAATATCTTATCTAGGTTTCACTTTCATATGCCTCTAATTTTTTTCCCGCATTTCTTCTATCTACAATCAAATCCAAAACCAATCCGCATTTAGATGGACCAGCAACTGCCAACTAACCTTATTTCCTTTTCGTTTTTGGTTAAACAGGATTTCAATACGTGTCTATGAGAGACAAAAGATTAACGTATCATTGTCTTGTAACTAATAATGTCTTTAGAGACCAAAACTCAGAAAGCAACATTCAATCCACTTGAGTTCTAACTTTATTCCAAAGATGGCTTTCTTCTCATCAATTACATGCATGTGATCCCTTTCAAGTCGTCCATAGCCACCTTTGCTTCCATCAAGCATCCCAATTAACCCAAAATATATTAGAAAAACACCCAACTCTTCCTGACACTCCTCTGTTTGTCCTGCATTAACTATCATTCTGCTAAAAAACAATGGCTATGCAAATTTAGCGAACAGAACAAAGCCATGGTTCTTTAGTTGAGTGAGGAGAATGGCATAGAAATCTTAGTTTGCTTTATTTTTTTAAACACGATCAGAAGAGCACGTTTCTTATTCTATTGAACGATTTAACCATTTTGTTTGATAATTGGTAACATCTGCTATATATTGTTATTCTTTTGAATTAGAGCCTGTTAGGCATATTGTTTAATACATAAAATTGCAAATACAAATACCAAAAATAAAAATCCATGTATGAAATCAAAAAAAAGTTAATCTTGTTAATGCCTAGCATTAGTAACAATTTGTCACCAAAAAACTCTATCATGCTTGGACTGTGACAAGCCTCTAGTCCTAACAAATTGATCATGGATCAATTAAACTTAGTCATGTCCCCCACGGGGACAAATCCCCAACCTACTCACAACCACCGACCCCATGTAAATACCTTTTTGTCTCTGTCATGACTGTAAAGTTCAATTCTTTTTTTTTTTTTATGATGTCTCAATCCCATAAATGATAAATCAAGTAATTCAAGGTTTAGAGTTCAATGATTCAACCATGTTGCTGGTTTCCAAACAAAGAACAAGTGAAGAAACCAAGTAAAGATTGTATTGTATGCTATTAAGATTGAATATAGAGTACAGATCAGCGCAGAGTGCAGATAAACCATTTTAGCTCCATTTGTTGTCTGAGGACTGACTCGTGAATTGTAGACTACATGACCCGTGAAAAAAAAAAGTGGCAGAGCTTTTTGTCCTGATTGCATCAGCTTTCTGTTACTCCAGAGACGGTTCTTGAACTTTTCCTTGACAACAACAAATTCACAGCTTTCCTGGTTAGTCCCACATATGGAATCAGAGCTTGAAGTCGATAGTCGGGTCCTGAAATAATTTTCTGCAGGCATCGAGCTAGTTGGAATTAGTTTGGTAATTTCAACCGGATTAAAGTCTAAAACAGAAAGAGCTCCTTCATTTCTTATCTCTAAGACTGGCCTGGGCTCGAATGCGTCCATTTTGCATGTATGACTTGACTGAAACGCTAGCTTCTATTCAGTTCGTCAATTGGATGTTGCTCTTTGTGAACTGTGGCAACATTTTTTTTATATTGCATGGCCTTTTGCATCGGTAGCTGCGTTATAATATTGGAGCATGGATTTACATGTCCTTGCTTGGCCGTGACATTTCAGGGGGCCCAAAATCTAGTCACTCGAGCCAAAGATACATCAACAAGCATGTGGACAAGCTTCCTAGATATGGATGAAAAGTATATTAGCCTTATGTAATGTCTGCTAGCTGGTCTTCAGGTGTGGAATGAATACGCTCTTCAGCAATTCAAGCCCTATAATTTCTTCTCATATATAAAAGGTCTTTATGGATGGGAAATTTGAACTCCATGATTATAAATTTCAGGGACATAAGGGCCCTTAAATTTGTTTTCCGCCAAAGAGAGGGTTTTCTGTTTTACAACCAGAAAGAGAAAAAAGCAAATATAAGTACTGTTTGAAATTTTAAGCTGTTGAACAGTATTGAATTATATACTTGTATATATTATTATCTCAGGGAAAACCTTGGTATCCTAGGCTCATAGCAAATGTGACAAGTTGGCCCCTCTAAGTAACCAACAAGGAAAAAAAATCCAAAACCCTAATCCATTATTCAGGGACAAATGTCCATGTTAACAAGCCGATGGAGGAGCCCCCGAAGCCGGGGTGTACATTAACTCATGCTTCGTTGGCTTCTGCATGTGAAACCGGCGCTCGTCGCACTCGAAGCAAAATCATCTTACTGTTTGAGGGATAGGGCTTCAAAAAAAGGACTACATTCATTTACTCATTCGTTTCAGCATCTTTGTTATATTCCTGTCAAGCTTTCCTAAATATGTATATCGATCGCTCCTCACATTAATTTCACTGAATTTTGTTTTCTTCACCACCTCCTGATCACAAGAAATAAACGATGGATGAATGTGTAATTAATTATGATTGTTTGTATTTTACGTAGTGAGTTCTCGGCCTAGCTAGAGCTATTGATTACAAAAGTTTTCCAACTTGGAGAGGGAAATCACGACAACTATGTCATGTTGGATCAAGCTAGTGAGGAGAATGTATCAGTAGGTGATTCTCAGACAGCGTCTTTACGTCGTGTTAGGATTGCCACGATTAGTTTTGTCGTTTTGAAGGTTTTGAACTCTCTGGAAATTAATAGGGATCTTCTTATCTTAGTGAGGGTTAAGATTTTATCTAATTTCTAATATAGTGCAATTTGGTTTATTATACTATCATTAAATTCAAATATAAATTTTAATGTGGTTTATTAGCATAAATTTTTAATGAATTTTTATAATCGTAATTATAATTTTTTTTCAATAGTAAGTACAATAATTTTTATTATTATTTTTAATTTTATCAAAATTAATTTTACTATCCATCTAAATAAACTTTAAACTATTTGAATTAATATTAGTTGCTTCCCATCAAAAGCTATACATAGACTATATACATAAAGAGCAAAAGATGTGCATGGCTTAATTGGTATCTGTTTGCTATAATATATACATACATTTATATATTTAATTATATATATTTAGTGTACATGTACCCACACATACGACTTTAAGACGTATTCATGACGCAGTGATCAACTCAGTTTCCAGATATATGGCCCCTACCCTGCAAATCGAATGGTAAAAATCAGAGCATCCCTAAGCATGCAAATGCCCATCGCTCATTGCTGATCATAGGTCATAGCAGACGCAAATAAATCTCAGAGGATCTGTTTAATGATCACCATATATAAGCATCGACCATCAGTATTTTGCAGTGAAAGCGACGATTCAGCCATGTAATTCCAATTCAATAACAATTCCAGCTTTATTGAAGGAGAATTCATGGTAGCATCTTTGACTCTTGACCCCAAAAAGCCATTTATCCAAATATTTTTATCATTAAAATGATCTAACTACGTACATAATTTGACAAAATATATATAGAATGTATTTGCTTTGACTAACTCTTATACAAACTCCTATCATTGAAGATTCAATGTCCCTCTTTAGATCTGACATATATAAATATGTTTATTTTGATCAACTCAAAAAAAAATATAATATATATATATATATATTAAATAAAGTATAAAAATCTCTTATAATTAAAAAATCTTATCTTGCAACCCTAGGAGTTAGTCAAATACACCATATATAACCTTTTTTTTTACTTTCTTGTTTTGACCTTATAAAAAATTTTATGCAAAGTTGATATTTCATATTTATATAACTTGTAATTATGTGTGAAATTCCAAATCTTTTAGCATTTGATTGATGTGTAGAACATAATTCATGAACAGATACCTAAAATAATACTCTTTCTGTTTTTTTTTTTTTTGTCTATTTTTTTTATGTTTCAAAATTATATTTTATTTTTGTGAATATCTAAATTTTATTTTTTATATTTTAAAATTATATTTATTTTTTAATATTAAAAATTATTAAATTTTAACTTTAATAATAAATATATTAAAATTAAAATTCTTTTTAAAATTTTATAAAAATTAATCTATGATAAATGTTTTAAAACAAGGGAGTATTATGAGATACATTATTCATTGACCTTGTTTGACTGTAAGTAGGAGAAATGGCGAGAAAGTAGATGGGACAGTTTAATTAAACCGACCGTTGGAAGGACCTTTTCAAGTTTCCAAACTTTGGCATTGTTTCTTTGTCAATTTGATTCCTCTCATTATCCCCTTAACAAAACCCTATGTTTAGTTCATGTCCACGTCATAAAGATGTTCACGCTTTATACGTAAAACCACGCGTTTCAAAGAGCGAGTGGAGTTAGCGTCATTGAGTATAAATAAACTGAAAAAAAAAAAAACTGTCAAATTAGATACCGACACTTTTTTGGATGTTACATTTGTCATGTCTTAATAGCGAGTATGATTTTATGTTTTTTTTTTTTTTTCACTTTTTCAATCATTTAAAAAAAATTGAATTTTCTTTTTGTTTCCTTTCTTTAAAATGATTCGGGAAGAGAAGACCGTTCCTCGATTCTTGTGCCTTTATTTTTTTTTAATTGTCTTTTTCTTCTTTAATTTAGCGTAGATTTTGATTCCATCGTATTTTTTTCAGTGTGATTAAATTTATTACGTCATTAATTAAATTTAAATATTAATTTTAATAAAATTTATTTAATATAAATTTTTTTAAAAAATTTTAATTATAATAATAATTATTATTATTTTAAATTTCATCAAAATCAATTTTATCGAAATACTCGGTTGCGGGTCTTGTACTCCTTGAGTCTCGATCTTTTTAACGTTTATTTTCTTCTTTTTTTTAATCTCTTTCAATTGCTCAAAATCTCAGAAACTCGCAAGTTTAAGACCTCACTGTCGGAAAAACGAAACAGACAAGGACTTTTTTGTATCCCTGCCCCTTCTTACGGATCACAAATAAGAGGACCCTAAGAACCAAACCAACCAAACCAAAGCCAATCCAAACCAGAGAAGAGAAAGAGAAAGCACAAACACCTTATCATGGTGGCTGGTAAGGTGAGATTGGCAATGGGTTTGCAAAAATCACCTGCAAACATAAAGCACGAAACTCCACCTAAACCGCCATTGCCTTCTCCAAGCTCAGCTAACAAAAACAACAATTCCCCAAAACCTCTTTTTTCACGTTCCTTTGGTGTTTACTTCCCACGATCCTCAGCTCAAGTCCAGCCTCGTCCACCTGATGTCGCCGAACTCCTCCGACTGGTTGAAGAGCTAAGAGAGCGAGAGTGCAGGCTCAAAACAGAGCTTCTAGAGCACAAGCTTTTAAAAGAATCGGTTGCGATTGTTCCAGTGCTGGAAAACGAGATCGTAGTTAAAAATGCAGAGCTGGAACGAGCTTTGAAAGAGGTTGAGAGTTTGAGAAACGAAAACGAGACGTTAAAAACAGAGGTAGAGGAAATGAAAGGAAAGATTGAAGAAGAAAAGGAAGGGAGCGAGAAGAAAGTGAGAGAATTGGAGGAAGAGATAGCGGAGCTGAAGAAAACGATGTCGTCTTATTCTGATCGTAACAGTAAAGCGGAGATTACAGCGGAAAGCGACGAATTGCTTTCTTCTTCGCAGAGGTTTCAAGGGTTAGTGGAAGTCAGTGTGAAGTCAAATCTGATTAAGAATATGAAGAGAAATAATAGTAAATGTACGGACGCCGTTGTTTTTAGTGAGAAAGTTGAGAGCTTGGAGTTTAAAAGAGAGGAACTTGAAACAGAGAGACCAAGACACTCGAGGTGTAACTCGGAGGAACTCGTTGAGTCGACTCTTGTTAACATCAGATCCCGTGTTCCTAGGGTCCCAAAACCACCACCGAGACCTTCGTCATCATGGTCAGCAACATCATTAACGTCATCCAATAGCTCCTCTGATTCCACAGAGAAGCACATTCCTCCACCACCACCTCCGCCGCCGCCGCCGCCTTCGGCACCAGTGAAAGCTGTCAAGCTAGTTGCACCTTATCCTCCGCCACCACCTCGTGTACTAAAGGTTATTGCGCCGCCACCTCCGCCACCTCCGCCACCTCCTCCGAAGGGTATAATTGCGGTAGCTGCGAAAGTGAGGAGAGTTCCGGAGGTTGCGGAGTTTTATCACTCGCTTATGCGAAGGGACTCAAAAAGGGAGACCGGGAGCTGTAGCGTGCCGGAGGCTTTACCTGCAACCGCCAATCCGAGGGACATGATTGGGGAGATTGAGAATCGGTCAGCTCACTTGCTTGCGGTAAGTTTCAGTTTCCGCTTGTAGTTTATTTACGATAATGCCACTGTGGCAGTGTGGTTTTTGTGTCAATGACAAATGAGTAGGATGTTAATTTCACTCATATTCAATGGATAACCTGATATCTTATCCAAATTGAAATGGGTCTGGATGTCAAATTGTAAACGACTTCAGCTTTGATGTTTGTTACTTATGGTCTTTGTGATTATTGTACAGATTAAGACAGATGTAGAAACACAAGGAGACTTCATAAGGTTTTTGATCAAAGAAGTTGAGAATGCTGCATTTACAGATATTGAAGATGTTGTGCCTTTTGTTAAATGGCTAGACGATGAGCTCTCTTACTTGGTACATTTTTCTCTATTTTTCCATTTGATTCTTACCATGCTTTCGGTTTTCGAGGGTTTTTCTTTTGATGATTAATCGTTTATTCTTGGTTTAGGTGGATGAACGAGCTGTGCTAAAACATTTCAGTTGGCCAGAGCAGAAGGCTGATGCATTACGCGAGGTAGCATTTGGGTTCTGTGATCTCAAGAAACTAGAATCCGAGGCTTCATTGTTTCGTGATGATGCCCGGCAACCTTGCAGTCCAGCCCTCAAGAAGATGCAGGCCCTGCTTGAAAAGTATATAAACCTAATATATCTTTAAACTCCTTTGGCAATAGTTGCTTTTTATCAGTTTGTTCTCATTCAGTTATTAATGTGATAATGGCAGGCTAGAGCATGGTGTTTACAACCTCTCCCGAATGAGAGAATCTGCTGCAAAGAGATACAAAGGATTCCAAATTCCTATGGATTGGATGCTTGAAACTGGAATTGTGAGCCAGGTAATTTAATTGTTGCACTTAAGACTTTTCTTTTATTTCTGAATTGTCATACTAGCTAACACCATCATTTTTAATTTCCATTAGTCAATTTGGTGATGGATTTTAGGTGATCCCTTTAATAATTAAATCTTACTTTTGGATGTTGGAAGGCCAAAATGTATTGTTTTTACACTCTTTACTATGTATTACTATTATATTATAAGTAGTGTTTGCTAGATGACAAAAGGAAGGTTAGATTTTCCTCTTCATTTTCAATGTGCACGCATGCGCTTGCCTGCATGTGAACTCCCAGATCTCTAAACATATTTGCTTGTTTGCTTCTACGTTTTACTTGGGATTCATGAGAAAAGAAGATATAATCGGATTCTTAATCTTGACCGATATGCACTGCATAATGTTGGGGTTGACAATGCTTTCTTTATGTTGTCTAAAGTAGACGCGAAAGTTCTATGAACTTACTGAACTCTTGCCCTAAAAGCGATTGCAAATATAAAATACGTCATCGTTTGATGGGATACTTGGAAGTGTAGGGTTGAACATCTTATTCAACTGCCTCGACTAGTTTTGCCTTTCACAAATTATAATTATGTAATGGCAGTAATGTAAATTGGTCAGGTACACCTTTTTACAGATTTGCTAGTCCCTGAATTCCATTTATGGCAGCCTTTGGTGTCTGTTAACTCATTAATATGCTAATAAATTGTCGCAGATCAAGCTAGTGTCAGTAAAATTAGCAATGAAGTACATGAGAAGAGTATCTGCAGAGCTTGAAGCTGTTGGTGGTGGACCTGAAGAAGAGGAGCTGATTGTTCAAGGCGTTAGATTTGCATTCCGAGTACATCAGGTTAACAATCTCAATAATTTGTTCAAATTGGACAAGACTCTAATTTTGCTTTGTTGGCTTTGAGAAGATAACATTTTTGTTTATTGACAGTTTGCCGGGGGATTTGATGTTGAAACAATGAGGGCTTTCCAAGAGCTGAGAGACAAAGCCAGATCGTGCCATGTACAATGCCAAAACCAACAACAAAAATTTATTTGCAGGTCTACAACTTGTTAATCTCTGTAGCAAACTCAGCTTCAGAATCCCCTACCAGTTTTTTTGTTGTAAAGACAGAACATCAATGTATGTGAATACAATGCCAGCTGCTATTTGTCCACACATTCAATTTATTCCGGTGCATAACTGATCTGAAATGGGACTTTTACCATTAAAACTCTCTTCTGCCCCTCATCTCACTCTTTAGCTAACTATAACGCTGCCAGCTATTGCCCTGAAACCAAAATATGACAGTCATGTCCGGTAAATTTACAATCTTTTTGGACCCCAACTATTAGTTGTGTTTCTACTAAACGAGATAGATTACTAAGCATATCTTGGCTGCTTAGAGATTTCGAAATCAGAATTTAGGATTAAATGCATTACCGATGTTAACGCAAAAAGGGGGACCTATAACTGTTGCCAGCGACTGTTTTGGTGGAAACTTTGAAAGGTTTTGGTCTTTGGTATACCAACCATTTTAACTTGTGTTGAACTGTATTGTTTTAGCCTGTGAAAAAAATAGTAAGACATGAATTCCCCCATTTACTAGAGGACAAAGCTCTCCAGCAAATGGTCATTAGTTTGAGTTGGTTGGGATCATATTAATGAATAAAGATGATTTTGCTTTAAAAGAGTAATCCACCAGCCAATCTCCATGTCCCGAAATTGTCCCATCGGTTAACTTTAAAAACCAAAACAACGAAGAACAGTGACTAACCAACTAAGGCATCTAGGACATGCTTTTTAAATTGGCATTTTAGTTTACACTGTCCTCCATAAATTCGTGGATCGTGGTATTTGGGATTTTGGCGCCTTGTCTAAGCCAAACCAGGAGAAATCGTGTATATAGACTGCTTTGATGGCTGGATGTTATAAAAGTTTCAAGCAAGCTGAGCTGAGACTTTGATTTCTCATCCTTTTCTCAGCATTCTGTTCAGTTGAAATTGCCGGATTCGAAATCTCTGGTTGGATAAGCATCTGCTTCATGTACAGTCCACAAGAATGCTATACAAATGCTCCCGCAATGTGGTTAAGTTGGCAAAACGGGCTTTGGATTTGAGTATTGGACATGAATCACATGGTCGATAAATGGGTTGGTCTCAAACCTAAGCCTTACCATTTGGACTAAAAGGGGGCTTGATTTGAGAATTGAGTGCCCCAGTTAAAGCATGATAAAAAGAAAATGGGCCTGACGCAAAATGGAAAGATCATTAGGGAGAGCTACCACCCTTCAATTATCATTATGTTTCATAATTTCCTGTCCTGATTGTTGCAGTAATTGTTTATCCATTTTTAATTGGAAAAAAATATTTATTTGGATATATTTATTGGTGTTTTTATTTGTTCATAATTTTTTGGGGCCGATTATAAGCTGTCATCTACATATCCAGTTTTGGGTAAATTGTTCTAAGTAAAACTTCAACTTAAAAGTGTTTCTCAATTGTACGATTTTCTTAAACATATGAAGATTTTTAATGCTTTATCTATAGTAACTCAAATTAAGAATTTGATTAAATGAGCTCAAATAATTCATGGGATTTGAATCTCAAAGAAATCTCCCTTAGACAAGTTAATATATGGTGATTTGAATGGTCTTAATTGGTATATGTTGCAGGAGTCTTCCTCGGATAATGGCAGCAGGTGAGCTTCAGCCTTCGGGACATGAATGTGGAAAATGAATGTTGGGATACTTTTGGCAGGATATTATTTGTATTGTAACCTGCTGGCTGATCCGGTAAGATGAGTTTCTTTTAGCACTGGTGATTTTTCAAACACCCCTAATTTTGCCAGAAAAAACAAGTACTCTTCTCGTTGTATACAAGCACTTCCTGACTAGTAATTTACTAATCAACATAATTTCCTGGAGCCTTTATTTGCCAGAGATTATTGTTTTCCTGATTAATAATGGATGCAGAATCCTAATAATTCAACTGCTCTTTAATTGTGAGACTATTGTTCGTAGGTGATGGAGACATATTTTATGCAGATGGGGAGATATAGAGCATGGTGGAAAACTAACTTTATTTTTCTTAAACATGACAGAAATTTGATGTGATTGTCCAACAAGGGTCAAGATTCTTCAAACATTAAAAGCTAAGTGTTCTTTTTTCTTTTTTTTTTCACTTTGAAGCAATTATTTTTGGTTTAAAAAATCATTCACTTTACAATTGATATTTGCCCCCTCATATCACCCATCGGTCTTTGCTCCCTCGTTATCACCTACCGGAAGTAGATGAGAACTTTGAGCACCGCCCTGAATGTACAATTGTATGAAGAAGAAAAGAAATAAGTTCTTTGTTGCCCAATGTAAACCTTCACATATTGAGAGCTGCGTATAGAAGCTGGTTCCAGGTATCAGGCAGGCCAGGAAGACACCAGTGGCTGCAGTCATTGCCCGAATGGTCACCGCTATAGGTGGAGGGATGAGCATCTTTTCTCAATTGCGAGAGCGTTGTAATATCAAGCAAATAAACTGGTTTCGTCATCATCCCCAAAACTTTGTTCACAATAGCAGCAGCTGGAGGAGCACCTGCCGGGTATGTAGAGCCGGACATTGGCTCTAGTTCACCATAACAGTTCTTTTTTGGTTGGTTCCACTCCCTGCCCCTGATTTGATTGAATATAATCAAGATTTTGTAATTAGTTATGATTAAGAGGGAAAAAGGTGATTGACTTGGCTGATATTTTGATTAACTTTAGGGGCAAAGTTTCAATTTTTACTCACTCGTAGTGGGTGGGAGAAATGCCCTGGAAGAAGACCTTGGTCTTGGTAGGATCGACATTGTTGTCAACCCAGTTAGCCCAAGTTGTAAGCCCTTTATTGAACGCCTCTAAACGGTCCATGTCTTGGTATAATGCAGACCCATCTCTAATATAATCCCATCTACATTAATCCGAGAAGAAAAAAGAAGACGTATAACCGTAATAATCAGGTTGATTTCCCTGGCGATATGAAGAAAAACGAAAAATATAAAGATGAAAAATCCTACGCTTGAGATTTTCCTTTGTGGGTCCACCAATGCCAACTGTTGAAAATTAGCACGTCCATCCCTTCCCATGCCTTGCCACCATTGATGGAGCCTAGATTAAGCACTGCACCAACATTTTCTCTAACTATATCTACCAAGTATGGCGTTCGATAAAAATACAGAGTCACTCCATAATCCTGCATACAGTACAAATTATCTTTTAATCATTCAAAAAAAAAAAGAAAGATATCAGAAAAACCCTTCTTTGTTTTCTTTTTCCTTTTTACCCCCTCGGACGTGGAACAAAAATTAATGAATGCCCTCAATATGGGATAGGCCACAGCTGACAAGCAATGTTCGAATATTGAGATTAAATTATTACACACAGTGTGAAGTAGATAATTGTAGACGGCTACTGTGATAATAATACACTTATAATTAACAAAACAGGTTGGCAGGTCGCTTAAAACAGCTGTCAGTGGTGTGCGATGATTAATGAGGATATCTCGTCTCGTTAAGAAACTACTAATCATGCAACTAATGTCTGCTGTGAACCCTTCATTTTCACACATTTCGTTCTTGGCAAGTCAAAAGTGTACCGAATAAAGCCAAGTGTGAGTTTTTTTGTCAATATTTTTTACTATAATTAGTCCAAAATAGTCAATTTTGAGTTGAAGAAATAAATAAAATAGGAAATACAATAAAACCCAAAAGGGGAGAGAACACTTTTTTCTTTGCTTGCTCGTAACTCCCAAGACAAGCAAATGAATGAAGAAATGGATGGAAAAGCTTTCCCAGTACCATAAACATAAACATTCTGCCTGGGCCAGAGAGAAACGAAAAAATTAAGGGGCTTAAAGGGTTAATCAGTTTGCTCTAATTCTTTCAAATTACATATGCCTCTATGAGAATCCTAAGCATCTATTGAAAAGAAGATGAAAATTACAGACTATAGTTCAGCCATAATACTCATGTCCATGTGAAATTTAATTATGAGAGGGATTGAAGGAGATGAGGGAGACACAAATTAGTAAAAATATAAATCACATGATTTTTTTTTAGTTTAAGGAAAATAAAGGTCAATTCTCTCATGATTGCTTTGGCCAATCCCACAAATTACTCCAAGCAACTTTTCATGATTAATTCAGTGTTCTAAGGAAAATAATTACCGATACTAATGTTATCATAGCAAAATCTTATGCATGACTTCAGCCATATAACCCAAAAAATGTCCTAAACTTGATTTAGTTCAGGCAACCATGTTGCCAATCCTGGTAGACAGATTGCATTCTGTTCTGCCACACAGAGTAAAAAAGGTTTGGAATTTGGAAGGAGAAACATGAAAAAGTTTCCAAAAAGAAGGGAATGGAAATCGTGGAAGCAGCGGAAGCAGCGGAAGGAGGCTTTGAACAATGAAAAGGATAACTAAAGAGAATGATGGGAAGGATAGAACAATGAAAAACAAACATTCAGTCCAGTGCACGGTGTAAAAATTGAGTTGATTCTTCAAAACCAAAAATTAAGGCAAATACTCACCACAAAGATAATAAAAGACAAAGGGTCCTTCCTCACATATGTGGTCTTGGAGTTGGGCACAGACGCATGAATCATACATGCCAGAGATTCCCACATGTTCGAACTCAGTGAGTCACCCACAAACATTATTTTCTTTCCCCTCCATTTTTCCAGAAAACTCACCCCATCAAATCTAACAGCAAAGGGAAAAAAAAAACGATCTTTCTCGGTGAAAGAGTCTACAGAGAGATCGATGGTTAAAAGAAAATTATAAAGAGGGAAAGAAAGGGTACCTTGGCAAGCTACAAGCGTCAGGTTGCCAGGAGTACTTAAGGTATTGCTTGTCTGGCCTGCCATACTTAAGGCAGTCAAATTCAGGATCTATGAAGGGACATCCTGAAGAGTCATAGAAAGGGTAGGAAGGATCAAAGACCCATTTTCCTTGAAACAAATTGCATCCACTCACTTGCTTTCTACCTCTTAAGCTAGTCACATTGTAGTAATGTTGCCTTGCACTTGCTTCTTGCAAGAACACAAGCCAAACTAAGACAAACAAACACAACAGGATTTTGCGCCTGAAACCCATTTGGGATTTTGTGTCCCTGATAAATCTCTCAAAGATAAACCAAGCTCAGATATGAAAATAAAAGGTTGTCAGTAGACCCGAAGCTTATATAAAAGTGTGAGACAGCGAGAGACAGATAGAGAGAAAGAAGGGGAGTGCAAAGCCAGGGAAGGCTGCTTGGTGGGTTCACATGGTATAAGCTATAGGAAATGGATTTTTTTTCCTGACGTTAACTTGGGACGGATTTTGGAGGGATTCATTATAGTAAAATGTGTAGGGTATCATGGGGAAGGTTGAACTTCTACCTTTGTTTTCCATGGGGAAATCAAAATGTTAATTATTTTTATGTCATAGCTTCTTCTAAACTTCTTTTTTATTCCATTGGCTACCATGTCACGGGGCATCTGCAAATAATGTACAACTATCAAATTGCACATGCTTTAACCCTTGTCTTTGACTTTCTTGAGTGGAGAAATTAGTAGTTTAACTTACCGTGGAAAATAATGGTAATTAATTTAAAACACTAATTGATGTAACCCGTGATGATATTAATGATATTCCATTCTTCTCAATTGCTTACAAGAGCAAATTTCTGTCTCAAGATAACATATATATATTATTGTAGGTTGGTTAGAAAAGTTTTCTGATCTTTGTATTATAGATCTAGAAATGTATTTTGCTTTCACGAGAAGGAGAGTTGAAATGAAGGAACAAAGGAGTAAATGATCTCATATTTATTTATCTGTATAAAAGTTAACTAATAAAATCAAGAAACTGAATACATCAGCTCTATTTCATCATGTAAATGTTGACATTAAGACAAATTCGAGTCAAAGATGCTAAAGCATTTACTTATGTAAATACTGATGAATCTTTTAGAAGTAGACTGTGAGTGTATATCAACAACATTAATATTTAACTTTTGCTGAACCTATTTTTAGTTGAGAGAAAATATTTCTGAAAAAAAAAAAAAAAAGGAGGTTTGAAAGAGAAGTTATAATTAACAAAATTGAGATAATGGAACAGGCATCATATATATCATTGACAAGTTAGAACCAATCATAAACTTGCAAGCCATTGTTTTGCTTTATCGATAACTAATTTGTGGAAGAGACTGGCATTTGATTGGATGATTTGGCCAAATTCAAGAAAGCTCAATTAAAGTTTACAAATCAGGTAATCATGCAACAAAAGTTTTCCCTTACATAGTCGGGGACCGTATGGCCAATGTAATACAACTCAAACAATGAAACTTCAAAAAGTTTATTGCTTGTTGCACCAAAACCAAGCTACAGCCATGAGAAGACAAGAATCAACGGGGCCTGACAGGAGACTTCCTTTAGAATAAAAATGTGGGTGCTCAACAAGTTAAATTGAGTAAAATTTTATCCAATAATTGGCGTGAAGAAACCAGAGGTTTTTGGGGCACATGGAATTCCAAAACACCAACCAGGGTATGCAAGTTGTGGAACTTTAATTAAGTTCAAAAACTTATACCAGAGTAAAGGAAAATGTGAAACAGCAAGGTGAGATTGTGGGGTTGGAGATTTACATAGCTGTTGTTATCAAGAGAGTGTTCCTTTCTGGATTTCTTATCAAAACCCCAACAACAGATCACTTTCCCAGCCATCACCGCATCAGGCCCACCACTACTGCGGTTGAGTACTGGCACTGAGGTTAACGACATTCTGTTTAATAAACCTCACCAGGCCCAGTGGGACACCCATTTCCAAATCGGGGCCCTACCTAAAACGTTCTTACATCCCATCGCTTGAGTAAGGGTGGTCACCTGTCTATTGAGGCATTAGAGGGAAATCTTTGGACGCAAATCATCATTTCTGAATTTGGCATTTGGGGCTTTCTGCGGCAATGCCTCGGACTTCAGGGTTTCCGTGTGAAAAGTATATACCATATATGTTCTGAATTGGAATATTCATGGGACCTATTCTTGAAATTTGAAAGGTTAAAGCCAACATCGAGATTATCACCTTCGAACTAAAATATTTACTCAAGAAATGTCTTTTTCTACATTCTTGGCATTATACTACCAACAGGTTAGTTAATACTCCATTAATAGGATGTCTATCTTCAAAAGAAAATGTGGCTGATGAAGCTGAATATGATAAATGTTAATTAAAACTCTACCTGATAAACCCAATGATGTCTATGATCGAATTCTCAACACTTTTGGTATCTTTTATTTCTTAAATGAGAAATGAGAGAAGTACTTTCAAAGTTTTCAGTAATGGGGTTGGAAGAATTTGTAGAAGACTTTTGCATAAAGTGAAGAGCAATGTTTGGTTCCTCCCATTACACAGTAACAGTGGTCAAAAGGAAAAAGGAAACAAAGTGATTGAAATGCAAGGATCTTTCTATTCTTGGATGTTTCCTTGCTCCTTCGATCCTAAACCACAAAAACAGCTCACCATTAGATTTTTATATGCAGCTAATGCTTCTATATTTCAGAGCTTGATTCCACTTTCCACCCAAAAAAACATATTTTCTTGCCAATTAACAAGGACCTTGATGTCAGAGTCAGAGTCCACATGCTGAAAATAATAATTCACATGTTGAATAAATCTCACTGATAAGATTCTCCAAACCATGGTCCCATCAAACAAATTAATAAAGAGATTATCATTCAAGCATTATATATCATTTTTTTCCTGCTTTCCTGATGAAATGAATGACGAGAAATTGTCTGTGAAGTGGGTTTGATTAAGCAGGCCAGGAGGGCTAGACCCTTTAACCATTCATTCAATGACAAATGTGCTAATTACAACGCAGACTTTAGCATGGTGGCTGCGTCTCTTGTCAAGAAGGGTGTCACTTACTGTCCACCCCGTGATACTTGTCGGTAAGGGGAGAATTCTTAAGGAAATACAAGAAAATATAAGGCACGCAAATTCAAGATTGAATTGCATAGTTTTTTATCCGATTTGATGGTGTTTTTACACACATCAGTTTTGATCATTCAATTAAGATTCAAAGTTATCCATGATTTCAGCTTTTGAATCAACCATCATCCATTTTATTGGAACATTTCCATTAGTTTGCCAACAAAGCCAAACCCATCAATTTCCTAGTTATTCAGCAGGTGCTGGTGCACATCAAAGAAGTTGTTCGTATTAGGCCGATTGGTCTGTATATGGTATGGCTGCTGCCTGCTGACTTTGTTAATAGAAACTTGTATAATGAAATGCTACAATTTATCAAAAAAAAAAAACCGATCATATTTGTGTAGTCATTTAAGCATATGTTGTTGTTAAGTCAAACACACAACATATTTTTTGCAAGAAATTAAGTTGCCCTTGCATACTCTGAACTTCAGTAAATTAGATTTTCTTCCTCTCCCCTTTATTTTTTTAATATATCTTCGAAGACCATTAATCCGTATCAAATTCATAATTTATGAGTAGATATATATATATATATATAATGAATGGAAAACGGCCTTTTCTTGTTTTGTTGTTGTTAATTTCTTTATTATCAATGAATTGCATGCTTACATTCCAAAAAGAAGCATGAGGCAATGGTACTCTCTCTCTCTCTCTCTCTCTCTCTCTCTATCTTTATATATATATATATATATAATTTTGACTGATGATAATTTTAGAAGAGCGGATGGCTACTAGGGCATCTTGATTTATCAGCTCTTAAATTTGGTACTGCCTTAAGCCGACACTTTTTGAACGGAAGTGGTTGAGTGTGGACCAACGATGATGTCAATCATGTTAGTGTTTGTCGTTTATGGATGGAATTAGGAAAAGGTTTAAGAGTCAAAGCTTGTTGTCCAACGTAAAAAGGATTGGGTGGGCTACACTTGGGCAAGTGGGCTGTGTCCGTGAGGTGGAGACCCACTCAGAATTGTCTATTACACAAGCAACTCCTATGAAAGAACATCACACCCCTTCTTCCCCGTCAAACACGTGGTTAAGGATGAAAATGCCTTTTTCAGCTCACAATCACGATAACAGCCTCTTATATATATATATATATATACATATATATTGTCAGCTGCATTTGATTAACTTCTAAAATGGAGTTTGTCTTTACAATTATTAGATGGATGAAGTTATGAAAGTTAATCGTTCCTTTTTTAAGTGTAAAAGTACTGTATAAAGTAAAAAGTAAAGAGTTGTCAATAGCAAAAAGCCAGGTTTCAGTCTTATCCAACTTTTGCAACTAAAGCCTACCAAACCAGATACTATAGTTTTTATTTTATTTTAATTAAAATTATCTAAATTTACATTTTAATTATTAAAATTAAAATTTTAATATTTTATCAATAAATCACGTTATTATTGATAAGGTACAATGAATTAGTTATTGTTGAAACGAAAATAATAAAGAAATATTACAAGAAAAGAAAAGAAAACATAATTAAGTATATAAGGTAATATTTTTGTCACGAGTCGAGATTTAAGCTCTTAATTCGTGTAGTTTTGAGATTCGAACATTCACTTTTCTGACATCTCGGATCAACTTGATCACTGTCGTTCACATATTTGTGAGGTATTTCTGCTCTGACTCCCCTGATCTCATAATTTTATCTTACAAAAGGTGTCTTATGATGGAGGTAATGTGAAACTTTACATATCCTAGTGACCATCTTATTATGTTCGATGTGAGATTCAAGACTCTTTCTTAAGTCCGTGACATTCTTCTACACCCAATCTCGTGACACTCTCGTCACGGAGGCTAATCATCCTGTCTATCTCTCTCGAGATGCTTGACGTGAATCGAACGGTTTAAGGTTGGCTCTGATACCACTTATCACGAGTCGAGACTTAAGCTCCAAATCCGCGTGGTTTCGGGATTCTGACATTCACCCTTCCGACGTCCTGAATCAGCCTGACTGATACGACTCACATTCTTGTGAAGTATTGTCCGCTCTGGTCTCTCTAATCTCATAATTTTATCCTACAAAATATGCCTCACAAGATAAAAATGGTGTGAATCCTTATATATCTCAGTAACCTTCTATTATGTTCGATGTGAGATTCAAAATTTTTTCTCAGGTCCGTGACATTTTAGCCTTGGTAACTCTCATTGTGCTGAGAACTTCATTGCGGAAGTTGGTACTCAGCAATGAAGGTGATGGCAATTAGGTTAGAGGGTAAGTGACTGTCTAGCCTAAAACGATTATAATTAGTTAGTGATGAGTTTGCCGATTATCAAAGTTGAACCAACCACCCCACAGCTTTAAGGTTACGGTTTCACCAAGCGAAAAACCAAATGTAAACCTACACCAGCAGCCTGTCTGGATAAACTCAAATCCTGGATAGAAAAAAACAGGTCTTAACTTGTGCCAACCAGCATGTTCATGTCCTGTTCAAGCAACGATAAACCATTACAGATTCTCTCGGTGTCCACCACATGAATAAATGTTTTTGCGGCCTGGATATGTTAACTCCATGATTGGTTCGATATAAACTGTTAACCAAACCAATATTCAGCCAATGAGATGCAGGGTTGTGACTTGTAAGGTCGAAGTGGCAAGCCTTCAGTCATTTTCCAGGAGCTTTCATTAAAATCTACAGCAACCTTTTTCTGGACCAACTGGCGTGCTTTAGCATTAATTTATTGATAAAGAAATTGCCGACCTAAAAAAAACATGTGTGGCTGCTCAGTTGCATTTCTTTTGATTGGAAAACCTTTCCTAGGTAGGATCTGTAAGCCAGCACAAAATGACTTTTAAATTTTTTTTTTTTTTTAGATTTTAGATTTGTTTATTAGTATTTTAATACACTTGTTATAGCTGCTATTATCTATTGAGAATTATCTGACAATCGTATGTGGATAAGATGTTGAATTTTTAATTATAATAATTTTATATTATATAAAAATATAATATTAAATGAAAAAAGTATACTTAATTAATATCTTTGCAAACAATTATTAACAAATAATGTCAAATAGTCTTGAATATAAAACACATCATCTTCCCATCTTGGAAAAAGGCCAATTTGCTCTATTTGCTTGCTTTAGCCAGGGTTTTTGAGCACCATAAGGCATAATCTAATCTAAATAAGTTTATATTTGATATTTAATGTATAAATTTTATTTACTATCCATGAATCAGATAATAATAATTCATTAAAAAATAAATATTAATCTTTAAAATAAATATATAAAAATTAATATTTTTATAAAAATTTACTTATTAACGAAATATTATTATCTGATTTATCTTATTAATAAAATAATATCATCTAATTTATTAATAATGTATAAAATATATATGTTGATAATATATCAAATATAATCTCAATCTAAATTGATAATTAATAACCCATAAAAAGTTTATCCTCCAAAATATTTTGGTTAACCTTTTTAGTAGTTTTATTAAATTTTGAGAAAGAAAAATCCCAATTCCAAATGCCAATGGCAGATAGGAAACGCAATTAGCCTTTAAATGGGCCAATGGCTTGGGTCTTGACCCAATGGAAACTATAAACTTTTCTATGACTAGATTTGGGCTCTCTGAAAAAACTTGGAAGGCTTCCAAGATGTAGATCCTCTATTAAGCTTAACACCAGATTGGGCTTAGGAAGAAGTTCAAACTGAGCCCATCACATTCCAGCACTACCAGTAGCCATTTGATGTTGCGTTATTTCTTAGCTCTCCAAGATAAGTGGATAGGAAAGTGAGAAACACAGAGACAGTGTGCAATGGCTTCAATGTCGGTGATAACATCACCTCAATGGCTTACTACTAAATCCATAAGAACCCAAATCCCTTCAGCTTCTCTCACTCTCTTAACAGGTTCAAGGAGAAGAATTTCCATCTCTCCCAATGCAGCAAACAACCCCAAAGCTTGCTCTTCCCTGCTTCACTGCTCCTTTCTCCATTCTTCCTCATCTTCTCTCTCTTTCTCTTCTTCTTTTTCAGGTAACAAAATTTCCCCTTTATGATTACTTTTTCGGTCAATGCGTACTAATCTTGGTTAATTCGTTTGGGTTAGGTTATCTTGGGATGGATTTTGGTTCAAATAATGGGCTAAGGGATAAGAAAAGGCGAGTCCTGGTGGTTAGAGCTGGAAAGGCTGCCCTTTGTCAAACAAAGAGGAATAGGTCTCGGAAATCTTTGGCTCGAACTCATGGATTCCGTAGAAGAATGAGAACCACTAGTGGGAGAGCTATATTGAAACGTAGACGTGCTAAGGGTCGGAAGGTCCTTTGCACCAAATCCAATCCAAACAGTGGGAAGCGCTAAGCTGTTTCTTTTGTTTCAGTGTGCAGTAATCCATGAATGTGATTTTTTTTTTTTTAATGATGTTTAAAGGATAATTTAGGCAAAACTTAGTCATTGCCTCTTTTGTTGGTTCAATTGTGCAATATTTGTTGATTGAAATTCACATTTTAATGGTTATATTCGACTAATTGCTGTTGTCTAATAGTTACTTGGTAGTACTGATATCTGATAAATGATTTGTTTGAACTTTGATGAGAAGTCCCTTTTCATTTCTCACTTGCAAAAATTATATGTTATGAGCTGTTTTTGTTATATGTTTTTTCTAGTCTTAGATGGGAACATGTTCAGTTACAATATCTTTGAAGTACCTAGATATGAAGTTTGGTTCACATTTGTGTGTCTGTTAAGAATGTTAAGCATCAGTTTCAGTTATCTGGCTGTTCCTTGATCGATCAATTTTGGAAAGTGATATTGCAATTATCCTTGAAATGGATTTTTGCTACTATTACCATAGATCGTTTTTTTGTCCAAAACTGTGATAAATGGTGAAATGGCAATGTATGATTCAATTGAATTGGGTTTGGGTATGAGGTTACGGGACCATCTGTTTTCATTTGGAAAATGAAGAGTGAATCGGCCATTTGAGTCTTCTTATACCATATTGCCGATTGAAATACAACATCAATTATGATTATGCAATTAGAGTAGGTTCACACTTTAGTTCCAAATTGTATGAGCCATGTTTCTTGATATGTGTTCCTTGTCGCTGGCTTTGTGATGCTTTGCAAGCTTCCTGGTTATAGCCCTTCCCCTTGATGATCGTTTGAATCACATGCATTTTAATTCTTGGCTGAATGGGAAGGAATTTTGCCTGTATGAGCACTTTTTCTAGAAACAAAACAGGGTATTGAAGAGATCTTCTGTTTCATTCAGTTATAATGTTTCATCTTATTTGATGTTTTCAAGTACTGTTTTGAGGATTCGCTTTCCAGCCAGCCATCGAGATTCAACATTTGCATTACTTTATGGTGTGTGTCATGTTGTGTACCTTGCATCGTAGAATCTACGAAAGCAATGAATCCCACGATGACCCTAACCTACCCACTTGAACCATAGTGTCTTGACTTGACGTTTATATATTCATCATGTTGACTAACCCAATCACTGCAATGTCTTGTCTATTGCATGCATGACTTGGCTACCATCCAACTCTAGTTGTTAACGACCAAGGCCATTGCCCAATGCCTACCTACCTCAATCCTCACAAATCAACAATATAATGTCCTGTTTATGACACCAAATTTGCCTTTAGCATCGAACATGATACATTAGTGAGAAGTGTTTCTTAATGAAATGCACTTATGCAATGCCTTAATTTGAATCTTCTTAGGATTTGAATTCAAAGCCTTCAAATTAAATTAAAAACCAAAAAGTTAATGTGTTATACCATCATACATGCAAATGAAATTCTTATTGTATGATAAAATTATTTAAACTATAATATAGATGTATATATAATTTGGTTAGACTGAATTCAAAAAAATAATTAATAATTGGAGAACATATATTTAGAGCTAGACTTGGTAACTAGAAAACCACTTTATTTTTAATGGGAAAGATTTACATGATCAACAGCCATATAGATTGTTACTTTCAAAGCTAAGAGCACTTGAGAGACCTTACATATAGCTAACAACAAGAACAACGAGTATGGCAGTATTTCACCTATAATTGTTTTTATTAAAATTTTATAATTGTCCAATCATAATAAGTGTAAATTTCATATAAAATTTTGAATTATAATTGATACAATAATACTATGAGTTCTAAATTATAAGGGAAATAATTGGGAAGTTAAGTGCATGCAACTAGTAAGGAGTGCAACCCTTGAAATTAAGCTATGAGAAGGTTTCGTGGTAACTCTCGTGGAACTGAGTTCATAGGATCATAATTCTGGATAGGAAGGTTTCTTGGCGATGCCACAAAGACCTTGTTTAGATTGAACATCTCTCTTAATCCTCATGTAGCCGCTTTCACCCCACGATTTGCCCCACGAGTCCTTGCTTAACCAGTATTTGATACCGTCTTCACTTGTTCCATACCCAACAATGGTGACGGCGTTGTTTAAAGAAGTTCGACATGGTCCTGTGAAAACACCTTGTGAATAAAATTGAAATCCATACCATCGCCGTCAAGGGCCACTGAGACAGGTTGCTGGCTTGCAGCCTTTAATAGTGCTTCTTCATTGTTGTGAGGCACATCTTCATAGCCATTGATCTGCACCTCTCTGATAGCTGCTTTTCCATGTCTGCACCTTCCATCTTTTGCCGTGTATGGGTATTTTGTTTCCTTGCGCAGACCCTGGTTTTTTACAATGTATTCAAAAGCATCATCCATCCAACCACCTTTCGCAGCCATGACTTTTTTTTGGTTCTGACGCATCCACCAGTTGCTGCTCTGAGAGTGAGAACAACTGACCAGTTTTAATCTTTCCACAGCTGCGACAGTTGAGAATGCCCAGCAACTTCCTGCATATATCGACAAGCAAAATCAAGTTTAAAAACTAGTAGAGCTTTGATTTCTTACCACAACACCTAGGTTCTTAATTTGGGTGACTGCCCCTTTCTTCTGCCAGTCCACGGAAGCTGGGACATTGGTCAGGTTTTCATATTTGAATCCTTAGTTTTGGATGAAACTGTGCTAGGTCTTTTATCCAGCTAGGACTCTAGGAATTCTTCATTACCTAAGTCTGCAAATTCATTGGAGCTTAACCTATAAGTTTGATTCCCCATGTTGTTGAAGTTTTCTAGATAATCCAGGTTGTTTTTGAAAATCTGAAAGCGCCTATTCTCCTCTTCCGTTATCGCATAGGTGCGTCCATGCTGAACCATCCATTGCTTGTATTTCTCAACAAGGACAGTTTGATCCAAGATGCGGGACATGGCAGATGCCAGAGCCCCGGAAACAATCAACATGAAAATGAGAAACTCATTTTTGAGTGCGAAAGCCATAATTGCTCAGAGTTTTGCAAAGGAGAGTAGCTATGTTTAAGTGGCTTTTTACACCCTCTGAAGAAGTGAAGAAGCAAGCATACGAGCTACCTATTTTAGATGATCCGGGCTAGCCCCAATTTAAATTTAATGATGATAATCAGAGGGTTAAGGTTACTCCACACAAGATGAATGAGGTGATAAAAAAAGTTGTTTATTTGACCTTCCCACTTGCGGGTATAAAATTTTCCTGAGAAAGTTGATTATGCATCAAATGAAGGCCCACAAAACCAAAGCTGACCGCAATTTTCTTTGTTCTGTCTTACGTTATATTGGGATGGTTTTGGAATCTGGATGTCATAGCTAAGCAAAAGCTAGAATCAAGGAACAGGAAGTTACATATTTGAAACCGGAAAGTTTGATCAAACTCTATAGGCTATTGACGATGTGATATTATAAGCCAAATCACAATCAGACATAAGATAGAGGGAGGACCCATTGGCCAGTTCAATCTCTTCATTTTTCTTCTTATAGTTGTTTGGCTTCAACCATAGCTGTTAACAACAGAAAACGTGACTTTGACTGGGAAGATTCTTGTATGAATTAGAACACAGATGCTGCTGTCGCCTTTCTTATCTCTAATGTGGCATTCTGATTTTTGTGGAGTAATATTTTCCTTAATTTCCACTTCTTCCATCCATAGTAGATAAGATCTGTATTCTGTGGTACAAAGACAGATGAGAAATCTATTCAATTTGTTTAAACTTAAAAGGAATACCTGATCAAAAATAGAATGTAATTAAACGTACCTGCCAAAACACCTACCTTTTCAATTTGAAACATTAAAAAATTCTTTCTTTTTCCTTTTGTCACTTCCAGTCCTCCACCAGTAGGGTTTTCATCATGAATCTTGCTCTGCCACTGAGCTTCATTTAACGAGAGGGTCAAATCAAAATGGCATTGAGGAATTTTCTTCGGAGAGGCAAACGCCAAATTAACTGATCAATGACAAGTTGGAGAGGTCACTCTATCAATCATTTTCAGTCTCTTTACAGGAATATCCCTAGTAGTTAACAAAGCTCGGAATCCTTGGCTGATAAGATGACCTCACTTTTTGGATCAAATGAATATATACATATATATAATATTTATATTAATGGTAATTGAATTCCTCTTCAGATATGTAACACTCATCTGAGTCCTAAGCACACTTATCAAACGAGATCTATTAGGCCTAATTCGACCAAATGTTTGGGCTGACAATGCTAGAATATAAGACGTAAGGGATTTTACGAGTCGCTAACTAGGCAATACTATAAATAGGTCCCAATTAACCTCGCAATTAAATTTAATATTTAATATTATTATATTTTATAAAATATTATATTTATATTATATTTTATATAAAAATTAAGTATCATAATTTATATTAATATAAAAATATAAAATATAATTTTTTAATTTTATTAAATTTATTTATTATTATTTTAAAGTTTTAAATCATATTATTTCTACATGCTTTATTCATATTATTTTTGTATCATATTATCGTATTGTATTTTAAATTATAAGATTTACTCAATTTATTTCTTTTGTGAGTTCTATCAAGTGTGAAAATTAATCAATCTTCTACTTGCCAAATCAACGGTGAAAGTTGGACATATATTTCTTTTGGGGTGGCCAGGCCACTATGTAATGGAAGTCTTGACTTGATTACGTTAAACATGACCTCTGCTTGACATCAGTGAAATGATTCTATCGTCATTATCATATTATGGAATCCCACCAAGTGATTCAGACATTTCCCGGAGTTGTTTTCAATCGAGAATCTTGATGACTTTGTGGGTCTCGTGTTCATATGGTCAACTTGAGGTCTTCGTAAAACTGGCAATGGAAGCCGTGCTAATCAGATTAATGTCCGACTCCAAGAACACGGTGAGAGTTCATATCCACAAAGGACAACTCAAAATTCGGAGCAGAAATTACAAAATATATCAATTACTTGCAAATGAGTTGGAACACATAAATGACATACTGCAAGCTTCCCAGAAACTACAATCTAACTTGAAAATTCTTGGGTACAACATTAATCCTGTACAGATTATATGGCATCATATGTTTTCCTCTGATGAGCATAGTGCCATAAATAGTTCAACTGATTTAGAATTACCAATTACTATATCACAACATATGCCTTAACTGGAAGATTTCTACCTGTCAACAACATATAATATACTATTAATCTCAGTAAGAACTAAGAAGAGAAGTTACAGCACATTTAGATTGGCAGAATTAAATAAAACCCATGTAAGTTATTTGAAATAGGCAGCTGAAGTTTAATATCACATTCTTTATACCTCATAAGATAAATCTGATAGAAGAATTTGGTACCATACAAAAATATTTTGCTCTTGCTGAAACCAATCCTTGTTCTTAATCCTTTGTCCTCATATATCTGCTCACCACATTGCCAAGAGCATTTATCAATGACACTGGATCAAAGATTATGCCCACTTTTGGGTCACGTATGGAGTCAACGATGACCTGCACGAACCACATTTTTGCAGTTTGTTACCCGTCATATAGAATACGAAGTTGAAAAATGTTAAACGGAACACTCTGCTTAGGTCTATGCCTTCTAAGACTAATCAAGATTGCTTGCATGAGGCCAGAAAGGACAGGCATTCCCTCTCAGCCAACCTGCCTCTAGCAACAGAGGCCATGTTGGAGACAAACAAGTCTCTTAATCAAGGTGCCAAAAAGTTTTGGGATGGAAAGCAGGAGATTGGATAGAGACACCAGATAGTAGACTAGCTTCCACAGGGAACCCAAGGAAATAGCAGAAACTTTTCTAGTTCTATGACTGGTCCTCTTCTGAATCAACTGACTTCATAGAATTTAAACATTTCACACAATAATAAGAAAACTCCAATTGTTAAGATTTAGTTTTGAAATGCTAATCAACTCCGAGTGATTGTATGAGTAAGTTCACCTAACCAGTAGCAAGAAATTGGATTAAAAATATTCAAATTGTGGTTATATGCAAACATACCACGTCAAAGATTCCTTGGGAACGCAAGATTTGATCATCTATAGGAATTTCACCATCTTTGGGCACCAAAAGTGTATTAATGTACTGACTTGGCTGCACAGAGACATTAACTACAATAAATGAGATTTACTCATTCTACTTTCTCTTTATCTCTTTTTTTTTTTTTGGCACAAGAGGATACCCATTCTTCTCCACTTCTTTAACTTTTTCTTAATTAAGGAAAATGTTTTCCATGTCATGATAGACACATTAACAAGTCTCAATGCTAATTTGAAGAATGTATATATTTGTAGTAAAAAAAATCAATTAAAGCAATCATCGTAACATACGGGGAGTGTGAAAGTTATCAACTGTAACTCAATCTATTCACTCACAAAGTGTTTCAAACAATTATGAGAATCTCCATACGTTCGATTCAGAGCATCTGTAATGGCAATTACAAAGGAAGATGCAGAGAAGCCACTTGTCTCTCGATCATGAGTACCATTCAACAGAAGTACCTAATAGTGGAAGGAGCCAAATCAGTTCAACATATATCTCTCCAAAGTGCAAACAAGCAACAGAAAGCTTTAACTACATAGCAGCAATATAATAATTTAAAATTTCTCTAGGTAGTATCTTGCATCAAATAAAATGTCTTTAACAGTTTAATAACTTGATACCTTAGGACAGGACCTAGAAGAAATGACCTCCCCAATGCCAAGTAAGACCTACAGATAAGTTACAAAGAATGACAAACCATATATTAACAATCCAAAAAATGGAAAAATCTTGAAGTAGATCAGAAATTTGTCAAGAGATAATAGAACAACTTAAGTTTTGCTAATAAAACAGATAAAAGGCAAATTTCAAGTGATTATACTTTCAATTTTCTAACCTAAAGAAAAAGTTCAGCCAACAAGGCACCTGATATCCTGTTCAAAAAGGTGTTTCTATCCTTGGTCAACAATGCCAATCAAATTCATAAAGGAAAATGACAACTATTGCATTTAATGTTCCGCCATGAAAATGTAAATAGGGCTAAAGGGCCACAAATCCCACTTGAATCATTCCCCTAACTACAAGAGCATCATTCACCAAGTGTTATTATGCCACTTTCTGATAGAAAACAAAAGGCACCAACATATTGATCTGTATCTTTAGTAGCAACTGCACCACCATCATGTGACTGCATGTGCACATTCAAGAACTTATGTCCATCGGTCCATGTGTGTAAATTACATGTAGAGGTGTTGTCTTTGCATGAATAAAAATGTAAACCATATTAAAGAAGTATGTGATTGCATCTGTCTTTGTTACATATTAAATGATCGAAGAATGTATTATGAAAATAATCAAGAATGTTACCAGTGATGGGCAGAGGGAAGTGAAGAGAGAGCCCATAGCATAAACAATGCAGTCCACATTTGACAACTGATCCAGAACAGCTGGGTTTACTGTGGGAAAGACCTGGTCAAGTATAGTTTGCACAAAGTTATATTCTAAGTTTCAGGTATTAGAATTCACATGATTAACAGTAGATATTATAACCCATGCAACAGAAAAATAAGAAATATAGTAGTAGAGACATGAGTTGGACATCAATGAAAAAAAAAAAAATCTTATTCCAAGTATTCAAACAAGCACAAATCAAAGGATGTATCATTTACCTCATGTAGTGAATTCGTACCCTCACTTGACATGTAGAATACCCTTTTTATTCTTGAAGGAAGGGCTGGAACTGATGATCTTCCCTATACATAAGAAAGTAGCAATTGATAAATATGAAACTTTCTTTAACAGAACGTGGCAAAAGCCATTTATGTACACATTTGAGTTTTTCTTAATAAAATGTTAATTTCAGTTTAAAAGTGGTAAGTGGTAAATTGAACGAATGAACTTTTGAATAACTTATAGAAGTGTCAAAACTTGACATCATTAGTTGAAATTTTCCTCATTCAAAATGGTTATCCAAGGAATAATGGATAGATAGTTTGGATTTTAAAACTCCAGAATTAAAGTCTATTGTTTAGTGTGAAATTTTGAACCAAAAATTCTCTGATATCCCATTAAGGAACACCAAAAGATGGGGGGTGCAGCTCTGTGACGAAGAAGAGTAGAACAAAAGAGAATGGAAAAACATGAACTAATGTAAATACAATGCAGAAAAGACAAGATTTCTGATTTCATTTCTCATGCCAGATAAAAAACCGCATCAGGACCTCCAAAGTTCCCCTATTCCTCCATCCCCACCCATCCCACAAAGTCCAAAGCACACACGTTATACCATGCTCTAGCCTCTAGGTCATGAGATTTTCACCCTTTAAAACTCTAGCATCTTTGAGATTTAAAAACAAAGAGCATACGAAAATCAATGCATTGCTCTGATTGTCAATCTTATTGATGATATCTTATTTCTCAAAATTAAATTTGGAATGCAAAAGTTGCATTCAGACCAACATAATAATGAGCACCATGCAACTGATAAAGCCACAGACTCTAAACAACCACTATCAGTTCATAGACAACTTTATGACTTTATCACCTCCATAGGCTTTTGATCATGAATTAAAATTAGCTAACCTTATCTACAGGTCCTATGGATCCATAAGCTGGATGAGAAATTTCATTCTGACCTCGTACAATTGTCCCATCCTGCATATGAATTTGCACAAAGTCATGAAAATGAAAACTATTAAGTGAAAATATATTGGTTTTAATCCTTCAAATAGACAAATACTCTTTATCAAGGCTTGCATTATTATAGCATTCAGTCATGCAGACCCATAACAAACCAAATCAGCCAATAAAACCAGAATAAATCAGACAAGATCACAGTCAATGAACTATCAACTACGTTCCAATAGGATACATCATATACACTTGAATAATTGCCAGACATGTCATATATACCCATAATTCACATCCTAACGTAAGCCTGTCATTGGTTGAAATGACTGGGAGGACCAAACTTTCAGCAGGAATATCTGAAACACGTGAAAACAAAAAAATTGCAGCATCTAAAGACTGAAAAAATACTCGTGCTCCTGCAAAGAAAAAATTTCCAATGCTGCAATCCAAAAGAAAAAAAAAGTCACTAAGGTTGTAATAATGTCTGGAAAATACCATTCACATATTCGTGAGAACTTGAGATGATTTTATATTACCATGCCCGAGAAGAAAGAATAAAACAATTAAAAACAAATGAGCTAGTTTATAGTGGAACAAAAGGCAAATAAGAACCAAATACAAAGTAGTACTTCACTGCATGGTTACTCAAAACCTGAAATGAAGATGAGGATCACTGAAACAACTTTCTATAGCAGTTACCAAGTCTTCATTAGCCATAATAATAATAAAGGCTTCACATTGCATGAACCAACTATTTAAGGCAGCTAAAAGGAGAGTGATTTTAACAATTAAATTTACATAGTTCATGGAAATTCAAAAGCAGTAGCCTTTCAATGAAATGGAACAGAAACCTTGGTAAGGCATAAATACAACAAAAAAAAAAAAAAACCTGCCATTACTGAAACAAAATGATTCATTAGGCCTCCTCAGAATCTGTATTCAAGGAAAGCAAATGTTAGTTTTCATTCCAATCATCTTTTCAACCAAAAATGGTGAAATATTGTATATGAAGCACATTACAGGATACATAAAAGGTGATTAAGAGTAAAGCACTATTTGACAGGAAATGATGCAAAATAAAGCATGTCTGTTCAATAAGAAGAAGAAGACACAATGCTACAAAATCTGATACTGAAAATGTGGCACTAATACCAGATGGCATCACCTCATTCTGAAAATAAGCCAGAAAAGATCGAATTGTTTCTCTGTATGGTTTTGATACACCTTCCCATAGTGAATGTTCTCCTTCCACAACTTCATACCTGTCAAATTCTCAACTCAGCACACTATTACTCAATAATCCCACCAAATTTACACCTAGCAAGTAAATGAAAGGAATTCAGAATTACAAAAAACCAAAACAACAGGAGTTAAGAGTGGGTAATAGATGATTAATTCTAATACAGAATAACCTGCATTCTATAAAGAGATGAAATCTAAATAAGATAAAAATTTAGCAACAGCATTGTCAAATTTGTACTTTTTTTCAATTTCCATTTTTAATTTAGAGCGAAATTTACGAGCATAGTTAACAAAGAATGTTCTATTCAAATCATCTTGCGACTTTAAGTGACTGTGCATGCAGGTGCATATCTATGTCAGTGCATTTATGCATATGTGCATATCTGTGTGTGAGTAATTTAAAAAATTATCAATAAAACAGGGTATATTGGAAGCAGCATAAACACAAAAGACAAGCAGCAATCAATTTATCAAAATTTTCTGAACAAGAGAACCCTATATACAACCCTAAATTATCAGAGAAAAACAATACCATTCTGACTTGGCTTGTTGTGGATTAATAGGCAAACGATGACCAAGCAATCTTCGGACAGCCAGAGCCTCGGAAGTGCTTTGATCAGCCAATCTCAAACATCTTGACCGTATGTCCCCAACAGCAGGACCACCTAAACAATACATCAGATGAACATATTGAATTTCACACACAAAAAAAAAAAAAAAAAAAACCTATTTTCCGACCAAAGAAGTAGTGGCAGCCAAAAAACTAATTCAGCCACACTATTTTGTCTCACATAAACTAACATTCTGAACGCCAAAGCATGTAATAATAATCGAACACCAATCTAACAACAATAAGCCCATTTGATTAAACAATTCGCTTCGACCCCAGGCAAAATTTCTTTTTTTGAGTTTCAAGACCCTAACTTCAAATGTCAATTGAGAACCTTTTCGATGATTGATCATGACTTAGTAATTGATAGACGAATATTGTAAGATTTTTAACTAAAAATGGATGAAATTTACCGAGCACGCGAACAATCTCGGCTGTACTTCCTCCATCATCAGAAACTGGAAGAACATGAGCAACGCGCACTGTTAACTTCTTAAGCTCTTCTACAACGCCATTAAATGCCGTACCACCTAAAACCACCACCAAATAGTTTACCCAATTCAGACTTCTTTCATATTAGAAATATTTACCAATCAAAGATGAGAGGATAAAAGAGTACCTGAGAAGACAAGTAAGGAGGGCTGGTAAGGTCGAGGGTTAGAGATGCAATGGCAATGGGCAGCCATGGGTTTAGAGGGGAAATGGAGCGGTAATTTTGGGATTTGGAGAAGAAACAGAGGAATAGGAGAAGGCTTAGGGGGTTTACAGAAATAGGGTCCCAAGCAACCGTCCGCCATATTCCCGCTATTTCCAACATTTTCTCTTTTCTGTAAATAACGCCATTTAAATTTTACTAATCTCCTGAGTTTTTGTGGACCGTTCGTCTTAGGTCGGTGGACTCACGTTCAGGTATTGACGGTCACGATGCAACGGAAGAGAAGCCTTGATTTTTGAACGTTTCCAAATGCTTGTTTGTAATTAATTTTGAAATTTTTTTCATCTATTATTGCATGGTAATAAAGAAATAAACCTTTGTTTGTTTTTTTTGAGATTGGCAGCACCTGATTATTTCCCTAACATGACAAAGATTTTACGGAGTTACAATGTTAAAAAAGTGTTGTTTTGTTACTGAACTGAAATGATTCCTCGACGGTATCTTTCCTTTTTTTTTTTATTTTAATTTTTCTTTTATATAGATAAAGTTGTCAAAAAATATTATTAGATGTTTTTAGATAATATAATTTCAAATACTATATAATGATATGATTAAAAATAATATAAATAAAAATATAAAATAATATAATTTAAATTTTTATTAAATAATATAATTAAATTTAATAAAATAAAAAATATATTTTATATTTTATATCAATACGAATTATAATCTATAATATTAATATATAAATTTTTAATATTTTATACGACACAAATATACGTATTGTCATATCTCTAATTAAATGTGTAAAAAATAATTAATTTATACAAAATACATAATTTATGCATCCCTCTTAACTTGTAAATGTGGGTATTAATATATATATATATATATATATATATTTTTTTTGTTAAACTCCTTGAAACTTAAATAAGAGCAAACAAAAAGAAATAGAATGAATAATTTATTTAAATTATTTAATGTGATTTACTACATGTGCAAGTGGACAAATCAATGTTAGGAGAGGAGAAAAAAATTCTTGAAATGTATAAAAGAGAAAATGGGTAGAAAATCATGACTAGTTATCATAAAAAAAAAAAAAATTGGAATAAATCAAGGCCAATCTCAATCATGTATCAAGGGGAAGAATTCAAGATTTCCCCATTTTATATATATATATATATATATATTTGTAGTTTTGTTGATCATGAATTATGATATATAATTTTTTATATGCATATATTGAACAAGAAATGAATTTTTCTCACAAGTTGCTATATTCATACATCTATATGGGGGAAAACCTTCATTATCTTTCCCATCATTTGCAAAAATCACATGCCATTTTTCAAAAGAACTTGAGCTTTCTATAAGAAAGTAACCAAATAGAAGAAATAGAAATGCTTGGAGCTTGAGAGGGAGACACATGGTTGGAGAAGGGAAATTTGAACAACTGTTTGGGGTTCATTTGTTCACTCTAAGACTTGGACTTGATTTTTTCTAGGGACAAGAGAGAAGACTGTGTCAGAAAAGGAAGGGGAGGTTGCATAAATCACTTGCAAAGGAAACAGTCCGGTCTCTTTGCTGACAGACAACAAGATTTCTCTGCTGAATTGGGGTTTATGTTTACTCACCATATTGCCCCGTTGGTTAACAGTTTAATTTGCTAAATTTTTTAAAGAAATTGAGAGTTTATAGTCTAATTAATGCTACGGATTCTGCCTAATATTAAGTTGGTCAATTGCAGCACAATCTGTTGGCCACAAATTAATTGTCACTTCGAAAAGGACTTGAAAATTGGAAGAGTCCAAGAATATTCACTGCACAATCACAGACTCGGAAATGAAAGGAAACGAGAAAAGATTGAAGCAGTCATTTTCCAACATTAAAAATGCAACACCTGCTTAACTGCCCCTCTTGATCATATTTGATTGTTGCGTCTATCCAGTCACTGCACAATCACAAAAATAAAGAATGGAAAAAACACTTGTGAGAATCTCACTCAATGACTCAATCAAAGACGAAATTCAAAGCTTTGCTTGTGAACTAAGAGTTGTTTGTGAGGTTAGAAATTCATGGTTCATGGTCGATGATGAGATCAAAGAATCAGGAAGATGGATGATTATACCCAAAAAGAATAAAATGATGGGCAATTTGACAATGTTTTTGTCAATCACAGAACCAAGTTCCCAGTACAAAACTATTAAAAAAACTGCACCAGCCGGGAATCGAACCCGGGTCTGTACCGTGGCAGGGTACTATTCTACCACTAGACCACTGGTGCTGTGATGTCGGAGGCTTTGTAAACCATTAGAAAGCTAACTCAAAAGTAATCAAGGTAGCCGAGGATCAAATGCAAGAGCAGGGAAAGCAAACCAAGAATGAAAGCTCAATTTTTTCAGGTCTGCAAATGAAATAAGAAGGAACCTTGATAACGCTGCACAATCCTCCACAGCTTTTCCACCATGAATAAGTTGAGTATCCTTGTTTGGCCAAAGCATGGAAACTTTCCATGGTATTCTTGTTGTAAAGAGTGTCTGGAACAGAGCACCTATTTCGATTGCCCCGAATGACAGCCGGCATTGCAGATTCCTCATCTCAATCAGACGGCAGGGATTCAGCGAGAAGAGTTAAATGATTCGATCATTTTTGCGATTACAACCTAGTCATGCTGTAACATATAAACTGCAGGAATGTTGCATTGATCATTACATAAAAAATGGGAGCAAATCATTTTTTATATATTTTTCCTTTATCACACAAACACAAGCATATCATGATTTTATATAAGATGTTATGATAAGAGTACATACACGAATACTGTTTAATATTATGCCATTTGAAAGTGTTTTGGCATTTCAGGATACATTGTAAGCGTATAATATATGTAGATATTACATGCTTTTTTTTAGTATTTCAAACCAAGCTTTGCAGACATATCAGACAACCATAAAAGAGATCTCGCAGTGTCCATTGACACAAAGGAAACTATAGGGCTAATATTTTATGAAGATGAGCTCGAGGAATCAAAGTAGGAGATCCTTGGCCTCTTGTTTGGGAATGTTGAACATGGTGAATATTCTGGTGAAGCAGAAGCCTTCTCCAGGACAGAATTCAGGGCCTGATGAATGGAACATGCAAGGAATCGTCGTGCCTCAGCATCATCAACATGTGCAGTACTTCTGCAGCCAGAAAAAACGAAATCAGTTTTCAACCGACTTCCCAAGGTTGATATTTCAGCCTTTACAATCTTAATTGGAAGGGCATCGAGGGCTTGTCGTAGGTCAGTTAGAAGTGCAGGTCTATAATCACAGCAGATTGATGCCTCAAAACAAAATGTCCCATTGGCTTCATCATCACATGGTTCAACTCTCACCTCATCATCATCCATTGGAACAAGAAAAACTTTACTGGCTTCAGTTGCATTCTTCTTCAGCTCTTTAACTTGCTTAAGTACTTCACCAAGTAATGTGGCTTTATCCATCTACCATGAGCAATTGAAACATTACTATCAGCTCAAAAACATTTTCAGGTACAAATTTCTGTAAGAAAATAAATAGGCTGCTAGTCTGTCCAATATCAAACTAATCAATCAAATTATTGGTTCCCAATACCGATATATTCTTATGATAGACTTGTGCACTGAAGCAAGTAGACATACAACCAAGATAAATCTTAAAGCATTGTCCAACTGGGGATAATTCCTCAACTACGAAACATGCCAGTTACTCAGATGAATCAGCTATGGCAGGAGTTGGATCAAACCAGTAACTACCTAGTAGATGATGCATTGACCTTGATCCAAAAGATAGCATAGATGAATCCTTTGACTTAATTATTAAAAAAACGTTGACAAACGGAGAAGAGCAACAAAAAGAGCATGTAATATAAGCACCTTTCTTGTCCCAGATGTCTAATCATTGCTTACGTCCCAACCATAATATAATATCACATTGCTAACCAAAACAGATCAATATATGTCAGGTATATTAGTTAACACATTGAAGAAATAGGCCTCACGAGGATCCATAGCAGAACAGCTGTTACATTGCCCCACCAATCCAATCATTATCATTGTAATTACTTTCAAATATATATATATATATATATGAAGTCCAGTGTCCAACCGACTATAAGTTTTGACATAAAAAATATTGTAGAATGTTATGTCAACAGATTATATTATGGCTATATTAATTGTTAATTAACAGAAAGATATGAGAAGAGTAGAAGCAGTTAAAGGTAGCATGAAAGGGTTGCCAACCATTAACTAACAAATATTAACTAATTAAACAAGATGATAAGAGTTTGATCCGATGATAATCAGTCTCTTTTCTTATCTACATTGAAACTTATATCCAGTTTGGTTAATAATGAGCATATCCAAACACATAGACTGTCCTTTTCTCTTTCTGTAACTTCTTTTATGTAAGATCAACCTGTAGACAAGCTTGCGTGATTGGTTTTGTTTGAAAATACAAAGTCAAACTCATTTAGAACTCTGAATATTCAGCATGAAACAAAGATGTTCTCAACCATAAATAAACCCGAATCTCATAATTGTCAAATTCCAAAATATCTATTAAATTAAAAAAAAAAAAAAAAGAAAGATGCATCCTCTAGTTGACTCTAGCATATCCAAAATTCAGAGTTGACCTTCCAAGTGCGAAAATAATGCAGCAAATAAGAGCATTACTTAATTTGAATAAGAGATTTCAAATTTAAACATTAAACACTTGTTTCATGAGCTCACAACTTCATTTTTGTTATTCTCACAGGGTACAATAAATAACTGCACAATACCATTAGAGGAGGCCAATTTTACATCAAGAACTCTGTAAATTTACATTGCATATTAAATTAAGCTGCTCATTATTTTGTAAGAATATCCGGTTCAAGATTATCCCAAAAAATAATAAATGTTTCATCATTCATCACGGCCTGACAGTCCTATGATCAAACTCATCATAAGCAACCTCTAGGTTCTAGAAATGTTAACTGATATTCTAAAAATTGAGGTAAAAGAATCAAGTACACCAGTTAATTAGTCCAAAATTTAAACATGTTATTGTCTCTTTCAAGATTTGGGAAAGGAAACCAATTAGGCTATGCCTTAGCAACAATTAGGCCAAATTTCTTAACGTAGGATAAGTGCTTGTTTAATGTTTTCTGTTTTCCATTGCTCTTCCCTTTGCCTTAAACATCTAAGGCTTTGGGTTCTTTTCTTTCCCTTACTTTTCTAAGCAACCAAACACACTCTACCTTCACAGTAACAGTTAAAAGAAAGGGGCTTGCTGCATATGGTCTAATTGATACTACATATTAACATCTATGAACTGTTAAAAAGAGCAGTTTCATGAATGCAAGCCAGCACTTGTTTAGTTCAAAGAATCCTATGAAGCACATAATATAAGCAAACTAATCCAGATCCTTCTCCCAACGAAATTTCCCATTATCAATTTTCAAGAATTGCTTCAAAAATTTAAATTAACTGAATTATATTAGTCATATAACAAAGATAAACCAAATTCTAACCTTTTCTGTGAAGGGCAAGAGAGTGCGGAGCGTATCAAGATGAGCATTGATCCTTTCTCTCCTCCTCCTCTCTGCCTCGCTGTGACTCTTCAAAGCCGCTATAACCTTCTCTTCCGATACGCTTTTCTTTCCTACTTTCACCGGCGCCTTCACCAGCTCTCCTTTCTCACTATCCAAAACCAGGGTCTCTGACACCGACAGAGAACCACCACGGGGGCTTCCATTGCATGGACCCAAATCACGTGAAAACGGATCAAAGAAACCGGAATAGCAATCCCCAGATGAAAAGTTATTGTTGAAAAAGTAAGCAGCCATACAAAACAGAAAAACAAAACAAGGATCTCACGAGTTTCTAGTATCTGTTGGTTATTCTACGAGCCAGAAGTGAAAGAGAGGAGACCAGGAGGACGTGTGGTTGGAGCGAACCAGAAGGAGAGCTTTGGGAGAGGGAAGTTTTGATGGCTAACGACTTTCTTTTTGTTGTTGATCAGTGCTATGTCTGTTATGATGACAGCTTCCATTACGCAACAGGACAAGTCCAGGGAGATAGTTTAAGCAGAAGAAAGTTTAACAAGAAACATCCACATTTTCTTCTTGATGGTCTTAAATTCTACCATTTCTTCGAGATATGTGTGCTTCTTTTGAGAGTTTTGAGACGTTTGAACGTGAAAGAAAAAAAAAACCAAAAATAAAAAAACCACGTTTTGGATGGGATTTCGATGAATATTCAAGAGAAAATGAACAAACAAGTCAAAGGAAATTGAGGTTCCAAATCCAAGCAGAAGAGAATTGGGCTTCAAGAACAAAGGAAGCAACAGGAAGCAAGTATCTGCCTCTCTGAGTTGTGAATTAAGAAGTTATCTAAAGGTCAATGGAATAAACCAGCACCATATATTTAATTTAAGGTATCTTAATAATAGCTTTAAAAATCCAAATTTATTGTATAATCACACTTCAAATCATAAACACATAAACTAAAATCATGGTGAATTTTTTTCATCTTTTTTTTACTTTAAAATTATGATTTGGTGAAGGTTAATCAATCTATCTGGTGTGGAAATTTATACAAATTTCTATATAATAATGGTTATGTTTTTGTACTTTTATAGAAGATAAATTCAACTATGAATTTTATAATAAATTTATGTTATATCATTATGGAATTGTAGAATTATTCATCCAATTACCAACCACTCTGAATAGAGTTTGGTATGACCAATTTTTTTTGTTATTCATTGTCAAAAATGGTAGGCTAATGATATAGGAATAAGTTGGGATTTAAAAAAAAAAAAGAAGTTAGAATCTTTTTACCAGGTCTGTCCTTTTGATTATAACAGGTTTTGCAAAAGTAAACCACAATTAGTTACTAATTAATTAAATTAATATAACAGGAGCAAAACAAAACTTTGCTTCTTCAATTTCCCAATATATAATATTATTGGAAGACTTTGTTTAAATTATGATATATAATTTTTATATAAAATATAATATAAATATATAAATTTTAATATTTTATATGATATAAATATATTAATTATCAAATTTAATTCAATTTGGATATAAAAATAAATTAAAAATTTATAACTACTTGGGTTAAATATTTGTCTAGATTCAATTCACTTGAAGATAATAATATTTTATAATTAATTAATTATATAAGTTTTGTCTCTTAAAGTTTGTCTGTTGATAGCCTACCCTTTCATCAACCCAATTTGTCAAAGAAATGATAATCATTTTATGATAAGTGCAAAGATGAATCAAGCAAACTTCTAGTTGATGTGATGTTTTTGAAACAATGGAATCATTGAAAAACAATTATGTCCAAAAAAAAAAGAAAAATATTGCTACTTTCTTGTCTTAGGGCCTCTTTCCAAAAAGGAAAAAAAAAAAAAAAGGAAAATGACTTTAAGACCAAAGATACTAAATATGACAATTGACAAAGCTCTCTCAACCATGAGATAAATGTAGTTGATTATCACTTATCAAAAGGCTTCATTTATTTAAGTTTCTTACATCATGTGTCTAATGATAAATTTTTTAAAAGAGTTAGGAGATTCTTTAAGTTTTGTCCAAGTTTGATTTTTTAAAAAAATAATTTTAAGGTATATTTTTATATCAATTTGACACATTTAAATTTCTATTATTAGAGTATTTTTTATATAAAAAGGATTGTGTTTGAAAATAAAAGAAAAAAATTGAAATTTGAATTTAAAATTTATTAAAAATTATTTTTAAAAATTATATAAATAAATTAAATTTTAAAAATTATTTTAATTAAAAAACCATTTTCTTGGAATAAATCTTGTGTATTCAAACAGACGATAATATAATACTTTAAGGTTTGTTAGAAAATAAAATAATTAAAAATAAAAGTGAATAATTAGTTGGTTTGATTTAAAAAATAATAATTGAATTAATTGATTTTTATTTAATAAATAATTAAATTAACTAAAAATTTTTAAATAATTGATCATAATCGAACCAATAAAAATTGGTTCGATTCAATCTTAAATAATCAAACTTTTTATTATTTTTTCCTTATTATTATAATAATTATTTAGTTACAAATTTAATACAATAAAATTTAAATTCAAATATTATTCAAATTAAATTATTAAAAATATTTAATAATTTTAATAACATTTTATAAAAAAAATAAAAATAATCATCTCAACTTTTTTACTCTTATTTATTATAAAATCAATTAATTTGATTAGTTTAATTATCAGTGTTAAAAACTAAAAATCAATCGATTTTAATTAATTTAATTGATAAAAAAATAAATGATAATCAAAATCAAATAAATTATTTTTTATTAATTTCAGTCAATTAAATCAATTTAAATTGATTTTTGTTCATCTCACCAAAAACCTATTGTCTAGAAAAAAAAATGTTCCCTTGTTATGAAAAAAGAAAGAGAAATAAAGGTGAACTGCAAACAAATTATTTAAAAACATATAAGCGTTTTTTTTTTATTTTTTGAAAAAAAAAATAGTTAAAACCAAACAAGCAATCCATGGTGGTCTACAGAAAGCAACTGGATGTAAAAAACTAAATGCAATACTCTCAAACCCACTACTCCCACTTTCCCACTTAAAAAAGAATCAAGTAGTGGAAAACTTGTGGCTATGGACGGTAGCTCTCTTGTTTCGATGGTTAAAATTTATTGAAAAGAACTGATGTACCCCCCTTTCTTGAGTCCTGGTTTAGCTGATGATTTTAAATTATAACAAATTTGAAGCTAACGTCATGAAGTTTTTCTTCTTTTTTGAAAAAAAAATTGTCATTAATGCATTTGTGAATCGTACATATATAAAGTCAATCGATTGTGACAGAAAACCAAGAAAAAGATGAAGGCATATCAACAAATCGCTGATCAATCTTTTTGCAATACCATTTACGGCTAAGGGGTTAAAAAAAATTGAAATATTTTAATCGATTAGGTTTATGTTTTTTACGAAGAGGTGTTAAGTTAAAATCGATGATTATTTATTAAAATTATTTTGAATATATAATTGTAGTTATTTATTTTAAATTATTAGATATTGAGTTGAGTTTTTTAAATTTTTATTAAATAAAATATTTTAAATAAATTTCTTTAAAATTTATTATTTTTAAATTTTAAAAAAATGTTTATAAATACGGGCATACAAAAGATGAATCTGTCAATTTCGGAGAAGACGCCTCCATGGATTACTTCTTTGGTTCAAATGAGAAGAAATTTCTAATGCTCCCAATTTAGATAATCCAATAAAACAATTTCTTAAGAAAATATGGTAGAAATTCTAAAACTATGTATATGGTAAGAAAAAAAAGCGAAAAGGATACCGTATTGGCTTAGCACCGCTGACAGCCGCCCATTCCACCTGCTCGAAGTTCCGACTGCTATAGCAAACCAAAACAAGCTGACGTTAGTACTTAGTATAGTCCCTCTCTTTCTCCCAGCAGCATTCAGCACTGGCCGCCACCACGGCTTCCTTTAAAGCCTCACTCTCTTCTACACCGTCGATATCTTCATCGACCAAATCAACGGCCCTCAAACTGCCTTTACATCATTATGGCGACGCCTCATCCAATGGCGGCAGATCGTCGCTCTCAGCTAAGATGATGATATCCGTTCCTTCTTCCATTTCCCCAACGACGTAGCTTGACTTCCATACCTCCCTTTTCAAGATAAAAAATATCTCGCTTACTGGTCACGACGAGGTTCACTGCTAAGCTAAGTTCTTCCTTTTCTTTTTTAATTGTTTTATTTATTTTTTTCCGATTAATTTCATATAATGGTGGTTTAGGTAATTGTGAAGTATATAGTGAGAGGAGGGCGACATTTGTTCCCTTTGTTGAATGATGCTTTCAAAGGAATCAAACCAAATGGAGTCACTCGTTGGGTTTCTCAGGTATACTTAGTTTTACCACATTTGCTCCTTTTTTAATCTTTCCTTCTACATATTTCTGTTAAAACAAAAAGGAAACCCATTTTTTCACTATCTGTGAAAAGCAAAAATCATGCTTTTCATTGACTATGAAAGTCCATTTTTATGGTGATAATGATATGTCCTAACCCATTGATTGTATTGTTTTGATATGAGTTTGATATGTCTTATTTATATTAATGTGTGATTGAAATTATGTTTTTTCCAGGGGCCAAGCTCAAGCACAGTATCTGAGCGATTCTCTCGCGGAGGCAAAACCTGATATTATTGTGAAGGCAAGCTCGAAAGTTTTTCTTCTTGTTTAAGAACAAGAAGGTTTCTGTCAAACTGCATTCTTTTTTAATTCAATGATTGATTTCGATTTTACTGAATGTGTAATTTGCTCTCAGATTGGGTTGAGGAAGGACTCTCACTCTTTTGCTGAAGCCCGTGCTGCAGGATTCACTGAAGAGAATGGAAATTTGGGGGATACGTGGGAAACTATTGCTGGCAGTGATCTCATGTAATTGTTGATCTCTGATTCAGCACAGGTTACAAGATGTATTGCATTTTTTCCATTTCTTCCGTTTAAATTATTGGTTATTAATTGTTATTAGCATTGACTGATTCTATAAGCTATATGCCTTACCTGACATCTTGCTTAGACTGAATGTATGATTCATGTATAACATGTTTTCCAACACTATTAGACTGATTTGTGATGATTTGCAAATTCCGACACCTACATGTACTATCATTGAGAAGCCATCTAATTAAATTTATATCAATAACAACTTTCCTGTGAAGTCCATCATTCTTTGTTGTTCTTCGTTTCTTATTGCTTTTAATTTTCTGGTTGAATATTACTTTACCATTTCCTACATCTAATGCATGGGAAAATTCAAACCAAATACTTATATTCTTTGCACTTTTTGGTTTGTTCTTAGGAGGCATTAATTTTAACTTTATCTTATAGGCGGATAATTATGAAATGGTCTTCTTCCTCATGAAGTCAGATAGCATCCTTGGACTTTCCCATGGGTTTCTTCTTGGTCATTTATGATCAATGGGGCTGATTTTCCTAAGAGCATCAGTGTAATTGCTGTCTGCCTGAAGGGGATTGGGCTCTCTCCTTTTTTGGGAGTTTTACTTGTGAATCCCTATTGTGGATCTAATTTTGTGATTGTTTACATAGGGTATGTTGGCTGTGTACAATTCATTGTCTGAAGATAGCAAGAACCGATTTGAGGCTGTTTATAGTGCCTTATGTTATCCTTGTATGGAAATCCTGTATGAGTGTTATGAAGATGTTGCAAGTGGAAGTGAGATTCACAGTGTTTTTTTGGCTGGGCATCGCTTTCGTATATGTTTAAGGCATTATATCTGAGCTTTTGTGAGTTTTGCACATGATGATCCTCTTTTGTGAATCTTTCATTGCTTAAATTCAGTTTTTAGCAAAGACAAATCTTGCTTGATGGTTAACTCAGATTTTTTTTACAGGAAAAGGAGGGTCTACCTGCCTTCCCAATGGGTAAAATTGATCAGACACAGATGTGGAAAGTTTTGGTGAGCGTGTCCCAGCAACAAGATCCAATGATCATCTAGGTCTGTTGTGTCCTTTCACTTCTGGGGTTTTCGTGGCACTAATGATGGCCCAGGTAATCAATTCAATTTTAAAATTTGGATAATGATAAATATAGTACTCGTCTTAGGGACAAAGTAAATCACTTTTAAGAATTGTGTTCTGTTTTTCTCATCCTTTATAATTAAAAATCCTAATTGAGGTCTTGAGAAAGAAGGACCAATTTACTCAGAAATCATCAATGAGAGTTGATTGAAGCAGTTGATTTGTTGAATCCCTTCATGCATGCTCAAGGAGTCTTTTTCATGGTTGGGATCATGAAAGTGGACGTTTTGATTACATCCTTACTCAACAGGCATTTCTTGCAGAGGACTCAGGCACTCCTCCCATCAACCAGGACCTGATAAGCAACTTCTTATCTGATCCTGTTCGTTGAGCTATTGATGTCTGTGCACAGTTGAGACCAACTGTGGATATATCAGTTCCCCCAGATGCATATTTTGTTCGCCCAGTATTGTGCCAATCTAGTTATTTATTATGATACCTAGGTGAACTTTTTCTCATAGAGTAGGGCACTTTCCACTAAAAGCTTAATCGAGTATTGTTACTAGCGAGAATCTGCTTTTATTATTATCTTAGCTGGTGTTTGATTAACATCAGACAATAGAAGTATAAGATTTCATCACAGTTTTTGTTGAAATTGGATTTGGAGTAATCGTGGAATAATAAATTCACTTGGTTTTATTTTACTTTGTTGAATACTGGCACGAGAAATGCACTGATCCATATCATAAGATTTGCACAGAAGTAAAACATAAAGCAGCAAAATGTATAGCTGCTGCAGGTTAGGCTAGGTGGAGAGTAAGCTGATAACAATCACTGGAATCCGGTGGCTCCCCAGGAAACAGACTGTGCATTTTACTGCCCAGCAGCAAATGCTTCAACGGGAAATGTCTTTGTGACACCAGCGAGCCTCTTGAAGTGGATTTTTCCCGTGGGTGGGTCATCCATTACAATCTCATTCACTGGAGGCCACAACATGAGTTCTTTAGCCTTAACTCCCTTGAGCTTCTTGATCCGCCTCTTCTCAACTAAACCAGTAATTTCAGTGTCATAGCTGACCAGCTTGCTGATCAACTTGAAGTTGTGTTCAACCTTCTTTTGCACGATCCACATGTAGCCAGTATTCCTTACGAAACCAACTTCAATCACATTTTCAAGAGGGAGAAGTCCCGCTGGGAGCCCAAACTCTTGGAGAAGAGCAATCGCCATTTTCATTCCCTCATCACGGCCTTTCTTGATAATTCCACCCTCCTTCTCTGCCATTGCCAAAGGAGATTTCTGAGCTATTTACTTTTCAAATCTTTGTGCAACTGCTTAAAGTTGTGACCTTATACATGAAGTAACGAGATTATTTATACGGATTGCATGCACACTTATGACAATTAAAAGGGAAATCGAGGTTAGCATCATTGTGTTAGCCACCTGACGGGCTTTCCGCATAAAACCGGCCGCTAACGTTATTAAGTATCTAAACAATTTTGGCTGCCAGCCTGCCACTTTTGTTTGCACTACACCCACAAGTTAATCACATGTACACTTAATAACGTCATTCGATGTTTCATTTGTGTGTTGAAAGATAGCTCAAACGGCATGGGAATTATTGGGAATTCAACCTATTAATAACTATTGTTCATAGCTTTAGGGTGAAAAATAGTTTCAAGAATTTTTGTATGTCCCGGTTGCGTATTCGTTTTTGTTTATCCTGTATTGCTTGATCTACATCGTTTTGGCTTGTTATTGTCCAGGTTCTTTTTTGCATTTTAGCCATTAGCAGAGGAATTGTGTTCTTGCAAACAAAAACTGTATGGCCTGCCTGCATTCATAAATCAGGTTCGTAGTTCCAAAACAGAGGAGGGAAGGGGAGTGGATAAAAAATGAAGCTTGAACCTTGCCAAATGACTATAATTAAAAGAGTATAGCAATATATAGAAAACTTAACAAAGCAGAGATCAGTCAATATCCAGTACAATCCAAGACTATCGTAATCATGTAGAAAATGCAGAGTGTTTCTCATGAACAGAAAAAACAAATCAAGACATTATTGAACATTTACCCATTTGATTTTCTTTTTTACATTTAAAGTACCGAATTCAAGCAATTAAAAAGGCCTTCCTAATTGATCAAACTCATCAATTACCTTCCTAACTCAATGGCCATGGAATTGAAGATGTCGATGGCTATGGCATTGAAGATGTTAATGACATTGTTGGAGGCTTTTTATAGGGAATCTAAGATGAACAGGTAAGAAGAGAAAGGAGCTGGTGAAAGAAAGCTTAAACCGAAAGGAACAGCGAAAAAAAAAACCCAGAACAGAGGAAGGAGATGGCCTCTCTTGACTCTTGAGATGATGGCATCAATAGCAAACAGAGTTGAAGGAGGGATGTAACACAAACAGAGGAAGAGGGAGAAAGAAAGACTTGGATGCAGAACTTTGACCATTCAATCTCGTCCCTTTCCACTTCCATGTTGGACAACCTATCCACGTGGAATGCCACATGTGCACCGTTAATACCATATCATCTTTCCGTTACTAACTCTGTTTGAAACTTAACGTCAGGATTGACTTCGTTACATTTTATAACGTTTAGTACTAAAATAATAAACTTCAAACGTATAGTTCTGAAAGTTATAATTTTGAAAAAGTTTAGCACAAAAAGTGTAATTATCCCTATTAAACTTAACTGAGATTGTAGACCATACATTGGGAAAGCCACGGTTTGAATCCACCTGGAAAAGTATATACAAAAAGAAGATATGCAGGGTAGAAAGAAGCAAATTTCTGTGATGTTTTCCTGGAAGTGATTTTCTTTGCCCGTTGCATACGCTTTTAGTTTAATTGGTCAGAAGTTCACGTTCAGATTACGTATGTTTCTCTTTCTTCGTAACTGCCAAAACCCACTTTCCCGAGAAAATATCATCACCTCTTTGGCTCTTTGCTTGAAGTCGGTATCAATAATACTAGTAAACTCTTTAATCTCTTTCTATTTTGCATTTAAAAGTACCCCTGCATCTTTCTTCACTACCAACACTTTCAGCTTAGCATAAAAAATGTTATATACTCATAAATCTAATTGATTTTTTCTCACATTAATTTTTTTTAATTTTAATTTAAAATTTAATTCAATTAATTTATATAATTACTTTTAAAATATAAAATTTAATTAGTCTAAAGTTCAAATCTCTATACTTATATTTTATTTTCTTATTTTTATAGAACGAATTTAAATTTTTAATTCGTTGAATGTTATTTTTAAAAATAATTATATATATATCAATCGAATAAAATATTAATTTATGTATATTTTTATACATCCAGAGGCGTTATCGTTTACCTAACCTTAATCGAAATTTGCTACTGTTAAACTAAACTAGCGCAGACATTTGGTATTTAATAACTGTCGTTGTCGAATGTAAATTACTCAACACCTTCAGTAGCAAAATCGAAACTTCAATGATGTATACTTATAACCAGACAGGTTGACGTTACGACCAATTCATGTTGGAGTTGTTAGCTTGTTCTTCTCGTGCATGTGTGGCAATGATTAATTTAACAAAATTTCCATGCAGGCTTGTAAGCAACAAATTATATCCTAAGTATCTGATGATCTACTGGATTAAGGAAAGTTATGAAAGGATTCCAACGTTGGACTTACATTTCTATGATTGTTAAATTTAGGGTCGATAATTCAATTCGTCTCTGATGAGTTTCGATCCGATTCGACTTTATGAGGTGAATTTTTTTTTTTTTAAATTTGAGTTTTGAGTTGGATCGGGTCGGATAAAATTTAAAAAATAGTCGGATTCGGATTATAGGTAAATCCAATCCAATATTATATAAAAAATTATTTTTAATTAATTATTTAGTTAATTAATTATTTATATATATTTATATAATTATATTTTTAAATATTTTATATTTAAAAATAATATTTTATATTTAAAAAATAATATTTTATTAATTTCAGGTCGGATCGAATACGATTTATATAGTATCAGATCAAGATCGAATTTAAATATGAAAAAATAAAAAAAATTTCAAATAAAATCGAATTCAGATTTAATAACATATAAAATCGAATCGAGTTCAAAACGAGTAAAATCTACTCCAAACTTGACCCGATGTTAACCCTAGTTAAATCTTTATGTTCTTGATGTATTAATTTGCCAACAAATTAATCATTACTTAACTCGGTTTGGTTTGCTCGTTAGATTGGCAATCATAATGGCAACAAAAATACGCGGAGGGATTTTCCCAAGATACCATTTTGACTACTGTTTTGTTTCAATTTTTAAAGCAAAATTATAAGCTCCTTTTTAATTTCGAAGCAGCTGCTAGGCTTTTTCCCTCGAAACCTGTCGTAAGCTTTGTCGCTAATAAGCAGCTTGACGTGGGGACTGTTTTCTATTTCTCATCTACTAATGTGTTATATCTTATCCCTCTTGAGTCTTGACCTTCCACTATATATACAAGTGCCATTGCATGCTTCTCATCAATCCCTCAGCTTCAATTCAAAAGAGAAAGATTAAGAATTTCTAATTAATCCCTCAAAATGGCGGTTAGTTTAGAACTCTGCCTCTCTCTTGGTCTGCATGCATGCCCATTTACAGTTTCTTTTCGTATCATAACACATTTCCAGAGAATCACTTTGACACCCTCCTATACTTTTGATAATTTGATGGTTTCAAATCTGTTTCATAAGAGAGAGGTTTATCAAACATTAACATGGTTTTTTTTTTTTCTCCTGCAGATAATAGAAATGAGAGTAAGTATGGATTGCGAGGGCTGCGTGACCAAAATAAGGAAGGCTCTCAGAAAACTCAAGGGCATGTTCAACTTTCATGGCGTTTCATATTTTCTTTCTACTTAAACGTTTCTTTGTTTGTCATCTTCATGCATAATATTACACTGGTTATATGGCTTTGTAAGCTTCTTGAAGCTTTAGAAGATTAGTGTTGATGGCTTAATTTTGTGTGTGTAATTTCTTTCAGGAGTAGACAATGTGTACATAGACAGGGACAAGCAAAAGGTGACAGTAATGGGTTGGGCAGCGTCAGACCATAAAAAGATCCTGAAAAAAGTTAGGAAAACTGGGAAAAGAGCAGAGCTGTGGCAATATCCATTCAACTCTGAGAACCAATTTTACTACAATTACTATCAAAGGCAACCCATGATTAACTACTATGCAACTGGGCGTTCATCATCCTACAACTACTATGAGCATGGCTATGATGGTCATGATCATGGTTACTATCAGCCACCGCCGTACTCAACTCTGGTTTATCAGCAAGCCAGCTCTATCTTCAGTGATGAAAATCCCCTTGCTTGCTCCATTATGTGAGCTATATATGCGTACGTGCAAATAAAGATATCTTTAAGCATATGTGCTTACTTTTTCTTCACTTCTGTCTTCTAATAATTGTATCAATTTTGTGTCCGTCGAAGAATTTCCTTGTGCCTTCCGCTTGTATTTGTTTAAGTTCGCTTGGCGTTTTGTACGTGTTCGGAAAAGGATTATACCAAGCTTTTAAAGTAAATTTGTAAAATTTTTATTGAAAAAATTAAATAAAAAATTCAGATCGATATGCTTTGTTACATAAATTAAATATGTAAAATTTAAAATTTTAAAAAATAATATATTCTTTAAATATATACTTTTATTAAAATTTTTAACAAACTTTTTTCATTAAGTATTATTTAAATTTAAATTATAAATAATATTGGATATTTTTAATATAAAATTTATGAATCTTATTTAAAAAATAAATTTTAAATTTTAAATCTTGATTTGAATTAAAAATCACTCACGATAAAATAAAATACGATTACAGGAGCAAATCGCATTATTTTAGTGCTTGGATAATAAAATTTATAGCAAGCTAAAATTATTAATTTTTAAATATACATCAATAAAATTAATATTTGATAAAAAATAATTTAATAATTTTTAATAAGTTATTAATTTTATAAATATTAAATAATTTAAAATTTTTATTATATATTATTTTTAATTTAATATATATAATAATTTTTTTCTTACAATTTATTTCATCATCATAATTATTTTAATATTTAAATACATATATCTTCGTTACAACAATTAATTTCCTTAATATCACCATCTTTAATTTCATCCCAATCAATTTCTTTTTCCCGTTCAAATAAGGCCTTAAATTCGCGTATATGCTGTCTTCCGCTTCTTGATAAAGTGATTGAGAAGGTTTTAAAGACGCCTGTGAAAAAACAAAAACCGCGTATATGCTGACCTGTCACAATCGGTTGCCTTCCCTTACAAACTTCTAAAAAACAACACTCCCCAAGCAAACAATTACGGTCCAAACTCCTTAAAACGACCTCGTTACATTGCCTAATTTAATGAAGAGTGTAAACCACGGCCCCAATCTCGTGTGGGTCATTGACATTCAAGGTCGGCCAGTCTTGTCTTGTCCCCTCTTACTCCATTTAGTTCTCGACACCTCCAACCCCCCAAAAAAACCATCTTCTGTCTCGCTTCTAAAAAATACTTTCTTAATCAGCCATGGAATTCTCCGATGGACGTGAAAACCTCGTTTACATAGCCAAGCTCGCCGAACAAGCCGAGCGCTTCGAAGGTCCGACCTACCCAAACAAGGCCTTAAACTTTTTTATTTTTTTGCTTTAACATTTTAAACTGTGGAATTTTTTGTTGCAGACATGGTGGTTGCTATGAAAAAACTAGCGGAGCTTGATGTGGAACTGACCGTAGAGGAAAGAAACCTATTCTCAGTCGGGTACAAAAACGTGATCGGAGCTCGAAGAGCATCGTGGAGGATCTTATCTTTAATTGAGCAAAAGGAAGAAACCAAAGGGAATGAGCAAAATGTTAAGCAAATAAAAGGGTATAGGGAGAAAGTGGAATTGGAGTTGTCCAATATTTGTAAAGATATTATGAGTGTGATCAATGAGCATCTCATTCCTTCTTGCTTGGGAGGAGAGTCTACTGTGTTTTATTATAAAATGTGAGTATCTTTTTTGTTTTTTCCTTTCCGTTGATTGGTTATGTGGGGGGTTTTCCTGATGTTCTCTTTGGGGGTCTATTTGGTTGCAGGAAAGGGGATTATTATAGGTATTTGGCGGAGTTTAAGGTTGGTGATGAGAGGAAAGAGGCTGCTGATCAGTCCATGAAAGCATATCAGGCAAGTTTATTATGGTTCACTTATGTTTAATGAAGAATTTGGACTTATCAACTGTTGGTTGATTTATGGAGATGTAAAGAGGTTGGTTGTTAGATGTACATTTTTTACTTATAAATTTTTGGTTGGTTGTTGTATGTTCCTCAAACTTTTGGCAGTCAAGACTATGTTTGTGGATAAGACAGAGGTGAAGTTCCTTAGGAGAAGTTTGTTGGGCTCCTCAATGCAATCAGGCCATGTATTAAAATTATTGATTCCACATCCTGGCATCCTAATTTTTTAACTTCAACTCCCAATGTTGAGTCTGCAATTTTAACACATGGCATGATTTTATTAAGAAGCCTAATGAACTTTGAATAAGGAATTTCTCTGAAGTTTTACCCATATTTGATATAATTTTTGTCTTTATTTCATTGCTTCCCACCTTATATTCATGAATCAAATGTCATAAAGGGGAATTTGAATAAAAAGTCTCTTTCCATTGCCGTTTTCTTCTAAGGAAGCAATCTGCAATTTTAACACATGGCTTAATGAACTTCACATAAGGAATTTCACTGAAGTTTTACCTATGTTTGAGATAGTTTGTCTTTATTTCATTTCTTCTCATCCTACATTGATGAATCATATGTCATAAAGGACGGGGAGTTTGAATAAAAAGTCTCTTCTCATTGCCCTTTTCTTCTAAAGCTGCTAATTCTAGCACATCTTTTTTCCCCTGACTCTGAGATTATTGCCATACTTTGTGCTGGCTACTGCAATTATATTTGTTTGATTCCTTCTGCTGAGCTTGTGAATATAAGTTGTTTACCTTGTGTTATGAAATCTTAAGATGGCTAAAAACACTTTTCAGATGTCTGTTTTATTATCATGCCAAAGTTGAGGGTTGTTATGTTATTTGTTTGCAGTCAGCAACTACTACAGCTGAAGCTGAGATGGCTCCTACACATCCAATCCGGTTAGGTTTGGTGTTGAACTTCTCTGTCTTTTATTATGAAATTATGAACTCTCCTGAAAGGTATGTATGCTTTTTCTATGTATCAACTTTTTAGTTGAGCTATTTTCGATAATTTTGAAATATTACATGTTACATGTTAAACTTCAACACCAGGGCCTGTCACCTTGCTAAGCAAGCTTTTGATGAAGCTATCTCAGAGTTGGATACTTTGAGTGAGGAGTCTTACAAAGATAGCACATTGATTATGCAGCTCTTGAGGGACAACCTTTCTTTATGGACTTCTGACATCCCAGAGAGTGGAGGTAACTTTTAGATACATTAGAGAATGGTTTAACAAGAATTTTCTCTTAATGTCACTTTTAAGCATTCAAATGGCTATGTGAGAAGTATCTTATCCCTCTCCCAAATCTGCAATTTAAAACTTTTTATTAAAACTGATATCCTTGGAATATTTCACCTTTTTTGTGTGTAATACAGTGGACAATGCCTCTCCTAATTCTGCAATTTGAAACTTTTTATTAACATTGATATTTCTGGAATTTTTCACCTTTTTGTTTGTGTAATACCGTTGACAATTTTGACTACACATTGCCAATTATAATCCAACTCTATTGATTATTGCTAGATATGGTTTATAAAATACCATATAATATTATTTTTGCTTCAATATTTGAAGTCTGTTAGTTAGATTCATGGCTTTTTTCTTTTTTAGTTTTGCTATAAATAATTTCAAATGTGTTAGTTGATGGTGAGTTTTTGGAATGGAAAGTGAATAAGTGTGACAGCACATTACATCAAGCATTCAAGGTGAAAGTTTTTGTGTGATGATCAAATTGGAGCTAGATTTTGGTTTGTTCAGATGTACAAGTGCAATTGATGTTGGAGAAAAGGCAGTTCATCAGTCATTAAGATAGAACTAGTTATATAAGTTATTAAGGATTTAGTGCTTGTTTTGTTTCTAGTAATTCATGGTATGCCACAAACTATAGTTGATTAGGGTTTCAAGAATCGCCAGTGAGTGAGCTTTTGTTACTATATCTGTGATCTGGTTTTCTTGTTACTTGAAATTGGTACATAACAATGTCATGTATTTGTTTCACTGCAGAAGAAGCTCCAAAGCTTGGTGCTGGTAAAGCTGGCGAAGGAGAGGAATGAAGCTAAGAAATGAAAAGTTCCAATATTAAAAAAGGAAAAAGGAATGAACTAAAATTTCGTAACTTGCAGTTTTTTTTTTATTTTTATCTAATAATTTTTGTTTATGTTTTTGTAGTTTTGTTAACAGTGGCTTGGGACCTGTTTCATGAATGGAAGTAGTACCTCTGTAACTCTAGGTCCTAGGAGTTAACCAGTTTTCAAACGAGATTCAACTGTCTTCAATGTCTTATTAGTATCTGGGTGTATTAGCTACGATTGTTTGATGCTTTGACTGTGGAGTGTCAATTGCATTTTACATTTTCTACAGCCTCTCTTTTACATCCTCCCCCTCATGATAATGATTTTGTATTAGCAATCATTTTTGTGCAATCCAAGCACGAAAATGTCTCAGAACATCTAAATGACCGACGGTAGCAATGGTTGGTCATCTTTATGTTGATATAATCTTTTATGGCTACCATTGAAGAGCCTAAATGCTTAATGAGTTTTAATCGTATACTAGCTTTTGGTTGAAGAGGAACACTGCTGCTTGGAACTTGGAAGTAGGTGATTTTTTCTTCTCTTCCTTGGGGACTTGAACTTGGGGTTTTTTTTTTTTTAAAGTAAAATTTGATAATCATCTAAGTTATTGTCTCCAAAATCAACAAAACATTCTTGTTAATGTTCTAGTCATCGGATATACACATGTAATTTCTTGGTTGAGAAAAAAATGGGGGAGAGGTTAAGGAGGATCTCTGACGAATTCACATCATGGGATTGGAATAATCAGTGAATGAGGGAACCGTCAGAGAAATGGAGATAAGAACGGGTCTAAATATTTGTTCTACAAACAAGGGAGAAATAGCAAAATCCCCCGCAGAAACTCAACCGGTAGCCTTTAGCCTTTACCCCTTATAAAAGAACAGCCTCTCTTGGTTCGATATTGTTTATGTTTGACATCAAATCTCCATTCTAAACCAAAATACAGAGAAAAAAAAGAAAGGTATAATGGCAACATCTCTCAAGGCTGTCTTCTTCCTTGCCTCGGCTCTTTGCTTCTTGTACCTCCTTGGCATTGCTCATGCCGAAGCTCCCGAGCACTTCTTCGTGGAGGGAAAGGTTTACTGTGACAACTGCCGCGTCCAGTTTGTAACCCGGATCAGCAAGTACATGGCAGGTAAACCCACAATATTTTTTTCTCTGGGATTAATTTAATCGCAATCTTTTTTCATTTGAAGTTTCAACAAATTGTGAGGTTTCTTACGGCGCAAGGTAACCGCATTGGTGTGGTGTGTAAACAGGAGCAAAAGTGCGATTGGAGTGCAAAGACCGTGAAGGCGGGCAGCTGACCTACGCCGTAGATGGTGAGACCGACGCGTCGGGGAGCTACCATCTTAAGGTGGAGGGAGACCATGAGGAGGAGGTCTGCGAGGTTGCACTCGTAGAATCAAGCGACCCTGAATGCGCTGAGATCAACAAGGAAAATTACCTTAGGAAGGGTGCTCGGATTGTCCTCACCAAAGACACTGGCATAAGCTCGGATCGTCGCAGTGCCAACCCTCTTGGATTCATGGTAAAGGATCGTCTGCCTGAGTGCACTGAAGTCCTCAGAGAAATCGGAATCACCGCTGCTGGCTTCGTATAAAGGACATTCATTAATGGCAAAACAAAGTGAAAGTTCATCTGCGTATTCAATAAATTGAGCCCTTTTTTTGACATGTCACACTAAGGACAACCCCCTTAGTTATGAAATGAAACTAGTACTCCTATTTATCATAGTTGGTGAGTTTTGCGAGAATAGTTTCCCAAAAAGTCTGCTGTCGTCTTCCCTCGTATATTTATATCTTGCATGTAATGTGCTTATTTGTTAAAAAAAAAAACCTTTATTTTTCATGCAATTCATGTGGGATTCTAATAAATAGAAAATTTGCGTAAATCCAAACTTGACAGATTCTATTGAAATCTAGTACCAATAGATCACCTACTCTTCCAAAACCAAGTCTGCTCTACTTTGAGATTGATAGAAACACGGTTTTCCAGCCACCAAGCAAATAAGAAAGATGGGTTATCATAAAGGAGAATAAGGTGATCATGATTCTTTTTTTCTCGGGATTATTAGTACACATGATTGTGCCTAATTTTTGTATATAAATTTGAATAACTTTAACAGATTTGCAGTTCTAGATTAAAAGCATCAAATTCGGTTTTGTTTTTTCCGGCCAGTAAAGTAGCTCTGGAATCGTATACGACGGCTGAAACGAGTCCTCAAGAAGTATTAAATGCCTTGGACCATCGGTTTTCATATAAAAACGTCGCTGTAGGAAGCTTTCAAAATTCCAACTGGCCCTTCTTTACTCTCTTCCCATTTCAAGAATCCTCTTAACGACACCCCTTGACCCCTTTTTACCCCACTTATTCCCTGCCCTGCATCACCCCTTTTTCCCTTTCTTCAAGACTTCAAAACAATGGCTTTCAAACACAACGAACTGGTGGAGATATGCAAGAAGGAGGAAGGGTTCTGAGGCATTTATTACATGTAACTCTTCTGGCTGCAATAGGAAGAAACAGATACTTGGTACGTTATGAGACTCGTTTCAACACCGATGGATCGAGGCTCCTCACTGAAGCTGTTGACTCGGATGAAGTCAGGCCTTTGCCCCACAAATTTCTTACACCAATTTCGTCGTGTCTGACAGGGTTGACGCCTTTGTCAACCTTGGTTGGAGGGTTGGAACTGTTACGAGAAAAGTTGATCGCAACTACTATGTGAAGTTGGATTGTAATGGGAACGGAGAGCATTGCGCTTTTTATAAAGTTAGGCTTCATCTCTAATGGCAGAACTGCAGTTGGTTCTATCCTGGAAGTGGGTATGTTGCTTTCTTTTCTTATGTTTTCTTGACTTGTTATTCCTGGAAGTGGGTATTTCTACTTGGTTATTAGAATCTTGGAAGTTTCAGTCAACTTTCTTCCTGGAATTTTTGTTCCAAATGCTCTATTAAGTTTCTTTCCAATTCTTTTCATAACGTGTTCTGCATTCATTAGAGTTCTTACCGTTCCTTGCAATTGGGAATTCTTTAGTATGATTGGCTTCTTTTCTGAAATATGCACCCATTCCAACGATACACCAACCACCCACATCAATTAGGGCTTTCCCTTCAATTTCTGGACAACTACTATTAATATGTAAGCTAATTCTGGGATGGCCATCCTGTTTAATTTCATTTCCAGCCCAATCCAACTCAAATTTTGCAGCATTATGGATTTAAACCTGTCAAAACCAAATATCCATGTCTTAGCCATGGGAATAGTTAGTCTAGACTGAAGTTATTGAATGTTGTTAGACATGCCTGTCAATTATAAAAAATTCCCTGCAGTAGGGATTGCTCGTGTTCTTCTCAGAGGATTATGCATAATCACTCCGTTTCCACTGCAATGAGGTATGAAGACTTTTTGTATTTAGTCTAATTTACTCCATTGATTCGTTTTATCAGGTCTCAATGCAATCAAGCAAGCACATCAGTGCAAGATGGTCAGCTTGCAAATGATGGCATCCAAGCAAACACAGATGATCGCCGGGGGGGGGGGCAGCCTAAAAATGAGGGTCACCAACCAAATGCAGGACAAGGAAGAGGCTAGTCTAGAACTCTAGATGCTGCCACTGAATATCTTTTTCTTTCTTTTTATTTAGCTTTCAATCCTGACTACCTGACAGACTGAATATAGTAGAACAAAGTACATAGAAAACTTTGCTAATGAGCTTGTTTTGCAGCTTCATGGCACAAAATGGGCTAACTTTCAATAGTTTAGTTATTGGTTTGCAATAGTATCATGTAAGTCATTAGTTGGTGAGATATGAAATCTTTCTAATTCTGATCCTTTGCCACGCTAATTACTTTCAGATGACAGATTAACATAATTATATATACTTCTTTGTTGGTTCATTTTTTTCTTCCGTTGCTTTATCTGAAACATGAAAATCTTGTGGAGATGTTGATAGAGGGAAACAGTACATTCTAACATTCCAAAGTCAATTTCTTCAATAGGCTTGCCCCTTATACTCCAGGGAACTACATCTCAAATTAAGTCTCAGCCTCAATTTGTTTTATTACTCTTGTTATTGTTTACATATATATGCTGTTTTGTTTTCTAATGCCATCAATTGGTCACTTGAATCTACAATTCTAACTATTTTAGTGTTCATTCATTGTATTTAATTACAGATACATGATAAACATCAAAAAGAATGTAGGATTCCGCCAACTGACTTCAGCTCAGATGGCATGAGGCTGCTAGACCAGGGAGGTTGTCAGGTTTAATGCCCTCCCCACAGGTAAGTAAGGTAAGTTTACTGTAGCTAGTGGAGTCGGGTGGGTAAGGAGTAGATTAGAAATTTCAAAAAAGAATGTAGGATTCCATAGATGCACCTGGACGGAATCTTGTCACAAAGTGTCCTTTTTGAATGAACTTTATTTGACAAAACAGATTTAAAGAACAGTACAGGACTGTGAAGAAAGCCTTATTATGGAATATTATTCTTGTTCTTTCTGAATGTTATATATTCATTCAATGCACTTCTTTAAACGTAAAGATGTCCTAACCAGTTTCGACTAATCAGGAGGAATTTACCTCATATTAAGATTCCTTATCTTGTACCCGAGGCATCTGTTTTTTCTGACTGCAACATCAATTAAATAGTTAATTTCAGCTTCCCAACCCTATCCAGCAATTCAAACAAGCTTCCTTTTGGGTTCAAATGTTCTTGGTAATTACCAATTTATAAGAAGGGATCAAATAAGAGGTGTCAGCTATCAAGTCAGCTGAGATGGTGATAGTTTTCGGCATACAGGTGTCTTTTTTGGACTAGACGTTCATCTTTTCCTTCGGAGAAACAAAGAAAGAAACACCTGTAATTATATGTTAAGGTCCATTATCCCAAATTCGATCAATATGAATGAAGAAAGCTATTGTTTTTACTCGAAATTAATTCAAACTCAAAATTAATGTTGAATTTACCAGATGGATATATACAAAACGGTCTTTTTCACGGCCTTGTTTCCTGGTACAATATAAATTTCTTTGATTAAAGACTTAATTACATCAGCAACTCTCCAGAAATCAAAATATGTTGATTTGATCAGATTAAAATTCTTCCAGGCTTTGCTTGGAAAACACAACGTTATCCAGGAAAGCTGACGTTCCAATTACATTAGCTTGCGTGAGTCATATATCAACCCTTTGTCCGAAGAAAGGATATTTGCCATTCTGTGTTCCATCTTATCCTTCCAATTTAGAGCTCGTGCATGATCAAAGATGATGCTGATAATGATGATTACGCATGCATCCCTTGATCAGCTTGCCGGTGATCTCCAAAATTTGATTGATCAAATTGGATCATGGACTCCTCGGTAGGTCGATTTTGGGCTACTGACATACCACATGACATGAACCCCCATATGATCAGCCAATATCCCTTAAGCTACACATCTAATTAAACCAGACTTACTGATTTTTAACATAATTAATTAATAGTCACATTAAAAGACTAATTGATCAAAGACCAGGCTGTATTTACATTAGTCTATAATCCATACAATTTTTTAATCTTTGTTGAAACTTTTGCAAGCAAAAGAAAAATGAAAAGATAAGAAACACTAATAGCGAAAGATCAATAAGGGTTGACCACCTGAGTAGCTTATCCGCCTCCGTTTTATTGGCAAAACTTGCCGGAAACCACCATTCTCTGCCGCTACATGCCACTCATCTAGCACCTTCCTTTCCAACTCAAATTGGTGCACCCCACTAGACCCATCATACAAGCACCCTTCCGGGAACCCACCAAGATCATGGCCCTGTGGCTTGGCTTTCCGGCGACCAGCCCCCACAGGTACGTTCCGGAGTGCCCCACCCGCAGTCCAGTACCTCTGGCAACCTTTACAGAAATGTCTAGGTTGGTTAACGTTGTAGTTATTGAAGTAACAAAATTTTGTCTCCATGCTCTTGCATCTAGGGCATGGTATGATCTTGTCTGGCCTCTTATCCACTGTTGGATGATCATCTTTGTTCTCTTCTTCTTTTACTTGTCTTCCATGCAACATAATTGTTGTCCCAAACAACTTGATCTCTTGCCCTTCTTGGCTAGCCATGATCATTCAGATCCAGAAATAGAGACAAAGATAGAGACAGAGACAGAGACAGAGACAGAGACAAAAGAGATAAGAGTTTCTTTGGTTTTGGTCGAAAGGTTGTTCGAGTGGTTATATGTATGGAGAGGAGAGAGTGGGAAAAGGAAAAGTGCTAGAAATGGAAAGAGAAAACAAGCATGTGAAGGGAGTCGCCGCCATCGACAATAACTAGGGTAGGTGGCGTGGAAAAGCTGATGATGAGCTTTTTGTCCACATCATTACTCCACGTCATTAATATTCAAGATATAAAAGTGGGTCCCAGAGAAATAAAGATTTGGTTCTAATGGGGTTTTATTTTTCTACATTCCTATTCAAAAGGGATAAAGAGAGATATAAAGCTAAAATCTTCTAGTAGGGTTTGAAAATCTAGCGTTCTTTTGATTCTTTACTTTTCATTGATTTCTTTTCCTAAGATAATATCAATCCAAGGAAAAGTAAATAATTTCCAAAAGGAAAAAGAGAAAATTCCATTCCACCATTAGTTGCATGAAATGATAGTTGCATGGTAATTTGATAAAGAAAAAAACTATGGAGATTTAACAAACAATAAGAGCTTGGATTTTGATGCTTCATGCATGCTTCTCTCTATTCCATTTTATCTTTTTTTCTTAATATTTAATAATTTTTATATTTTAAAATTATTTTTTTAATTATAAAAAAATTAAAATTTAATATTAAATACATTAAAATAATTTTTTTAAAAAAATTGTGAAAGTCAATATATGATAAATATTTTAAGACCAAGATAGTGTTAATTTTATCAGGTTTCAATGGATTTTGATGTTAACTTTTTTTTTTTTTTTGAAATTTCTATTTCATCAGTTGCAAATATATTTTTCCAATGGAAAGTAGTTTGAAATGGACTTAGTCTTTATCCCATTCTTTAACAAAGCAATCTCTTTAAATTAATGCAAAAGTAGCCTCATTTCTCTTACCTTTTCCAATTATATAATATAATGTAGACAAAGAAACATTTGTGTATCTTTTCGTTCATTTTATATTGAATTTGTATAATAATATTTTAATTTATTATTTAATAATTTTTTATATATTAATTTAATATTTGATTATGATAGTAATTTTTTTATACTTATAATTTTTAAAAAAAATTTGCTTTTTCTTTTCATGCTTTCAAAGTCTCTTTTTTAAATAAAAAATTGTAAAGAATTCATAAAGATTAATAAGAAATATATCTTTTATTGGATCAGTTTCTTTTTCTTTTTCTTTTTAGTTTTTTATCTCAAAGGAAATTAAAAAGAACAACTTATGAATTTTTTTTTCTCTTTTAATACAACTATTGTAAGATTATAATAAAAAAAAATTACAGATGAAATGCTCTCCAACTTTTTATCATTTTCAAGTGGTCGGATTCTTTCCTTTCTTATGATGGCAAGGAAAATTTCAGGGATAAGATGGAAAATCATAGATTTTCACCCATTTTGTTGTGGCCTAGTTTTAAGCATATAAAGAGTAGGAGATGGACAAACTGCAAAAGATGCATGTTTCTATTGCAACTTTGATTAGTAAAGTTTATGTAAATCTTTTTTTTCTTTGACCATCACTAACAATAATCAAAAGCAAGAAATTCTTTTGAAGCTTATGTTAATTCCATTCATTTTTATCTTTTTACACTAAAATGAGGCATATAATCTTGTTAATGAACTTTCTTAATAATGGGAAAGATCCTTTCCATAATGAAAAATATATTAAAATATCTATAACTTATGATCACAAATTCACAATTAATAATAAAAATAATCATTTTTATTTATTTTTTTACATTGTTAATTGTGTGATTATGGATTTCACATTTTTACTTGTTTATGACATTAAAATTATCGGTTAAAGTTATCGATAAACATAAAATTAAGATATGGTTTTGTCTTTAATTAAAAAAATAAATTATAAAATCTCTTTTTATTTCATATAAAAAAGGTCATTTTTAAATAATAAAAATAATTATAAATATTAAAATTTGAATCTTATTAAACTCGTTTAATATAATTTTTAAAAATTATTATATGAATCAATTATAAAGTTTTTTTTTTTTCTCAGATTTGCAGCTGGACTTTAGGGTCTCGGTGCTGTGCCATGTGGTTCATGTATCGATATCCGACTACTAAAATAAAAAAGAAAAAATAAATTAAGTTGCTAATGGAACTTTAGTTTTCCAAATAGATAAAAATTACGCAATATTAATTAGGTAAACACGTGTAAAGCTCATCAATTTGTTTCTATAGAGGAAAATGTTTGTCCCCAAATATTAAATTTCTGATCTGATCACTCGCTTTATATAAATTCACTGAAAAAAAAAATCCAAAACAAATATGTTGACCTTTCTGGATTTAAAAAAGTCTTTGCAAATGTGTTTATCACGTGTATTTTGAATTTGGGTGTGAATTGTCATTTTATCTTTGAATTCTACAAATTTTTTTATGTTTATTTTGAGAATCTAGACTCAATTAATTTGCTGAAATTATTGCAAATAAATATGATATCAATTCACATAAGAACTTGTGGGTTGGGGTTTGAAACCTGTTACGGATAAATTAATCTCGGGGGTTTAGCATTAGGAAGGAGGGCATCCATTTTTGTCAAACTCTTATTCTAATTAAATTTGATTATTTATGTATTTGTATAATAAAAAATATTAAAACTCATAAATTAATGTAAAATATTAAAATTTATGTATACTATTTTATATAAAGATTATGTGTTAAAATTCGTATCGATATAAAAATATAAATTTTATTTTTTATAAAATATTTTTTAATTTTACTAATCTCATATATAATTATTAATAAAATTTTAAATCATATCATTTTTTTATTTTTTTATATATCATATTTATATTGTATCATCATATCGTGTTTTAAAAAATTTGATTTAATTCAAGTTTTGAGTTCTTATCAAAATGCAAATTAAACGGTATTATAAAAAAAGAGGAAAACCCAATATTTTATCCATTCGCCTTTTTGTCTCGAACACACTTTCTCGGCTTAGTTTAAGGCTTTCTTGTGAAGATTAAATCAAAAAACAAAGATTTTAGATTAGAAAAAAGATGACTTGAATCTCACAACTAAATTGAAATTTCCTATGTCAAACGCACCGAAACAAAATGGTTATTCAAACCCAAGCTAGTGGCTACTCGTCCAAGCAATGACCCGGGCACTTCCTGTGAGTTTGCTGCCGTTGAAAGTTGCCTTAAAATGACACTTTTAAGGAAGACAGACAGGCAATTGCAAATATGATTCACCGCTGCAAAAACTAAAGATATTCATTCTCGGTTAGCTTAATTTCGGATCAAATTATCTTATTTTATTTTTATTAATTAAATCAAATTTATTAATTTTAAAATTAATTAATTAAATTTAATTCAATCAATTTGATAAATTTTTTTGATTAATTGAATAATAAATATATTTAATTTAAAATATATTTTAAACTCTTAATTTTTCATATTTTAAATAAACTAAATAAAATTACTGAACATAATATTTAAATATCAAAATATTATGTTAAAACCTCTGACAACTTACAAAATAAAATTATCCATTTCATATATTTTTTATTTTATATTCTAAAATCATTTTTGTTATTTGATCAAAATTAATTTGATAATTGATCGATTAATCAAATTAAATCAATTCGATCAATCAAAACCAAATTATGTACACCCTAGCAAAAACTGGCAAGATCCTTGCTCTAGAGATGACTGGAGACTCCACCGTTTCCTTCTAGTCAACGGCCAGAAAAAGATGCCATCTTAGATTAAAGAATTCATATATATCATGTTGCATTGTAATTTCTGAAACTCAAGTTTTTTGCCCTGTTTTAATTGTCATATCCTCATGCATTATGCATGAATCATTGCCTCAATGTTGTAACTTACATCACGACTCATCTAAATACCCTTTCGGAACATTAACTACTCAAGAAATGAATGCAAATAATTGCTACAAAATACAGGATGAGCCCCACTAACTAATTACAAGAAGAAACAAGCATTATGCACATGTCAAACAGCCTCACCCAAATTTAAAAACTCGAGACTGAGAGAATTTACTTTCATTACCGTATTAAAAAATGATCAAGTGTCACTCCAGTTATCATCATCTCCACCATCATCACTCCCAACAGCCTGAACGAGTTTTGTAATTGTTAATCTGACAGTGTGATTCATAAGAGAACAAATGGAAAAAAAAAAAAAAAAAAAAACGATAAGAAAGCAAAAAGGTAAAAGGAAAATTCCAAACCTGGCGGACTGCGTTTGCTTTCTGCAAAATTGCGTTGCTAACATTCGCAGTGGGAACAGATGTAACAGTTGGTCTTGCAATTACTGTGGGTCTTGGGTTGAAAGACTGAAATGACAAAGAATAAAAATCAAGTGAATGAATTATACTCCATTTTATCACAATAGCCATCTATTCTACAGGATACATGAGACCACACATTTAAATATTGGTAACTCATAATTGAAAGCAATGAAACAAGATTCAATTTCTAGCACATGAAGATATCATAGCAGTATCAACATATTCACAATCAGAGAGGAATATAAGACATGCTCAAACTACACCAATAGACTCCAGCTTATTCCTATACCAAAGGCACTTCTTTTTGTTTCCTCATTTCTATAGAAGAAAGAGAAAGGAAGAGAGGTAGGAAACTCCTATATCTCAAAAACTGATCCTTATGGCAGATCAAGTCAGTGTCTTTAAATTCCAAAAGCATTCACAAGTAAGCCATGAAATGATCAATGATATTTTAGAAGTATTTACATAGCTATTTTTTTACTTTTGTTTCCGTTCCTTTTGAGAATTTGATCAAAGAAATTGTTTCTTCAAGCAGTAGAAATTCTCATCTTTAAAGGTACATCAATTAAGGACACATTATTCGTTTGGGGTGATGGAGAGCAATATATCAAGAAAGAAATGACTACTCACTTTATTTCTGATCTGAAGCAAGAAATCTTCCTTTTCATCCACTCCCCTGACACTACTGAGCTGGTTTGCCTCTTTCGGACCATTCAACTTCTCTTGGCCCACCTTCTGCATGCATAAAATATTGACGATTTATTTTACAAGCAGTTTCCACTTCACAACATTTTCAATGTGGTTTCTTTTAGAAAAAAAAAAAAAAAGAAACAGATTAATAAAACTGCTAATGTACCACCTTCTCCGGCTTTAATGCAATTGCCTCATCCTTAATTTGTTGATGATTAACAGAGGGTGGCTTAGGCTTCTTAGTGACTGTAGATCCTAAAAGTTTCAGATCAAGCTCATGTCCTAGTGACTCTAATAAAGCATGCTGTAGTTCTTCAGCCTCATCCAAGCAGGGTTTTGAAACCCACCATTGTGCAGGAGGTGTTGCTGGAGGTAATGGTGTGAGCTCCTTAGAATTTTGCAATTCTAGCTGGTTCTTTTTATCAGAATTGCTTTTGGTTTCATCAGGTTGTACAGGGTTAATGGCATCAAAACTTGGGAGATCAAGGGAGAGAGGTAGAGATGGTTCTGCACCAGTCCCAGGAACTACAGTTTTATTTCCCCCATTAACATGGATGCCATTATTGATGGATTCCCCTACTTGTAAAGAGCTTGAAACAGATTCCATTAATGACAATCTGCCTAATGCATCATATACCTCAGGATCCTCAAGGGCTTCACCAGATTCCCACTGCTCAGAATTTGACCCAGAGCAATGACTAAGACAATCATCCGACATACAAGTGGATGATCTGCAAAAAGTATCATCATCAGAGTCTGAAGCAACATCATGCACTGGAATAGTGGACACTGGGACCAATTGAAAAGAAGGAAACATGTCCCTAATGCTTTCCTGATAATGATTCCCATCAGGAAATTGCAATCTGAGTTTAGAAGTCTCAAACCCATCAATAGGGTTGAAAGATAGTTTCATATGTTCAAGTGGAGGAGAAGAAGTAAGTGAATTTACAGGAGATCCATTTCGAGTCTGCTCATTGAAGGTTGCCCAAGGGATTTTCTCATATGATATGCTCTGGTGCCCATTCCTCTGCTCCAATACCCCAGTTTTTATAGAAGGGGCTGGTTCTGATTCATCATCATGGCCAACCGGCACCTTTCTGTGAAAACCATTTACAAGTAAGTTATGATCAAGTCCAAACATCCTGGATGAGTTGTCATCATTCTCCCCATCAGATTCAATAGATGTAGCTTTGACATTAGGATTGACGGCAAGGTTGTTTCCATGTGAGAATGAAGTGTTTAGGCTCAACTCAAAACCATCAGGACAATTATTACAATGAAAATTAATAGGTTTTTCAAGGTTGGCATCTAAATCAGTTATTGGAAGGTAAGTTTTCTCACAACATGAACCTGGAACCTTCTCAGTACTTTCCACATTCTCAACTACTGTACCTGAATTTCCTTTGGTTACATCATGCAAAGCCATAAGAGCTTGATTTGGAGGATCAAATGCTTCACTAGTTTTGGCTGCACCCTGACCTGTAGTTGACACAGCAAAATCAGGAGGTTTTGATGGCAGAAGGCCCAAAAGACCACCATTTGTCCAGAACCCAACTGAATGCATGCCAGAAAATTCATTCTGGGAGTTTTGAGAGTCACTGACGCTGTTTATGATCCTATCACTAGCTGGATCATGCATATCAGAAACTATGGAGCCAGAGGATGACGATGGATGACTGATGACAGATTCTGCTGGTGAATCATTACGAATTTCATCACTCATGCATAAATCAGTGCTGGGTGAATGGTCAGGATCAGAAGATTTGCCAGAGATTTGAGGTATCTGTTCACTTGCAAAATTCTCTGAGGGGACTGGATCAGGTAAGCTCATGGAGATCCCATTGCTTGAAATACTGTTGGATGGGGTAGAGGATTCAATTGTAGATAGATGATGGTCTGCATTATCAGCCATAACCACATGCATTCCATCTTCTCTATTCTCATTATCATCACTCCGTTCCACTTCCCATTTTGTTTGGCACTCAACGTCATTTTCAGAACTTTGCTCCACTTCTTGTTTTGTATGACACCCAATATCTTTTTCAGATTTAGATTCTATTATGTTCTGAGCATCCTTGTAATTGTCTGGTTCACTTTCAATTTCGTCTTTTTGGTTCTCAATAGAGCTTGATTGGCGAGCATCCATGTCATCAAATGGGATAAGCATTTCATCACCATTTCCAAGGCTGGCAGCTACAGTTTCCTGTACATCTACATCAAAGTTCATGTCGGGAACTTCGTCTCTATCCCAATTTCCTGCTTTGGACTCCACTGTTTCTGCCTTTTCATCCCATGTTACACAAGATGAACTTGGGGCAATCTGCTCTTGTGATAAACTATGTGAAAAGTTATCATCTATAACCCGAGTTTTTTCAACAGGAAAATCTAAACTAAGGGTATCAGTTTCTTGCATCAACCTAGAAGACACTTCCTTGGATTCCTGTTCCTCACGTAGCATGGATGAACCTAGATTGAAAACACTTCTGATATCTCCAGAGCCAGTTCTTGAATCAAAAGAATTTGAACACTCCCCCATATCAGATTTCAGTGCCATGTCAACTGTAGATGCAGTTTGAGAGGAAGAAGTTCGCCCATTAACAAGTGGAGAACTAAATTGCATTCTGCATAGTCAGATTTCACATAACTTCGATTAAATCAAACCGTATGCAACACATTAAGTCATATGCAACCGCATATATTTTTGTGTTTTTGTGTTGGTATGCTTGTCTGTAACAATGAGAGTACACACATGCATTTGTATACATATACATGTATTACCTGCCACTTCGATTCAATAATGATGCAGCACGTGATAGTTCTCCATTCCTGTGGGACGATCTTCTTTTCTGTCCATTTTTTACAATTTCACATCAGAAATAATTCCAAATTGAAGAAAATGTACGCAATTCAGTTGGAACATGAGCATGAAAAAGTTGTATTTAGATAAAGAGTACCTCAACATCATAGGAGTCCTAGAGGCAAATACATTCCTAGTAATTGTGGAGTGAAGAATTTCATTTGACTAAAAAGTAAACTAGATAATTAATTAATTAACATGAATTGTGAGTCAATAATGAAACCCATTCTGATAATTTATTCAAAAGGTAGATACATGCTTCTCAAAATTGTCAAGATTCTAAGCCTGGATGGTTAATAGAGTAAATGATACCTTGCTGTTACGAGTCTTCATATCTCTTGGGACTTTCTCAGCATCTTCTTCAATGGAGCTACCTGATGCTCTCTTAAAGTAAGCTGGATCTGAATATCTCTTCAAACAAGATCCAGGGCCACCGGCATCAAATCTGATTGCAAAGTGGAAGTAAGAATCCAAAACAACATATATCACGAATCCATTACTGGAACATGCTTGTCATTGCTAAAAAAGCGGAGCAGATGTAAATAATCGGTACTTGTCAAGCAAGTGCAGATGTGGAAGGTTGCGACAAACTTCATAGGAATCCATAATAAATCGTGGCAGGTCATTGTAGATGAAATGATTTTTCTCATTGCAAATTTGAGGGTGCCACTCGTAACCTGTATGACAACTCTTTTCCATAAAGATTTGAATAGAAAGATAAATAAAATTTGCAGAAGATGATACAAAAATCCGAACTTAAGGTTTGTCTCTAAGTAAGAAAGCAACAAGACTGTTTTCCATGCATCTTGATTCTTGAACATAAAAGTGTATTATTATGCAATCTCCTGCAAGAAAGTAACTAAATATTATATGCAACTAAAAAAGATAAAATTAATAAAGTTCATTTTGAAATACTCCACTATCTATTTAGTCTGAAATCAATGTAAACCTTCCCAACATTTAAATGAATAAAACATGTTTTTTGCATCAAACAGGTTTCCAACGCCGTAGATCTACTTTCAATAGAGTGGTCTCCTTACACGAAAACTGCTTCAAGTGCCATCAGCAACTGACCACTGCTGCCATGTGATTGACTACAAATGAGGTTCTTCTTGAAATTAAGTTCATATTGACTATTTGAACTTAACAAATAAGATGTCTTTTTGCATTAATGTCATTTATAGCATAGAACTTATGGTTTCTTTCTTGCTGGTACTCAACCCAAATTCGGGCAACAAATGTCAGAAGACCAAAGCATAAAAGCATACAACACAACTAAAACAAACAATATAAAGTAGTATGTAACATATTCATAAATCTCTATTCTCTATAACAGCGAAAACAATGTAAAAGAAGCATTATCTACCAAGAAAATGAGTGGCTTTTCAAGCAAAAGGCATGTACAGAGGCCATACCAGCTGTGTAAGCAAAGTGTATGTGGCTTGTTTGGGCAAGAACAGCCTTCTCAAGAGAAGGAAGCACAGCTTCAATCCGTTGCACACGAATCATCAATTTATGACTTCTAGAAGCTGTGCTCATTGCTTGCTCTTGTAATCCACGAAAAACCTCTGCTGCAAATCTACAGCATAAAAGCCAAACCACACCAGTTAATTACCGCAGTTAGAATAAATAATCAAAATTTAAAAAGAAAATCATACCTAAAAGCTGAGCAATTAAAGAAGTAAAATCCTAGAATTACAAAGCTTAACGGTCCATAAATCAAAGTCTTTTGCTTTCAATTTCTACTAATTCTTCGAATTTCCTTAGATGCAACCAAACAGATAAATAATTTGAAATTGCAAAAGCCTATAAAGAGGAAACGTACTCAGCAAGATCGCCTAATTGGCGTAACATCCCGACAAGACCGGCGACGGCGACGCCGTCAAGAGCAGCTTTAGGATCTTCTCTATTAACTTCCTTGTGAAGCTCCGGTTGACCGAGCCGGTACTCATTCCTCACCTGAGCTCTAACCAGAGGCATTGCCAATATTTCTATCAAAAGTTGAAAAGAAAAAAAAATTATGTACAAATTGCAGCAGCGTAGATATCTATTACTACTTTGAATGAATTAAATAAAAAAATTGAAGGAAATTACAAATTAATAAATTATTTTAAGTAGTTTAGAGGAACAAAGAGTGCGTTTTGAGATTGGAGCAGTGAACTGTTCTAAGAGAGAAGAAGGGAAGACGAAGAAAAGGACATTGCCAACACTGCAAGCCATTCCTTTCCCGAAATCGTTTTGTTTCTTGAAAAGACGGAATTAACCTTGCACTGTCGCGAAATGACTTGTAGTGTCTTGGGTGAAATTACGGGATGGGGCTTTTGTTTAACACTAATCCCACAATAGGATTAGATTCCTCCAAATATAGTTTAGTAATAAGACGATGAGCAATTCTTGAAAATGATTGATTGGGGTGCTTGGGAGAACAGATTTATTAAGCTATTTGATGGAAGCGACGATCATGAAAAGACCGTGCAACAGTGCAAGTTACCAAAGAGGTGCGGTTCACGAGGAATCGGAGAAGACTGAGGACAATCAACGTGTGGCATATCCAAGGATTTGGCCAGGATGGAGTAAAAGCTGCGCGCCGCCTATGCTGCCTCCGTGTAGAAGTGGTGCTAACGTGGGTTACTACGGAGTGGTGAATAAAGATGTAAATGATGATTAGTATTAATAAATTATGAGTTTAAATCGAATGAAATTTAAATTTAATTTGATTATTATTTAGTTAAATTTAAATTTAAATAATTTAATTCATCGAATTAAATTTAAGTATTTTATATTTTATTTGAATAATTTATGAATTTAATTAAATTTTATATTTAAATATATTTTAATTAATAAAATATTTTAATTTAAATAATTTAAATTTTTATCAAATATATGAATTTATTTTATTATATTAAATTTAATTAAATAAATTTAAAATAATTTAATTTTAATTATAATTAAATTAAAATTAAAAAATAAAATTTAATCCAATTTAAATTAAATATCAAATCATAAATTAAAAATCAAACTTAAACTTAAATTTTGTATGGTATCAATTCAATTCGATTGATTATATCTTTTATTAATCGTGTGTCGAGCATTTCACTTACGGATGTAGAGAAGGAGATCCCCTTGAAGTTGAATGATATTATAAATTTTTAAAATTTAATTCAAATTTAAATTATTTTTTTATTAAAATTAATTTATTGAAATTAAATTTAATTAATTAATTTTTAATTTAATTTTATAAATGTTAATTTTAAAAAAATTTAATATATTTAAATGAATTTATATATAAAATAATTATTTTTATTTTATAAAGTTTTAAAATATATATAAAGATTAATAAAAATATATAAATATATTCGATTTATTTATTTTTTATATTTTAATATAAAATTTAATCTAAATTTAATATATACATTTGATATTTAATTTTAATCTGAATTAAATAAAAAATAATCCAAACTAAATAAAAAATTATAATTTTAACTCAATTTTTAGTTTTTTTTTTTCACCCTCTCATTACCGTGAAGGATTGGAGAGGGAGGGAAAGTTTTTCTAGCCAATGCTGAAATTGTCAATTGGATCTACTAAAGTTGGGCTACGAAAGAATATATATAAACCCAGTGAATGGATGTGTCTGCTGTACTTTGCCCACGGAGGTTTAAGCTGGTCCATAGCAGCCCACTCAAACATTCAATCACCTAAATTTGAGTGTCTATATATACATTTACTTTCAATCAAGCTGGAAAATGGGTGGTAATTCGGAGATAAAAATAAATCTAAGATTGTCTTGAAAAATTAGAACATCGTTACTTTTGCATTGCATATACTTAGGGTCCACGACTAGAAGGTGCAGTCGAAGACAATATGAGAAGAGAATGGGCCCATTCACGTGGATTAAAGCAACATTTATATATAAAAAAAAAATAGTAAAGAAGTGGGAATATCTTATCACTATGTAGGTTAAGGCAATTAAAAGCTGATGCATTCATATAAGTTGGATAAAGTGAATTTGAAATAAATATAATAATTTTAAATACGATATAATAACACGATAAAAAAATATACGAATAAAATATACGAAGATAATATGATTTAAAATTTTAATAAAAAATATATATTTCATATTTTTATGTTAATATAAATTATAATACATAATTTTCATATAAAATATAATATAATTATATAAATTATTAATATTTTATATAATACGAATATATAAATTATCATTTTTAATTTAAAATTTCATGAATTTGTGTGTAATGTGTATCTGATCTCCATGCATTCTTCACTAAGTTGGCCTTTGCTTTTCTTTTGAATGACTATAACACTGCAAATTGACTGTATCATGGCCCCGACAGTCAGGCACTGCTTTGTTCAGGGAGAGCTTACAGACTTGTTTCATGTCAATTATCCTCAATTTGCAAACATGTGTCAAACTCAAATGTCAATCAATCCTCTTCTTAGTCAAGGTAATAAAATTTTCGAAAACAAACAGGGTCTTATCACTTGACGAGTTTAGTTTAAAGTGGGTGAGGGAGAGGTTGGGGATTGCCCTACGTGATTGATAAATTTCTTTGTATTGGCATACAAGTAAAGAGCATATAACAGATTAATAGGCACAAAGGCCTACAAATGCTTATTATATATAGAAAACAGAAGTACCTAAGTGTTATAGGTAGCTGGGAGAAAGGAAATTTTTTGCATAATTATCTGTTTCCCATGTAAGTATGTCCAATAAAGCATCATCAATTCGATTTAGCAATTTAAAATATGCATGATGATATAATATAAGTATGATACGAAAATAAAATATAAATATTATATAATTTAAAATTTTAATAATAATTATATATAAATTTAATAAAATAAAAAATATATATTTTATATTTTTATATCAATATAAATTATAATATATATTTTTTATATAAAATATGATATAAATATATAAATTTTAATATATTATATGATACAATATACGAATAGTAAAATTTTACTTTGTGCAAACAAATCTTCGCACGTTGCTTTCTGTTATAATCATAAAACATGATCGAAGGGTGCTAACTTGTAACCAAAGTAGAGTAAAATTTCAAATCCACCCAAGACTAACAGTTAGCTAGCTTGTGGCAATTTCTGAAGAAAATAAAAAAAAAAAAAGAAAAAAAAAAGGTTTCTTGACGTGGTGGACATAAAGACTACTATAAGAGTGTAAAATACAGTTGTCAAATATCTAATGCCTAATATATTTAATTTGGTAATTGGATAAGATTACAACTAAAGCTTGTATATATATATATATATATATGTATGTATGTATGTATAGGATTTTAACAGTTATATTTTTAACCTTTGAAACTTAGAAATAAAAGTGAGAAAAATTTTAAAAATTGAAAATCAATTTAAAATTGTAGTGTTTGATTTAATTTTGATTTTTTTATTTGATTTGGATTGAATTTTAATATTAAATATATATATATATTAAATTCAAATATGATTTTGGATCGAGAATTATAAAAAAATTAAATTATATATTTTTATTAACTATATATATTTTAAATTTTATAAAATAAAAATAATTATTATATACCTAAATCTATTTAATATATTAAAAATCATGTTAAAATAATATAAAAAAATTAAATTTTAAAAATTGATGAACCAAATTGATAGGATTTAATTTGGATCATATGAAAGTTCGATTCGAATTTAAATCAAATTTTAAAAATTTATAATTTTACGTATTATCCAAAATAATTGAACCAAATTCGATCTTATTCATACTATTATCATCTTTTTTCAAATTATTTTTAGGAATATATTTTTAACATTTTATTATTTGATTTGGAAAAATGAACACATTTGAACTTTCAAAATATATATATAACCCACTTTTTAAGTTTTGTTAACATATTTTTTAGACTTTAAAACCCATTTTTAGATTCTTATTACCTAATAATTTAATCATATTTGAGAATCAAAGCCTTGTTAATCCAAGGTTATTAATACAAGTGAATAGAAATAAGCTAGTGCTTCATTCCAACTATTAAATAATATTATCCCACATCAATTAGGTATTAATATAAATGTAGTAGAAGTATATAAATATATACCTAGTAATAGGAAGAGTGCACCATGCCGGACCATTCATGCCCTCTTATAAAGAATCATATGGAAGGAACCTCTCTTATACATGAGGAAAGCTTAGGATATATCCCCAGACCCCAATTTTTTGAGGAAAACAAAACCGACAAAAATGGTAAATAACATCTTGTCTCTGGTTAGATTCAATGATTTAAAATATGATATGGTAATATAATTTGAATATAATATAAAAATAAGATATAAAAATATATTTTATATTTTTATATCGATACGAATTATGATATGTAATTTTTATATAAAATTAAATAAAATACATGAATTTAAATATTTTAAATAAAATAAATATACAAATTGTTAAATCTAATTATAGCTTTAATCATCACATAATGCTGAATTGGCAAAGACAAATTGCCATGAAAAATACACTCTCATTCATGAGGTGATTGAAAGGAGAAAACAAAAGAAAGAAAATAACAAAAGGGAAAGTAGGGTGGGTATTGCTCACGGGAGGCTAGGCATTTGCTCAGTTGTTCATTGCCTGCAGCTGCAAAGACTCGTTACAGATTGATTATAGAGTTCCTTTCAATGAAACATATGTCCCCACTGCCAACGTGTGGGAATTGAATAATCCAAAGCTTAGAGATATTGGCACACAGAAAATCTTATGTGGGTAGGCGTAATTATGGACTATTAGCAAAATTTTCAAATTCAAACACATGACTAGTAATAAAATTTTCATAATTGAAGGCTCTTGAGTTTTAGTTTTTAAGAAGGATTTAAGGCGATACAGATAAATATTATTTAAATCAAATTTGAAAAAAGTTGATCATCAAAAATCAAACAATGACAACTTTTCTGGGCAGAGGTAGTATGAAATGTATAATCCGACAAAGGGTATCTTCATTTTGAGCATCAATATTTTCATACAGCATTTTACTTTGGAATCACTCTTAATCATGTTGTTCACACTGTTAACGATTCCATTTTCTCCTTAGAAATAGATTTTGTCTAATTTGGAATTGAATTTACAGACAAATCAAGTCTTTTATGTACCCAAATTAATTGTCACTCGTGCATATTAGGGTGATAACGGTCAAATTAAATCGGATTTAATTCAGTTTTTTAGAATAATACAAAATATTATGAATTTTTTAAATTTGATTTGAATTCGAATTGATTTTCTTTTGAAACCAATTTGTTTGAATGGAATTCTATCAATTTGGTTTATCGTTTTTAAATTTTTTTTGTTTTTTATATATCATTTTAATGGAATTTTTAAAATATTTAAATAGATTTGTATATAAAATAATTATTTTATTTTATAAAAATTTAAAATATATATATAAATTAATGAAAATATATATTTTCGATTAAGGATTTTTTTATTTTCATATTGAGATTTAAAATTTAATTTGAATTTAATATATATATTTAATATCTAAACTTAATGTGAACCGAATAAAAAAAATTGATTCAAACTAAATCAAATACTACGATTTCAAATATTTTTTATTTTCTCAAAATTTTTTCTCACCCTTCATGCATATAAGTTCAGTCACTGCACTGGCCTATGATCATGCTATAAGCAAATTTTCACAAGATATAACAGCTATTGAAGGAGGTGGGTCAGTTGTTGATTCTTGTCTAGAAAGTTATGGCAACAACTTCAGCATGGATTCTTGCAATTAATTTATTGTCAGGTTTTCTAGTGATTACATATCAATTTGAAGTCCCTTTAGATTTCCAGTTGCTTCCATCAAAGACAGATTAATAGCTTGGTCATTGTTATTACTTAATAACATATGCATATGGCCAACAGGTGTGGGTCATGATCTGAGAATTCAACTGCCTTTGCCTGGTATTTTTCCGTAAACTGTTTGGTCTTTGAAGGCACCGATAATTTCAAATGCACCCTCAACTCAGGTCACAAACACTGTTCTAAAAGCAAAGTTGCCATTGAAAATAGTTGCCAAAATTCTTCCAAATCTTTCAGCAGTAAATATGCTTTTTCCCTGAAGCTGCTTTTCATCATTGTACTGGCAGGCTAGCCACTGCAGATCACTTTCGTGAAATAGAAGGGTTGGGCAATATCTGACCTGACATTCTTTACAAAGATGACCAAGTAATACAGGCTACAGCTTTGGTATAAGCTTTGGTGATGGCTCAAATCGTATCTATTCCTTTTAGTCCAAAAGCAGAGAGAAAATTAAACAGGAACTAGCTTTGCCAATGGTATGCAAAAGGATCCATTTTGCTGATTTCTCAGGGAGAGTACAATTTATTCTTGCATTGAATACGAAGATTAATACTGTGACACCCGATTTCATATTAAAAAATTTTAAAAATTTATTATGATATATAAATAAAAGTTTAATTTAAATTTATGAAACGTTTTTAATAAGATAAGTTTATAAAATCTTTAAATTAAAACAAATAATATTTCATAAATTAAATACGAATCTTCACAAATAAAAAATTTGACCTAAAAAAAAAAAAATTCAGTGAGCCGAAAGAATTACTCAAAAATGCCAAAATTATACGGTACAATATTATTGTAAAGCTGGTGTCAAAATCTCAACAACATCATGATAAATGACTATTCACAAGCATATCCTTAGGGTTTTGGACCCCATTTTCCCAAGATGTCTCTCAATTTTGCATCAAAACGATCCGTCCTTAATTTTTTTTCCCACTGACTTGTATTTTCTTTTCTCCATTAATAATGAAGCACTATCATCACAGAGGGATTTTTTTTCCTTTCTTTCTTTTTCTATTTTTGGCCTAAAATGGAAAACTTTCATATCAATCTACTGTAGTGGAAATGTAAACGAGAAATTAAGGAATCTTGTGACGGTGGGCAAACCTTGCAATTTATTCAATAGCTGTAATTTCAGATTAGGTGCTCGTGAAATTAATTGGTAAGCTTTTCTTGTGATTATACCAAAGATCTAACACTGAATTGACTTTAATTCTTCATCAAAAATTGAGAAGTTTATGGAAGCAGAGAAGGGTATGCTGATTTTAAATAATAGAAAACCATACTATTAAATAAATCCCATATCCATGAAAAGGAGAATTTAATTTTAAGACCCTAAATAGTTTTAATTTGTATTTGAGTATTTAGCTATGTAATTGATGCATGATTTTTCGGTAAATATGGTTAGAATCATTTTTTTTAATTAAAAAAAATATTTAATTTTGTTTGTGTCGAACTCTGAACTGAGAGTTAGAATATTGAAATCATAAGAGAGAAAGAAAACAGTTAAAAGTAAAAGTAAGAGATGTTCTTTACGTTTGTACTTTAATGTTTTAGTCAAAAATCGAAATATGAAATGTCGGAAGAAGAGAAAATAATCAGATTGATAAATAAAATCTGAATAACTTTATTTATAGGTGGAAGATAAGTGGTTTGTGGAGTAAAATAATGATATAGTCGAGCTAATATGGCACCATGCATGTTGGGTGAGCCTGATGTGTTAAGTTGATTTAAAAGTCGAAAATACTTCTTAAAAATTTACTGACAATTTCTAACAAAGTAAAAAACTTATTTGCCTTTGAACCCAAAAATATTCCTAACAAATTTGAAAACCATAAATAGTTAAATATCCTTTTACTTCAAATCAGAAACAAAACTGATCTTCCATATTCAACAATTGAAAGGAGGAAAATCTTTGCAGATATTCAATTTCCTAACTCTTTTAGTAAAATAAAGAGAAAAAAATAGACCCGTAACTCCTTCTGAAGGAATATTTGCCATTTTACTCATGCATGCATATTCTGCACTGAAAAACCTGACAATCGACATAAAGAGCTCAAAAACTTCCAGGCATTGTTTGTAAGGGTATGCCTAATATTCCCTGGTTTGCATTCTTAATCGAGTAAATCTGCAAAAGTAAAAGGTACAGAGAAAGACAAGGACACGATCAACCTGACGAAAAAACATCCACCCAAGAAAATATATGAATAGATTAATGAATAAACCAAGGAAATTAACATCAGCAATACCACTAAAATATAATTATGTATTATCAGTCATTATTACTTTATTAGTGGTGATGGATGGATCATAGTGGATTAGTGGTAATAATTTTTTAGCAGAAAATCAAGTAATTTCTTCTAGACTCCAATTTGATCCAACTGCTTTTTCACAGTGAGTCAAACACTACCAGCTTTTGAGTTTATATCATTTTCCCTTTGGGAAAACAAGTCAAATTCCATTAAACTACCAAGGTTTAAGGTTGTTTAACCGAGTTACTAACAATTTTTCCTTGCAAGGACTCACCAAAAAGTTTCATAAATATATATATATATATATGATGGTTAAACTAATTCAAATGAAAATGATAATAATGATAGTAGAGATGATGGCATTGGCATACAATTATTGTGATTATACATTATATTAAAAAATAATTTGTTAGTGCAAATAGTGTCAATGAAAAGGAGAAATAAGAATGAGAGAGAAGAAGAAAAAGAGGAACAAAAGCACCTTCATAGAGGGCCCATAACATGTCTCCTCAGTTAGACCCAAAGACGTGATTTTCATCTTTCCCTCCACTGCACTATCCTTATTCTTTCAACTTTTTTTTTTTCAATTGTTATCATTATCATTTCTTGCCAAAAATACCCAAAAATTCCTCTGGACAAAGAATTCTAATTAATCATGTCAGGTGATGTAGCCAAAGATTCTGCTGAAGGGTCCTCACGATCCTCCTCCGGTAACCACCACAACCAGCCTCAGCCGGCTCCGTTGAGCCGGTATGAGTCCCAGAAAAGGCGAGACTGGAACACTTTCGGGCAGTATTTGAAGAACCAGAGGCCCCCAGTTGCACTATCACAGTGTAACTGCAACCACGTTCTTGATTTTCTACGATACCTTGATCAGTTTGGCAAGACTAAGGTTCACCTACATGGTTGTGTCTTTTTCGGTCAACCTGACCCGCCTGCTCCTTGTACTTGTCCACTAAGGCAAGCCTGGGGGAGTCTTGATGCACTGATCGGACGCCTAAGAGCTGCTTATGAGGAGCATGGTGGCTCACCGGAGACTAACCCTTTTGGAAATGGAGCAATTCGGGTTTTTTTGCGTGAAGTCAGGGACTGCCAAGCTAAGGCCAGAGGGATTCCCTATAGGAAGAAAAAGAAGAAGAAGAATCAAATTAAACCCAACGTCGACGAGCCAAAGTCATCATCCAAGCAGCAGATCTCTTAGCTTTACCCAGGTGCTTTGGCTTCTTTAGACAAATGGTAATTTTCTTTTTTTTGACTTGGATATATATATATATATATATATATATATGCAGCATATGATTAGTTTTGATGATTTTTTTTACTTGGATATATATATATATATATATATATATGCATCATATGATTAGTTTTTTCGTTTAAATACGTTTATTTTTGCCCTCAAATCTAGTTAATTTCATCTAGCAACAACATAAAGAAAAAATAAACTAAAGAGAAATATAAACAATTTAGCTTTCAAGAATAAAAAGTAAATTAGATTGCTTGAATTATTACATGAAAAAAATTGAAACCAAAAGAACAAAAGTATTTGAAGTGGGGATCTTATTTCATTGGTAAACCCTAAACCCTTTACTGCAAAACCCTAGTTCTAACTCTCACCCTTCGTGGCATTTGCAGTAGTGAAGGAGTACGGTAAGTAAATTTGACCTCAAAACTTTTTACCCTTCTCTTACTATTACGTGCCATAATTGAAGGAGTAACATTACACCACTCTTTCTTTTTCTTTCTTTCTCTCTTTCTTATATCATGCAAATAAATAAATAAATAAAACACTGTTTTTTTGTGGTTTCCTAATTAAATATTTCTCACTTCTTTACTTTTCCCTTTGTATTTTTGGCCCTTTTCTGATTCTGTTCGATTTTGTGCTCCCCATGAATGTCCATTTTAATATATATATATATATATATATATATCATAGCTATAATGTGAAATTTGTTTATTCTCATTTAAAGTTGGAAATTGAAATTTGCATTATAAAAAGGGGCATATGTTATAATTATCACCCTCAAGGATTTCTCATACAGTTTGGTCCAAAATTATTTTACATTAATCTTCGAGTGGCTGAAGCAATTATTTTTTATTTTAATAGTAGTTAATTAACAAATTAAAATCATTTGTTTAATCGTAAATCTTGTATCTGGCTGAGCTCTCTTCTTTGATTGCTTCTTATAAATTAATGACATGCATATGAACGGATCGTGGCAGTTACGTATGCATTTTTAATTTCAAGAATCTTTATCTTGTAAGAGCTAGCCACTTGGCCAGTTTGTCTTATACTTGACCTGGCGGTGATCAGATTATGTTTCATTAGGGGACTAACACTTTTAGTGGGACATATTATCAACTAATATTGTTAAAGATAAACTATAAAAGTGTATTAAATATTGGGATTTTTTTTTTTTTTTGTAAACGAGGTCGTAGATTAAGAAATTAGAAAAAAAAAATTTACATGCATTGGAGATCGATCATCGATCTTCAACCTTGTGGGAATTTACCTCGTAAGGAATGTGAGTAATCCATTTGAGATAAGCTTTAAGTTCATGTTGACATATTCTATAAGAGCTTCAATATTTGACTAAGACAACAATTTGAGTTAGGTACAGAGCTCAGAGACTTATTCCTTTCCTACTTAATAATGTATATATATATATATATATATATATGTATGTATGTATGTATGTATGTATGTACAATTATATACTACTTTTACACATAACTCTAATATGAATATTAGAGACATGCCTCCATGCTTAGAGCTATTTTTTGCTTGGAGCTTTATCCTAACTTTTGAATGAGGAGAAAGATGCATTTACCTTTAAAAAAAAGAAAAATAGATGAAAAGAAGACAGATGCAAACTTAAACCTAGTAGTTTCCTTTTTCCTTGGTTTGGTTGGTACATTGGAAAAAGTTAAAGAGGAAAGGGAATTTGAATCTTAAACCTAACTAAGTGATCTGAAATTTTAACAGATTTTAATCATTGAGGAATAGATCTTGAGATTTGAGTATTCACTTGCAGTTAGCATCTGAATTCTTCACAGAAAAAAAAAATAGACATCTTGAAATAATGAACACTTGCCATTCATTAAAGAGCCACTAGAATTTGTGACACTACAGCTGATGTGTTTACTAGGGGTCAAATCACAACATCAGCCAACAGAATATGATTATCATCAATTTATCATGTCCAATAGCAAGACATGCATATATAAGGTAATGCAATTTTAAGTTGGCACATTGGCCAAGTTTTGGCTTATGCATCAATTAATATTGCAACAGCATGAACTAGAATCTATATATCATCATAATTTTAAACTAAAGGACTTCTAGCTCTAGCTCAAACAAATTGCTTGATAAATTTGAAGAAATTAAGGATAAGAATCTAAACTGATTTGCCCCTTAGCTAGCCCCTGTCCGAGGTTTGCAGTCACATTGGATATGAAAAGCTAGTTGAAGTATTCACTTTTGGATTTCGATATTAACTATGTAAGTAGAAAACAATTACACAAATATACATATACACTGTTCTTGATTAATTAGTGTAATTGGATTAAATTAAAAGCAAGATGCCCGTGAATGCCAACTAGCTTTACCCTCGAAGGAAGTAGAGTTGATATGGTACACACGTGCACTCTCAAAACTAAAAAGCTACCTTACTATTACTTTGCCATGGCATGAACTGAATCCAACGAGGAATATCAGAGAACAGACAGAATAATACAGGCCTTTCTTTTCTACTCTTTTTGATCTTTTCTCTGCCATGAGTTAGTACGGAGAGAAATAAGATACAATTTTGCCTTAGGAAGACCAAATTTAAGAATTTTACACCCAGTTTTTCACCCATTTCCATTGAGAAAAACACTGGTTATAAAGCAAAACAGTTTGGCCTGATGTTGAAGAACAGGAGTGATAACCCATATGTATATAGGATATAGCTAGCTAGCTAGAGTCCATAGGAATAATTATAAGAATAATTATAGCTAGCGTCCCTAGATTTTTCATGCATTTGCGGTCTTATATTTTTGGATCATTTGATCAGCTTAATAATGTGTTTAGGGAGTTGAAATCAGATGGAGAAAGAATGAGATAGAATACAGGTAGAGGAGAGGCAAATGTTATTTATTCTTCTTCTTAAGATTTCTCATTAAAGGAGGAAATTAAAATGAAATGAAAGAGCATGTTATCACCTTATTTGGCTAAAGACAAAAATGTTAAGAACATGATAAGTTATGGTATATTTTTCAATTATAACTGTTTAAATATATAAACAAAAATGGTAATTTCATCTATACAAGAAAAAAATTAATGAAAAAACTCTAAATCTTACAATTTGAAGGGTTTTGAAAGAGTACCTCTTCCCCTCAGCCCCTTCCATGAGCTGTAAAATGTTATTTCAAGAAACATTATTTTATGTTCTAACCTGACCACATTCAAACAAAATTATTTGACTAAAGGTTTATTTGAAAAGGGTTCAGTCATAAAATGCATTTTTTGATATAATGGAACCCTCTAATCGGGTTTCCAAATGAACCCTAAGTGTAAAAAACATCTTAGTTCTATTGATTCAAGAGTGTGTGTCAAAGGAAATTAATTAAAATTATTATTTAAAGAAAATTTCAATATTGTACATTAAAAATCTTTATGTTTTTAGTTGGTCATTGAACAATTGCTTTTATTCCACTCTTTTGAAAAATAGTATTAAAGACTACCCCTTTTTCCACCCAAAAAAAAAAAAAAACCCTTAAGACACTTGCCACTATAATATAGTCTATGATTAATCAGATCACAAGTAAGCTAGACTCAAAGTCTACCTTGTTAGATTAATTTCAAGGGAAGATCAGTGAGGTTTTTGTTCTTTCTTGCCTTTATGCCCTCATCTTAATTTACTCAGTCATAGATTAATCATGATTGATAGAAGGGAAAAGAGAAGAAATAATGGACTATTTTCCCTTATTTGGTAACCTCCTCTAGATAAAACATTGGATTTTGAGAACATAGAAATGTGAAAATTAATCTACCTTTCATGCTTCCCATTTTCTTCTTATCAAAAGAAAGAATAGCTTTTTTCTTTCCCACATTCATTCCACCCTTTTCCCTCAAACACAAAAGTGTTTTAAACCAAGTTGTCTTCTTCATTTTCAAGTTATAGAAAAGTAAGAGCAAAAAACAAAGAGACACTCATAAATTATAGAAGGCTTACGCTTTTCATCTGCATTGTGAAAAGCTGCAATTCACTAGTTTGCACCTGGATCCTACCACAACAACACACTAAGTTTTATAGCCCATAATATTCTGGGGATTGGTTGCATGAAAAACCAAATAAGGGAATCATGTTAGATTGTAATTTGAATCTTTTTACACCACTCATTTTTATTAACAATGATCTTTTCATCTAATTCCTTAACCACCTGAGATCCTATTATCCCTTTTTAATTACCAAGCAAGAAAAAATGGTTTTCCTCTTTTGGAATAGTACTGTATGTGTTTTAATTTCTCCAGCAAGTAGTATAGACTGAATGGGTCAGTCCACATTAACTTGGATACACAAAATTAGGCAATTGGAGAAGTTAATATGACAAAGAATTAAAGCTCGTTGGCCTTTGTATGTTGTGAATATTTGGTTGCAGGATCGATGGTCAGTCAGCATTCATCAAACAAGCAAAACCAGAGGGGAAGAGAAGGGTATACAAAAAGGCAAACGTTTGAAGTTAATGTAGCACTACCACTACTACTGCTTTAATGTTAAGGTTCTCTCGCTTTGCATCATTCACTGATAAAAGTTGTGTACCTAATAATTATGTTGTTGTCATAGCAATTAATTAAAGCTTGTCTCAATCGGTTGTTAATTCTCTTGCTATTGATTAGCATTTTAATTAATTACTATCATCCATCACCTTGTAAGTTATATATAATATTATTACACCTTAGACGTATTGATTAAGGATATAATGATATTAATTACATCTAGTTATTATGTTATTGTGTTAAACTTTTTTAGACTGAGATTTAGTCTAAATGATTCATTCACTTTTCTTAAGAGATGAAGATATGAATTCGTACACGTTGAGATTCCATCTTTAACATTTGTAATTTTTTTTTTGTCAATTCTTTTAAGTTTTATTCGGTAAGAAAAATGGAAATAGTTTAAAATAAAAAATTTGTTAATCTAATGATTAAAATTTACGATCACTTTTATATTTTGTAGCTTAATCATTAAATTAAAAAAATTTTCATTCTCATCTCTTTCTATCTTTTCTATCAAGCAAAGTGGTTTTTTATTTTTTATTTTTTTAAAAAACGTGATCAAAAGTGGGTTTTCTCTTCTACCTAAATTTGCAGTTGGCTTGTTAATATATATACATACATATATATATATATATATATATACATTGTATTTTACATAAGGTCATTCTCCATCGTAAAAAAAAAAACCAAGATTTTGGAGCATGAAGATATATAGCTAGCTAGAGTCAGCGTATAATAGTCATCTTAACTTAAATGTTTAAGCAATGATTATGATATCACCTAATGCTTTTTCTTGGCTCTAGATCCGATCGCATTGTATGTTTGAGGAATATTTAATGGTAATTCAAAAACATATTTTTTCAAATCTGTAATTTAACTTAATTAATTGATGTAATCATAATTAAAATTCAACAAATCTGAATTTAAATTTCAATGCATACAATCTTTTTCTTTCACCCCAAAATAGAGCCTCATTTCTAAAAAGCAAAAGCGTAATTTCCCGATGACCTCAACCAATATGTTGATATACTCCAGCTACGGTTTTTTTTTTTTTTCCTTTTTTCTTTTAGCTCGAATGGTCTGATGACTGATGAGTTATTCTTAGTGATTGGAAGGAATTTGCTTGATATGAAGAGTCTAATGTCAACTATTGATTAAGCTAATATGCTTAAGGAGGTGTTGTTGAATCAGTTGCATTCGAAAATATGACGGTAAATACAAGTGACTCTCAATGATGTCTCAATGACGTGATAAATAATTAGTAGTTTCTTACAAATGGCGATTGCTGTTATCAACGTCAGGGTTTTCGCCTAATTCAATTGAAATGGGAGACCAAAGATTTAGTTCAGCAAAGCTTTGCCTGGGATAGTGAACACTATGAGTTTCTGAAGACAACCTAATCTTGTACATTGCAAGAAACATCACAAGACTTACAAAAGTTAACAAGTTAGAGACTCAGCAACTAGAACAAAAGACGGTGGACCAAATGTAGGCCCAGTTCCAACATCCCAAATTAAATTACAATGAGTTCGCGTTTTTTTTTATGGCCCGCCAAAAATGAAAGGGGAAAAGGTAAAACAAAGAAACTTTAAAAGACTCTGGCAACCTTATCTGCCAACTGCCGATTATCTTCTGAGTACTAAGGCCAGTATCAGCTAGAAACTATATATACTTTCAAGTGATGAGTGAAAAAATCAATATTCTTCATGTTTCTCACGCAAAAAAAGGGTCGAAACTCTTCCCCAGATGGCTAGCTATAAATGTCTGCAACAAAGAACAATGGGCGTTTTTTAGAAATCAATTATGCATCAGTAGTTAAAAGTCTGGCAATGCCAAAACTGTCAAGGAAATGAACAACATATAATCAAAAGTAGCCCATGTATATAAATACACCTAATTTACTTGACCAAAAACACAAAGGATGCGCATACCTCAAATAAAGATTCAATCTTAGAACTTTCTGCGCATTTTGCTGCAGAAATATCACACAACAAAAACCGAACAAGACAATTAGATGCCTATGACAACCATAAAATGTATGACTTTGAAAGAATTCTTGCAGGTAAGTATGTATGAGGATCTACTACAGATTATCAATCTTTAACTCACAAGCACAGATGAAGAGAAACAGACAGGCAGAGAACCAACAGAGTACAGACAATACCTTCTGGTGCATCAGAAAAAAAAGGTGTATCCAAAATTTTCTTACAACCACATACAGACCATAACTATAATCATGATATTTGACCGTGCACATACAGAGCATAACTATAATCATGATATTTGACTAAGTCATTACAAGTTTAAAAGGATCATTAAAAGGTCAGCTTCAGTACTATTCGTCATTAATCAAATTCAAAAACAAACTTATATTACAAAAGGTAAGCATCAAAATTGGTAGTTTTTTACCTTTTCTTCTGAACCAGGAAATGCTAACATTTTTAACAATACAGAAAAGGGATAGACAAATCATTAAGGTTGTGATATGTGCACCACAGGCACGTGAGTAATTTAAAAGGTTAAGCGTGTTTAGCTCTTGATCAACATCAATATGCTTCTTGGCACATGATATTGTAGGAAGACAGCCAACAACCTATGTTAGCAGACTAGTAATGGAGAAACATCCATTTTCAGCTGACACACCATGAAAGAAAATGAGAAGTTGAGAGAAAAGTTTATCTGAACACAAGCCTGAACCTGATCAGTCTGAAAGAAAATTACACACACACATTAAATCCCCATCCCCACTCCTATTTTATAGATTTCTAAAACCTCTCAACTAGATATGGTAACCAGCAGAGTGAAATAAACGAGGCTTAAACGCACCAGGACACTGCAAATACACATACTTTGATAGAAAAAGGCCATCATAAGTGCACATTTAACAAAATGGAAAAACCCCAAAACAGAACAGGCAACATCCCAAATCAAACATGTTTAGAAGGGTATGGATTGATAAATTACCAAATAAAACCAACCTCCCAACCTAATCTGAGTAGTATAGAATGTTAGGCAAGTCTACTTTTGATAACCAGCCTGCATGCTTGTTATCAGCTGTCTCAATTAAAATATCAACAGAGTTTCTTTTGTCACTTCAGGCAAGTCAGTCAATTCCAACATCAAAAGTACCTCCAAACTTTGACCTTAATCACCTGGCACATTATCTTCTCACATTAAATAGCCACCAGAGCACATTGAAGCATAGTATTTCAAAAGCAATAGTGGAGGTCAAGGTTATATTCTTTTCTTTTAGAAAACATGTTGAAATACAAGTCAACCAATAAATCTAAGAGAAGCACACTGACAGAACTAAGCATAAAGATGGTGAGTTGGACATATCTTAAAAAGACAACAGCCTAAATTTAACGCCTTATTCTTTCAACTTGTAAAACATAAATACCTGTTCCCTACCATTATTACATAAACAGTCAACAACATATGTAAAGTAAGAAAAACAAATGCCAAACTGACACCAATATCAACCAATGCAATTTTCACTTAATGCATATTGTATCAAATACATGAAGGAAACCTAGGGATTCATGCAAGGTTCTACATCAAACACATCTAAGATAGTAATAGACTACGCATCAGACACAATCTATAGTCATATAATTTGAAGAAAGCATTCACCAGAAAATAATGAACCACTTCCAATAGAGCACTTCAGCAATAAGCATTGAAAAAAAAGAACGGCAAGGTCATGCCCTTTGAAGAAGAAAAGCATACCAGCATCATTGAAGAATTAACTGTCATTGTTTATTGTACAAATATACCACAAAACAGAGCCAAAACACTCATCCATGAATGAACATTTCACCCATTTGTATTAACAAATCATAAAGTCATTCAAAGATCATCCTAAAAACACTTTTTACTGATTTCAATCACCACAAACCAGAATACTACTCTGAAAATCTTCAAGTTTCTCATGCTAGAAGCTTAATAAAGACTCTACAAACACAATGGGGGTAGCCTCACTCAATTCCTCGATAAAAACCCATAAGAATCAACATTAACAAAAAAAAAATTCAACAAATTAAGACCCTTTTCTATTTCATTCCCATCTCATTTCCAAGCCACACTAAAACAACTAATCAAGAAAAATTATGTGTTTAAAATCCAACAATAAACATAAAGCATAAACATAAATGAACCCAAAACGTGAAAATATGCATTATCATCAATCAAATAACAAATACAATAATATATAAAACTAAAGACAGTTCTTTTATGAGGAAGAATAGGCCTCACCACTAGACCCCGAGGATCGTTTGCCACGCTTGATCCTCTCGAGCTGCACCTGCGTATCCATAAACATCCTCATCCTCTGCACTTCCAAATCTTTAGCAAATTGCATTCTTTGCTTCTCCAATTCCACCATCTGTCTCAGCTTCTCCCCTTCGACACTTACATATACTTGCCCAAACCTATCTATGGCTCTCGCCAATCTCTTCATCCCTTCCCTCTCCTCTTCCTCTCCTTCACTTTCCTCTCCCTCGCTTTCCTCTCCTTCCTCCTCATCACTTTCCGCAGCAGCAGCGGCAGCGGCAGCGACGGCCGAATAATTTCTCCTGAAATATCCATCGTCCTCCGCTGGCCTCTTCTGGGGAAGCGCGACAACCGTGGCCGACGCCGGAGTCCTCCTGTACGTCAGCGGAAGCGGGAGAGCCAAGGGAGGAGATCCGGGGATCCTCGGTGACAACCTCGGCGAAGGTTTCGGTGATATCTTAGGTGACGGCGAAAGCTTTTTAGCGGCGAAATTGGATCCGATAAGCGAATCCAAGCGTTCGAAGAAAGGCCATGACGACGTTAGGGTTCCGTTAGAGGAGGTCACACGAGTTTTCTCGATCTTGTACTTTTTCTTGATGGTATCAATCCGGTTCTTGCACTGGATATCCGTACGGTGCGTCTTTTTAGTATGACCGTGGAGGGCGTTAACAGCATCAGCAACATCTTGCCAGTCCTTCTGACGTAGGTTCCCACGGTTAAGCTCGAGATAACGGCGACCCCAAGCGTCGACGAGGGTAGAGGTAGCTTCCTCCGACCAACAATCTTCACGGACAGGTAACGGACGGGAGTGGGGAGTGGTAGAGACAGCGGTGGGCAGAGTTGACGGCGTGAGCGAATCCAGAAGTTCGCCCATTTCGGTGGTTCGGGAAGACAAACAAGGGTCGGTTGGCTTTTGCTCAGGGCGTTAAGGGGAGGTTACGTTATTGATTGGGAAAGAAGGCTTAAAAGAAAAAAGAGAGTTTGGGTTCGGTTCGGCGATGACGCGCCGGACAGATGAGAGGGGCACGAGAGTAGGGAAAGGGAATAATAGAAAGAGGGTGGGTCGCCGGGATGTGAGAAAGCGCGTGAGGGTGGGGTGAGGTGGACTGGTGGCTTGGGTCATCATCGGATTCGGCTCGGCTACTAATCCAGTTGGCATTTTGACGTTTCCTTTTCGCTGCTGCCCTGGCCTGCTCTTACACATTCTTACCAGGCCGAAAAGGCGCAGCACTTTTGATCCTTTCGCCGATATCAATGGATAAGAAAATTTGTAAAGCTTATCATTCTCTTCAATTCTATTGTAAAATACTCGTTTCCATACAAAAGTGGAAAATAAATAATTCGGATCGGATGACATGGAAAAACGATGAAAGAAAATTAAATTATAAAATATATTTTTTAATAATAATAAAAAAATTTCAATCGGATGAACAATTTTTTTTAATAATATTTGAATCAGATGGACAATTTATCTTTTTCAATATCATTTATCAAATAACACATTTTTTTTGCGCCATGAAACATGTGCTTGGGTTCAAGGAAAATGGATTGAGCAATGATTTTCATATTGCATCTCCTATTCATTTAAAACAACTTTTTTTTACCTCTAACATTAAATAAATTCATTATTAATAGATTCAAATTATCTAATAACATTTTTCACAAATAATTTGTTATTATCTGATAAGAAAATAGCATACAGAAATTTACCAACGTCATCATAAAAGTAGTAGCTCACAAAAATGGAAATGCCTTTTAATTGCTGAATTATGGGCTTTGATATGGAAGGGGGACCGAAGCGGCTGCGATGATGTTTGGCAGTGATGCGCCGGCTGCCGACTGACACATGACATTAGCCGCACCGACTCTAAGTTTGGTCTTGGTTCGGCTCAGGTCTATTGAAGAATTACGTGATTCAATTTTCAAGCCATTCTCGTTCATCTCAAGGCAGACAACCCCCTACCTTCAGGCTGCATGGCTCTAAAAAGACTAAAAGTCCGACCATTAAACAAAATTTTAGTTACGGAAATTCCCACCTCATAGCCCGAAAACGAGCATTGCATTAATTTCACGTGAAAAAAAAAATCATTGAATATATAAACATTACTGTTACGTATTTTAATAAATCAGAAACGATAATGATTACGTAATAAATGATATCAAAATTAATTTTTAACTCATCCTACTTTACACTTAGCAACCCAATAGTATTGGTAGGTAGGGAGAGTTAATCAAATACTTAACAAGATATTAAGATAAGGTATGGTGAAAAAATCTTGATCATGCTAAGCACGTTCTAACGAGGAATAAGTGCGGTGATAGACAAAATCTGATCACATCAAATATTTCAAAAGAGAATAAACAGGGTGATAATCATAAAAAAATTTCACGTTAAGTGCTTAAAAGGTGTAAACAAGATATATTAATCCTACATTGAATAGAAATATAAAAGAAAAATCATTGATATATCAACGTTAAGGCTGCACACTTCAATAAATCAAATTTACAGAGAGAAGTTAATGAACACGTGACACTAACCCCTTCAGTCTTCAACATTCCCCTCCCTAGAGAAAAAGTGTGCTAATTAACTAGGCATTGCTCTGATAAAATGAGCACATTGTACACGAAAATGGTTTAAGTGCAAGTCATGCCGTGTAGAATAAATATGCTGCACCTCCTTTTTTCAACCATACCGATGAAGCATGTAAACTCGAGTAAGTAATATATATTTTGGATGGAAACATTATTTTAAGCTGTTGAAACCCCCCCCCCCCCTCCCTTATCCTCCGAAGTCCGTGAAATCGTTTGTATATACGCCCCCCGCGTCCTGCTTGTGATAATCATCTATCAATAGTAGTGTTGTCTGAATTAGGAGAATTTTCAACCTGGGAAACTTGTATCATATTCATTCATGCGTGCTATGAACAAGTATTGGAAAAGGGGTCCAAACCCAATTTTCGAAGAAAGGAAAGGTTGTCAAATAGTAGTAGCTAGTGTATATATTGGTTCAATGCAATGTCCCAATTTCTTAATTTCCCACTTGTGAAGATATGGGTGACGACAAGATTGACGATCCATTTTGGAAAATTTTATCCATCGTGAGGATTTTGGTTGAAAAAAAAAAGAAAAGAAGAAGAGGGGAAGAATTGGAAATTTAAAACATGGGGTGATATTAATCAATAAAAAATTAACTTAATAAGTAAGTTCGTTTTTTTTTTCGATGTAATTATGAGTCTAAGTGATAATTTTTTATTCGAATTATTTCGAATGCACAAACCACTATTTTTTAGACTATCAATATATATTATCTTGATTTAAAAAATTAAAAAATTTATTTATTTTTAAATTTTTATTAAAATAAATATTAAATTCTGCAAAGTAAATGAACACAAACTATAAAGAATTCAGATTACATAAAAAGGTGGAGATAGCGACCCTTTACCCTTTTAACAAATCCATGATGATATAACAAAGTGCAAGAGAGAGGCGCCCCCGCCGATTGAATTATTGCAATCTTTTGGCAATATTTATTTCCCACTTTTACTATGTATTCTGCACCATATAAGGAATATATAACCAATTTCTTCCTTCATTTTCCATAGACTTTTGAGCCAATTGAAGTATGGCTTTGAATCGTTCAAAAGCTTTTCAGTATTTTATTTTTAAATACTCAAGTAAACAGATTTTTTTAATTTATATATTTAAATATTTAATCAAAAGTTCATCCCCTTATGTCAGCTGGTGATATGGAGTTTTTAATTAGTTATAATAAATTAATAATGATTTGGAAGCAAATTAATTATTTGGATATGGTGATTTTGTAATCCAATTATTTTTTTGTATAATGAAAATCGCAATTTGAAAATAGAAGAAAGAGTTGCTAGCATTAAGATTTAAGTCTTAACACTCATAAAAATATTATATAAATCAATTGGATTAAATTTTGAGCTTTATAATATGATAATTTCATTCATTTTATGCATAACATTATATATATAGACAGGTTAATTTTACCCGGTTTTAGAAGTTCTTTAGCTTAAATATAATATCAACTAGCAAATCCCATGCTTCTAAAGGCTGTTAAATTTTGTGATGTAGCCTAAGTTTTCACCCTTTAAGGCAGTTCTTCCTTGCTTATTTAGTCTATTAAATCTGCCATGGCCCCTTGGCCAGGCATTTTAACTGCTTAGTCCAATCATAGATCATTCGTCCCATAATTTGGCCTCCTATGTTTGTCGGCAAACAGTGGTTATTGGTGATTTTGAGAACTCCCCCACAGGGAAAGATAAGATAAGATAAAAAGAGTGAAACAGGATGAGGGGCTGATATGATCTGGTCTGAACAGGAAATAAAGGCAAAAAGATCACAAATATACATGAACAATTGTGGTCTCATGATGTCTAGCTAGTAGTATATGTTTAAAAGTTTAATAATTACAGTGAAAGTTAAGACAGTGAGAGATGATGATTTGTTGGTGATAGAATGTTGACTTTTTTTTCTAATTAATTTAAATTTAAAAAGTTTAGTGTACTGGATGAAGCAGATAAAATGACCTCCAATATTTCTGACATGCCAATGCATTAATTGAAATAAATTATATTGCAATGATATCTATCCAACTCCGGTTACCATTTTGTTGGCCTAAGATGGTGGGACTGGAAAAACAAAAAAAAAAAAAATTGCAGATCTCAGGAACATATATATATATATATATATATGTAAGATGGAAAATAGGGGATTTGATTACTCCTCAAGGCGCGGGGGTGTGTGAGGAGATGATGAAGGTAACATTAGCAAGTGGAACTGAAATTCTATGATCAATAGCAACTAATCCAGCCAATGTAGAGGTCAAACTCTACTGTTAAATAGTTTCACAGGATGCTGATCCATCTTGCAAGAAAACAAAAATGCTTTGAAAGGCATATGATATGATGCCTCCCAACCCCTTCTAAAGCCCATTTTGTTAGTGCAAACTGCAATTATAATTATTCTATGGTGGAAAAAGTTTTATGTGGGGACTATAAATTCACTTTGATTTAATATTTCTATAATTCAATTCATGGAGATATTTCTTTGTGGTTCCAAACTCTCCATGAATATTTATGAGCTCTATCATATTAAAGCATGATCATGTGAATTCCCTCATTTTGATTTGGATTGCACAAGAACATAGCATATTACAGCATGTCAATAAATTTCGTGTGTGTGTGTGTATATATATATATACTCTTGATAAAAATGACATGTCAAATTCCGATTTATCCATGGAAAGAATGAGAAGAAAACATCTATGAATAACCATATCTTGATAAAAACTATGGGCAAAAATGTCATAACATGATGATCGATTATTAATATTCCGCTGGCACCATCATACATCATATCACCTAAGAATCAAAATCTTATTCAATTCATATAAACCAAATTTATTCTTAGTGCTCAATCGCAGAACTAACATCTCTCACTCTATTTCATCAATCATCCCTTCGGATAATAATTACTTCCCCACAAAAAAGATTAGAAAAGAAACTCAACAAATCCTCTCTCGGCATTTACAAAATTACTACTTCAAAGAGATGTGGGAAATCATCCGAACCCAAGATCCCTTAATAACTTTGTTGTAAGAATCATCACCACAATTTCCAAATAACAGCTCAGTCTTTTTGCTCTTGCATTATTTTGCTTCTATGCCTATATATACAAAACTCAATAGAAAACTAATATAGGGGAAGAAAAGAAATGCAAAAAAGAAAGAGAAACAATTATGCTGTTGTTCCTTTAACCCTAATAATGGATGGATGTACTTTTTTTTTCTCTAAAGATAATCATATAAAAATATGAAGAAATTTGTACTTCATGATGATCAACCATCATTTGGCGTCTCGGAGATGCTCTCTAAGTGTGGCCTCCACACCCCAACTCGGCCTCTTCTTCGATCCCGTTGCGTCGACAACTTCTCTGATAGTATCTCACTTAAATACTGATCTGATATCAAAAGATTCGTCATTGAAATTGTGTTGTTGTTCTTGTTGGCGTTGCTCATGCTTTGGCTGTGGCTGTTGCTGTTGTTGTTGTTGCTGCTGTCAAGGCTGTCTCTTCTTTTCTTCTTGGTTGTTGAGGAAGATTTTGATCGGTTTTTTTCGGGTGTTGAAGGGACTGGCATGAGGAAATAAATCTTCCCACGTTGGAGCTCTGCGTCTGGTGGGACGATGACGATTTTTGGGACCATCCCATCGTCGGAAGGAGAGGAGGGTTTCTTCAAGACGTGTTTAGGGTGAGCCTTCATGATCTCGCTGGCCTTGATGGAACCACTGATTTCTTCAACGCGGCCATTGGAGTGTATTATTCGAATCACATCGAGTGCCCCGCATGGAAGAATGCAAGAGATGCAGCATCGGATGGTGTTCTTCATAGCTCTTCTTTCTTTATATATTGGTCACTCATAGAGAAAGAAGTAGACGCAGCAGCAGAAGGAGAAAAGTGGAGATGAAAAAGAGGGGGAAGAGGAAGTGATGGAAAGAGAGAAATATAAGAAGAGAAAGAGAATGTGGAATCAGTCTCAAAAGAAAAAAATTTTAATTATTATTATATTGTATACTCTCAGCTTTTTCTATTTCTCTCTTATTTTTTTAGGGTTCTTTTTCTCTGCTTTTTTGAGGGAATTTTTTCTTCACTAGCTTTGGATGCAATCTATGGCATGAATAATTGCAAGTTACTCTGTACTTTGCCTTTTGGATCCATCATTTAGGGCCCCCATACTCCTGTCCTTATTTTCACGAAGATCAATAATTTTGGTTTTGACATTGCAGGGTTGGAGGCCTTATGGGTCAACACGTGTTGGTGCATGATTGGTCCTGCCAAATCAGCCAGAGCAATACCCAGGAGTTGCTCCAGTACACATGGTTCAATCCGCTTGTGAAACTTGTCATTTCAAGTCCAAAAATGCCACTGATAATTAGATAAGGATAGATATGACGTAAATAATATAAAAAAATATGAAAATAATATTATTTAAAATTATACTAATTATTATATATAAATTTATTAAAATAAAAAATAATATTTTATATTTTATACTAATATAAAATATAATACATAATTTTTATATAAAAAAATATAAATATATATTTTAATATTTATATAACATAAATATATAAATTCTCTATATGAAAAGATTATTGGGCATGGGGCCATTGAGAGAGAGGCCCTTGTTTGGAATGGGGTACAGGGAAATCATATTGTGAGAGGGAGTTGTGAACTTTCAATTCCCCCAAGCATGATCATGTGGGTTGTGGCTTTCATTGGAAAGTGACGTTTAGATTTTTAGAGTTCTTTCTTTTACATCATCCAACCACACCCTTTGTGGTTTTATTTATTTATTTATTATTGTGCTTTGACTCATTAGCTTTGGTATATTGTCTGCTACTAAAAGTTGTAGCCCACCCCCACATGCACTTTGCCACAAATTTCATCCCGATTCCTACCTTCTCTTACCTGATTTCTTGATTCAACTTTCAAAATCTTCATGTGAGATAGTGATTGTTTTGAGTTCCCCTTTCAAATAAAGCAGTTAAATGATTCTTTTGCAAGCAACCATGAAACTTTCAAAAGCTAGATCATGATACCTAAGAAAAAAAATTTTCAAGCCAATCCCTCAAAGAAGGATATTAAAGTTTGATTTGATGTGCATAGTTTCGTTTTCACTTGGGGGCCATAATCAATTTAGTATCTGACCACACTGAGATTTTCCCACAACAAAATATTGTAGTTAAAAAAAAAAAAAACCTGTTTAAATGGTTTAATTTGCTGTTAATCTTTGAGTAATGTCCCATCCAAGCTGTGGCCTACCAGTTACATGGTTCATGTGGAGATGTTAGTGGGTAACATGTGATGGTATGGAGAAATAGGAGGGTCCATTGAATTTTGATGTTGTATTTCACTAATTTGATTGCTGAATTAGCTCACCAAATTCATTATTCTCATAATTTTTTATGTTTGCATCTTTTTTTTCATAAGAGTGTTTTTCTTTTTCTTGTTCTCATACCTTAATTATGATTAAACAAATTGTTAACTAGATATTAAAATATGAATCTTCTATCAATAATAATATAATTTGTTGATAAAATATTAAAATTTTAATTTTAATTATTCAAAATTAAATTCTAATGATCTCAATTACTAAAAATAATAGTGGTCCTAGACTACACATCAATCAAATTGGCAAAAGGCCTTTCTTTTAGACATGTGCTCTTTTGGACCAAATTCTTTTATCATCACAAAATTAAGTCAATTCATATTGAAGATTGATTTGATAACAATCCTCTTTGTCTTTTTTTTTTTTTTGCTTTCTTGTTTTTTTCCATTTTTTTCAACAAAAAAAAATTATCATTTGAATTAATTACTAATAGAAATAATTTTTTCATTGAATGGTTTTAAAAGAGAAAAAATAATTTTACTAAAAGTATGCTCTATATCATTAATTCTCTTATACTTGTGGAGGTATGTCAATTATTAAATCAATTAAATTTTTAATTTTAATGATTAAATTCAATTTTGACTGTTGAAAATAAAAAATAATATTAAATCATTTGCTAAATAAGAATATGGCAGACAAAGTTTAGTTATTTATCATGTCTTTCAAAAACATAAGATGAAGGGATATGCTAAGAATTCATCTATCTTTGCCTTTTCTTTTTTTTTTTTTTTTTAAAGTCACTAAAATAAAAAGCAGCTCACCAAACCAATACTCTTTCACTAATAGTAGTAACATAGTTTAAAAGTTAACGGTTCTATTATAATTTAAGCACTATTAATTTCAACTTTTATTTTTTATAAATCTAAATGAGTCACTTTGAACACAAAACAAAATAAAATTATTTTTAAAAGTAAATTTTACATACACCTTGTGTGAATTTTTATTCTCTCTTATAATCTTATGGTTGATTATTGTTATCAAAAGATGTAACAATATCAAATTTAATCTAAATTTTTATAAAATTCTCAAACATACCCTCAAATAAAACCTCACAAATCTTTAATTTAGATCTATTTGAATAAACGATAAAATTGATTGTAATGAAACTAAAAATAATAATAATAATTAATATAATTACGATTGAAAAAAAATTATAAATTATTAAAGTTGATATTTAAATTTAATTAATGGTACGATAATTAACTGCATAAATGTGATGGAATTCAAACCCCCGCTCTCATTCTCCTTTTCCTCCATCTCCCTCAGCTTCATCGACCTTGCATTCAACTGGACGACCCTAATGATTATTAATCGACAATGAAGGTGGCTGTTAGCAACATCAACGCTCAAATTCCTTTATCGTTATTGCCCTAATGCCCTGCCCTAGCTGAGATGTCGATCTAGCCATTCCTAATTAATCCGGTTTGTCATCAAGGTATGTGATTCGTGTCTCTTCGAAGGCCTTGGCTGCTTTTCTTTCGCGCTTATGGTGGTTATCGCTGCCGTTAGGGCTTCTGTATTTGGCCTGCGCTACCCTCCTAGCTAGCAAGCAAAGCAAGAGATGTCGCATGGATGGAAGAAAACTATGCTTCCTCTCCTCTGGTCTCCGGCCGTAATTGCTTCAACTTTTGCCCCAACTCCGCATGACCATACATCTTAACAAACTATGTCTTCACCGCGGCCTCTCGATCCTTGGTCCTCTCCTTCATCTCCCTCCCAAAAACTGACATTGGCAGCTCGCTTGATGACCCACCAATCACTAGAGGGACCACATTCTTATGGTTTAATGATGCTTCAGTAACGTAGAGAAAGAAAGTAGACAAGAAAACGAAGGGGAGTCTGAGGGTATTTTTGCAAATTCATAAAATTTAGATTAAATTTATTGTTTTTTTTTTATAATGGTAATCATTTACATGGTTACAAGTAAAAAAAAAAAAAAACATAAAATGTAAGTGGAAAAATCCAATATTATAAGAGATGTATGTGAAATTTATTATTTTTTTTTATTTTCATATTTTAATTCATAATTATGGTATTTTCTTACCTACCTCTAAATTTTGTCTCGAGGAATGGCATAAAGATAAGTATTAAATAATGGGGTCAAGTGAAACCAAACCTTATCAATTAGGTTGCTAGGAAAGCGCCAATTCTGGCCGACCCGACTTCAACACCATTTCTAAACTTGCGGGATCATGTTGTACTAGAAAAAAATCTTGGAGAATAAAAAGCCGTAGATAATAAAATATAAATTTTAAATTTAAATATTATTTTTAAAAATAATTATATAAATTAAGTGGATTTAAGTTTATTGACTCCATGATAAAAAAAAATGTTATAAACTGTTGTTTAATTTGTTATTGTTGTCGTTTCTAAGTATAAATATATCAATTGTAGTAGGGGTGTAAATAATACATTAATACTCGTAAATTATTCGGGTTCGATTCGAAAAAATTCGAATTCGATTCGATTATTATCGAGTCGAGCTTGAGCTCGAGTAGCTCGACTTTCGATCAAACTAATTCGAGTATTCTTATATCTGACTCAAGTAACTCGCGAGCCTAATCGAACTTTTATATTAAATATTTTTTATTATTTTAATTAAACAATATTTCGAGTCTGAGTTCGAACATGAATAATCGAACTCTTGTCGAGTATATAAATCGAACTTATTTTTACATATTAGTCGAGCTAAATTCGAGCGAGCTTAAGTAACTCAAATTTGATCACTAAATCGAGCTTCTTTTTTAGCTTTATTTAATTATATTATATATAACTCTCTTGATTTTCTGATGTCTTTCTTTTTTTTACCAAGTTACGAATCGAATTGTGAGTCGAGCTCAAACTTGAACTTCTCATTATTCAGTTCAATCGGCTTGATTACACCCCTAAGTTGTAGTAATAATAGTAGAAGCTTTCTTTTAATTAATGTACAAAAAAAAAAGAAGGTAAAAGACATAATTATAAACTACTATAAAGTTAAAATTAAGGATGGTAAATATATATAATTTTGTAACGGTTTTGATTCGACTTAATTTTATAAATTTTTTTTTAAATAAAGTTTTTGGATTGAATCAAATCAATTTTTGTTTTAAGTTAAATTCATTCGACTTAATCTTATTTGATGAATTAATAATTTGAATTTGCTCAATCAAATATGTAAGAATCAAAACTTAAAAAAACTTGAATTTAATAATAAAAATTGTAATTAAAATCATTTCATTTTATTTTAAAAATTTATAATTTAAACTGAAATAATATGAAAATTTAAATGATCAAATTTTAAAATTTTTACCCAAAAAAAACTCAATCCAATTTGCTAAATTACCCATCAAACTAGCCCAACCAGTATTTCCAATTTACTGGATCAGGCCCAATTTGTGTAAAGCCTTTTAGTTTTGACCGAGGTTTGCTCTATTGGATCTAGCCCATTCTCTGGTTTCTTCTCCACTTGAGCCCATAAAAAATGCAATCCCTATTCCCTTGCCTGGTGAAAGTGAAACTGGTGAAGCTGCTTTGTTGAAGGTGAAATTGAGCTGCAATTTCTGCAACCAGCCTCATCCAAATCCTCGAAAAACTAAATCATCATCCACCAAATAAATCAAATCTTGGGAAAAGAAAGGGAAAAATCCCTATCCTCCAAGTACTTAAATCAAAGATGCCCGTTTTTAAAACCCCGTTCAACGGCTACTCCGTTAGGTTTTCCCCCTTTTACGAGTCCCGTTTAGCCGTAGCGACTGCCCAAAACTTCGGCATATTAGGCAACGGCCGTGTCCACGTCATCGACCTCTCCCCAACGTCGCCAATCATCAACGAGCTAATCGCCTTCGACACCGCTGATGGAGTCTACGACGTCGCGTGGTCCGAATCGCATGACTCCGTCCTCGTTGCCGCCATCGCTGACGGCTCTATCAAGGTATACGATACCGCCCTCCCTCCTCACTCCAACCCTCTCCGCTCCCTCAAAGAACACGCCCGTGAAGTCCACGGTCTCGATTACAACCCCACGCGGCGCGACTCGTTCCTCTCCGCTTCCTGGGACGATTCCGTCAAGCTGTGGACCCTCGACCGCCCCGCTTCCCTTCGCACTTTCAGGGAACACGCGTATTGCGTGTATTCCGTTGCGTGGAACCCCAAACACGCCGACGTTTTTGCCTCGGCTTCCGGTGACTGTACGGTAAGAATATGGGACGTTAGGGAACCCGGCTCAACGATGATAATCCCAGGTCACGAAAACGAAATCTTGTCATGTGATTGGAATAAATACGATGATTGTTTGATTGCCAGTGCAAGTGTAGATAAGAGTATCAAAATCTGGGATGTCAGGAACTATAGAATGCCTGTTTCGGTTCTTAACGGTCATGGTTATGCTGTTAGGAAAATTAAGTTTTCGCCGCATAGAAGGAATTTGATTGTGTCTTGTTCGTATGATATGACGGTTTGTTTGTGGGATTTTATGGTGGAAGATGCACTTGTTGGAAGGTATGATCATCATACAGAGTTCGCTGTTGGGGTGGATCTGAGTGTGCTTGTTGATGGACTTATGGCCAGTACTGGCTGGGATGAGCTTGTTTACGTTTGGCAGCAGGGGATGGACCCCAAAGCAGCTTAAAAAGAGAAGTCTTTAAAACTTTTCTCTTTTGTTTTTGTTTGGTTTTTGTATAATCCATTTTCATAATTTGAGCAAATACTGGAATGGTTCACTTTTGAATCGGTAGAAACTGATGAATGAATGAATGATTTATTTGGAAAGGGATTGGTAATGGTGGTATGACGCTGTAGTTGTGGTTAATTATAATTTGGTATAGCTATGATATGCCTTTGCACAATTGCATTGTGTTCTTGATGAATAAGTGCCTTATTGAGTTATTGAATTGGACATTGATCCCCTGTATATCAATTAAAATAAAGCAAAGGAGTTTCTGTTTAGAACTGTATGCTTGACATGGAGTAGGGAGCGGAGAAATTCGAAGGGAGCTTTTAAATAAACCATCCAAATTTCTCATTGCACCCCATTAATTTTTTTTCAAAATTACCCACATAACAAATACTAAATTTATCCTTTAATAAATTATAATTTTACTATCTTCTTCTTCTTTTTCTTTTCTTTCTTCTTCTTCCTCTTTCATCCTTCCTTCTCATACACGAAACCCTAAATTTTTAAAATTAAAATCAAAATTTTGAAACCCTTGTTAAAACTAGAAATGAAAAACAATAATGGGAGAGATTAGCTCAACGAGGTAATGAAATCTCAAATTTGGTTGTTTTATATTTTTGGAAATCCATTTATAAAAATAAAGCATAATTTTTTGGAAATCTATTTTCGTAAGCTCTAACCTATTTTTGCATGCATTTAAATCAAATAAAATAAAATAAATCTCGAAATCTTATTTTTAATAAAAGGAAGACTAAAAAAAACATATAATTTTGGGGTTAATTTGGGTTTGAGGTTAAAGATAAAAGAAGAGAGAAGGAAGAAAAAATGTTGAGGGTACGAAGGAAAAATCAATTGTTGAAGGATGGGGTGTATTCAGTAGAAATATGAAATTTAAGTTTGAATTTGGAGTATATTTATTATTGAGATGTACAGAGTAAAAATGGAAGTGTAAATAGAATTCTAATTCAAAGCCAATATGTTGGTTAAGCACACCAAAAGCACGAGACAAGGGACAGGTTCTCTGAGCCGTGTAGTTGGGAAAACACTATATGTAGATACTGTAAATTTTGCTGAAATTACAAGCTCGGATTCCAGTTCCTCAGATGCCAAATTCCAAACAGAGTCCATGGGAGAGCATTCTGATACCTTAGTAGTGAACAGAATGCTGGAAGAACCTGCTATTGTAGAATTTTCTCTTCAAGATATAAAAGGCTTTAATCTTTTGGATGGAAAGGGCATATCAGAATATGAAATCACAGGGTCAGTCAATTCCAGTGTTTCTTGCTTTTCTGACAAACCTGATCTCAGAGGTCAAGCAGAAATGATGGATTCCTTCAGACGGAATGGAGGACCGAATCATGAGTCCAAGTCCTTAGAGCTTATAAAAGTTAGAGCTGATGGAAATCAAATTCTTAGTACTGATGATGATTTGAGAGCAGCTGATCAAGAAGACTCCGAGGCTTCCTCCTCCTTTACCAAAATCACCATCTGAGTCTTGACTATGGCATGCACTGCCTTCAGCTATGTCAAGAAATTCATTTTCGCAGTCCTACAATAGCACTCGTTTTAATCCTAAAAAACAGGAACCTAACATACCTGCTACTGATACCAAGTGGGAAACAATTGTCAAAACTTCTTACTTGCATCATGATCACGTCCGCTATTCTGAGGTAATCTTATCACATCCACTATTGTCTTCTCTGATGGGAGTTTCATTTGTAAACACTAACACTTACGTCCTTAACAGGAATTAGTAACTCACTTTTCCCACTAATCCAAAACTTAAAATTAAGGATGGCATTATTGAATTCATTGCACTCATTTCCTTTGTTTAAACAGTTTTGGTTCGACATGGTCAGAGCTGGTTAAGATTTTGCTGCAGCCTACCATTTTTTTCCGTCTTTCTTCCAGGTGCTTCTCCTTCCATTTTCCTTGTATCTTTATGCTGTCAAGTGGATTTGTTAGCTCTTGTTGTTCAAGCTTGTAGTTGTAAGTTGCTCATTTCTTTTTACCTACGTCAGCCATCAATGCAGGAAAGGCAATTGTTACATCAAATTCAGATTCAAATCTTGTAATGACCACAAATACATTTCTCGATCTGCCATTTTAGCCGCTTAACTTTGCTGCAACAGGAGTTTATTAGTAAATTAATTCATGTGCTCCTGATTTTCCTGTCCAAAGTTTCGACTTCCAACACCAATATATAATCCATTCCTTCATGCATCTTTGTCTCAAGGTAGTTCTGAAATCTGAATAGATGGTGAAACAAATCCATCCAGGGAAAAACATAGTTGCCAGTTGCCACTAATTCAGAGGAATTTGCTGTTCTGACCTGAAATTTTAATTATGGCTTCAGGGTAAAGCATTGAAACCTGAAAGCGGAGGCGATCCCATTACTGTAAGAATCTGTTAATCATGTTAGAAAGAGGGAAGCACGCAAATTGTGGGACCAGTCAAAAGTTCAAAAATAAATAAAAAATGGAAAAAGCGCGTCCGAGTACAACGGAAGTGGGGGCCCTCACCACCATTCTTCATTTATGTGGGGCCACAGTTGACAGTTAGTCCTGTCCTTAATCCTTCCCGCCAATTCTTAATCAACACTAATTAGTAATTAATTATTTAATTAATTATACTTTTATGTGGACCTCTCCCAAAACCCCAAAATTAAACACCTCAAAAAAGAGCAAAATTTTATTATGGCCCTTCCAAAAAAAAAACACACAGAAAAAAGAAAAAAATATTGGGGAAAAGAGAGTAAAACAGAACACAGCTTGTGGGGGTGGCTGGTGGGGGCTCAATGCTCCATCTAGGGATAAAGAAAAAAGAAAGAGAAAGAAAACAGGAGGAAAATCTCTGGATAGTTTTGTAAGAAACATAAAAAAACAAAAAAACAAAAAAAAAAAACAAAACTTGAAGCCCCCATTGATGAGAAAGAGACCAAAGATGGTCGAAGAGAAGGACCTACTGCTCTGAGATCATCCTCTAAAAAAGGGCAGTAATAGAAAAAAATTTCTGGGTTTTTTTTTTTTTTTTTTAGTTTTGTTGTTTCAAATTCCAAATATTTTACATATTTTTTTCTTTGCTGCCTTTTTGAGTCTCTGTCAGGAACCTCCTCTCTAACATTACCACCCCCACCGATCAAGAACCTACTTTTTTGTACTTTCATTTATTCAGACAAAATCCCATTTTTACCATTGCAACAACAGCATCAAAGAAGAACAAAAGTTTTGATTTTGTGCACCCTTTATGGTAAATTCAGCTCGCCCTTTATTGTTTGGAGACCCTTTTGCTTTTCTTGGATTGCTTGCTCTCGAGGTCATTCTCATGTTTCTTTTTTTTTTCAGCTTCTCTTGAGATTGTAAGGAGAAGTTAAGCTTCAGCTGTTGATAATTCAAATGCATTTGTCAAGCAAAAGTGTGTTGTAAGATCAAATAAAAAACAGAAAAATGAGAGACCCTGATATGATCATCACCAAAGGCGGTGAATTTACGTTTTTTTGTTATACATTTCTGTAAATAATAAAAAAGGAAACGTAGAGATTCTTTTTTCTCTTTTGGTATTGGTGGTGTTGTTTCGTTTTGTAGAGTGAGTTTGGAAGAGGGGGTACTTTGTATAAGGAAAACCTGGCGATTCTGTACAGCGACCTGGCTGTTGGCAGATATCTTTGCTACCTCCGCCACTGTAGCATTTGGCTTATCAAGCAATGGGGGGTAGATGTAATCCAATTGGATTCCATTTGTTAAGCTTCTTGTTCCTGATTCCAAGTTTCATAATTCAAGAATCTTTGGCCATTAACTCTGATGGTAATTCTTTCTTCTGGTATTTCTGTTTATTTTTTTTACAATGCTGTTCAATTTAGTTGTTTGTTTTCCTTTTTCAACTTCCTTTTTTCTTCTTCGATTTTAATTGGATTTGGAGATGCAGGTTTGGCTTTGTTAGAATTTCGAGCGAATATTGATTCTGATCCGTATGGTGCGTTCGCAAATTGGAATTCCAATGACAGCACACCATGCATGTGGCTGGGGGTTCTTTGTGTCGACGGTAAAGTGCAAATGCTGTAAGTCCCTCTTTTATATATCATACACACACACACACACACACACACATACACACACATACACACACACACACACACACATATATATATGTGTGTGTGTGTGTGTGTGTGTGTACCCATTAAAGGAATGCATTTGTTTAGAGAAGAATCCTTGCTATGTTCCTCATTTGATCGGTAATTAGAGTTTAGTATGTGAATGCTCTAACAAAATGGGTATTGAGCTAATTAAAAAAATTTTAGTTTAGAAGTTCTTTATGGTGTAAACTGTGAATGGATGAATCTTCAGATTATGTTTTTTTTGTTTGTTCGCTTTTAGGGATCTGAGTGCCCTTTCTTTGGAAGGTACATTGGCGCCTGAGCTGGGGAAATTAAGTGACTTAAGATCACTGTAAGGGTTCACAATCTTGCTGCTAAATGAGTGAATTTTCATTTTTTTCCCTCTGAAATACTCTACCTACTTCAAGTCTAGTTTCTTCTTGCTTGCCCAACAGTCCTGATAAAAGTTAGCACCATCTGATATTGCGATTATCAATTACTACTCGGTCCCAATATATGATTTGGAAACAAAGTATTACCGTATCTTTTACATTTCAATTCTTGTATGCTGGTTGTCTTTGTTGTCATTTTTGCATAAACCCTGGTTTTATGCATTGCAATAGATTAACTGTGTGAATTCAAGGAATTCTGTAAATGAGAGGCACTGTATGTAGGTATTAGCATGAAGCCTTATATTTGGTAATATTTTTAGTGCTACTTAACCTAATTGAACTTTCTGGATCTTCTTCTTGATGCTTATATTAACAGTGTGCTATATAAAAACCATTTCTCTGGCGCCATTCCAAAGGAGTTTGGAGAGCTTACAAAGCTGGAGCAATTGGATTTGAGAGAAAATAACTTGAATGGAACAATTCCAGCAGAAATAGGCAACATGCTGTCTCTAAAACGCTTGTAAGTTCACTTTTGTAAATTTATGCTGTGCATAATGCCTTGTTCTCTGTGTTACCTTTAACTAATCTACCTTCCACCTTAGGTTACTTTGTGACAACAAATTTGAGGGCAGCATTCCTTCTGATCTTGGGAGGCTAAACTTGCTCTCTGAACTGCAGTTTGATGAAAATCTTACTTCGATGTTGCCTACTGAAATTGGCTGTGTAAATAGAAAGTTTGGACTTTGGTAATAGCCATATTCATTGCTGTAGAATTTTTATTGTTCTGCCTTGATTGATCCCTTCCCCTTATTCTGTAACCTATACTTATCCACCCACAACACAAGGATAGATGCTATAAAACCATCAGAGCTCTTGTCCCATTGTCTTTTTGTTGACCTACCAATATGCCATGAACTTGATAATTTGCCTGGGCTAGAAATAAGTTAGAGGAAGATATATGTTTCTCATAGCAGACTGACTTTTGTGGTTCATTGGCCTAAAATTTCTTTAAACGCTTAGTTTTATAGGGTCTAATTGCTACATGATTATATGAAAATAAGGGTGGACATCAGCTTCCTTTAAAACCATTTAATATGCCTCTCTAATCACAGAGAAGAAAGAAAATGCCTCTGATAATCAAAAGAGTGCTTCAAATGACTTGCTTGACTTTTTGCCTTTTGGGTGATACACAATCTATTCAAGTAAGTAGATACTCTACATCTTCGGCTTGTATTGGCAACTGAATTGTTAGTTCTAGTGCTTATGTCGATTCTGGGGTTCATGGAATCACTCATTGCTGTGCCTCATTCTGCTGTTGGAACTCTAGATGGACAAAAACATAGACAGATAACACTTGTTTGATATTTCTGTGAGGCATTTTGAGTTAGTAAGTTTTGCTAGGATAAGCTTTAGTATAAGGTCATAGCATACCATGCAGAATGATGGCCTCAACATATTCTCAGACTTCTATGCCGCTAGCATAGATTTATTACAAAGTCTTATTTTCTTCAAAAATACATTGAACTTGATTCTACAAAAAGTTATTCACACTTTTGCATTGATATGTGGCATGATGGAGATTAATACACTTAAGTTTATAGCGTGGCTTCTTTTTAACTGACTAATTAAACTTATTAAGATTTCTAGTCCTCTAGTTTCCTAATTACTTATGGCCTAAGTTGACAGCATATGGCAGAGCAGTTTGAAACAACTGAACAGAGAAGGATCATTGTTCTTCCCAATTAAAGGAGCTCTTATAACTTACCTCAATGCCCTGCCATTACCACAGTATGAACTTATCATATATCTTTGAGTTAATTTTACTTTTGGTACTTGAACTTTGGAAAAATGTATAAATTGGTATCTAAAGAAATAAAATGTACAATTTGCACCTTGAACTTTCAAATAATGTATCATTTTAATGCAAATTCTAAAATTGTTAACTTAATTCGCCTATATAGTATCTAATCAGTATAATTTTGTTATATGCATGTTATTTGTTAAACAAAAGTGTTAAATATTTTGTAAAAAACCTTCCTGTGGATGTCACGTGATAAAAAATGATTGACTAATCCTAGACATATTTTACGGTTCAGGTAAAATATTTTTAATTTGTATTGAAAAAAAAGCAGTTGATGGTATGTGTAGTGAATATATAACTTGATAATATTTGTTAAACGCCACATATATAAGCTAATAAGGTTAGCTGGATTAGAGTTTGGGTTATTATGGTACATAATTTGAAAGTTCAAGTTGCAGATTGTACATTTTATTTCTTTAGGTACCAATTTGTATATTTTCCCAAAGTTTCAGTACCAAAAGTGTAATTAACTTATATCCTTTTTACTGTCTTATTTTGTATTGTTTGTTATGTTATTTTAGTTTTTAAAATCATCTTGTTCTCTTTGTTCATATGATTTACCTTCTTACAAGGTTCAAGTTGCAAAAAGACTCTCTGGCTGAGCGTCAAGACAGTTGCTGCAGGGATGTGCCTGGTTAGTATAACAATTACAAAATCTCCATTCATCAGACAACAAAGTATGGCTTCTGGAAACAATGACATTGTTTTTCTTAATTAGGTTCATCTAAGCAACAAATGGCCCATAACATAAGGAATCTTGTCCCTTTTGCACGTCGTAGGCTGCTTGAGCAGGCAAAGAACCTCCCAGCTGCACCTGTTGCTGCTACGTCTTCCACTGAACAGATCATTTCTCTCCCAACTACCAGAAGTAGTGGGACTTTCCCCGCTGTGCCGAAGGGAACAAAGAAACAGTCTCATGCACCAGCACCACTGGTTGATCCTCCTGCTCCTCCTCCAGGGACTAATTCAGAGCCTGCTGACCTCTCATCCCAAACCTCTAATGCAGAGCCAATTGTTCAACAAACTTCAGCTTCTGGGGATTTATGGAAATATCTCATTTTCATTCCCTGTGTGGTCATCTTGTTTGCAGTTGTGGCCATGGCTATCATTTTTCGGAAACGAGCAGCAAAAACCATAGGTCCCTGGAAAACTGGACTAAGTGGACAGCTGCAGAAAGCTTTTGTTACAGGTAATTTAAAATATTTTGTTTGATTGTGTCAACAACCAAATTATTTGTCTAGTTGAATTGTTGATTGGTGAGCCTGATTAATTTTTCTAGATGAACAAATTACATCTTCACTATGGCACTACGTTGTATATGCTGGTATTTTTAACATAATCCATGTTTTGTTAATAATAGGCATTAGAATGCTTGAACAAAAGATTCTTAAAAATATTCTGTCAATTGAAAGAACTTAAATGTTCGTCTTTGCCACATGCGGTGATGGCCCCTGTTATTTTACTTTCTGAATTTGGAGAACAAAGACTTTGCTTCATACTCTGTGGAACGAATGGCAGGGTCTTTGGATTTTCATTACTTGTCCTGTGTCTAATATTCCTGCTAGATATCAGTTGATGTTGCAGATTTTAATTTACTTGGCATGAGGCGCCTTGATCTGAGATAATGTCCAGACCAGTTTGACTTTATTGGCATGATACCTCTGGTATTATTTTGTTTATAATGCAGAAAAACCTTAATTTTCTGTTTATTCCAAATGCAGGGGTGCCTAACCTAAACCGATCAGAACTGGAAACAGCCTGTGAGGATTTTAGCAATATAATTGACACAATTGGAGGTTGTACAGTGTATAAAGGGACACTTTCCAGCGGGGTTGAGATTGCTGTTGCATCAATTGGCGTTTCATCTTTAAGAGAGTGGTCAAAGAACTCAGAGATGGCCTATCGGAGAAAGGTATGTTATTTTTACAGTTACAAAAAATAAACATGATATTTTTTGCCATAACAAAATTCAATTTTATACCTTTAGGTGATAGGATAGGATAGAATGATAATTATCCTATGCCATGTTTGGTTTGTAAAGAAAGGGATAGGATTGCAAGGAAGATTAATCATCATCTTGGCATAGGATGATTCATCTTCTCAAAGTGTTAATCCATGAAATTGAACTTAGATGTCCTATTATACACTTAAAAATTATATCAATAATTTAAATTGTATAAACTTTGAGGAAAGATAATTTTGACCAATACATAAAATTTCATATTCTAATTTTTGCACACATCAAACACAAGATAAGATTACATTTTTTAATCTAATATTATTTATAATATCATCTTATCATATCCTGTTATAATCTTATGCACCAAACATTCCTTTAAATCTCCTGATCATTTTCTATCCAAACTTTTTAACCAATTGTTATATTGGAACTCGCCATAGATTGATACATTGTCACGAGTTAACCATAAGAACTTTGTCAACCTTATTGGCTACTGTAAGGAGGATGAACCTTTCAACAGGATGATGGTGTTTGAATATGCTCCAAATGGAACCCTTTTTGAGCGTCTGCATGGTAATATTGTCAGTTACATGTGTATTTTGTGGTGAATATTTTACTCAATGTTGATTCTTTGAGAGCTTAAATATTAGTATTTTGTTCTCAGTTAAAGAAATGGAGCATCTTGATTGGAATGCAAGGATGAGGATCATCATGGGTGTAGCTTATTGTCTTCAGTACATGCACCATGATCTGAATCCTCCCATAGCTCTTTCAAACTTAAGTTCAACTGCTATCCTTCTAACAGATGATTATGCTGCGAAGGTACATCAATATCTGTTTAAATTGGCTTCATTAATTTCTTATCATTATGCAACACTCATTCTCTTTCCTTGTTAACTCTCACAGCTTTCGGAAATCGGTAGTTTACGGCCTGCACCTGTGTCTAAAACCTCAGGTGATGCTGAACCAGAGCATTCTGAATTGCCACCTTTTGTTGATTCAGAAGTGAATATCTATAGTTTTGGAATACTGTTACTTGAAGTCATTTCCGGGAAGCTTCCTTACTCAGAAGAGCAAGGCCCTCTTGAGAAATGGGTATGTTTAGGATGACACCTGACCTGATAATTTTGTAATGCACTTTCATCCCATCCTTTTCTAGAATTGGCCTCAAAGGCAAAAGCTACACTTGCCTTGCTTGATCATAGTTTTTGCATTTTTGGTAAACTAATATTAAATAATGAACTTGGCAGGCCGTTCAATATTTGAATGATAAACGAAGCATCAGCTACATGATTGATCCCACCCTCAAGTCTTCCAAAATTGATGAGCTTGATGGAATCTGTGAGGTTATACAACAGTGCATCCAAACAGATCCAAGGCAAAGACCAACAATGAAGGATATCACTTCAAAATTGAGGGAAGTGATTAATATCCCCCCTGAGCAAGCCACCCCAAGACTTTCCCCCTTGTGGTGGGCCGAACTTGAGATTTTATCAATGGAGGCCACCTAATGACCCTCTTGTCTGTGTTGTAAGTCAAGTCTCTCTCTTACTTTGTATCAAAATGGAAGAATAGCTTTTTCGTCCTTGCTTCCAAAATAAACATTGATTCCTTATACTTGGTTTCCAAATCACATCTTTTTTGGTCACTTTGTTTTCATATATACATATCCTATCATCCATTTAATATTTTCCCCCCATTCATCCTCAGCAGTTCATTGGAATAAAAGTGTGTTATACTCTTTAATGGGGATTGTGCACCCAATTGTAATAGATGTATGTATTTTGTGATTATAAAGTTTGTGATGTTAAAAAAAACTGATGTAAAAAAACTAACATATCAATTTGTTGACATTTTTTTTTCCTCTTAAATGTAATTAGGTGGTTGAGAAATTTTAAACCTTCTGCCACAGTTTTGATATTAGTCACTTAAAATTTTGGGTTTTTTTTTTTTTAAGTTTATTTTTTACTTGGTACCCGAATTTAGAAATGTTATTTGCAGGTAATAATTGCTAACAAATAATAATCATCAAGAACAAGATTGTGCATTGCTCTGCCTAAATCACTCTGTTTGCCCCCAGTGAAATCTGATTCTGCCAGGGCCATGGTCGTTTACTCATTTCTTTGAGACATCTCAAATTTCCTCTGAACAAGAAAGATGACAGATTAACAGAATAAATCTTGACATGCAATCACAAAACCTCATTAAAAAGAGAACATTTTGTAGTTCTAATCTCGGATCCTTATGGGTATCCCTTCAATGGCCCATTGCCTCTGCTGAATCTGAAGCATATAAGTCCCAGCCATAAAGTACACAGATTGCGATGGGTTCAAAACATCCAAAACTCCTTTCAGAGTCTTGAGCCTCACACAGTCAGCAGCTTTAATGACCCTCTCCAGCCCTGCCAGCATACCCTTGAGCGCCACCTCGACCAACCCGTCCACCTGACCCACCACCTCCCCATTCCTTATTCCGCTTACCATACGAACTAGCTCAACCATCTTGCGGTCCGCCATTGCCACCTGCTGCCTCTCCATTTTCCTCCCCAAATTTCTCTTCCTTTTAACTTTATCTTCATTCTCAAATGCCCTATCTTCCTTAGCTGCTCCTCCGTCAACTCAGAAATCCGGGCCAGGCACCCGAGTCCTCCTCATTGACAACTAGTTGAAATATCATAGATGGCTTCCAACCGGTGAGCCATGAATAAGCATTCTCTTGTTTGCTTAACCAAACAGGACACAAGCACATTTCCATAAGCAGCAGTCCTCCATTTGACATTGTAGAATTCTTTGAAATGAGTTGTCAGTTTCGACACCAAAACTTGTTGCTCAGCTTCACTTAAACTTTCCTTGGACACCCTATGAAGCTGTTGCAAGTAGTCATCAAGTTGACAAACCCACTTGTCGAAGAACTCGAACCTTTCTCCAACTGGGGTCTTCATTTCTTTTACCCTTTTGGGAATAAAAATAAATGAAAATGATGTGGCTTTGACTACTTTATTTAGGGAAATAAATTTAAAATAACTCTCATTAAAAAAATAAAGATTTTGAGCGATACTACCTTGGGGAAAAAAACTCCTAATAGAAGTGTGGGTTACAGCCTTATAGAAGGATTTAGGATTCAGGACTTTGAAGAAAACTGTGGCAGCATGCAACAGATATATAAGTGAATTAAGGGGGATTTGAGGGGAGAGAACAGATGGAAAAAGAAGTATGAGACACGGTTAGAGTGAGAAGAGGGAGTACATGGCTTTCAAACAGCAGTGAGCTAGTAGTGGATTTTGAGAGGAGGGGGGAAGGGGCTGAGCTGATACATGACGCTTTGCAAAATAGGGAAAACATGAATCGACTATCTGTCCATTGTAGTTACTGATCTCCAACTCTTATAATTCTTTAACTCTTAACAGGATTCAACCTTTGACTTCCTTGAGCAGTCATGTATGCGTCGTACCAGCTGGCGTTGAGGTTCTTGTTAGGATGAACGTGTCACCACAGGAAACAATCTTGGTTCAACGTGGAACTCATTCACACTGTTCCCTCAAAATACTTCTTTCGGTCCCACCCTTATCTTCCATGAACCGTGCTTTGGATCCCTCAGGATTTACATGTTAACTGTGTTTTTACGCTTACGCATATAACCAGCAGCCTAGCCCACACAAATACAAAAAAGTTTCATCAGTTAGAACAAATTGAAAATGGCCAGATTTCAGCAACACAACTCGTAATGATAAAAGATTTGCACATGAAGATGATCAAGGAAGAAGAGAGACTGTCGAATCACATGGTCAGCTTGGAGGAGAACATAGCAGACCATCCAATGGCCGTGATTGCAAAAAGGTTGAGTCGGTAGGTGAATCAAGTGGAGAAGTAGATCGTGCACTGGATGAACATGAGAGTTCTATGACGAATATGCTGCAGGGGGGCTGATAAGCTGAGGCTAAGCAGGCTAAAGGAATTACTTGGCACATTAACTCCACTGCAGGGCGTGGATTTTCTTGCGACAGGTAAGAAGCTTCACCTTTGCCTGCATTAGTGGGGAAAAACAAGAGATAATAGGCATGGTAGGAAATAAGAATTCTCTATATATGGATAGCATAAGCATGTGACACAGCCAGTTCCCTGGATAAATTCTCAGGTTTGTTTACTTGAATGTTTAATGTAAAAGCAAAATTATATATTCCTTAATGAATGTTTTTAGTTTCAATTTTCATTGAAATCTAGGTTATCAAGTTTTACGGCTGAAATTTGAAACAAAAAACAAAGAGACCATATATAATGTGTCTGTGTGCTTGTGACCAATTTTGTTTTATTTTATTTAAGGTGTGTTCCAATTCCAAAGCAATAAAACCCACACTTCCTCCGCGATGAATTTAGGAGATTAATTAATAAAGAGCCTGGACCAAAAAATCACTGCTTTTTTGGTTAGGGTAAAAGAGAAGGGAAAAAGAATAAGGGAGGTGGTCAATGGCTTATCATTGCTGATTTATCCACTTGCAAGCCACCCCAGAAATAAGACAGAAGCATTGGTTGTGGCTCTTTATAAACCCATAATAGAATCAAACAAAATGTGAATGCAGTGCAAAACTCTGAAACCAAAATTCATTAAAAACAAATTAAAGCAACCATGTACCTCAGCAACTAATTGTTCACCAGAACAGGAGTGAAAAGAGAAAATCCAAACATATGATCTATTAATTGGTAGAGGATCGATTTGAGTCATTGCTTATTACCATTATAACCTCGTGGATTCATCTCTAATTGGTTTTAAGTTTATAAAGCTTAACTTATTACATGTCAAAGACTACCTAACATTTGTAATACCAATATCAAATATTGCAGGTTATGACAATTATTCATTATCTTGATGCAAGAAGAAAATATCTTGTCGTGCCGTGGTGAGCTAAGAAGTTTAAAATGCTCTGAAGATGTTCCCTCCACCAATTGTTCAAATCCTCTCCAGTAGGAGTAGGACAACCCCATAATATGGACCTAACCGAACATCACAGTCTATCCCAAGGTCCAAGCAAAGAGACAGTTATGTAATTTGCATAGCAGAATGAATTCTTCCATCACATGTCATGGGATGTTTGGTCTATTTATCAAGAACCCAAATTGGGGATTTGAGATTTCACAGCTAACAATTGCAAGAGAGGAGAACAAAAACATCAAGATAAGTGATTCGATCTAATGAAAATGAAAGAAAATTTGTGTGTAATTTATGGCCAAACCAGGCAAAAGAATTTTCAAATGTAGCTTCATAGTGTCCACTAACTCCTCATTACAAAACATCCTAAGGACTAATAAACGTAGAATTGTTACCAGGTGATTCAACAGAGGCCTAGACAGTTTAATAATATCAATTAAACTTATAGCTTGTAAAGAGTTATGTTTATCGACCCCAATCACGTTTAGAGAAGCAAGAGATCTCAATTATGAACTAACTCTAGTACTGGATGGGTCAGTTGGTAGAACAAAGTATAGAAGGCTTGAAAAGATGAGTGATTCTAATGAACCCAAAGAAGACTGTAGCGCTGATATGTGGCCCAATGATATTTTATTGCTTTTTAATCACCCACTAGCCATCATCTCTGATATGGAACTTGTGTTTGTGGCAAATATTATTGGTCATGTGTGGGTCAGTTGGTCAAACTGTACCCACTTGGAAAAACTCCATTCGAAGAGGCTTATGGAACTCTTAAAATGGGACCCATTTGATTGATGGGAGTCCACGTGGAGTGGTACAAAGCATGGACCAATTTCAAATCAAATGCAGGACAATTCAGTGATGTTGAAAGTTCTGAACCAAACGAATAGAAGATTTATGAAGTGGCCAGAATATCCTATTTTAGAGAGCGAGAGTCAGAGCACTGAACTCTTTTCTTTCTTGCTTTAGGGGACCATATTGAACTACAAGTTCAGATTCATCATTAGCTACCCTCTTTGGAGTTTGAACAATTACTAATTGACTTACCGTAGAGATGTGTCCCCATTGACTTACCAAATACAAAATTACACCCTGCAACCAAGCTGTATTACCGACTGGGATCTGATCCAGCTTGTTTTACCAAAGCAATTGTCAAGAAAATCTACCATTTACATACCAAAATTAGGTGCCATTTGTGCGTATTTCCATGAATTTTATAGATATACAATATCCGAATTTTGTTTTTTACTTGCAGGGATCTCCGCCACTTCTTTCCCATCGTCATCTCATCAGCATAATGCTGTACGAAAGCAAACTTTCCCCCACCAAATAATTATAGCCGTTGGATCCCTGATGCAAAATATCAGCAATCTAAAATTGTACAATACTAAATGTAGGAGGAAATTATGTCCAGTCCTTCATGATAGACGCATCCAATTGGTGCTATTTTTGAACAGAACTGCTTTTTTCTGTTTTTTTATTTTTGGAATTCATGTGTCGTAAAACCTTTGCAGTTTTGCTACAAAAATAAACCAAATTTTGAGCCATTTTCCAAGGGGATAATTTCTAGACGTGCCTACTGCCTATTGGCAAGGTGAATTTTGAATCAGCCACCCTATCCCCTTCTCTCCTCCTTTGTAGAAAAAATTTGACCCATTTGTCTTGGTTTCTTAACCAAGGAAACTATAGCAAAAATTCAAAACTATGGATGGTTTTATCCCTTAATTCATTGTTACTTGCAGAACCTTTAGCATTAATTATTGTAGCAGGAGGAGAGATTATGGAGAAGAAAGGGACAGTATTGATGCACAGGTTTGAGCTTGGGCGGTTACTCGGGCAAGGGACATTCGCCAAGGTTTACTATGCCAGAAACCTGACAACAGGCCAAAGCTGCGGCATTAAAGTTATCGATAAAGAGAAGATAATGAAGGGAGGTTTGATAGATCAAATCAAGCGTGAAATCTCAGTTATGCGCCTTGTTAAGCATCCCAATATTGTTCGGCTCTACGAGGTCATGGCTAGCAAGTCCAAGATATATTTTGTAATGGAATATGTTCGAGGTGGTGAGCTTTTCAACAAGGTTGCCAAAGGGAAGCTCAAGGAAGATGCCGCCCGGAACTATTTCCAACAATTGATTGCAGCTGTTGATTATTGCCATAGCAGGGGGGTTTATCATCGGGATTTGAAGCCTGAGAATCTCCTCCTGGATGAAAATGGGAATCTGAAGGTTTCGGATTTTGGATTGAGTGCCTTGACAGAATCAAGGAGACAAGACGGCCTTCTTCACACGACTTGTGGAACTCCAGCCTATGTTGCACCAGAAGTTATCAACAAGAAAGGCTATGATGGAGCCAAAGCAGATATTTGGTCATGTGGGGTCATTCTTTACGTTTTGTTGGCAGGTTTTCTTCCTTTTCATGATGAGAATCTAATGGAAATGTATAAAAAGATATGCAGAGGAGAATTCAAATGCCCACAATGGTTTCCTCCGGAAGTTCGGAAGCTTCTTTCAAGGATTCTTGACCCCAACCCAGGCCAAAGAATCACGGTGGCTAAGCTCATGGAAAACAGTTGGTTCAGGAAAGGATATAAACATATCGATACCCCACCACCATCCCCTCACGCTCGTAGCTTAGACTTGTTAATTAGCGATGTTCATGCTGCTTTTGACTCGTCAGGTTGTGAAAACAGTTATCAGAAGGGAGCAAGAGTACCAAGATGCCCTGTCAAGCCTAGCTATTTCAATGCTTTTGATATTATATCTCTTTCACAAGGTTTTGATTTATCAGGTTTGTTTGAGAAAGATTTGAATCAAAGAGATTATTCACGATTTACGACTAGAAAACCAGCCACAGATATCGTTTCTAAATTTGAACAAATAGCTCAGACCGAAAGTTTTAGCATGAAGAGCAAGGACGGAAAGGTAAAATTGCAGGGCAGCAAGGAAGGGAGAAAGGGACAGCTCGCTATAGATGCTGAGATTTTTGAAGTCACGCCTTCTTTTTATGTGGTCGAGATGAAGAAAACCGCCGGGGATACTTTGGAATATAAAAATTTCTGTAACCAAGAATTGAAGCCTTCGCTGAATGATATAGTGTGGACTTGGCAAGGAAATGAGCAGCAAGCCAGCAACAATTATAGCCAGAAACTGCTTTGAATCTTCTTTTTTCCCTGGATAGAAGGGGATTTCTACAATCTTTTTCGTTCAAATATATATGTAATTGCTGCCAAAGAGATAGCTTCTTGCCCACCTTGAATTTCAATTTTTTTTTCCTATCTCCAAGTTTAAAGAGGGTTTTAGTTTATGTGCAAATTAACTTTGCTTATAAAATTCTAATAAAGAAAAACAAGCCCAGGATGAGATTCTCAAGTCTTGCCATAGCATTTAACCACTTTTTAATTAGACAATAGCACTAGCGGAGTCCAGATAAGTTGCAAATTCAGGACCAAGTTTGGCAAATGGTAACCTATTCAAACCAAGAATCCCATGCTTCAAGCTCATGAATTCCTACTTTCGAAGAAAGAAACCTCTTCAATTTTGGCAAGTGAATTGAAATGTCATTAAGAATTAAAAAATTTCTCCAAGCCATGATAAAATCTCAAAAATAAAAAGACCAGTGCCCAAGAATCCCGGCTTTTTCTCCAGTAGGCCCGATCTGAACACAACTGGAAATTGTGCTTGCATCAGTTTGTACATGGTAGTGCTTCTCACGTACTAAATTTAATATTCGAATATCTGTAAGTTGGTTACTAGACCTTTTCTTCGTGCATGTTAGGTTTTATTGTGTCCTTTTGATTGCAAGACAGGCCCCTGCGAAGCCGAGGGTCAAACTTTGGCGACAATGCTCTGTAACACTAAGGACCTAGAGGTATGGAGAACACCATGAACTCACTCATGCCTTGCTGAATCCTGCCTGCTTCTATCAGAACTCCAATGGCTGCTATCAATCCTTTTGTCTTATCTCAGGCAACGATGTAGCTCTATTTATGTATACTTGATCAAGGATGCAAACAGGCACAACGATGAACATATTACAAGAAAAACAAATTTAACGCCATCTTGAAAAGACAATTAACTGGAAAATCTAGACTTAAAAGATTTTTGATTGAGATGGCTCAAGAAAAAAACAAAAACAGTACCACAAAATTGTGACTTTTTAAAAGACTGAGAAAAACAAACGAAATGTAATAAAAAAGAAGATTAATTAAATCAAACATTTCCATTACAAAATGTTAACAAAAGATGTGTGTAGAATTCAAACAAACGTATTCCAGAAAAGGTTAAAATTTTCAACGAATTTTCAATCTGTGATGCTGGCTTTCACTCATTTCTGATCTATTTGTCTCTCTTTCATTCGAGGTTGGCCATTAAAAACAACTGAAACTGTAGAAAGATAATGACATAGGAAAAGCCAGTTTCAAATCGCGTATTTGGCTGTGCTAATGAATGATGATAACTAAAGCATCCTATAGGGGGAGAAAAAAATGCGTTTGACCAGAAAATTGATCCATCTAAATCCTAAAATACAAAACATAGAACCAACCAAAGTACCTACTCACTTGACTAAAATTATTATCGTTGGGAGACTGAATAAAAAGTAGCACATGCAATCTACATTGCTCTTGAATCTGGGATTCTCTGGAAATTCTTGATTGACACATGAATCTCTATTATGGAAGCATTCAGCCATTTCCATATTTGTTAAGCACACTGTCATTGCATATGATAACAGGAAATATCAGAACAGAATATATCTAAGGCATTATTAATTTTGCTGTTTAAGGCTTTAACGGGATTTTTTTTATAATTATTTGAAAAATTAATCAAATATTCAGAGCCAGATTCGATTTTTAGTAATTTGCAAAATGAACATGTCGGCATCGCTGATAGCTTGATTTGCAAGAAAAGGCATCTGCTGCAGGTCTTCTTTTTAACTACATTATTGCATAATCATTTAATCTCAACACTACAACTTCACTCTCTTTTTTATAATAACTGATCTCACTTTTTTTTTTTAATTTCATCAAGATTGATTTTATCATTCATTCGAATGAATTCTAAGTCATCTAAGGGACAGAAAAAAAAATCATAAATGGCTAAACTGTTAATTGCCTCATCTGGACAAAATGGAGAGGCCAACACATATTGAATTGACATCAAAGGACAGATGAATTAAATGTTTAAGTAAATCTTATTTAAAATAAGGGAATGGAATAGAAACAAATATTGTTTCAGTACTCTTGGAGTAGTCCTTACCCATGTTTTTCTTTCACACATCTCCATCTTGTGGAAATGCAACATGCCATCAGACAACTAGTTGGAACTTTCTGTCACATTTGCGTAATTAGGCATGAAAGTAAACAGTTGAAAGTGGATAAGATGTTACTTGTGCGGCTTGCATTTCACAGCAAACGTACAACCCATGGACAGAAAGGCACGAGATGCAATTCTGGCAAGACACTATACAAACATTTACGCGCAGGCTATCAGATTTTGACTTGTAATTGTCTTCATACCAATATACATAGGTTTCCTTTCACACGTATTTTGATCGTACCTTACATTATCAAGACTTTTCCGCTTCACGTGAACTCCATTCGAGTGGGAGCCGCACTATCCACCCATCCAAAACCTTATTAAGGGTCAATAAGAACACGACTAAACTAGAATGTATTCTATCTACGACCTTAAGTGGAAAGACGGGCAAACATTACTACGAGAAGGCGAAAACTTTTCCGCATACATAAAAAAAATCTCCTAATCACCATACCTTCAAAACGGCTGCTTCACATTTTTTATGGTTCCAAATTAGGTTTTAATTCTTCTAGTTAAAACCAACAAGATCGACAAACTTTCATATACCAGCAGAAAACACTAAACTCTGCTGGCCACATGGATTTTGTAACTCATTTTAGATTTTGAATTGAAATTTTACAATCCCAAAAGTACAGAAACAAAATTTAGTCAAATTATTGTAAAAAAAATTATCATTTTTTGGGTGGGTAAATAGACCAATCTCGTAATTTGACAACATTAATGTGTCATTAATTCATTTCTCAATAAAGTTGATGAGTATATACAAGCCAGAAATCCAATTGCTAAGATTAGTAGAAATTTGTATCCAATTCCCTGTAATCTAATCTATCCTTCTCGATACAAGAATAGATCATAGAAACAAATATATCAAGTCGTCTAAAGCCTTAATAGCAAGCCAAAAACAAAATCGAAAGGAGCGAAAAAAAGAATCGTTTATGATACAAAAGCCTTAGCAAAAGGAATAGAAAAACAGAGAAAGGGAAAAGCTTACCCTTTTCCCTTCCTCCGCTCTCTCTATCTCTATTCCGTATCCGAAGGTAAATATGAAGCGGCAGCAGCAGCAGGTCCTGATTCCTCCAGCATCAAATTCTCTAACCCAGGTTTCAGTTCCCTGTTACAAAACTCCTCATACTCTCCTCGGTCCCCTCCTTTCTTTTTCACTTCTACAACAACCAAAGCAGGCGTCAGCTCGAATATCTCAGCAGCAATCGTCAATGGCCCTTTCACCCCCTCTCTAGAACCCTCCAAGCTCACTCTACAATCCTTTTTCCTCACTGTAAAACTAACCACTTTGGCTATCTCCTCCAATTTCGATATAATTTTCGAAACCGGCGCCCCGGACACAAACCTCGCCCCTTCGTCTCCGTCAAACAATCCAGATAAATTAAACCCCGGGGAAAAAGAGATAAGATCAAACGCATTCAAACTAGCTGGCCTCGGCAATGAAGCGACTTTCCTCCTATTTTCAAAATCAGCTTCTGATTCAGAATATGATGAATGGTCCGAACATGATCCCCCGTCATAATCGTCCTCCTCAACACTGCAAAATTTATCATCTTCAATGTAAAATTTAATATGTTTAAACCCCTTTTTAAACCAACGATTCTCCATGATTTCCGGGATCGTTATTCTCGTTTCGGGATTCGTATCCAGAAGCTTCGTAAGTAACCTAGTTAACTCAGACGAAAACCATCTCGGACACCTAAACTCACCCTTGTAAATCTTCTTATACATAGCCATAACGTTATGATCGTGAAACGGTAAATACCCCGCCATTAAAACGAACAGAATTACCCCGCAAGACCAGATATCTACTTTCGCCGCATCGTATCCTCTCCTCGCCAAAACTTCCGGTGCCACGTAAGCAGGGGTCCCGCAAAACGTATGAAACAAACCGTCTTGTCGGATCTGATCCGAAACGGCGCTCAACCCGAAATCGGAAACTTTCAAATCCCCGTTTTCATCGAGGAGTAGATTCTCGGGCTTCAAGTCGCGGTGGTAAACGCCGCGGGCGTGACAGAAATTGACAGCTGAGATTAATTGCTGGAAGTATTTCCTGGCGACGTCTTCTTTTAATCGGCCTTTGGCCACTTTGTTGAAGAGTTCACCACCACGGACGTATTCCATGACGAAGTAGATCTTAGATTTGGTGGCCATGACTTCGAAGAGTTGGACGATGTTCGGGTGGCGCACGCGGCGGAGGATGGCGATTTCGCGCTTGATGTGAGCGATTAACCCACCTTTGAGCACCTTTTCCTTGTCGATTACTTTGATGGCTACGCTGTCACCGGATTTGATGTTGCGAGCGAGGTAAACTTTAGCGAAAGCGCCATGTCCGAGGAGTTTCCCGACCTCGTACCGTCCTAATAGAAGAGCTGGGCCGCCGTTCGTGTCTTTCTTTGCCGAGGCGGCGACGGAGGTGAAATCCATTGTCGTGAAGGTTAGGGTTTGGTTACTTGAGATAATGAAATTTGAATGGTTAATGATTGGCCACTTGAAAGCGGAAAATTTGAGTCTTTTTTCCTCTGTTTTTGGTTGAGAGGTTGGGTGAGTGGTCTAAAGAAATTGAATTTGTTACGAGGTTGGAGAAAAGATTTGCTTTTAAATAGGAAGGGAATATACTTTCCGTTTGTTTTTCTAATTTGTTTTTTTTCTTAAGTTCTAATAATAGTAGTTTCTAGGCTGTATAAAAAATCTCTAAATTAAAATAAATAATTATTTAAATTTTTATTATTTTATTAAAATTAATTAAATAATTATTTTATTTATTAGACAAAAATATATTAATAATCATCATTAATTTTCATTCATTTAGAAGGTTGAATTAAATAAATAGATATTAAAATTTTTTAATTAAATGAAAATAAATATTAACAAATTTAATTAATTATAATAAAATGATAAAAATTTGAATAACTATTTAATTTTAATTTATATATTTTTATATTTAAGATTATTTTTTGCCTTTTTATTTTATATGTATATTATTATATGGATGTGTCAATTAGGTTGTGTTATACCTATATGAGCCATTGAAAAATTAATTCATGTATTAATGGATTGTGTCGATCCAACATTATTATTTAACATGTTGTAGTGGTATAGTTCATGAAAAGTTAAAGAGCATGACCCAACATGACATATGGCACATAGATTTTTTGGTATTGTCTTGCTTAACACGATACTATTCTTCATGCCATATGGAACAAAGTATACTCCATTATCAGTTTCTTAAACTTTTATCATTATTTAGGATTTTTTTTTTTTTTCAACTATTTTTAAAAATTAATATATGAAATTAATACACAAAGCATATAATTAATATAGTTTAACAAAATATATATGTTTACTAATAAAAATTAAAAAAATCTATCAAAATAATATATGAAAATTAACAAATACTAATATTACATATCTAATTTAAAATATATATAGATATCATATTATTTTTTTTTATTATTTTCATCATATGATGATTATTTATATAATGTGTTTTATCTTAATATAGGTTTTTTCATAATCTTTCTTTAAGTAATATATATTTCATAATTATTTTTTAAAAAATAATAAATCAAAATAAAAAATTTATAATTTTATTTACTAATACTTTAAATATTTGATAAGCAGATTTGTTGATACAATTTAATTTCAATAAAACTACTAATATAAAGTATCAAAAGGACTAAAAAACGTCTATTATATTAGAAAAGTAACATAAAATATAATTAAAGACCAATAGATTATAAGTTAGCACAAATGACACATTAGTGCTTATGTGTGTCGTTGTGCCAACTCATGTACTACGTGCTTACACTACCTTTGATGAGTATATCATACCAATCTAATAAAATCAAAATCTTTAATTCAGCATGAACTAAGTATATGAATCGTGCTTAACATGACCTATGATTATAGCAATGAATCAGTCAAAAACAGTCCATACCATATTAAATTGTGTTATGTTATGAGTTGTACAATCTATTTTACACCTCTATAATAACATATAAAATTATTTTCAAGAATTTTTTGAACATATAAAAAAGATCTTATCTAGTTACTGTTTATATTGCAAATTCATAATTTTTTTTTGTTTATCAAATGTAAATTAAAAATATATAATATAGTTTTTATATGAAAAAAAAAAGTGATTATCAACGATAATACATTCATAGTCACTTTCGATCGAGAGGGCGAGAGATTCATACAAGTGCAAAGAGTCAAGAGTAGGGGGCAGGCCCAACCCAAATGTAACCCACTTACCTTTTGTTGCCTAGGGAGTCAAAGATCATTTGGTTAAAGATCAGCAAAATGGAGCTACTGATGATTCCAACACAGGATTATGACCCAAATGTGAAGCGTACGCGTGAGGTTTTCATCTAGAGCACCTGGTAAGGAACTTTCTTTTTTCCGAGACAGCTAGATTGTCACCATCTGCAAAAGACCCACATTTGGATTAATCTCCAGTCTCCAATTATATCAAGATGGAACACCAAACTTTGACTCCCAGAAAGAAAGTTATGCATATGGAGAAAGCTTGCCCACAACGATATATTCTGTTTTTAGGAGATCTTCTTACTGCCACTGATCAATACAATGATCAAAAGCAGGGGCCCCATGGACAAACAATGAGCCCATTTTTTTGTCACTCCGGGTGAGGCAAAGCTGGGACCTGGTGCGTAATGGTTAAACTGACCAACCTTCGCAACAAAGGAGCACCGCAGGGAAGATCAAAGAAGCAAACCAAAGGGCTTTAACTATTGGGAATTGGCAATAGGTAATTTGGTCCATGGAAGGATTGTTTTTCAGCAAATCACTGCGTCAATGTGATATTTATGACCGAGTCAGAGTTAGTCACTGTTGACAAATTGCACAGTCAAACCCACAGCGACAAAGCACATCAACACAATTCACATCGTTACTGCTGTCCTTTATACCCAAACGCCGTTAACTTGCACAATCCTACTTCACTAATTTATGAACTTTGGAGTCACCTGGAATTTAAGAAGTCGTAGCAACCAACTCCCCCTTCTCTTCCCCTATCTCTATCTTCTCTCTCCCCGCTTCACACCCCTATAGATAAAGTCAAGCATAAGACAATTTTTTTCATAATGACTATCGTTCTTTACTCTGCTTCCTTCCCCCCTTCCTCTCTCAATCTCTGAGCATGGGAATGCAACGAAATGCGAAAAGGTCGATGCTTGAAGAGTTGAAGTGAAGGAATGGAAAAATTTAGCAGATTTTTACTACTGTTTTCCCTTGTGATAGCGGTAAAATCGACATGCAACAGTACAGACTACGGATTGGTTTCTAAAGCTTTTAAATCAGTCTCTGGATTCAACTTCTCTTCGTTGAAATCCCAGTATGGGAACTGCTCATATCCTCAAATAAAGGTATTAAAGTTCTCTTAGAAGAATTTAACTGGTAGTAATTCATGGAAATTTCTCAGGAACATGTCACAGTTGCACACCATTGATCTCTCCAACAATTCTCTTCAAAGTTCTGTTCCGGGTTGGTTATGGTTCGTTCATACGCTGGTTGAGGTTAATCTGTCCAAAAATAAGTTTGGAGGGACTACTGGGTTTGAACTCACCTCGGGAAATGGTTCGTAGATGCGGGTGCTAAACCTTTCAGCTAACGGGTTCACCAACTTGGTTAAAACCTCTGATTTTTCCAAGCTTCAATTTCTTGACCTTTCCCACAATGATGTTGGTACTCTTCCCTCTGGGTTCACCAACCTGACCAAGCTGGAGCACCTTGATATTTCAAGTTGCAAGATTTCGGGCAGTGTAAAACTTTCAGCTCTTCATTCATTGAAGCACTTGGATGTATCAAACAACGCCCTCAATGGTACTTTCCCTTTTGATTTCCCTCCAGTCAATAGCCTAAAGTTCCTAAACATTTCGCTCAACCACTTCAACGGTTCAGTTGGCTTTTACAAGTTCCAAAGACTTGGCAAATCTGCTTTTATTCACGGTGGGAATTTCGTTTTTAATACTTAAAAAGAACACCAAGCAATCACATTACAACCCATCCCCTGACCCCACCTCACAAAATCTTCCATAAACATTTACCCCTGAAAAAACGCAGTAAGAAACATAAATCCAACTCAAAGACCAAAGCTTTGGTCATTGGTTTATCAGGTTCATCAGGGTTTCTACTTGCTTCCCTTGTGTTTTGCATCTTTTGCACATATAGAAGAAAAAAACTGGCAAGGAGAAACAAATGGGCAATCTCCAAATCGGTTCAACCAAATTTCAAGATGGAAAAATCAGGGCCCTTCTCTTTCGAGACAGATCAAGCTCATTGTCACGGACTAAGCTTTCTCTCAACAAGTACTAGCCCGTGTGGTACTTGAATGGACGCTTCCACCCAAGTCAGCTTGCAATAGATCGAGATCTAAACAAATAATCATAAACCATGGTTAGTCTCAAGCATTCACAATAAGGCACAATATATCGAGGTTAATCTCAAGCATATACACACAACAAGGCACATTCACATTGAGAAAGAAAGAAACGCATCGAGGCAACAATCGAAAGTGAATTTTATTATAAACGGGAATCATACATCGGGATCTCCCACCATCACCAGGGCCAGGGGGCAGCCTTTGTGGGTGGCCTAAGCTCGCATAGCACCCGGTGAGACAGCCCAACATTACGCTGTCGACTCACCCCCTAAAGAGCCTTAGAACTTTTAGAGCTATGCTACCAGTAACCGTTACAATGTTTAAAATGGGAACACTTTTCCTAGCACAAGGGATTTACCCGGTCATGGCCTTATACATGGGTGGCTCATGGCAACCTAAGTCCCGGTCATGGCCCTATACAAGGGCGGCTCATGACATCCTCTCCCATCTATTTTATCGACGTCCTCATCCACTTGCTGGCTTGAAATTCTTCAATCTTCCTTTGAAATCTTTGGAGGTCGTGTTCTCTCTCCCAACTGGTTTCTTCTAGTCCTAAGCCCTTCCACTTTATTAAGTATTCCCAAACTAGTCTTCGAGATATCTTGGTTTTCCTGTCGGTTAAGATCTCTTCGACTCGACGCTCTGAGGGTAGCTTCATGGTGATGGTGGCTCTGGTTGGCTCACTTTGGCTAATATCTGTAAGATCTGCATGGAAAGGCTTCAAGTTGCTTACATGAAATACTGGGTGCACCTTCATCCACTTTGGTGGATTGATTTTGTAAGAAGCGTTCCCCACCTTAGAAATGACCCTTACTGGACCTTTATATTTGCGCACCAGTCTACGATCTCTCTTTCTTAAGAACCTGGTTTGTTCTGGGACTAGTCGGACCAGAACCAAATCACCAACTTGGAATTGCTGAGCTCTGCAATTCTTGTCTGTCCATTTTTTCATCCGCTTTGATGTCTTTTTCAGGTAAGCTTGTGCAATCTCTGTGTTTTGTTTCCACTCCTTGCTGAAGTTGAAAGCTCTCGGATTCTTTCCTCCATATTGTTCCAAGGAAGTGTGGGGTAGCCTTGGTAGTTGTCCGGTGACCACCTCAAATGGGCTCTTGTTAGTGGAAGAGCTCTTGTTAGTGGAAGAGCTCTTGTTAGAATTAAAGCAGAGTTGAACAACGTTTAATAATGAAGGCCAGTCATTTTGGTTGGCTTGGACAAAGTACCTCAAATATTCCTCCAATAATCCATTGAAACGTTCCGTTTGGCCATCGGTCTGAGGATGGTAGCTCGAAGAGATGTTGAGTTGGGGCCTCCCTCAAAACATCGTCAGTGATAGAGATCTGGGACTAGTCGGACCAGATCGGTGACGAGGTTAGTGAAGGAAGGGAGTGGCGTTGACGCGCTTGACCTGAGGTTGAGACTCGGTGATGAATCAGAGAGTGAGATGGTGGAGAGTCTTCGAGTGGGATACTTGTGTACGGCGGAGTCACCTGGGAAAAGGCCCACGATGCAGCAAGTTCTGGGTTTACTCAAAGACGTACATCCAGCAGTGGATTTCAACTGATTTGATGTGTAAAAGTAAAACTCACGCCTCCAATACCCTTTGGAGGTAACGTTCACGCGCTGTTAAAACACTTGAGAATGAAAATGAAGTTAAATTTTTTGGAACGGACCATGCCTTATTGTTTTTCAAATTGTAATTTTTATTTATTTTATTTTGCTTTTTGTTGCGCACACTGTACATAGTAATATAAAAGACAAGAATTTATGGTTTAAAAATAAGAAAAAAAATGAATTGGGTTTCTAAATCCAATTTTAACGGGCTATTTGATCCAAACAAAGCCGAACCTAGCCCTTAGGTCTACAAATTGGACGCGATTGGATCTTTAGTTTGGACTCCAGCCCACTTTCAGATCCACCATTCAGCCCCTGCCCGGCGCGTGGTCCTGATTTTCCCTTCGAAAATCAGCCTTCTTTTCCCGTTCGGTGGTAACCGAGCAGCTCCACTGGTATCTCCTATCAACCGATTCAGAAGTCCAAACCCTAACTATTCGAATCCATAAACCCTAATCACCTCTATAACTAATTCCACCAATTTTGAATTCAGTTCAAAGTCCCCCAAAATTCAGGAACCCTAGGTTCCATGGCGTCAAGGAAGAAAGAATCCGAAGGAATTGCCTTGCTATCCATGTACAACGACGAAGATGACGAAGAAATGGAAGGCATCGATGAAGACAACCACCAACAAAACCAACAAGAAGAAGAAGAAGAAGAAGAAGAGCAACTGCCGGAAGATGAAAAAGAGTACAGAGAATCAAACAACAACATGGAAGAAGATTCGAGAACCAAGGCAAAAACCCCGCCTTTTCCTCACCAAACCTCCACTCCTTCGCAACGACGGCCGCAGCCTTCCGTTTCGTCGCCGCAGCAACATCAGCGAGTGCTTTCTTCCAAGAGAAGTGGCATAGGAAGGCTGACCATTGTTGATTACGGCCACGATGAAGCTGCCATTTCCCCGGAACCCGAGGTAATCCCTCTCTGCCGCACCAAAGGCTGGGTCCTTTTTTTTTTTTTTTGGAAATTCCTTGATTGTTTAATGATTTTTGGTTTAGATTGATTTTTCTTGTTTAAGTACAGGAAGGGGAATTAGGAAGCAATGATGACCTCATGTTTGGTATAGAGCATCGAATTGCTAATGGTACTTATTTATTTCTCTTTTTCTTTTGATAAATTTAACTTCTAATGTTACCATTGAATTTGCTGGCTTTCTAATTTAGTGTTTGTTCGCAGGTGATTTTCAAGGATTAACTCTTCCAGCAGCTGTTCAGGGAACGCCGCAATCATCAGATATACAACCATTACAACCTGAGACTGTGAACAATGCTGTTAGTGAATCAGAAGGTGTAGAAGTTGATGTATATGTTTCTGTAGACAATGTTGATCCCTTGGATAAGTTTCTTCCACTGCCACCAAAAGCCAAGTGCTCAGAGGAGTTACAAGTAAGTGCCTTTTGTATGCTATCAGTCAGTAATTATATAATTCTTTGGACCTAATGTAAACAAATTGACATTAACCCTATGTAGCCCTATGTAAACAAGCTGCATGTCATACAGTTGTGATGAATTAAAACTGTTGTGTTGGAACTGCTTTGTTATTTATGAGACATAAAGTAGGGTAGGTGTAGTTAAGTTGTTTCTGTTTGCTATCTAATGACCTGCTGATCTTGGCACCCTTTAAGTTGTGGATGCAACTATACTTTGCTTCTGTTTTTCACGGGGCTGAGTTATATTTATAGTTGTGTAATTTCTAGCCTTGCTGCTTTGAACTTCATTTGGTTTTTAGTTAATTACAATGTCAGTTATCCCCTCTGTTCTGCTTAATGAAAGATGAGTAGCTCATGTATTGAATCCTTATGCATGTAGTGGTTGTCATGCTCCTTTTCCGCTCTTTAGTTCAATGAGCATATCTGTTGTTGACAATTTAAATGATCTAAATGTTATTGCTTTTGTGTTTAGTTTAGATTTTCATAACCTTCATTTCTTTGTCATGTTACTGCAGAGGAAAATAGATAAATTTCTCAATTTGAAGCGAGCTGGAAAGAGCTTCAATGCTGAAGTTCGTAATAGAAAGGATTATAGGAACCCTGACTTTTTGCTGCATGCTGTGAGTTATCAAGATATTGACCCAATAGGGTCTTGCTTCAGTAAAGATGTATTTGATCCTCATGGATATGACACAAGTGACTACTTTTTTGAAATAGGTTTATAACAGTTCCTTCTATAATTCTTTCCTCTCCTTTATCTATTGAAAACAGTGACCATGTTTTAATGACATTGGACACATTCAAAGTATTACCTGATGAGTTTTGCTTTATCTTATTTGTTATTGTCAAAGCTTTTGCTGTTTATCCTAGTAGGCTTTCTCATTTTTTTAATCTTCTGTACATTTTTTTTTTAATGCAGAGGCTGATATGAAACGTGAAAGGGAGAGGAAGGAACAAGAAGGCAAGAAGAGCCAAAGGGTTGAACTTATATCCGGCGGAAGTCAATCTGGAGCAGTTCTTACTGCCCCAAAAGTTGGCATGCCCATTGCAGGTGGATCTTTTTTTTGAAGAAATCTTATATCAGTGTATGTAGTATAAGATCTTGCAGTGGTTTTCTTATATTGAGTGATATTGAGGTGTTTCAGCTGTGGCTGCTGGTGGCTTGCCTTCTGCTTCAACTGCCATTGATAACATTGTGCGGGATGGTGGACAGAACAAGAAATCAAAATGGGATAAGGTTCCGACCCATCTATGCAGCTCTATCACTAGTAAGATATCATTGATATCAATTGACTCACTCTCTCTAATTGCTTCATCTAACTTCCAGGTGGATAATGATAGAAGAAAACCTCTTCCTGCTGGGGCTCAGGATTCTCTATCTACTGTTGGAGCACATACAGTTATTTTATCAGCTGCTAATGCCGGAACTGGGTACACAGCTTTCGCGTAAGTCCGATAAGTGGATGGAAAATTGTTATCATCTTCCCTCCTTGATTTCATGCATTTTCATAGCTGCATGGTTTTAATTATTAAAATAAACAACGTAGAGCTAATGCTCATTACTTAGCAAATAGTATAACTCATTTTGTTGTTATATGGCAGGCAGCAAAAACGGTGAGAAACAGAAGAGAAAAGATCCAGTGAAAAGAGGTTGGACAGAAGATCCTGAGCTGATCTTATTTAGTTCTTGGAAGAGTGCTCCAAAAAACTGTTTTGAGGCTAAGCAACATTCATTTGCCTTTTTCCACCTTGCTAATGCCTAGAGTAAAATTTATACAATTTCTTTGTACCTTGTAGATGATCACTCACCCAATTGTAGCTCCATGTTGAAGCTGTAGTGATATAAGTGTTATTGTAATGAATGTTTGGATCTCTCGCTCTCTCTCGTGTACGGAGCTGAAAGCAATCCATTTGCATTGTTTAAAAACATGTATTAACCGAAGGGCTATAATGACCTACCTTGTTTTCTACATGAAAGCATATTCTTGCTATTGTACTGAACTACATGGCTCTCTGTCTCCTAGATGATGTTTTCCAATTGCCACTATTTCATGACCCAGTAAATCCCTATCATACGAATCGATTTATACTTTTTGGCCTTTGATAACAGTTCAACTTTTTTTTCTCAATTGTTGAAATATGCCTACAACTGTTTTTTGTCACCCCTTATTGGATTCATGGTGTTTTATGCTTTTATCTCAGTGAAACAAGCCAATTAGTACCATACATGCGTATGGTACTGAAAATTCTCTTTTCTATGAATCTAACATGATAGTGTGCTACCTCTAGTTCTGGCACATTGTTTTGGTAGATTGTTTTGCCAGTCATATGACCTTTTGTCTTGAATCTGGTATACCTTTTGAGAATTAAAGCTTTATCAAAGCTTCTGCAGCTCTGCCTAATGCCTATCCAACAATGCATTTTCCATTTTAACACTGTCTTCAACTTCTTATAAATGAAAAAATTCGCCGCCTGTTTTGGAGCTTGGAGTACATGAACCCGATAAAAGCGTAATTTGCAGATTGAATAGTATAGATAGATGTCTCAAAAAGAATATAGATGAACCCCATAAAAGCGTAATTTGCAGATTGCATGGTATAGATAATGTCTCAAAAAGAAAATAAAATTGTTGAGAGTGGGATTTGAACCCACGCCCTTTCGGACCAGAACCTTAATCTGGCGCCTTAGACCAACTCGGCCATCTCAACTTTTTTGTTGATGGCTGACATTTTTTTATTGATCTTAACTTCATTTAACACTTTTCAAGCTACAATATTGACAGCTGTTCCGTTTGTTCTTTTTTTTTAGTACGGGGCTGCTCCATTTGTCTTTCCATGTATTGTCAGGTGGACCCAGGTTGCCAGTTTTCAGTGATTTCCCCTACATTACATAAAGGCTGGTGTCCACCCAGAAGTTGACGACTCACACGAAAATCAAGAAATATATTTTATTCAGATTGCGGAGCCAATTGTCTCCGTTTGAGTTACTACTCCCATCCCATCCCAAGCATCATCATCATCTTCTTCTACACTTTGATTCATCACCTCGCACCCTTAACTTCAATCCATATTAGCTGTTGATAAAGGATTTCCGTTCATTAAAGTTTTACTCGAGAGGACATGGCTTTTGTTTCTCTAGAATACCGGCTAATAAGGTGGAGAGAGGAGATGAAGCGGAGAGGGAGAGAGCTCGAGTGGGGGCTCAAAGATCTATGCTGCTTCTCCTGGCATCAAATTAGAGACGTTGGAGAATCGCACACTGTTCCCCTCCACACTTGGTGCCTACTCACATTTAGAGATTATAATTCGTGTTTCTGAATTATATTTGAGATGTGTAATAATATGAATTATTAAAATATAAATATGATATAGATTATAAAATATATTTAAATTTTAAATATGAATATGATATGTTTAATATATATATTATATATGATATAATATGATTAACGCGTATATAATTAATTCATTTAAATACGATATGAATAAATATGAATATATAATAAAAAATAACTAATAAGAATATATATATGCATGTGTCACGGACCTAAGAGGGAGTCCTGAATCCCATATCGAACATAATAGGAGGGTCCCTGGGGTATAAAAGGGTTCACACCATCTCCGCCTTGTGAGGCGCCTTTTGTAGGACAAAACCGTGAGGTCAGGGGGGGCCAGAGCGTACAATACCTCACAAGGGTGTGAACCGTGACGAAAGGCTGATCTGGGACGCCGGAAGGGTGAATGCCCGGGTCCCGGAGCCGCGATACATAAATAGATATAATAAATATGAATATATATAAATAAAATAATTAATATGAATATATATATATACATGAACATAATTAAAATAATAAATAATCATAAACTATTCATTATTTATAACTTAATAAATTTAACATATTAATAATATAAAATATACTTACATTTAAAAAATAAAAATATAATACTCATTTAATATGTATTTAATATATATATTTTTTAATTTTAATTTATATTACATAACTATATTAATTTTAGTATCAAATTTAAAATGATAAACTATTAAAGTTTAAGGAATAAAATAATAATGTATAAGATTAATATTAATATTTATATTGTATTTATATTATTAATATAAAATAATTTTATAACAATTATTAATTCAGTATCATAATTAAATATTTAAAATAAATTTTATATGAAATTAAATAGCTAATTAAGTATTATAATTAAAAGATTAAAAATTAAAGTAATCTTTATATGTTATATTAAATTAAAACAAATATAAAAAATATGTTAAATATATTAAACGTATATTTATATAATAATATTAAATTAAACGTATTATTCGTATTGTATTACATGTTTAGATGAATTAACACATATATGATACTAATTATATTATATCAAAATTCGTATCGATACGAATAAATATGAAACACGTTTTTTTTAAACCACATACAAATTTTTTTATGTTATTTTCTTACCATATTACTATGTTGCATTTGAACTTATCAAGTCTATTCAGATCCCTTTTATTTTTTCAAACATTGTATCACCAAAAAAACCTTTTATAGAGATTGATTAATTATGTATTCGTTAAAATCGTTTAAAGACATTTGAATGCATAAAAATAAATGCATTATTATTATTAGGAATTTTTATAACATGAAAGCATAAACTTTCAATTTTATTACCAAACCTTGCTTTAATGATATTAAAAAAAAAAATTTGTTACTTTTTATGATGCATCATGATAGCAAGTAGATTTGAGTCATTTGGTGGTTATTATTAAAGGAATTGCAAAAAGTATCTACTTTTTTCTTCGTGGCTTAAAAAGAATTGTTACCTCGTTAATGAACCGCCAAGGTTTTTTTTTTTTACTTTGCATAGATAATAACTTTGGCCAACAAAATTTCCAAAAGCTTTTGCGATTATCATATCATAACCCATAACTTTAAAAAAAAAAAAATTGATTATAACCATAACTCACTTAAAAAAAAAAGCAAGAAAATGGTAAAAAGTAGGATAAGGAGCAAGAGAAATAAAAAAGTAGATTAAGCTTATATTTAATCTTTAAAGATCATAGCATAATTAATGTGGAGATATATTATTTGTTTTAATTAAAAAACTTCATGATTTTATGTTATAAAAGGTATTTCATAAGTTTTGAGTTTAAATTTTAACTTATATATTATAACAGATATTCAAAATATTTTGATATAAAATTAAGTATCACAAATTCTTCTTATTAAAATTTGAGTTTCGTCAAACTTAATACAAAATACACAATATCATATAACCTTACATATAAAATTAAAATCATGCTAGATATTGAAATTTTAAAAATGACTTTGATTGGTATAATATTTAACTCTTGCAAGATTTTAGAATTAATTTTCATGATATAATACTTAACTCCTATCCAATTGATAACCGTTCAAATATTATTTATGGATATTCATACATAATTTACAAAATATTATTTATTTTAATTTAAAAACTTTACAATTCTATTTTATAAAAAATATTATACAAATTTTTAAATTTTACTTACATACTATAATAAATTTTCAAAATATCCCAAAGATTGAGACATCAGCAAGGTTTTTCAAAGCAAAAGCGTTACTTCTGTAATCCACTATTATTTTTTAATTGAATTGAATGAATAGCCCCCGCGTTCCTTTCTCTTTTACTTTTCTCTCCTTTCAAGAAAAAAAAAATAAAATGTAATTATGAAAAATATTAATCAGTGACTAGTAGTAATACTGGCTAAATGATATTTAAAAAATAAATTTATAATTAATATATTATTTTTACTGAATTTAATGAAAGTAATATATTAAATATAATTTTTAAAATAATAATATTATTATTATCATCCTTAAATGATGTCTACAGACACTTGGATTCATTAATATTAATAAAATTAATTCATAAATAAATGCAAAAGAGAAAAACATTCTGAATTTATGACCAAACCAAATCTTAATTTCAGTTCGCAGTTGCCAATCTGTTGTCATGATCTTTGTCTGTTGGAAGTATTAAAGAAGCTGAGTTGTAAAAATTTATTAACGATACCAACGGTAACATTGAGTTTGGCAGTTTGCTTAAGGGGGTAATCTTGGAATAACGAAAAAAGTTAACGGAACTTTTTTGTATATAAATCAAAAGCATGGAAAAGAAAGAAAAACAAAAGAAAAAAACCTCTGTTAAGTAAAGGGAGTGAAGGCTGAGAGAAGAAAAAGGCCTTTTAGTGGGCGGCAAAGTGCCTAATTTTCATTGCTTTCTTACTTCATTTGTAGTCTCTATATGCACCCTTTTTCTCAGTCTCTCTTTTGCCTCTCTCTTCTTTTTCTATACAATTAATTGATTCTTTCTCCTTTTCTTTCTTTTTCCTTGTTGATTCATTACATTCAAGCTAAAGTTTTGAGTGGATGTTTGCCTGTTTTTCTGTGGTTTGAGCTTACCTATTGATTCTTTGATTTATTTGGTGAATACCCATTTGAGTTTTAGAGGCTAAAAGTAGGTGGTTTAAGCTATGGCAGCTCCAAAACCTGAAGAAATAAGCCACCCACCAATGGACCAACTTCAAGGCCTAGAGTACTGCATTGACTCAAATCCTTCTTGGGGTGTGTCCATGTTTTAAATCTTTTTAAGCTGCATTTTTTTGTTTGTTCTGTGTTTGTAACGCTCTGTTTTACTTGTGGAAGCAGGGGAGGCTATTGCTTTGGGGTTTCAGCATTACATTCTGGCCTTAGGCACTGCTGTGATGATCCCTTCTTTTCTTGTTCCTTTGATGGGAGGAACTGATGTAATTCACTTTGACTTGTCAGCATTACAAAATAATAATATTCTTCATTGATTCTCTTCTTTTTCTGGCCTTTTCCTTTCATCAGGAACTTGGGATATTCACTAGCTTTCTTTTTCTGATTCATCTATAAACCAGAAAAAAAGTATGAAAATTTTTTAACTTCTATTGTTTGTTACAGTATTTAACAATTTTTTTTTCCATTTTGATGGTTTAGGATGATAAGGTAAGAGTGGTGCAGACACTACTATTTGTTGAAGGGATTAATACACTTCTACAAACACTGTTTGGAACTCGACTACCTACCGTGATTGGGGGGTCGTATGCCTTCATGGTTCCCATTATATCAATAATTCATGATACTTCCTTGATGAGTATCGAGGACAACCACGTGGTTAGTACAATTCTATGATCATTTTTCCCAATCTTCTACTTTCTAACTGTTGCTTTCTTTCTGATCAAGTCCAACCTTGTTGTGGAAAAGGACAATTATCAAGGTCTAAGGTCAATATTTGTGAGACCCACTTGCTTAGCTGGGCTTATTTTGTAATGCTAGCATGCACCCAAAGTCGTCAAATGAGTCACATCGGTGTAATTGTAATCCTGTTTTGGCTTATACTGTTTGGCTGCATTGATAACTCTAATAAGTACAAGAAATTATGAGCAAGGTGCGCCGAACCTTTCTCTTATGTCTCCTAAACCAAACAAAATTAGTTGGAGGCATATTTTTTACTAGGTCTCTTATATCGAACTTCAAGGGACTTCATAGGTTGGACAAGGTGGCAACTAGTATTTCAGATGAAAGAATGTGAGGTGGTGACTTATTCGATGGTCTTTTATGTGTATTCAATATGCAGAGATTTCTAAACACCATGAGAGCTGTCCAAGGTGCACTAATAGTAGCATCAAGCATACAAATTATCCTGGGATACAGTCAGATGTGGGCCATTTGCTCCAGGTGCAGCTTTGATCTTAAATGAAGATTGTGTCAAAATTCAGGAAACATAATTTGATTATTGTCCCCTTTGTCTCTTCAGGTTCTTCAGCCCCCTTGGAATGGTTCCAGTTATTGCATTAGTGGGCTTTGGCCTGTTTGACAGAGGCTTCCCCGTGGTATAATATAGAAACTGCGATGCTATTTTGAATTCTTGAATGAGAATTTCCTCTTGTCTTATCACTCATGTAGTTTTAACTAGTTATGAACTCTCTATCAGGTTGGCCGCTGTGTGGAAATTGGCATTCCGATGCTTATTCTATTTATAGCCTTCTCCCAGGTACTACTATTTCTTTTAGCAATGTAATGTACAAACTAATTTTTTTGCACTAAAGCAGTTATATCAAATGGAAAGGCAAAGTGCAGTTGCTAGATCAAGTGGTTGCCTACTGTATCTAATTAGTTTTTAAGATGAAAAGTCTCGCACTTGCATAGTTTATTCGAAGTGATTCATCTGAAAAGTTTTCTTCATTTGTTTCAAAATGCATTTGGTTTTCCCTCACATTCTAAGATGCAAGATACATTTGTGCAATACGAAACATATACCTTAAATCTGATTCTTTGTTTTGTTTATATGTTCTGTCGAAAACAGTACTTGAAGAATTTTCGGACAAAACAACTGCCAATACTGGAGCGATTTGCTCTCCTTATATCAATCACAGTAATATGGGCATATGCACATCTCTTGACAGCAAGTGGTGCATACAAACATCGTCCTGAATTAACCCAATTAAATTGCAGAACTGACAAGGCCAACCTCATTTCTTCTGCTCCATGGTTGGTATTAAATCTGCTCCCCACTAGTTGAATATTTTATACTGAGAGGATATGAAACAATTTAAAATTAAGAGAGAGAGAGAGAGGATAGAAATTGAATCTATCCAATTCCTTGTATTAGCTTTCTGACAGAAATTAATTCAATCAGGATAAAGATTCCTTATCCTCTTCAATGGGGTGCTCCTACTTTTGATGCCGGTCATGCTTTTGGAATGATGGCTGCTGTTTTAGTCTCATTGATTGAGGTACTGCTCATGCAAACAAGAATATAAATGTTTTAGTGACTCAAAGCTAACAAAGTTTGCTTTGGCAGTCAACCGGAGCTTACAAAGCTGCCTCACGTCTAGCCAGTGCCACACCACCTCCAGCTCATATTCTTAGCCGTGGTATTGGTTGGCAAGGCATTGGGATTCTTTTGGATGGATTATTTGGAACACTGACTGGTTCAACAGTCTCTGTGTAAGTGTTGTCGCTTCTTGCTCTGAAAATGATCTTTTTATGCAACTATACTAATTCAAAGACAAACAACAGAGAAAATGTGGGACTTCTTGGAAGCACTCGTGTTGGAAGCCGTAGGGTCATTCAAATCTCAGCTGGCTTTATGATATTCTTCTCGATATTAGGTGATTGGCAATTTACTAAATAGATGATTCTTTAGAATCTGTCTTAGTTTCTTTTATCGACTTTAGAGTTGATTTCTTTAACTTCTGCAGGAAAATTTGGAGCTTTGTTTGCATCAATACCTTTTACCATATTTGCTGCTGTGTATTGTGTTTTGTTTGGTCTTGTTGGTGAGTGTCACAACAACATTCTTGCAGGAATCTATTGTTTGCTGTTGCTTTGTTTCTAACCATCGCTCCGATTGCTTTCAGCTTCCGTGGGGTTGTCATTCTTGCAATTTACAAACATTAACTCCATGAGGAATCTCTTTATTTTGGGTGTTGCGCTGTTCGTAGGTTTGTCTGTTCCTGAGTACTTTAGAGAATACACTGCCAAGGCTCTTCATGGTCCTGCTTATACCAGGGCTGGATGGGTGAGTTTAAATGTCCCCTGTGGCACTTCTTATTCACCTTTTCTTCTAATCAACTTATCATTGACTTCTACTTCTTTGGCATGCAGTTCAATGATTTCCTTAATACCATCTTCTTTTCATCTCCAACTGTTGCGTTAATTGTCGCTGTATTCCTAGACAACACACTTGACTATAAAGGCAGTGCCAGAGATAGAGGAATGCCATGGTGGGTTAAGTTCCGGACGTTTAAAGGAGATAGCCGGAATGAAGAGTTTTACACGCTCCCTTTCAACCTCAACCGTTTCTTCCCACCATCATAAATCATCATCAAGGAAAATGAACGGAGTTTCATGTGTTTGCTTTGGCAGTCAACCAGAGCTTACAATTTGCTGAGAAAGGGCAGCCTCCTGTCCCATCCTCGGTCATATGTATATCTGACTTGGGTTATTCAGGTTTAATCCAATATCAATTCCCTAGTCCTTGCACTTAAATTAAACTATTTTCTGGGTGTACTTTTGAAAAGGGCTTGCTGCATTGAACAGTGTTTGCAAAAGTGATTTAAAGAATAGAAAGAATAACCACTTGACCTAGTGGGTGAGATTCGGGATGAAGAACATAAGAAACAAGAATGAAGCAATAAAGGACAAAAAATTTAAAAAGAGAAAAAGAATGAAGCTACTACAATGTTCCAGGCCTTTGATTTTCTCAGCTATATGGATATTTGACCCCAATAATGCAAACAATCATCCTACTTTGACCCCAATGTTCTGCACATGCATTCTGGGCACCTTGGTTGTCGATAAATACTTCGACCAGAACCCCTCACCCGCACTCTTTGACCTTCCTCTATCATCTTTCTTACTCTATCTTCAAAAGTATTCCATTCTATGGTGCTATTCTCTGACAAAATTGCGGCTAACCTCTTCTTGTTAGGCCGCAAGGTTGGAGCATGTCCATCACCATAGTAAGTTCGGAATCCAGATACCAGGGATGATAGTTGGCTTCCAGAATCTGTCATGGCAAAGACATCTGCAGTTGCACAAGCAATGAAGTCCAACGCTGCTAGCTGCACACCAGAAAATGTTACTTAAAACAAGGGAGAATTCTGCAGAAAAAAAAATTGTCTAATCCTAAAATACCTGAGAAGAGAAATTTCTAAAGGGAGCAAGTTCACTGGGTGTGAGCAATGTTTCCTTAGTGACCAAATTGGGGTACAAACTGGTAAAGGGATGCATCCTGGAACTTCCCCCATATATATGAGACCCTGCAAGATAAATATAAGTTTCACGCTTAAAACCAAGAGCAGCAAGGACAACTGCTGCTTCTTCAGGCGTCAATGGACATCTCCCCAACTTCCTCAACTCCTTTGGAGAAACAGGCCTACAAGCATCAATGGTAAAAAGAACAGAATCAACTAAGTCAAATATGTGCATGAAAACAACATCACAATGCCAAAAGGCAGGTAGGCCCATACTTTGAGTTCTTCAAGCGTTCAATGAGCAGAGGAAAGTGGATCTCTCTGTAGGCTTCAAGTTCCTTTTTCTCATATTCTCCGCCTCCAAAATCACATAGGGAGTATGCAACCATATCCTCTTCAAATCTCAAGTGTAAGGCAAGATATCTGGATGAGCCTATTGCATCATTATGCTCTTTGGAGGAAATACTGGGTGTGAAATCTCCAACCAGTTGTTTATCCAACTGGCGGTGTGCAGCATAGTATTTCCTTATCCTTTTGATTAATAGTGAACCAACTTCTTGAATTTTTGGCACAAACTTTAATGCATGGAAGTTACATTTACACCTCAATCTCTGCAATGGAGCAAAGCAGTGATTATAACTTCAAGAAAAAGATTACTATTTAGTGAGTGCTCTTCCGGAAAATATCAATTCTACCATTTCCTGCTTACTAGTAGAGAATGCTATATAAACTATAGTTCATCTTGAGCTAAGAAACAATTAAAAAAACATTTCAGAAAAGTTTAAAAATTTGGGGAAGGGAGGGGGGGGGGTAATAATCTTATGATCAATTGAGTCTTGCTCTTGGTTTTTTAACTAATTTGTCATTTCAAACATAGATGGGAATGAAAGGTAACTATAGTTAAAAAAACATTTCAGAAAAGTTTAAAAATTTGGGGAAGGGGAGGATAATAATCTTATGATCAATTGAGTCTTGCTCTTGGTTTTTTAACTAATTTGTCATTTCAAACATAGATGGGAATGTTAACTAATTTGTCATTTCAAACATAGATGGGAATGAAAGGTAACTATAGTTAAAAAAACATTTCAGAAAAGTTTAAAAATTTGGGTAAGGGGGGGATAATAATCTTATGATCAATTGAGTCTTGCTCTTGGTTTTTTAACTAATTTGTCATTTCAAACATAGATGGGAATGAAAGGTAACGGACACTCAAGAAGTATGCCTGTGGAGAAGGGAAGGGTGGTGTCTAGGAAGATTCTGGAGGTTTTATACATGGGACTATGGGAGATACCCCTGAGATAGAAGTCCAATCGGACGATTATCTATCCTGCAATTGTTAAATGGGCAAGGGATGTCAGAGACCTGGAGGTCAGGAGGCAACGGATCAAAGCCAAGTCGATTGCCAAATCCAAGGAAGTGAACAACTTTGTTCTGCACAAGTAGAGGAAGTACACTGCTAACATAATCATTCGGCTTTGCTTCCTTCGCGATATCTGCATCAGTAATCTGTATTGAGGTCAACAAAAAAGGAAAAAGCAATGTTAGAGGTTTTAGATTTTCCTGAGAAATGAAGACTGACTTGAATGAAATATAGAAACTTAGAAGACAACATACTAGGCTACCAATGGCTTCAATGTCTAAGGACTTCAATTGAGGAGGAAGTTCCTTTACAATATCTAAGTCATCCTTCAAGATGCGCATAAAATAGTCCTCCTGGTAGATGTCACCGAACTGGCTGCAATTCCATTGAAAATCACTATCAGAATATTGTTCATTGTCCATTGCATGAACATATCACATATAGGCATAAGAAGCAATAGGAAAAATCCAAGGCATCAACATGAGAATAAAGATTTGCCAATTTCATCAAAGGAAAAAAAAAAAAAGAGTCTGAAGCAGGAATCAATGTCAAATCAAGGTCCATGCATGGTCAGCAAGTAGAAGCAAGAAGCAATCCTACAAATAGTGAAAAGCTATGATCCTTAAAACACAGCTTAGAAGAATGTTGCACCACTGCACCATTTTGAAGTCAGTATTTTATCTATGAAACTCTTTGTAACACCAGTTTATGTCCGACGAAAAATTGATAAGCCAACAATTAAAATTTACAGAAACCAGAGGATAACTTCTACTGTATGAGACGTGATTCCAGACCTTGGATCTTTCCATACATTGCTGTAAAGAAATTTAGGAAGAACCAAAGTCGCATTGAGGAAAGATGCCACAGCAACTGCATTGCAAATCTGCAGACAACAACAACCCTTTTACAATGCAAGTAAAAGCAATAATGAAGCAGGAGTATGGGAAGATCTAAAAGATATTGTTTCAATAAACATATTGCAAGGTACTTATAAACATTAAAGTCTTGCATGATGTAAGAGTGAGCACAAACTTTTATCTTATAAATCATTAGTACTGGTATCATCAGAGCCATCTGATCGGAAAAGCTATGAAATACACATTGAACTTCCCGAATGAACAAAGAAAAGAAGATTAAAGGCAAATTGGACACTTACAGCCACTCGTTGTTGATTCAGACCACCATTTGCACTGACAATTATATAGCCATTACTTTTTTCAGGCTTCCCTGTCTCATCAAGGAAAGTGAAAGGACTTAATCATAATAACTTGTGATTATTCAGCTTTGCATTATTGGCCAAAGACTATAAACTGTCATTATCAGTTACCAAACACTAGATATTGCTATTTAAACAAGCACTTAGGAGTATTTTGCTATATGTTGATAAAGTCCAAAGCAAGGTATTTACCTAGGCTTGTTGGATATTTTCTATCTGCACAAGGTTTCCATTTGGATGCTTGCTGACATATTTCCTCCCAAAAGTTCAAACTGTCTTGCTTAAACTCCTTCTGAATTCAAGGAAAATTTTCAAATTTTAGGGAAAAATTAAATCTAGTTTTTCTAGTGCTATAAAAAATTTAATGTGCTTAATGTAAAAGTGCATACCTCCGCAAGAGAACTGGAAGCCAAATTTAGAAGCCTGCCATACATCTGAACAGTTGATCTTTCTTCATGAATATAGGAAACACTATCCTCCTTAGCATACATGCAGTGAAGGGCATACCAACTAATTGGTGTCAATTCAGCATTCGTCCCGTAAATTTTTGAAACAATAATTAATAACAATTTGAATGCAGTATAGCTTTCAATGTTTCAAAAGGCAAACGAGTCGCCTACTACAGATATACAGCAAAGAAAAAAGAGAAAAAACTAAAATTAGTGGTAAATTAAATTGATTGAACAAGGATATAGTAGTTAGAAAGAGAATTTTGCCATCTGAAATCGAATTGGTTTACAGTCCATCCCAGATCCTAGAAATTAAGATCAGACAGATTCATTGAGACCACAACATTGATTCTAGAGGATAATTCTAGTCCTGATAATAGTGGTTCATCAGATGAGAAGAACAAATGGAAAACACATCTTTCTCTGAATACAAATTAATTGTAAATAATAATCATACCTCACGGCCATTGGAATCTCTTGTAGTTGAACTGCCCTGAAAGTTTATTGAACCAAAAATTGAGACTATCAGAGAATCAAGCAAGAATAGGAAAGCCATCAAGACAAACATAAAAGCAATTGAGTTCATATTTGGGCGAAACCATGAATGCCTTTTCCCAACATAAACACCCTTGCAAGGATTAAACTTTCCGGAATCATCTTTCAAACCATGAAGCAATACTACTTTGGAATTCCAATGGTTATCTGGCCCTGATATTCTCCTCCCAATAGAAGGATCACTGGCCCCCAAAGAATCTGAACTTCTAATATGATAATCTTTCATCTTGATAAGTGAGTTAGTATTCTGCAATGTGGGACATGGACTTCTTGTTGATCCTTGTATTCCCATTGTGTGTAACACTCTCTCTCAATGAGCTTCAATGGACTACAATTATTGGAACAGATGCACCACCCTTCAATTCTGGTTTTTACATGACTAAAAAAGACCTGAAAACCTGAAATTCCAAATTGGAAACCAATTTTTGGAGGTAATAACAAGGACATTCTTTGAAGCCTGCACCTGCCTTAGTTACTATTTTCTTTTCCTGTCTTTCTCTAACAAAGACCCGCCAACGAATATGACTTTGTGATTAGCTAATTAAGTTTCAGGTATAGGTGAAAGAAGAACTAACTCAAAAAAAAAAAAAAAGGAAAAAAAAGGAATATAGTTGATAAAATAAGTACGTCAAAGGAGAAGGAAGAATTCAAAGAAACGTTAAGAAGTAGGTGATAATAGAAAGAGTGAAACGCAAGGCAGATTGGTCGGCGAACTCAACTCAACTCAACTGCATTTTTAAAACATTGACCTTTTAATACAAGAATCATAACCGTAACAGCCACTTCCCACCAAACAAAAAACAAGACAGCTCTGGGTTTTTTGCTTTCCTTGTTTTCATATATTGAATTAAGATCGAAATGCTAGGCAAGAGAGCAAATAAAAACTAGAAAAAAAATTGAAGAAAGAACGATCAGAGAGAAGAAGAAAGCTGAAGAAAAAGCACGTGTTCTTTATTCAGAATTGAGAGCCAGCAATGTCAACTGCTAAAGTTCTGATTGGCCCAACATATAAAATTTACAGAAGGCTTAAGATCGACTATGCCACGTTAAGTCTGGCCAAATAAGGCATATAATTCAGTACCAAAGGCTGATAGACGATGTAAAAGCAAAGGGAAAAAAATAGAAAGCCAGGAACAGAAACTGTCAATTGCCATCAATTCAATCAGAATACAAAACAGGTTTTACAACTTGTATACAGAAGGCAGAAGAACACCTTCGAATTTTCTTTCAACACCAGAGAGGAATTTAGAAAATTTTCAGATCCCTCTAGCTACATACAGTAAAACTTTGTAATCACTATCAACTTTCACTCCCAGATACTTTGTCTATAACAGGTTTGAACTTGTTTTCTTGGAACAGTTGGGACAGAGAGGATTTGAACTTGAAACTTCTTTGTGATGTGATGACCGTCAAGTTATTACTTCCAGCACCAGCCGTTTCCAGCATTCAATTTTTTGATTGCCCATTTCACATTTTGCCAGGAACACCACTGCTTATTGATTCTCTTTTCGAGATTCTGAGTTTCCAGTCCATTGCAAAGAAGTACCCAACGAACAAATCCAAGAATAGCTCGAAGTAAACCAGAGCTGCAGGAAGAACACTCATCTAATTAGTAGTAGTTTGTAATCAATGAGTATAAAAACTATGATCGAAAAGTCATAAAGTAATTACTTGTGTGAATGCTACCCATTATATTTGCATACAGCACATGAGAAACCATTACGGCTCGGATAGTCATGGCCAAAAATACAGATTGTCAGTTCCTTACTGACCACCATCTTTCCTTCTTCTAACAGAGGGAAAAAAAAGACATGGTTAGGTATAAAATTTACATAATTTGATTATGAAAAGAAGAAAGAAGTAAAACATTAAAAATTAGCTTCTTTTTTTTCCCAGAATAGGACATCTTCAGGTAACATTTAGACAAATCTTCCTAATCATTTTAATAACTTGAACTGTAAAACTGCATTTTCTATTATTTATGCTCTTGAATTCCATGCAAAATGAACTAAAGTTAACTGAAACTGCTAATGGATTCAAAGAATGTATCCAGAAGCCCTTGAACTGCAGGAAGGTTCCCAAGCTTAAAAAAGAGCTATTTCATGGAAGTTGTATAAACTGGTATCTGAAATTATCCGATAAGCTTATACTATAAATCTTCAACCAAAAAAAGGAAACTTTAAATTGTAAAGAATCAAAATTAAACACATTCCTTACCATTCTAAGCCTGCTCAACATCCTTTAGAAACTTTATTTTGATTTTCTTGAGTATGGCCACAACATCCTTCATATTTTTCCTTTCTTCAGGCGACTTTTCAGTACACTCCAAAGCTAATTTCATGATAGATGATATACAGTCCACTTTACCAATGAAATGTTCCTCTTCTCTTAACAAATTGGCATCCAGAACATCAGTTATTGCATCAGAAAGTGACTTTTTTACCCAATCAACAAGGCTCATTTCACCAGAGAAAATTTCATCTGTAGGTTTCCTTCTTGTGAAAGTTTCCATCAATAAAATACCATAACTATAGACATCACCTTTATGAGAAACAATTCCTCTAGATCCATATTCTGTATTTAAAGTATAATTAAATGTTGAAGTTATTGTAATGTCATTAATCATCAATAGAAAACAAAAATGCTGAGCCAACACACATATAGAAACATAAATATTAATAAGAATAAAAAAATCACCTGGTGCCATATACCCAAAAGTGGCAAGTGTCATGGTTTGTTTTGTGGAATCTTCTTCTTCCAAGAGTTTGGCAATGCCAAAATCTCCAACATGCGCGACCATGTCTCTATCTAGCAGTATATTACTTGGCTTTAAGTCACAATGAATCACAGGTACTGAGCAGCCAAAATGTAGGTATTCTAGTGCTGATGCAACATCAATCATTACGTCAATTCTTTGTAGGATATTGAGAAAATAGTTATAGGAATATAGCCATTTCTCAAGGCTCCCATTAGGCATGAACTCGAACACTAAGGCTTTGAAATCAACATTAGAGCAACAACTAATGACCTTCACAAGATTACGATGAAAAATATTACGCATTACTTCACATTCAACATCAAAACTCTTGAATCCACCCTCTGACTGCATATTGAACACTTTTATTGCAACATTCATCCCATCTGAAAGTGTTCCTACATACACAGACCCAAAACTCCCTGAACCAAGCAAGTTGCATTCATCAAATCTGTTTGTTGCTTGTAGAAGTTCATTATAGGAAGTTCTTCTCCATATTGCCAGAGGCAATAAATCTTCTTCAACTGGAAGATTTCTTCTTCTTTTTCGGCATCTTTTGAGGACAATAATGAAGGCGGCTATTAGTATTATTGAAGTGACTACAGGTAAAGCATATTTCAAAACATTCAGAGGAGTCATCTTCGATTGTCTACTTTTGCAAGGTGGAACTTGTAGAGCAGGTGAACCACAAAGTCCATAGTTCTCCATAAATGATTTAGCTGAGAAGTTTCTAAAGGGTCCTCCAGTAGGGATTTCTCCTTCTAGTCTATTGAAAGACACGTTAAAATGATTGAGAAAGGAAAGTCCCTCCAAAGATTTGGGAATGACTCCAGAGAGATTGTTGTTGGATAAATCCAAGGATTCCAAACTTATCAAATCGCCAAATAATTCAGGAATATGGCCATCAAATCTATTATTGGATAAGTCTAGAGAAAGCAGATCCTGGAGTTTTCCAATTGAAATTGGGATTGAACCCGAGAACACATTTCTTGACAAATTCAAACGTGTCAATACCTTCAGATTCTCAATGCCTAGTGGAAGGGAACCATTCACAAAATTTGAGGACAAGTCTACCGCTAAGATATTATTAAGACTCCAAAAGGTTAAGGGTATTATTGAATTCAATTTGTTGGAGTCTAAATAAAGATACCTCAGAGAAGTCAAATTCGCCAAACAAGTTGGTATAGGGCCATGGAGCAAGTTGCCACCTAATGATAGGGTATCTAATCTCTCTAAATCACAGATACTTGGTGGAATAGACCCTTGTAAGTGATTACCATCAAGATACAAACCCTGGATATTTTGTAACCTTCCTATTGTTGCTGGAATAGATCCACTCAATTCATTATAGGAAAGGTCAAAAATTGTAATATTGCTTAAGTTACCAATTTCCCTAGGAATGCTACCTGAAATATTGACACCTGAGGCAAAGAAATATTGAAGAGATGTTGACAGATTTGATATAGAAGTTGGAAGAATGCCCTTCAACGGATTAAATGATACTGCTAAATATCTTAGATTCCTGCAATTTGCCAAAGAAGAGAGAAAGCTCCACTCATGTGTTGAAGTTTCAGTAATCAAATTATTAGATGCAAGGTCCAGCCGCTCAAGGAATCTTAAATTGCCAAGTGTATTCGGGATAAGACCAGAGAATGAGTTTTTATCTAGTAATAAGGCTTTGAGCTTAGAAGCATTGGAGATAAAATTAGGAATATTGCCGCTGAGATGATTTCCCCATAGTCTAAGCACCTCAAGATTTGTAATTGAGATTGTAGATGGTATTTCACCTATCAAAATGCAAACACACATTTTGATACGAGTAATTTTAGTAGGAAAAGAAGCAAGAAGTATTAACCAGCCAGATTGTCAAAACAAGAATTGAAATGCAGCAATTATCAAAATCAAGCCTCTATTATGTACATAGCTGAATTTTCATACTTATCTTTTCTATAATTAGAACCTTTGTCAATGCTATCTATGCCTATTACTATTCTGTTTTTCACTCATCATCTAAAGTTTGTTAATTTTAAGACAGAAACATGAACATCAAACTTTCAATTTAGAAGAGCATAATATTGATAATGTTGTCAATGAAAATTTGTTGTTTTATTATCAGTTATTTCTTTGCTGAATAATGATGTAATTTTATTTCACACTATTTAACAAAAAAAAGCATATCATAAAAAGAATCAATAATTATATCATCTTGCACAAAACTTTATGCCAGGGATATTGAATCTGTACTAAGAAGAACCAAAAACCTAATCAGAATTTGTTTCAAAATTGCTTCACCTATACATGTGATAATACTAATATTAATCAAATTTGAAGTTATTATAATGATTCTCCTATTATGATTTTATGATTATTTCTTTTACATTGAAATTTACAATATATGATAAGAATGTTTGCCAAATGTTCATAAGTGGATTACCAGATAGACTATTGTTGTTGAGAGAAATTTCTACTAAAGAAGAGATGTTGAAGATGGAAGGTGGAATGGGACCAGTTAGACGCATATGCTGCACAGCCAATATCTCCAATGAGTAAAGATTCCCAATTTCCCATGGGATTTCACCTGCAAGCATATAAAGACAAAAATAATAATGAAAAACAGAGCAATATCTCAGTAATATCAAATTGCTTGTCTATGTATGATCCCAAAGGGAATACAATTATGTTTTCGCAAATTGGAGGAACAAGGTTCCAACCACAGTTTACTAATATCAAAGTAAAAGCTCTTACCTGTTAAATCATTTTCACGCAGAGACAGCCGTTTGAGGCTAGTCAAATTTCCAATACTTCTGGGAATGGTCCCATTGAATCGATTAACTGATAGTGATAAATTTTGGAGATTGCTACATTCACCTATGCTCGATGGAATATGACCAGTAAAATCATTCAAAGACAAATGAAGCACCTCAAGTTTGGAAAGATGATTACACATATCATCTGGTAAACCACCGGATAGACTGTTGTTGAAGAGAATAAGTTTTGTCAACGAAGAAATATTGAACATGGAAGGTGGAATTCCACCAGTAAGGCCCCTGTTATTTTCTGCGGCAAATATCTCCAAATTAAGAAGATTACCTATTTCCCATGGAATTTCACCTGCCAATTCAAGTGAAAAATCAATCTTTTTCCCTCACTTCGAAAATATATCGAACATCTTTCAAGCATTTCCATATATATAAACTAAAGAAAGAATAAAAAAAAAAGCACACCTTGTAAACTATTTCCACCCAGATGTACTTCCTTGAGCATGGTTAAATTCCCAATACTTCTTGGAATGAATCCATTGAATCTATTAGAAGACAACGACAAGTTTTGAAGATTGGTACAGTCACCTAAACTTGAAGGGACACTTCCAGAAAACTCATTGAAATCAAAACGAAGAACCTCAAGCTTGGGAAAATAATGACAAAGATCATCTGGCAGATCACCGGATAGACCACAAGATGTTAAGCCTATGGTTTGCAAAGAAGACAAGTTATAAATTGTCGAAGGTAGATAGCTTCTAAAATCGTTGCCACTCAAGTCGAGAGAGATGAGGGAAGAGAGTTTCCCAAGGTGGGCCGAAACAGTTCCTGTAAGATTCATGTCGTGAAGATCTAAGGAGGTTACTCTTTCAGGGTTGGAACTGCATGAAACACCAACCCAGTTGCAAACAGAGGTCGAAGTGGTCCAATTGTTTGCTAATACAGTGTTGGGATTAAGGCTGTCTTTGAATTCGAGTAGTGCAGATTGATCTGTGGTGAGGTTTGATGCAGCTAGGCAGCCTATGAAACATTGTATCAACAAAACTGAAAGGAAATTGAAGCCTGGATTTTCCATGACTCTGGGATACAAGAGCAAAGAGTAGCTACATGATCTTTAAATTGATACATAGCTTGGTGGCTGAAAAACCAATGTGAATGGTGATGCTTTCACGCGCTTTCAAGGTGGTTGCCTGGATTGGACAATTCTCAACACCTAATTCTACAATTTTTCTCTTCCACAATTTGTCGACAATGATGGATATAGGTTACTTGCCATATAACCTTTCCAAGAACATTGGTTGAAAAGAAACAAACTTTTATTTCACCTTAGAAAACTACCAGGGGAGCTGATTGCCAGGTACCCCATCTCGTTGACCCTTCGGCCATTGTCATTGTAATATAATATAAAATTCCTTATCATAATTTATGTAAGCCCAAAAAAATATAAAATATATAATTTAAATATGTAATTTGAATGGGATTAAACAAAATTGGATTGAGCCTTAGAGAGTTACGTGGCGTGTGCAAATTTTGAAAATTTTGAGTACTAATGTTGAAATTGCTTTCAACAAAATTTACTTTAAAGCTTTGGGATTAGTCATGTGTCGTATACTAGCATCCCACTGCTGACTCGTCTAGGTTGAACTTAAGGTTGACCAAAGTTGCCAAATCAAACCAGCCCTGGGTGGAAGAAAAGTGATTCATTGGCATCTGAATGGACCTGACTTTGATGGCTTGATCTTGGGCCTATTGGTGAATCTAACATGAAGGCACTCATTCAACGAAGGGGCTTCCCTTTTCTTAGGCTTACATTTGATTTTGGTTTTTAAGAAAAAAATTTCTTAAACGTCAATGTCATAACGAATTTAGTTTGCTGTGGATTAAGCTTCTGTTAGTTTCGATGCCTTTGCCATTCAAACTGTTATTCTAAAAATGAAAAAGTAACTCGGTACATCCATTGCTAAAAATCCAAACAAGCAATCTGCAGGGACACGTGTTGTAAAGATTTGTATCTAATTTACGAGGTATTATTTATTTTGATCCGAAAGTTTTATGATTTTATCTCATAAAAAGTGTCTTACAAATTTGAGATTAAATCTTTACATATATATCATTACTTATCCACACATTCTTCTGATGTGGGATTAGAGACGTTACAATCTCTTTACTTTTAATGTTTGACATCTCTGTCAAGTCGAGTCCATCCACAGGATCAAAATCACTTAGTGACTCCCACAACTCTATCGTGTAGTATTTAGTGACTCTCACGACTACGGACTGGTGATCACTCTGATATCATTTATACAGATTCACACCCAATTTATGAGATATTATCCGCTTTGATCCGAAAATTTCACGATTTTATCTCATAAAAAATATCTCACAAATTTAAAATTAAATTTTTACATATATATCATTTCTTATCTACGTATCTTCTTGATATGAGTTAAGAGCGTTACACGTGTCTCCATATGATGTTATTGTATTAGCATGACCATGCATGACTTAATGCATATGCCTATACCAGAGATTTCAGAAAAAAGCAGAAGAAGCAGGTCTTGACTGTGACCAAAAAGGCACCGACCAACCGCACCGACGATACCACCACCTTGGTCAAATTATTAACAGTGAAAACCCTGTTCACACCTTCTGTTTCTTCTTCTTTGACGAAGGAAAGCTACCTTAACCAAGATTAAAAATAAAATTAAAAAAAAGTTACCAACAGGTAAATTTGAACCCAATATTTAGTCTTTTAAAAATGGTTCAGGGAATTGCTTTGCTGCATTCCTTTTGCCTAGTGTGGGCGAACTAGAAACATGGAAATAATTACTTGGATAGGGATGATAGTAGATAGTAAATAAATAGATATAGTTAATTATTTAACTAATTGATATTAAATTTAGATAATTATAAATAGATAATTGATAGATTCAAATAAATAATTTATTATGTATAACGAATTTAAAGTGGATATAAATAATATTTTTTGGATAACTAATATTTGAATTCGTTTAAATTTTAATAAATATAATAAATATTCAAATATGTATTTGAATTCATAATTTATTTACAAAAGTAAAATATATAAAATTATATACTCGTATAAGATTTCATATATTAAAAAATAATTTTTATTTATTATTGATTGAGAATAAACTTAAATTTTAAAATAAATTTTTATTTGTTTTATATTTTGATAAAAACTTAAATAAATAGATATTTTTAATTAATTTGAATATTTATATGAATAATAGTTATTTAAATAGATTCGAATTTAAATAATAATATTAAATTTAAACAAATTTAAATAAATTCAAATATAAATATATAAAAAATAACAGATATCCATTCTATTACCATTTTTACATTTGGTAATAAACATATAATTGGATCATACCCATGGTTATAACAATATAATAATGCTATTTTCTAATCAGACGAGATCAGTGGCATAGTAAAAAAAAATTTTTTTCAATGAAGTTAATAGATTAAATATTATAATATATGTTTGTCAAGTTGGGTTTTTATATATTTGAAAATCATTGTATAATTATTTCCTTATTAATATATATAACCAAAAAAGTTTAAATTTCAGTAGCCATGGCCCTGGACGAGATAATGATGTCTTATATGATGAAGGTATTGCTTTTATATAAATTAAATGTTATTCCTAATATTCAAAGATAATGTATGATCTTATTGAGTATTGGAAATGATCATGCATGCAAAGGGAAGAGTGATTACATTCACGTGCATGAGAATTGAGAGCATATTTATGTCATTGTGCAAATAATGACCTAAAATTGCATGTAAAACCGTAGAAGCGATTCCTTTCACTCAAAATGTTTCTCATGCGCACTCGAAGAAGGAATAAGCATACCATCATCATTTCCTCTTCTTTTTTCTTAGATTAAGCTAGATATGACAAAAATACTAATTTATTTATCAAAATTTGACTCGATCTGATTTTATAAGTTTTTTTTTTTAATCAAGTTTTAGGTTTAATTGAGTTTAAAAAATCAATATCAAATCGAAGTAGAGTTTTAGATAAACTTGATTCGATTTAATTTAATAAATATATATGTAATTTTTTTATTTTTTATTTAATTTTATATTATTAAAATTATTATTTAATATTTTAATTTAAGATATTAACTTAATAAAAAATTATCTTTATGTATTATTAAAATGTTATTTATATAAAAATATTTTATTAATATTATATTTAAATTAAAATTATTAAATTAATTTTGAATCAAATTGAATCAATTATAATTTTATACATATACAAGTTAATTCAAGTATAAAAATATAATATTTTAATATCACGATTGATTATATATTTTATAAAATCAGATCAAAGTTGGAATGAGAAAAATCCAATCCAACCTAACCCGTTGTTAGATTAAACACCACAGTCCCTTGGTCTTCAAAGATATAAAATATTTCATGCATAATAAGCATAAATATATATAGGTAGGATTGTCGATATGGTCTAGCATTACTATATTTTCATGCAGAAATGGATATTCAACTTAGGTTGGTTTGAATTAAGCTGAGCTAATACCCAATTATAACTGAATTATTCTTCTCAATTAGACCATAATCCCTGTGCTTGACCACAAAATTTTTGCACTAACCATTTTTAATATGGTGATAAGATGAAAAAAAACTTTTGGTCGTAATCTTAAATCAAAATTAATTTTAATTAATATAGAATCGAGTCAGATTTTATAAAAAAATAATTTTTTTTAAGTTCAATTTTTTATTTATAAATTTAAAAATCAAAATTTTATTTAAAAAAAATCAAACTTTTTATCTTTTAGATCGATGAGTGTTGGCAAAATTTTTTTTATACATATTATGTGTTTATAGCAAAGTTAACAAGAAAAAGAAAGAATAAATAAAATCCGTAATACTAACGGTAACCAATCACGAAGCGTTAAACTTCAAAAGGCCCAATGATTAAAAAACGTCGGCGAATAATTTATTTAGTTTTCTAAAATTTTATTGCAAAATTCCAAGTCCCATTCTTTGTAATTAGATAGGAATTTTGAAGGGCAGTTTGGGAAATCTATGAACAAAAAAAGGAGCGACGAGAGTGCAAAGTAGAAGAAAATAAAATAAATATAAAAAACGGGAAGAGAAAAAAAAAAAAACTAAAAAGAATGAGGGGAAAAAAGGACGAAGTGGGATCACAGGAGCATTAGTTCACTGTCTCTCCCCTGGGTCCTCCCTCCTCTCCTCTTCTTCTAGTTCTTCTTCTTCCTTTTATTTTCTTCTATCGCCGCACCATGATCTGCCGTTGGACTTTCTCCAATTAGGTTTTTATTATTTTTTGTCTCGGTTGCTTGTCATGGCTGAAGATAAGGTAAACTTTGTTTTTTTTTTTCCAAATTTTTTTGGCATCGGAAATCGGAAAGTGAATCCTCGATTTTTTTGGTTTAATATTGGTGAAATTTTTGTTCATGATTATTATTATTATTAGCTCATCTTTTTGTTCTTATTTTGTTGTTCTGAAAGTCATCTGAAAAACAATTTTTTTTGTTATTCTGTTTATTTTGGGGTGTTGGTGGGATTTTATGAAACGCAAATTTTTTATATATATATCCTTTTATTTATTTATTTTTTTTACGGCGATCTTGTTGGTTGAGATAATCGAGGAACCCTAGATGATGAAATTTTGCTATGTATTTGTTTCGATCTGTGATCTCTTCTCTGCATTTTTTGCAATTATTAGTTTTTAATTAATTTTTTCTGAAGAGAGCGAAATTATATCAATATTTTTTTCTTTTATTAATGTGAACGGTGTAGCTTAAATTTTAATTATTTAATGTATTTGGTTATAATTGCGACTTCTTTTTGGACTTGATTTGTAATTTTCTTAAGGGAAGAGCTGGTTCTTTTGGATCTACAATTTTTGTGCTCCAAAGTCCCACTTCTCTTTTTTTCTTACCATGAATTTCTTAATTTATCAGGAAATGTCTGCCCCTGTTGTGGACGGGAACGATCCAGTCACCGGTCACATTATTTCCACAACGATTGGGGGCAAAAATGGAGAACCTAAACAGGTATGTCTCTTATTGGGTTACCCAGTTTCATATATGTTCAAATTCTGCTTTAGCTATTGACTTATATGCGGTTAAGATCAATATTAGGAATGATAACTTGTTTCTTTTACTTGGGATTTCATGTTTTCGATGTTTTGATTATTGTAGACCATCAGTTATATGGCAGAGCGCGTTGTGGGCACGGGATCATTTGGGATTGTTTTCCAGGTACTGAGACAGAGTTAGACTGTAGCCAATGTTACCTCGTTGATATTTAACATGCTGATGCATCTTTTCTTTCAGGCAAAATGCTTGGAAAGGGGGGAGACTGTGGCTATAAAGAAGGTTTTGCAAGACAGAAGATATAAGAACCGTGAACTACAATTGATGCGTGTGCTGGATCATCCGAATGTGATTTCCTTGAAGCATTGTTTCTTTTCCACGACAACTAAAAATGAGCTTTTTCTTAACTTGGTTATGGAATATGTACCGGAGAGCTTGTATAGGGTTTTGAAACATTACAACTGTGCAAATCAAAGAATGCCACTTATCTATGTCAAACTTTACACATACCAGGTGTGCATAGTTGTCTTTTCCGTGCTTTATTTTTTGTGTAATGTTCTTCTTTATGCTGATTAGAGGAGGTTTTACAGATATTCAGGGGGCTTGCATACCTTCATAGTGTTGTTGGAGTTTGCCATAGGGATTTGAAGCCTCAAAATCTTTTGGTATGCTTTTCTTACTGATGATTTTTCCTAGAATGCTTTGACAATGTTACTGAGGTAATTCTTGGCTTTCTACAGGTTGATCCTCTGACTCACCAGGTTAAGATTTGTGATTTTGGAAGTGCAAAAGTTCTTGTAAGTTGACCCCTTCTTTACTAATTTTCTAATTGCTCTTCCTTTCAATTTTGTGACTGACATTTTAGTTGACTTAGTTTTGCTCCAAGTGAATCATTTTTTGTTTGGTCCATAAGTTTCTAAAAGTAAAATAGGATTTGGCGCTGTTTTATTTGAATGTTTGATTCTTATTGTAACTTCTAAAAGGATTGACTTCACGTGTTATAATCTGCTATTTTTCAAGGGTGCAAGGTATTACTCTTGTACTCATTTGTAAGACAACACAATTTAATGACTCCACTATTGATTTTGCAAACTGCTAAAACTTGTTTAACCTTTGCCCTTCTTTTATATCATCATAAATGCTTTATAAATTTGGAATTTTGGCTGACCTTGGATGTTTCGGAGCTTAGTCCTTTGGAAACAGTCATTTTTCCCTTGTTAGCTTTGCCCCTCTTATTTAGCTTTCTTTTATGGCCTCTTTCTGGGGGGGGAAGGGCTGAAAAAGATAAGGATTTGATTAGATCTAAGAGTTCTTTTAACATGTTTATGATTCTCTGTTGCTTGTCTTTTTCTCTGTAAATACTTCATACTTGCTATTAAATTACTTGTGATCAGGTCAAAGGTGAAGCTAACATTTCATACATATGTTCGCGTTTCTATCGGGCTCCAGAACTTATCTTTGGTGCCACTGCATACACAACCTCAATTGATATTTGGTCAGCTGGTTGTGTTCTGGCTGAACTTTTGCTGGGCCAGGTTAGCCTTTGCCTTTTTTACTTTCCTGATTTTGATCAATCTTAAAATATCTAGCAATAATTCAGTTTCTCTGCTCATTGATGCCTAATTTTCTTGTGTAGCCATTGTTCCCTGGAGAGAATGCTGTGGACCAGCTTGTTGAGATTATCAAGGTATGATTTGCTTAGTGATGCTTGAAGTTATGCATTTTGTTGTACCCTGAGCCTGCTTCTTACATCTTTTCCTCCAGGTCCTAGGTACACCCACTCGGGAAGAAATTCGCTGCATGAATCCCAATTACACGGATTTTAGGTTTCCCCAGATTAAAGCGCATCCATGGCATAAGGTTTGCCTTTATTATCCTTTTATAAATTTGTCACTGAAATGATTGGTGTAGGGACGCATTATTTTTGTAATGCCTTCTGGATATTTTGCTCATGAAATATTAGCTGATTTTTTTTTTTAAATTCTTGAATATTTATACTAGCTTTAAATGTTTCTTTGCCACTGTCTCTAAGGGCAGAAATATCTGATTGATTTTGAGTATTGCACTGCATTTTTGTTATAATATAAATGTAGCAGTTGATTACCTTTAACTTGACTCTTATTTGTTTTTAGGTTTTTCACAAAAGGATGCCTCCTGAAGCAATTGATCTTGCTTCACGACTGCTTCAATACTCACCAAGTCTTCGCTGCACAGCTGTGAGTTGCTAGTGTCTCCCTCTTTTGATGGGGTGATATTTCCATTTTAGACTTGGAAAATATGCACAATTCTTCAATTATTGATTTGGCTCCTCCAAGATTATGTTTTGGTAATAGCCACCGTCTCATGTTCTTGTAATCTGCTCTTTGCTATGATAGCTTGAAGCATGTGCACATCCATTCTTTGATGAGCTTCGAGAACCTAATGCTCGCCTACCAAATGGGCGACCTTTGCCACCACTTTTCAACTTCAAACAGGAAGTATGTTTCTGAACCAAACTCGATACCAATGTGCTTTCCATTTATACAAAGATATATCTTCATTGAATATTTAAGATGGGGGATCATTTTCTAGTTAGAATTTAGTTTCTTGTTCAATTATTGCTATGTTAGTCATTTGCGTTCTTTTGGTTACAGTTATCTGGGGCTTTGCCGGAGCTTATTAATAAGTTGATTCCAGATCACGTGAAACGGCAAATAGGGCTACAACATTTCATGCATCCAGCTGAGACATAAAACTTTAAAAGTGATATAAGATTTGGATCTCCTAGTTGATGCGTTACACAACGGAAATTACTATCTTTGGATAACCAACCATTGATTGAGGCTTGTCCAGCATCATTTTCTAATCTTACATGATGGGTACTGTCTCTGGCAGCTGCATGGCGGCCTTCTGTTGATCTTTCTACTTCTTCTCTTTCTCCTTCATTCTATGAGTTTACTTTTTTATTTTTATTTTTATTTTGTCAAAAGGCCTTTTTTGTTATGTACATGTAACATGCTTGATACTAAAAGATAGACCAAGGTGGACAGACCAGAAAGCTGCTAGTGGAAGAAAAGTTTGTATTCGTTGGTGGGAAGGTCTCTGATAGAAATGGCCCGAAGATAAGGGGTGGGCTAGATGGTTTTTGAGTTTTGGTTACGGGCATTTGTTCTTTTGTTATTAGTTATTGTGGTGTTTTGTGGTGGCTGACTTCAAATTGCAGACAATTATTGTTACTGTTTGTGCAAAGTAATGTTATTACTCTTCTACTACCACTACTACCACTACTACTGCAGTTGTTTTTGTGATCTAAAGAGATAAGTTCTTAGTATCCTGTTTCAACAATCTCAGCGAAGTGATTTGTAAAGCTGATGTTCAGCGTTCTTTTAGCCTTTAATGGAATGTGATGGCAGTGTCACGTATTTTTCTCAAGGAAAGCTGACATATTTGGTAAGGAGGAATTTATGCCGATTTTCTTTTCGGAAACAAGAGAGGAACTCGACTCATTGGTCATTGCCAAAGGAGAAAGGTAGAACTGATGTAAATCTGAAGCAAGGTGTCCCTGCTTTTTTTTTAGGGACGTGGTTGGACTGTGGATGGACATCGTAGAGAATAATAATATTTTGGGTGCATGATTTGTCGAAAAAGAAGATGCCCTTAGTCTGTTAAGGTCCCATGCGTTAATAATTACGTTTTTCATTTGGTCGCCAAAAGGCACTGAGCTGGCTCCCTGTTTCAATGTTTACAAACTTTAGAATTTGGATGAGCGTGGTAAGATTTATAAGGTGAGGGAATTGTCTCTAATTTATTATGTAATTCATAATCACAAAGGCAAAAAATAAAAAAACTTTGAAGTCCAGTTCTGTAGCCTTGTAAAGAAACGATGTCGTTTCAGCTTAGGATCAGTGTGCACGGTACAGGGAAGAAATCCAAAATCCCCGGACGTGAAATTTCGCGCCAGTGTCGACCACTTACAAGTATGTTCATGCTGTCTGCTCAAAACATTTCACTCCTCACGCACTGTCCGTGTCTGATCAGCAATCAAATGGTAAGATCGAACGGCCAACACTCACTCAAATCGGACAAGTCTAAACATCGTAACCATATAAAAGTACACTTCAAAGCAAGACAAGGCGACAATCTCTGCCCTCTACATATCTGGAGGAATTGCCCGATTTCTAAAGCCATTCTGCTCGTCTGACGGTCCCACCCAAGAGAAAAAAAAAGTTAATTTTTTTCCATTTTTATATTCTCGATCTAAAAGAAAAGAACTGGAAACGATAAAATTCAACTGAAGAAATCAAACTTTAGCCGAATCCAGTCTCAAATTTTTTTTTTTGGTTAGTGAATTTTGGCCGTACTTTCAAACGTCAAAACCTGCTGAAAAAGAAATTAAAAGCTACCCTTTTTAACTTTGGCTGCTCTTTATGTGCTTGCTTTTGTTTGACTTTCAATGGAGCGGCGCATAATGTGGATTTTTTACTCTTTTTTGCAACGTACGCTTTTTTAGCTCTGAATTTTTGTAATCGTTGAAATTTGAGAATTTGTGTAAAATTGACTTGCACTGCAGTAAGATTATGATTTTGAAACTTGTCATCTAAAGAGGATTTGGAATTGTTTATAAAGCATGTTATTCAAATAGGTTATTGGTGGCAGTTAAAAGGCTAAAAGATCTAAATTTCACAGGAGAATTGCAATTTCAAACTGAAACAGAGATGATTGGTTTAGCTCTTCACCGTAGCCTCTTACGTTTAAATGGCTTTTGCATGACACCTGATGTGAGATTGCTTGTTTATCCTTATATGCCAAATGGAAGTGTTGCTGATCGCTTAAGAGGTTTGTTTTTCTTTTGATCTTTTGTGCTCCTGTCACATCACACCATTCTTCTTTCTCTTGCTCTTTCTTTCATTTATCAGGTGAATAGAGCTTAGGTTAATTTGTGGTCTCTCATGCAGTCATTGCCATTTTTTAGGTTCTGCATACTTCTCAAATTTGAGCTTTCATCAGTTTGCAACTAGCCTAGCTTTCTTCATCCTTTTGTTTTCCCTTTCTCGTGGCTCAAACGGGATCAAATCATAAACTATTCATCTAGCTTTTGATGCACTAATAGTTTTTTATTGTTTTTGTCCCTCTCTTGGCCTTGCTATTACCTTACAATATGCACTGACAGATTATATATATTTTTATTGTTTTTATTGTTTCAGAGAAGCCTTCTCTGAATTGGAATAGAGGAATGCATATTGCCCTTGGACTTCTTTATTTACATGAGCAGTGTAATCCAAAAATAATTTACAGGGATGTGAAAGCTGCAAATATTTTTCTTGACGAAAGTTTTGAAGCTGTGGTAGGGAATTAGGGTATTGGGATACTACTCTTGGAACTCATCACAGGACAAAAGACATTAGATGCTGGTAATTGACAGATTTAAAAGGGAATGATTCTTGACTGGGCAAGTAATTATGAATGTTTAATGCATCTTTGTTGCTGCCAGTTCAAGTGCATGGTGCTTTACTTAGAGAAAGCTCTGGGGCCTGCAAAAACAGTATAACTTATACTTAAGCTGTTTAAGTAATTCAATAATTCATGTAACAATTATTTTCAGCAAAGTTACAAACCATGGTTGCCAGAAATATTTTGGTATATATATATTCTGCTGTCATGGTTTTGTTTTAAGATTTACCCCAGCTCCTTGGCCCTACCCCAGCTTATCATCATGGATAAGACCCACCCTGTCATGTTAACATAGTCCAGATCACTCGACATAATGGATGTTGGCTTTGTTGTAACAACCACCAGCATAAACTTAAGCCTTCTTGACCATGATCTTATTTTTGCCTTTATCAATTTCTCCACTTAATATTTGTTAGAACTAACTTGTCCTCGTTGTTCCTTACTGTTCATCATATTTAATTTGAAGATCTTTTATGATGGATACAGGTTAGAACGTTATTTGCATGACGAGAAGAGGCTTGAAGTGCTGATAGATAGGGATTTGAAGGGATGTTTTGATGCATTAGAGTTGGAAAAAACAGCAGAGCTGGCTCTGCAGTGTACTCAGTCAGAACCGCACCATCGCGGAAAGATGTCGGAATTTTTGAAGGTCCTGGAAGATCTTGTGCTTTTATTGTTAGTAAAAAGATTTGTGGCCGATAGCAGAATGGCAATCTTCAATACTAGGAAGCATCGAGCCAAGCTTGATTGATTTGATGCAATTGGATTGGTTGCATTGTTTGGATGTTGAAGAGAGTTGAAGGATTGAACTCAGCTTATCTTATCAATTAATAAGAATTAAATAAAAAAAGCAAGTGGAATGTTACCCCATCTTTAAAGTTGTAGGCCTCGGATTAGAATATCTACGGACATTGTACCGAAATATGGGAAGGGAGGGGAATGTCGGCTGCATAGCCCATAGCCAGATCCCAGAAGGTTAGAAAATAGGATGAAAAAGCCAGGATGTGACTGATGCATGCATAGGCCATTGTCCACTTTGCAAACTTTTCTAATAAACGGCATTAGCCGCCTGGTTCTATATGTTCTCTGTCTGCCTCAAACAAAATCGATCAAAGGAGAGAATCAACTGCCTGAATTGCATGCATTCATCATCAGTCGTAATTTACAAGAAGGCCAAAACAAGGAGCATAGCTTAAGTAATCATATCCAATTTTAATTCAAGGAATACCTTAGTCAAAAGCAGCAGTCTCTTGAATCGACGCTATCCCTTTTAAAGTTCAGAATCCCTCCGAAAGGGCCTAATAAACCGTCATCACCTACTTGAGCCACTAATCTCCATTGCTTGAGATTCTTTTAGTTTCCTAGTAACACAGGGAGTTGTGTTTATTTATATGCTGGACCTGTCTCGGACAGTGTAGGATCTTTGAAATGAAATTGGTTAGAATTTCGACAAATTAAAGAATCATGGGAAAACATTTACTTTCAAGGACAATGGTTCATAAGGCCCAACGACTTGTCTTCAAACCCCGAACAGGCCAAACCTACGTTATTTTTTCCTAGAATGTTGCTTTAGAGTAGACCCAAATTTGTTTGATTTGTCTTTTTTTTTTCTCTCCTTTATTTTTGATCACCAGAAATTTCGGTTGGTGAGAGTGAGACCCAAGGGCCAAGAATGATGGCTCAATCAATTGCCAACCAAGAGACTTGAAAATCCCATCAATCATACCATAAATTTCAGACGTAATTGGTCGGCAGGCCACATGCCGTTTTCCCATTTTTCGCTCTTTCCTATAATAAGTCCAACCACAGTCTTAATCTCTTAATTGAGGTTTAGCGTGAGCCAACTTGCTTGGCATTCTAATGGTCATTATACGAGACCCCACTGCCGTAGACATGTGGGCAGGGCTTTAATCACTTTGGGATATTAGCAAAGGACTCACGGTCTGAACATGAAGGGTTCGGGTCAAATTGTGATCCTAAAAACAAGATGGGTTTTTTTTGTGAGTCCCCCACCTTTGCCATGAAGTAATCAGAGACTAGTGTTCCTAAGATCGTGACCCCTCACTTTAGTCCATAAACTCTTGTTTTCAACCAAGCCTACTTGATAATATAAAAACCCTTGATAGCAAGTAATAAATTATTACCCGTGAATTGTGTTGCTTTCGAAAAAGCAAAAGTGTACGTAATTGTTCCTTGTTCCCTTTGGTTTCCGATAAAACACACATCGATAACGGTTTGCAACATGGTTTATATGAATTTATTAGTAGCTCTAGTCGATCGACATGCCGACTGCCATGCAAAAGACACAATGTTTGACATCTGTGCTTGTTGTCCGAATGGACAATAAGATATTAACAAAACTAAAGAGCTGATTGGGCAGCATCGTCTGCCTTAGCCAAAGTTGTGGGAACCTCTGTTTTTACATCATTTGTTATAATGAAATGCTCATGAATAGAAGTATTTAGAGTACTTTAAATTCTAAAAGGTATCCGGATCATCCGAACCCGAGATGCGAAAGTCCACCTATCCAATGTGACTGACAGTCTGATCCCCCCCCTTTTTCAGACTTCCCCTTTACCTTTAGCGTTTACCCATTCAACACGTTCTTTTTATATATAAAAAACAAATCTAAGCGCCCAAAGTTTTGCCTAACCCATCAAGATCAGGATTACTTATGTGACACCCTGAATTCAAAAATGAAAAACCTTCCAGTAGAATTCCTTGTTCCCTCTGATTAATGGTGTACTCTTAATCTTATCTCCAATTTTTTTTTTGGACTAATTCTAGTCATTGTTTAAGTAATCTTCACTCAACCCATTTTCATTTTTATAACATTTTTTCAAGTTCCTTTCTTCACTTAAATTTTTCACTCTCTTAAGCCTATATGTATAGATTCTCACTTTTTTTTTTTTTTTGTATTTTAATGGAGAAGGAATCTGGTTCTGTTATGCCAAATAAAACCTATTTTTCTATGGTCTTTCTCCATTAGAATTTCTTGGGTTTTGACATGTAAAAGTGAAATTTTTTTGTTTTTATCAAAGTTTTGTTTTTTATTTATTTTGCTTGGAATTGAAGTCATCAAAGGGAGTAGGTAAGGATCTGATTCTTGGTTGTTTTGGAAGTTAACAAAGGTTCGGCTTTTATTACTTTGGGGAGTTAATTAGCTCTTAATTACTGTTAGTAGTGTTGATTTTTTCTGATTCTGGATTTTTGGGGTGTATGAGCATGGAAGGTGATTTATTTCAGGATTTGGGTTGATCACATTGTTTATGGTCTCCCAGTTTGGTTTTAAAATGAGAAAATTTGAGCTCTTTTCCTTGATATGATTGCTCATATATGTGCTTATTGCCGTGGTTTTTGGTAATTTTGGAAGAGGAGGTGTGTTTTCTTTTTCTAATTTAGCCGAGATTAATGGATCAAGAGGAAGGGGGTGATAGGATAGAAACTAGTAAGAATTTGTGTCAAGTTGGGGAAGGAGTCAGTAGAAATTCTAAGAATTCGGTTAATGGGGTTGTGTCTGAGAGTGTGGTTGTGAAAAATTCTGAAGAAAATGTGTGTTTTAGTGGAGAAAATGCGGATTTGAGATTGCAAAATGATGGCTTTGGATCGTGTAAGCAACAGGAGATGGATTATAGGGGAGGAATTGGTCAGCCGTTGAGTCAGAATGATCTGGGAATTACTGGGAATTCAAGTAGTTTAGTTGATGGAAATATGTTTGACAATGAGGAAAGGGAGTTGGGAGAGACAAACAATGGAGTGGTATCAAGTGAGGGGTTGGTTGAAGCAAGCGAGGAATTGATCAATGAGGAGACAAACGAGATGAGAGGAGTTGGTGAAACACTGGGTCAAGTTGAACAACCAAGTAGTGGGAGTTTGGATAATTCAGTTGACGGATTTGTGGTTGAGACCAGCATTGTGATTAACACCCAAGAGGCAACATGTGTGGATGGAAGTAATGGGTTGTTAGAAGTGAAAGACAATGGATTGGGTTCAAGTAAAGTATTGGCAGAAAGGCCAAAGACAAAGCACGCAGAAGCAAAGGAATCATGTGTGATTGATATAAAGGGAAGTGGTGATGGTAGAAGACAGTTTAAGGAGAGTTGGGATGGGGAAAGAGTTTGTAGAATTTGCCATTTGAATTCAGAGCAATCACTTGAATCTACTGATAGTACATCAACTGCTGCAGCTGCTATGGATCTGATTCAACTTGGTTGTGAGTGCAAGGATGAGCTAGGAATTGCACATAGTCATTGTGCAGAGGCATGGTTTAAGCTGAAAGGAAACAGGTAATGTTCTTTCTCTAGATAATGAAGTCTTAGCCTGTCTTATTACGTATTCTGCTGCTGCTTATTTAAGCTTTGCCATTAGTGCCATGCCATTATGTGTTAGTTATTCATGATATCTGTAGGGTTTGGCTTCTAACTCTTGATTTTAGCTTTCTTTGCTTTAGTTTGTTTGGAGTTAGTTTCAGAACTAACTAGAATGTTCTTAGTTCTCATTGAAACTATTTTGTATTACGGATACCAAATTTACTCTTAACCTTTCACCGAGAAGGAGTCAAAGTGATTTACAATCATTATAGCTGAGGAGTTAATAATGTGAAATATCACTCTGGTCATGATACATGACATTTTTCTCAATTACAGTTTTTTTTTTTTGCAGTGAAATAATCTATTTTGATTGTAAAAACATTCATAAGTGAGAAATCTACACTTTGATTATTATTGAATATGAAGTTGTAGTTTACCTTCTCTTTTTTGTACACTCTTGCTTTTCCAACATGTTTGAGCAAAGTTAATTCTTATCATAAATGTGATAGAATTGGTATAAGAATTCACCTAGAGTTGCAATTGGCATTCCAATTAGCAATAATTGATTACTTAGTTTGCAATTAATTAGGTGCTCATTCCCGGGTTAGGATGGAAACTGTGTGATGAATGTAAAAGGCTTTTTGTGGATATTGCGAAATTTGTTTGCTTAATATGTGTGAACGATGAAGAAACCGTTTTGCTATATTATGAATTATGTGTATCTCAAACCAACATTTGATTCTTACTGCATAACTTGGAAGTGGAACATGGCAGCAGTTCACCTTTACATACCTGCTTATGTTTAATTTACTTCGCAGAATGTGCGAAATTTGTGGTCAGACTGCAAAAAATATTACTGGTGTTAGAGATAACGGATTTATTGAAGATTGGCATGACCAAGGATCTACCAGTGGTGGTGTTGGCTCATCAGTTCGGGGTGGGGGTTGTTGGCGTGGACAGCCATTCTGTAACTTCCTGATGGCATGCCTGGTAGTAGCCTTTGTGTTGCCATGGTTTTTTCGTGTAAATATGTTTTAGCAGGACGTGAACAAGACCTAAGGTTCTTTCTTTTCATCACCATTTTTCGCCTGCTTCTCTAGCTGGTGCTCCTTTGGAATTTGGGTGGGTATGAAATAACTGGTCAGTGGAGCTATTTAGGGGTTATTTCTGGGTTTCAATGCCTCCCCATTGTTATACTATCCCACAATTGCATTGCTGGCGTTGAGTTGTTTATTATTGGGCCTGTTGGCATAGTTAAAGCTAGACAAGGATGTCTTAGGCTGCATCATTACCAGGAGAGGGGGCTGTATTTTAACTATTATCATTTTCAGTATTGTTTTGGATCTAAATTTGGCACATGTCAATTTCATTCTGGGAAATTCCCATTAAACACATGAATGTAATAAGATATTTTGTCAATAAATAATTGTCTTGTATAGAAAACTTGAGTTTTGGAATCACATTTTTTTTTTTGGTTAAAGAAACCTGGGTTTGATCATTTTAGGAAGTCAAATTAACCAGGGAATATGTGATATATCACTTCCTTTTGGCTCCTTGCACAAGCACAAACAATGGGTCTTACTCTTTATAAATTTACCCGAGTGTTGGGTGCATCTTATATTGCAATCTTCAAGCAACATAATCGATCCCAAATAATCATGAATGAAATTCAGATCTGCTACTGAATAGCTTATGCGACCTCTCGGTTTAGTGCCAAATGGGTTGGACCTGTTTCCTCACTCGAGCGCACAAAATACTTGAATTTGGTTAAGTGATCATAATGACTTTCAAGTTTCAACTAGATCTGTCAAGAAGAGGCTAACTTGTTTTGGGTTACACTGGATTTTATCATTTTCCAGGAAAATTGACCTGGTTTGAAGTTTCGAAGTTCAAGTAATAGATTTTAAAATATGGTATGAACTTGACACTAAAAACAACATTCCGTTGTAGTCTAGTTGGTTAGGATATTCGGCTCTCACCCGAAAGACCCGGGTTCAAGTCCCGGCAACGGAATTTACTTTTTGCCTATCATTCCCCGTATTCATATTTTTGGGCGAAGTAGTAAAATATCGGAGCAGAGATAAAACCCTAGTCAACCCTAATCTCTTCTCTTTTAACTCTCAATCATAACGCAGCCGCCCTTTTTGTCTCTCCACCACCGCTGCTCTGAACCTCCTTCGCTTCGCCATGGTAGCTCTCTCTCTATCTCAATCCGATCTTTTGATTCAGACGTCTTTTCTCTTATGTTGATACATGTCTCAGTAACTTTTTTTTTTTTTTATGTTTTATGTAACTGTGAAAGGCATCAGAGAAGAAGCTGTCGAACCCAATGAGGGAGATTAAAGTTCAGAAACTTGTCCTCAACATCTCCGTCGGTGAAAGTGGTGATCGTCTCACCCGTGCCGCCAAGGTAACCAATACAAATAGAAAAAACAAAGGAAAACCCATTCATTTTCTCCTCTTAAATCTTTTACATTAATATTAATTTATCAATTTTGTTTTGTTTCTTCCCCGTTTTGCTCTTATCTAGGTTTTGGAACAACTAAGTGGTCAAACCCCTGTCTTCTCCAAGGGTAAATTTCTGAAACCAATGCTGTCTTTTGTAATTTTCTTTTTTTTTTTGTCGGTAATGAAAATAAAAATGTGGGGTTGATGTGAGCAGCTAGATACACTGTGAGATCTTTCGGAATCAGGCGTAATGAGAAGATTGCTTGCTACGTGACGGTGAGGGGAGAGAAGGCTATGCAGCTTCTTGAGAGCGGTTTAAAGGTGAAGGAGTATGAGCTTTTGAGGAGGAACTTCAGTGATACTGGCTGCTTTGGTTTCGGTATCCAGGAGCATATTGATCTTGGCATCAAGTAAGGTTTTGTTTTTTTACCTCTTTATCAATTTTTGATGTAATAGATGTTTTTCATGTTGATAATCTTAAATGGGTTTAGGTCATTGATTTTCATTGAAACTTTATACTATAATTACTTGAATGACTATGCACTTGTATGTAAATGGCAATGCTTTTTTTATTTAAATTTGGGGTTGGGATCGGTATTAGGATTCAAGAATGCAGCTGCTTTGCCAATTAATCTTCCTTTGGGATGATATTATGAGATAGCACTTTTAACTGGGCTAAATTAGTTAAAGGTTTCGCTTTCTGTCTTAGCGTTCTGTCTTAGCGTGTGGCTTTGAAAGTAGTTAACACCTTTAAAGTTAGCATTACTTAATGCAATCATGTAATTGTTAACACTGGTTGTGGAAGCACCAAGCATGAGAGGAATCTTATTGATATCTGTTCTTTTGTCCCCATAACTGAGTTAATACAAAGTAGTTATGGACAGCTTCATTCTACTAGTAGTTACAGTCAATATTGATGTTATGGACTCCATAAAGGCGTAAATTACAACTCGTGCTCTCTTTCTAGGTATGATCCTTCAACTGGCATTTATGGTATGGACTTCTATATTGTTCTGGAACGAGCTGGGTACCGTGTGGGTCGTCGTCGCCGGTGCAAGTCACGGGTTGGTATCCAGCACAGAGTTACTAAGGAGGATGCAATGAAGTGGTTCCAGGTCAAATATGAAGGTGTCATCCTTAACAAGTCTCAAAATATTGGAGCTTAGGAATAGAAGTTAACGAGCGCAGTTGAGCTGTTGAGTTTTGGCTTCTTGATTTTGATTAGTTTGTGTACCAGTTATCGAATGCCTGAAGAGATTTATGATTGACTTTAAAATACTAGGTACTCTTTCTCTTGGTTTAATTACTTTATTTATATAGCACTTGGAAAATGCTTCTCGATTCAAATATTTTGAACTAGTGATGGAAAGAAAGGCCTAACTTTGCCAACTCCGAGTGTAACTTCACCCCAGGCATGTAGTGCTAGTGAAATGTCCGAGTTATATAAACTGTTGCATCCTCTGGATTTCGGCTAATGTTGTTTCAAAAGGTTAGCAGTTCCTGCACTTTATCATTTGAGAGTTACCCACTGATCCTGAGGCTAAAATGTTCATTTACTTGTATGTTTCTTCAATTGAACAAAATGGATCCCGTATTTGTAATGTCAAATAAATCAGCAAATCATCAATGGCTGCTGCAAGATAATTAGACAAAGTTCAATTTACTTAACACGAGGGTAGGGTGGTGTCAAAATAAAGCAATAATGTTAGTGTCTCGTTTTTCTTTTTGGGTAGGAAACTGAAACTAGATAAAAATCATAAAATAATACTGTACAAAATTCTCCTTGCTGCATCATCGACAAGCAGGTTCAAAATAAAAATAGGAGAGTTTTGAAATAACACAAAAGGATTTTCATAATATTCAGAAGTTGCAAAGCGGTCACGAGCCAAAGCATCTGCTCAAGTGTTTCCCTCCCTGAAGTTATGCATGACTTCACAGCAACTAATTCCCTGCAGCAACTTTTTGCAGCCATCGACTGCAAACACAGGTTAGGAGTGGATTGGTTTTTTATCAAAGAAATGACAGCAACAGCATTTAATTCCACATCCAGGTTAGAAATATTTAGTTGTTTAGCCAACATTAACCCAACCCTAAGAGCCCATAAATCGTTGGACATTGATTATTTAATTCATTCAAATAGATAAAAGGGGAAAGGGGGAAAGCCTAGTTACTTCGCTCTTGCTACCATGACATCAATAATTGAACAAGCTCACTCTTCTTCAATCTTGAGTAACCCTTGATCCCTTTGGCTCTCGCTAGTTTTTTCAACTCTGGAAGTTTCAATTTCTCCATGTTTGCCAACTTTAACCCCTCATTGGTCGCAGCCACTTCATTGCTCTGCCCAAGATTCTTTCCTCCGGGGGCTGTTGCATATGGTATGGGCGATCTCTTTACAAAATTAGATGGTGGCCTTGATAACTTGAAATCCTGTGTTGCTGCAGCAGCCATTTCCCCCATCTCTTGCCTTTTCTTAGAGACGCCAGTTTTCCATCTCAATGCATTCCCTACCTTGTCAGTGTCTGCCAAAATTGTAAAATTCTTAAGTTTTGAAAGTAACCATTTTGAAATGTCCAGAAAGTTAAGCTTCTATTTCTCTCTGTTCATCTTAGATGGTAGGCAATTATGTTTGAGAAAGCAGGAATGTTTTAAAACAGTATCGGATGTAATGCCATTACCTTGCCCGTTCTTGCTTGATTCGTGAAGAAGATCTAAAACTGATTCAGCTATGGACTTATTCTTGGATGAGCTGATAGTTTTAGTCTTAGCACTTGCAGTCTCTTCCTCGGATATTGAAGACTGTATCCTTCTAAACAAAGCAATTATCTCTTTCTGACTGGATGAGTTGGGTGCTTTACTGCCATCAGATGATTTCTTGCTTTCATCCCCATCCTTTCTTCCTGAGGCCGAACTTTTCCTAGGACGGCTTCCTCTTCTGTTCCCATCAGATGCGCTTGAAACAGTTAACTGAAGGGAGATGAAGGGCGTAGACTTATCTGCAATCTCTATCAAATTTAATAAGCTGCATCAAAAAATGATCCCTCAGTTTCTAGATCAAAAAATTCACATGTTCAAGTACTCATAATCTTACTTAAAGGCAAAAGCCACGACATAGGAAGTAAAAAAACATAATGTCACCGACTTCAACCAGTTCTTGTGTATAACATCAGATAAAATAACAAAGATAGAAAGTCTTGAACAATATGCAAATCTACATTGCAAAGTTGAAGAGACAGACCAAAACAGTGAATATTTGCATGCTGAAACATCAGAATGTTAGAAATCAAGTTGTTGGGGTCGTGAACCCATGAGTAAGAGAAACTTCTCTAGAGCTCCAATGTGAGGGTCCAAGCAAAAGAGCATGATTCAAACGGAAAACAACAAATACTTCTGACACAAAATCTCCATCTCTCCCCAGATTACTAACTTCAAACGTAGAGAGTAATTACCAGATCTCTCAAACACAGAAGGTACAGCCAAAAACCGTAACAAAGAAATGGGACTTACGAGAGATAAGAAAATCTAAAAAGCTTGTGGCAATACTTATTACCTGTTGGAGATGAAACAGGCTTTCTTAGCTTGTTGAAAAGGAAAGAAGAAGATAAATGAGAGATAGATTGGAAGGAGAGAACAGCAGCGGCCATATTTTGATTGCAAAACCCTCAATCAGATTCGAAAGCAATTGGATCCACTAGCAGTATTTACAAACTCAAAACCATTTTATTTTATTTTATTTTATTCCTAAAATTGCTAGTCCACACTTTTTTACCTGGGCGCTCAAGGAAATAAGAGAAAGGGCCAAAAAATAAAGGGCAAAGTAGTAAAATTGGAGCGGAGATAAAACCTTAGCCAACCCTAATTTCCTCTCTCTTAAACCCCGTCTGTAACGCAGCTGCCTTTTTTGTCTCTCGAGCTCCTTCGCTTCGCCATGGTAACTCTCTCTCTCAATCTGATCTTTTGAGTCAGACTTCTTTTCTCTTATGTTAATACATGTCTTAGTTACATTTTTTTTTAATGTTTTTTTAACTATGAAAGGCATCAGAGAAGAAACTATCGAACCCAATGAGGGAGATTAAAGTTCAGAAACTTGTCCTCAACATCTCCGTCGGTGAAAGCGGTGATCGTCTCACCCGTGCAGCCAAGGTAACCAACACAATCAAAAAACAAAAAAAAAACCCATTCATTTTCTGCCCTCAAATCTTTTACTTTAATATCGGTTTATCCGTTTTGCTTATGTTTAGGTGTTGGAACAACTCAGTGGTCAGACACCTGTCTTCTCCAAGGGTAAAATTTTGAAACCAATGCTGTCTTTTATAGTTTTTCTTTTTGTTGGTAATGAAAATAAAAATATGGGGTTGATGTGAGCAGCTAGATACACTGTGAGATCTTTTGGAATCAGGCGTAATGAGAAGATTGCTTGCTACGTGACAGTGAGGGGAGAGAAGGCTATGCAGCTTCTTGAAAGCGGTTTGAAGGTTAAGGAGTATGAGCTTTTGAGGAGGAACTTTAGTGATACTGGCTGCTTCGGATTCGGTATCCAGGAGCACATTGATCTTGGCATCAAGTAAGTTTTTTTTTTTTTTTTTGGCTACCTCTATCAATTTTTGATGTAATTGATGTTTTTATATTGATAATGCGTTCTGGATGCTTCTTTCAAATTTGGAATCTTTGATGGGTTTAGGTTATTGATTTTCATTGGAACTTTATGATTAGGATACTATAGCTACCTGAATGACAATGCACTCCTGCAATGGCTTTTTATTTAACTTTGGCGATGGGATTGGTATCAGGACTTAGGAATGGAGTTGCTTTGCCAATTAGTCTTCCTTTTGGATGATATAATGAGATAGCAATGCAACTTTTAACTGGGCTAAGTTATTTAAAAGGTTTCACTCTCAGGCTTAACTTTGTGTTTGCTTGAAAACTAGCTACACCATTCAAAGTTAGCATTATTTTATTCAATCATGTAGTGGTTAACGCTGGTTGTGGAACCACTAAGCATGAGAGGAATCTTGTGGATATCTGTTCTTTTATCCCCATACCTGAGTTAATATAAAGTAGTTATTTACAGCTTCATTCTACTAGTTGTTACAGTCAATATCGATGTTATGAACTCCATGCAAGGCATGAATTACAATTCTTGTTCTCTTTCTAGGTATGACCCTTCAACTGGTATCTATGGTATGGACTTCTATGTTGTTCTGGAACGAGCCGGGTACCGTGTGGGTCGGCGTCGCAGGTGCAAGTCACGTGTTGGTATTCAGCACAGAGTTACTAAGGAGGATGCCATGAAATGGTTCCAGGTCAAATATGAAGGTGTCATCCTTAACAAGTCTCAAAATATTGGAGCTTAGGAATAACAGATAACGAGCTCAGTTGAGTTGTTTTTTTGTTTTGGTTACTTGATTTTGACTAGTTTCTGTGTATCAGTTGTTGTTTGCTTGTAGTGATCTATGATCGACTTCAAAATCCCATGTACTTTTTCTGTTGGTTTAATTACTTAATCAATGTAGCACTTGGGAAATGCTTTTCTCTATTCAATTATTTTAACAACTTTAGCAAGGTTGGAGATTTTTCTGCATAATGAGAAGGAATTGCAATATTGAGCCTAAATTGGAACATTATGCATGCATGGTAGATCTTCATTCTCGAACTGCTAATCTTTCAAAGGCTTATGAATTCATTGGAAGAATCCCTATTGCACCAGTGGCCACAATATGGGGAGCTCTTGGTGGTTGCAGGATTTACCATGGTGTCAAATTACCTGAGAAAGTTGCAGAACGTGTTTTTAATCTAGAGCCAGAAAATAATGGTTTCTACTACTTTTAGTTAATATCTATGCCGATGCAGAAAAGTGCGAAAGTGCAAAAAAAAATGAGGGAGAAGATTGGCAGGAAGGGCTTAAAAAAGAACCCAGGCTGCAAATGGATGGAGATAAAGGCTAAAGTTAATCTCTTTGTTGCTAGAAATAGTTCACACCCACGGTACAAAAAGATGAAATCTCCACTAAAGAAGTAAAGGAAGATGAAGAAAGAAGGCTATTTTCCTAAAACGAAGTTAGCCATTGCTTGTAGATTATTAACCTTGCAGCTACCTGGCTAAAGAATACTAGTAAGCAAGCAACTCAGAATATGCGGTGTGACTGTCATGAAATGTCCAAGTTCATGGTCTAGGAAACTGGGACAGAAATTTTCCTGAGCGATTCAAGTCGATTTCACCATTTAAAGGATAGATATTGTTCTTGCAGAGGCTTCTGGTCTGGTGGCTAAATTTAAACCGTCTTAAGTCACACAGAAAACCTTCTTTGTTTTACCCCACTAGGCCCTAGCAATACTCTCGATTAACTGTATTAATACATCAGATTTTTATATGTAATTGCTAGCCTTTTGTAATCATTTCATACATAAATGGATTCGAATTTTCCATTTCTTAGTAGGGACTAGGAAGTGTGGAAATCCGGAAAACAGAATTCTGTCAGGAATAAGACCACAGGTAATAGAGTTTTGAAATTTGGGGTTTAAGCCTCAACAACAATGTTACTTTTTAAAAAACTAATTACTCATAAAATACTGCAATTCAATGAGTAAAGAGGGCTCATAGATTCATTGGAACATGACTGCAGGTGAAGGCTCATGGTATGGGCTTCATTTTTCCTTTTTTTTTTGTTTAAATTTGCCAAAACCTTGTGTGGGTATGATTGCAATAGCAGTAAAAGAATTCTTTTACTTGGTCACTTTTATGATGGAAGATGAATAAATATTGAAAAAATGAAAATGAAGATTATTATTGAGGATGATGGCCATAATTATTAGTATCACTTAGTTTGTTGCGCTCCATGATTAGAGCATCCGTTTTCTTAATGATTGTCGATCCAATATATACACATTTATCATGCCTCAAGAGTCATGATTTACATTTCTCCAAAACCTTGATCAAGATAAAGAAAAGCTTGGAAAAGCTGCATACGTTATTCCCTATATTAGATCAGAAACTTTTAAGTACAATTTTAAACTGGCTACGGTTGATGGCTCTGCCCATCCATCCACATGGTTTGGTCCATTTCGAGAGTGAAAGCACCATGGAATCTCAAATTTTAGTACGTAATCAAAAGCCTGAACAGCTAAACAGCAGCCGGGATCCAGCCATCAAACTATTGCAGGAACAATACAGTTGGATCTGTTATAATGTATCATCACTTTTATCCAAATAATTTAACATCTAGAAATCCATCCACGTCCAACAATTTGGCTCCAAGTTCATAATAACAGAGAAGATTGTCTAGAGGTGTGCCCACATGCCAAAGACATTAACCTTTCCCATCAGCACAATATGAAGGAAACAACAATTTTGTGCTCTCTGTGACTGAACTTGCAATGCATATAAAAATGCATTGGCAGTGATGTATAATTGATGCTGCTTCGACTTAGCTCAAACAGTTGGATTTAAGAAAGGATTCAGAAAAACACTATAGTTTTGAGCCCGAATTCAAGCCGCTTGTGTCAGATGCACATGCAAAAGACCAACAGGTATATGTGATTAACAGACAACTCAAGAATTGAAGACAGCAGCAGGATTCGGTGGAAATGAGAGACAATATCTAGATCAGTAGTTCCAGGAGACACCCGGAAGTTGTTACAGGGGAAAGCTCACAGTTAGTTTATCTTTTGTCTTAACTTGCTATTGATATCATAACCTTTCACCAAGAATACCATTGGGGCATTAACAATTCACTTAATGAACAAAGACCATTTGACTGAAGACTCTATTCAACTGACAAAAACTAAAGCAAACTCAAATTTAAACAAGAGATCTTGTAAATTTTAGATTACTGTCAAAATAGAACAAATTGAATCAAAGTAAAGCACAGTGAATGACCAGAAAGGATAAAATTAGAACATGGTGTCAAAAACCAAATGCTTAAGGATCAAGAAGAATACATATTTTTTGAGGAAAAAAATTGACACATTAATCACTTTCTTCCTCCGAAGCATTAGCAACTTCTAATACACCTCACATTGCCCACAGCTCGTAGAAAAATATGGAAGCCACTGCTCTTTTAACCATTCAATGACCAAAAAGCAGCAAAAAATAAAACACCAGTTCAATGATTCCTTCGCCTCTTTTTTTTTTTTTTCCTCCTTTTCCTCAAAATTCCACCTATAGCTACCCATTTTATGATAAATCAAGTGAATCCAATGTCAATAATAAATAAATGGAAACTCTAATTTACCAATTTCCCCTACTCTAAAAATCTAACCAATAATCAAAAGTATTTTTTTTCTTCAGCCGCACCATTTTGAGAGAAGAACCAAGAAAACAATAAGGAAAACTATTGAAGAAAGCCCAATTGCAAAACCGAGAACAACCTTATTTGGCCCGTGATGATGCTCCTTCTTTTCACTTCCATCATCTGCACCATCACCATCATAATCTGAAGAGTCACTCTCGCTATCACCAGAAGACTCCTTAGAGGGCGGCGGTGATATCGGTAATCCATGCTTATCACAAGGAGCAATCCCAAGCTTCATTTTTGATGATAAAAGAGAATGGTTGTAACACAAATTGCCATTCCCACCGACCTTGAAAACGGCCAATCTCTTTATGAAACTAGCATTGAAAGGTAGAACCCCATGAAGCTCATTGTTCTCAAGATTCAAGACTTTCAACCTTCTCAACTCTGAGAAAAACCTTGGGACAGTCCCATTTAACTGGTTATTACTCAGATCAACATGAACCAAGCCTGGAATAGCTGACATGGTATCCGGGATTGACCCAGAAAAAGAATTGGAAGCCAAAGATACATTTTTTAACGATATCAAGTCACCAAACTCAGTAGGAATCTCCCCATTTAGGGCATTTGAAGAAAGATTCAAGAATTCAAGATCTTGAAGAAGCGTATGGGAAGTTGGTATCTTTCCTTTGAGCTTGTTATCCGATAAATCAATATGGGTCAGATTCAGAGGCACGTGCCTTGGAAGATAGCCTGTAAGATTAGCGTGAGAAATGGTGAGTGTCTTCAGCTTGTGCATATTTCCAAGGATTACATAAAGGCCGCTGGTGATAACTGGAGTGTAGGAAACTGTGAGATCAGTGAGGTTAACGAAACGTGAGAGCCAGACCCCAGAGAGGCGGCGCAGAGAGCGAATACAGGAGAAGGAAGTGAGGGAAAGAGAGAGATCGGAAGGGAAGCGGATGGGGGAGGTGTGGCAGTTGGTGAAGGAGAGAGAATGGAGGGAAGAGAGAGACTTGAGAGCTGTGAAGGAGAGGAAAAGGTCGGCGGAGCAGTTGGAGAGGTGGAGAGAAATGAGGTGGCGGAAGGGCTTGGAGCTGTCACAGATGGTAGCGTTGTGAGGGGAAGGTTGGATGCAAGGGTCTCGTGTGGTGGGGATGTTGAGGGATTGGAGTGCTTCTATTTGTTTGGGGTCTAGAGTAGAGGGAGAGGAAGAGGGAGTTTCGGTGGTAGGTGGCGTTGGGGAGGATGTGGGAGAGGGGGTAGGGGAGAGTGTGGGGGGAGTGGCTGGCTTGGTGGCATTTTTGGTGGTAGCGGCAGAGGTGGTGGAGAGAAGAAAGAGGAGGATAAGCAGGAAGAATAGTGGGGTTGGTCGTTTCATGGTGGAGAGAGAGTGGGTGAGTTAGCACTGAGGTGGAGTTGGAAGTAAAGTGATGACTGAGAAGTGAGAGTAAGAGACGCAGCGAAGAAGTAAGCAGGGGAGGGGCTGCATTTGCATGTGGGATTGGGTGGGGTTTGACAGTTGGTCAAGACTCAAGACTTTATTCTTGTCCTGGATTTGGATGTTATTTACATCTACATAACTGCACTTCACTGCTTCCTATTGGATGAAGATAAACAAGAGAAAAAAGAGAAAACTTGGAGTTAGTATTAATCCTGTCCATTAATGACAAGGTTAGCAATGTAAAATGGAAAGTAATTAAAGGCTATTATGTGCAGTCCATGGGATGCTGCCCAAATGGTCGCAATTTGCTTAGATATACAACAAAGGGCAGAATCTGAGATTTTTCTGTTATTTATAGGTGCAAACACAATACAAGTATCCAAGGGTCAAAGTTGAATTTCAACTTTATGCAGCTTAATACAAAGTAGTTGACCCCTGACCCCTAAAGGCATAAACAAAAGTATAAACCCCCCCCCCCCACCCCAATAATTATTTTTTTCAGCTGGATTTACTTGGCTGCCAGCTACCTTCCAGCTACTTTCTAACCTTTTTCAATTAGTGTTCAGTATCAGTATTTCTTTTGGGCCCAAACTTTTCACAGTACAAAGAAGAAACTAACAAGGATTGGAAGACAAAATGTCTTCATCTAATCTTAATTTCACTTTTTTTTTTCTTGTTTTTTTTTCTAACAGATTATCAAGAACTTGAATTATAACTTAATTTTCTATCACTTTGTTGAATCGATCCACATTCTTTTAGAGATCTGGGTGTTATCATTACACACCAAGAATTCTTTCCTTTATAGTTACACTAGAATTTGATGTAACTTCTTGGAGAGGCACACATCATACTAATCATCATGATGCCTTGGGATCTTGGTTTCCTCTCTATTATGTTTCCGGGGTTTCATTGCTGGCACTGTGATTTTCCAACCCAACCTGTTAGTTTTGACATA